AAAAATCCAATAAGCAATCCTAAATACAAATTCAATAAACTAAACTGTTATTTAATGTTCCAATTTCCAGAATATTATAAATATTAACTAACAAATGAAACAACTTATTTACCGTAACCGTCGACTGATGACTTTAAAGGAGACATTTCCTATGTAGTATAAACATTCCAAAGGTCCTTGAGCAGTGTCTTATCCGAGTATTGTATTACGCGTCTAATATCTCAAAGACCATTTAGGTAAAAAAAAAAAAAAATACTTTCTTTTAATGTATATACTTGGAATTAGCCACTAAAATAAATTATTAATTAGGTCAATTAGGGCAATTTTATTCCCTATTAACCTGACTCATAGAAAAAAAAATGACATTGGCGTTCTTGTTGTTACCCACATCAGATTTCTCCTTCACACGTCTACCTATCTTTGTTGTTAGCCTATCTTTCCTTTTGAAAAACGAGATAAAATTAACCGTATAAGTGAATTCTTATAGCGATTAGCTAATGGTTTTATCCATAGAATACAATGGGTTGAATTAATGCAACGATTTCTCTTAAAAAGGCAAAAAAATTCACTCCGCCTGTTACTCGCTCAGTTTTTTCCCAAAAACTAATCTGGCGTATGTTTAATGTAATTAGTATGTTGATTCTCTCTAATATATATTCATAAGATTTATAGAGCACGTTAGAATTTTTAACAACGGTAGATTAATCTTGTAAGATAATGATAAAAACGATAATATTACTTTGCCCATTGAAAAACTTGGCCATAATTTACCTTTAGCTTAAATCTGAAAAGTGTGAAGTTTGAAAAACTCTTCAAGATTCTAACTTCTTATATGATTTATAAACACTCTCGTAATTTCTAAAGTCGGCGTCTAGTGATATAGTAATGAGTGTCTCTATTATATTAAAATTTTCTCTACTCTTACATTTAGCGCCATCTATGACCTACCTTTGTAATTTTTTGGCGAAAAGTTTCACAACCCATACAGAATATGAAATATAAGCTATACAATATTAACTAGTATATTCAGCTCTAGTACTTTTCGTCGTCTATATATGAAAATGAACTAATGCGTACAGTATAACTTACCATTTTTTCTTTCTGTATAAACGTCGGGGTGTTGAAGTGACAGTACTCAATGTTCTAAGAATATTTCGCTACATACACAAAAAAAATAAATAAATTGTGAAAAAAATCTACTTTTATTACCGAGAATTCTTTTATAATTCATTAACCAATCAACTAAAAATCTTTCGTAAAAATTTTATCGATGACGTCACAAAATATTATACTTCCTGTTCCATCCCGCCTTTTCTATAAAATTTAATTATTGACTATTAATTATTGAAAAATCGAATGACGAATAAAGCAAATCTATCTTCAAGATAGAAAGGAAACAAGATAGAGCATCCTCCAAGTTCCTCGTCAATTGCCACACAACGAACTACAAGGAAATAAATTATTCGATTTGTTTTTTTTCTGTTGAAAGAAATTTATTACTTTGTACAATTTGCGCTTTTTTCTTCGTAATCCAACTTAGGTAGTTTTTTTGTCTTTAAAATCTCAATAGGAGTTTTAAAACTCGCACTCATATCCACATAGGGGTCGAGAGAAAATATCTACATCCTTGGCATTATTAGAATCCAATTTTAGCATAGAAAAGGGCTATGGAAGCATACGGCGAATATTAGCTTGTAGTACGTTATATCCGAGCTAACAATTGGGAGAAGTGAAAGAGACAGAGCTAGGAGTAGTAGAGCTAATTAGAGACTAGGGTAAAACTAAAAAGTTTATGGATGCTTTCAACCGTATTTCTCTCTGCTAGATATGTTCAAGAATTTGAAGTCTTTTTTATATTGTGTCAACTTCTGTTGTACGTACCCCTCTATTTGGAATTTAAAAACAGAGATCAAATAGCATGAGAGATCAAATTAAGAATGATTTCATTAACTCCAATTGTTTAGTAGAGTAACATTCTTTAAAAGTATTTCATATAGGATCCTGAAAAATCATTCCATCTTTTCAACAATTGTTTTTTTAGAAACTTCACGTCCTCTGCAATTTTTGTCTCAAAATATATGCGACAAACAAACTCTGATATATTCAAGCATACGTCTATAGTACTGCTAACAAATTAAATTGTAAGACAATGCAAAATAAACAAACAAACATACAAGAGAACTCACTTTTACGCTATCTAGTGGATATCTTATCCTCTAGCTTTGTTTTCTTTATCGTGTCTCCTTCTTTCTTAAATCACGTCAGAATGAAGTATTCTCTTCCTTAAAATATCTTTTCATTCTTTACTTCCAAAATTGTTAATCCTGAAGTGGGAAGCCAGCAAGTAGAAAAATTTTAAAGATCTCCTATACTTCTCTTTTCCTTAGGCTTTTTAAAAAAACTTTTATTTCATAGTTTTGCTACAAAATAGATAAAGCAAACAAAACAAAAGTTCCTCGTCTTAAAAGAAAAATTATAAAGAAGATATTGAACTGACAATAAAATTTGCTAACCAGATATTAAGTTGTACTTAAATATAAAGATTTCATTCCTTGAAAAACGATAAACCAGAGATAACACTAAAAATCAGAAATGACTCAACAGGAATAGATTTTCAAACTTTTGAAAAATTGAGGGACTATGAGCGACACCTAGTTGTTGAGTAAACGAAAGACTTCACATTATAGGATAATAAACTCTTAGCATCCTCTTAAAATTAAGGAAGATATATAGCGACTCCTAGCTGCTAAAATCTTTTATCAGATTATTAAAACAATTCATAATGTACCGTCTAGTTTGTTATCTGGGATTTATATATTTAGTTTAAATGTTGGAGAAAACGTGAACTGTTACCCTAACCCTAACACATCGATTTAGCCCTAATATGATCTAAAAGTAGCCAAATTTAACCGTAAAAGTGCCTTTAACTTAGCTTTTCAAACTGTAATGTCAATGGATTTTTTCTCGTTTACTTTTACATTTAAAAAAAAACTTGTAATACTCACCAAAACGCTTTATCTGCTTCTTCTTCTTCTTCTTCTTCATAAGTAAAAATCAAACATGTCAATTTTTCCAATTTTTTCCTCCTTAGCTTTCTTCCAGACAATTAGTAGTGAAATAGCGATAGTAGACATTTAAACAATCGTATCCTCTCAGAAAGGATAAACACCAATGTTAAAAGTTTGTAGTGAAATGATGACATCTAGTGTATAAAAAAGGGAGATAATTTTCGGAAGTCACGTTTGATAGAATTTAAAAAACTTTTATAAATTTTCTTCTCAATTATGTAGGTGAATGCTTGAGTGACTCGTTGGTTTGATATATAGCGATTGTTTGTGGGCAGATACTACTATCAAATGTTTCTTTCAATATCTAGGAAATTAATGGAATATTAATACCTTTGATCAAATTAAATTAGACGCTTTCGTTGTTCATGGCATAAAAATTATTCATTCTAATAAAAAGTTTGTCATGGCTTTAAATATTTAGAAAAAATGTACTTTTATCCAAACTGCATCAACAGTTGCTTTCTAGGTTGGATAATTATCTCTCAGCAATTAGATATTAGCAAAAGCGATGACCTCAATAGATTGCTAATTAATGCTCGGCGAGTTATTATTAAGCATAGCCAGTATATTCTTTGATCTACTTACAGCTCTTTGATTTCACGATTAAGTAAGTCTGCCTCATCCTTAAAAGTACAGGTTTATGCTGAACTTTCTTTAGAAGGTAATTGTTTACAAAAGGAAAAAAGAATCATCATCAATCCCTTTTAATTCATCGTAATGAATAATGAATATTAAACAGTATATTTGTTCTTGTGCTTTCGTCACTAGAGAGCAACATTTTTTTTTAACTTTTGTTCCATTTACAGACTGTAATTATCCAATTTAATCATCAGGCTATTCACAATATTTTTAACGATTTGCAGAGTTAAACTCTATCTGGATGGCTGGTAAAAGTTTTTGTGTCATTTTTTTAAAATCAGTGTTCCAACTGAGCCTTTTTATTCTTTGTTTTTTTTTCATTTGGACCGGAAAAAGTCGAAAAAAAGAAATTAAATAACAAAAAAAACTACACGCAAAGAGGACTAGGCGCCTATGTAAAAATTTATGTTTACAAGATTGCAGGTGTAACCCAATTTAACGCCTAAAATGCGTACGAAAAATAAGCGTCTCTTTTCCAGCATTTTAACCCTTGTAGAAGCCATTAGGCGTATACAGTATATACATATATATATATATATATACAGTATATAGAGTATATTCTAATCTTTAACAGTTTAAATTACTCAGTTAAAGATATAACTGTAGATGTCTCTACTAGTTGAAAAAAAGAACGAAAAATCGATAGCTATTAGGCTTAAAACTTTAGATTTAAAACGCCCCTTTTCTCTAAAAAGAAACCTAGATATTTAATAAATAAATAAAATAACTATGTATCTTATACATTATATATATTCTTGTGGAAATATATAATGAAAAGAGAATAAACTAAGGGACAATCGATGGCTGCCGAAGAAATTAAGATACTATTCGAAGCATTAGGTGAGATAGAACAATAAAGCTTTATTAGTTCTATTGTTCAATTGTAGTAGAAACAATTTTAAATTGATCTTTAACTAACTATACGTTAATTAACCGAGTTAAAAAGTTAGTTTAATAGAGTGCCGCGTGTTCATAAAAAACGAAAAACACCATTAAAAAATAACTGATACGAAAGTTATTTTTGTGTTTTTTTTATATATTTTTATTTTACGACTACCGATACACTTTGCCTCAGACGCCAACGGAGGAGAGATACTGGAACAGTTCAACTCTTTCGAACGGTCAGAATCGGATAAATTATCTGAAAGAAGCATTATAAGTAATAATAGTAATCAAAATATTGCGAATACCTCTGATCTAATGGATAATTCTATCAAGTAATTCAAATATTTAATAGTATAATAATGTTTAAATGACATCAATTAACAATTATTTTTTTATTGTAAAATCTAGCATGGAAAATTTTGAGGATATTCAACTTCAAACGGTAATAAATAATAGTAAAAAAGCATTATAAACCTTTTTATATTCTTTTCCTCTCTTTTTCCTTCTTCCCTTCCCCCTTCCCTTTCTCTCTCATTTTCTTTTTTAATTTACGTTCTCTGCTAATCTAAACATAAATTTGCAAAACAAAACAAAACAAAAGATAGATGAAAGTGAAAATATTAAAGAGTGGAGGCGAACCGCCCTCAATGATGTTGAATTTTTGGAGAGGGACAAATTCGAAGAATTAGCCAATAATCTAAAGGCTAATCCGGTAAGGAGGTCAAAAGTTTAAAAATTGAACTAATTATATTATATTTTGTTGTTTATTTATTTAATTATTGCAGACAGTTGTTGATTCCGCAATGGCAATGGAAGATGTCGAAACGGAAAGCGAAGTGGAAAAAAATCTAAGGAAAAAGTTGACTGAATACCGGAAGCAATTTATGATGGAGAAGAAATTCTTCGATATATCTTTACAGGAGCGTCAACTGGCTTTTGTCCTCTCTTCGACGGATATCCAGCGGATATTGGGCATAGCTACAGAGGAGCAGCAAATAGCTATCGAAAGTAACTCATTAGAATAATTAATTATATAATTTAGATTTTGCCAATGTAACCATTATATGTTTTTAAAAAAAAAGGAGCTCAAAATGAGGATAATCACCGGAAAGACGCCATAGTTCAACTACAAAAAATTCAGGAGGAAAGAGCGGAAATAGAGAGGAAACGAGAAAAGAATATATTGGATTATTCCATTGTGGAATGTGAAGAATGTAAAAAGTTAAAAGATGAAATAGATTGCTTAAATCGAACGTCGACGAAAAGTTCTGGTCACATAAAGACTCTTTTACGTCTCTTGGATCTAGAGATGAAAGCGAGCCTCAACTTAAAAACTTATACTAAGAAATTAGAAATGGTTCTTGGTAAGAAGGCGGAAGATTATAGACGGGTTGTTGATAATTTAAAGTTTGGGCTAAAATGTCAAGAAAACGAGTTTAAGTTGTTTAAAGAGTCTTATAAGGCCAAGATAAAGCAACTTTTTGGCATTTTGTCAAAACTTGAAGATGAAAGAAAACAAACTATAACCGAGTCCATACGGATAAGAAAGGAAAATGAGTCAATTATAAAAAGACGAGATCTTCATTTAGCAGACTTGAATACAGGTCTATCGAATTTTCCTAGTACTATTCCAGAGTATAGACTATGCGTTGCAGGACTGCGCGACGAAGTGGTCAAATCCAGGACGGCGAGAGATCATATCGAGGAGCAGTTAACCTCTAAGCTGCTTGAGATTAAGCAGCAAATCCATGAAGAGCAGTTGGAGAGGAGTAGAGTTGAGGAAGATATCAGATTAGAGCTTTTGAAGACTCAAAAAGAATTGGAAAATACCTACGAGTCGAAAAAGCAAATTGAAGGGGAACTACACCAGCTGAAACATCGAATTTTAGTTTTGCAAGATGATTTGAATAATAGCGAATGTGTTCAAAGAGATTTTGTGAAATTATCTCAGTCTTTGCAAATACAACTAGAAAAGGAAAGATCGAAGACGCCAGGCGATGAAAAATGGCAAAGGATTAAAGAAGAAAATGGAAGATGCAACGAATGCGGCGTCTCTTTTACCCCACCACCGAAAAAGGCTCTTTGCGAGCATTGCCGTCTGCATTTTTGTCCCGACTGCCTACCGCATTCAATAGTCGTTGGCCCATTCCGCAGGGAGGAGGGAATATGCCGACCCTGTTTTTCGCTGTTACCTTCTACATCCGTTAAATCTAATAAGCATCGTTCTTCTAATTTAAAATAATATTCTTTTTATTTTCCATTCACTCTTTGTACAATGCTTACTTAAAAAAGGAAGAAAATCCTTAAGAAAAAGTCATAGTGTACGCGCCACCTTCCGGTTTTTGATTTAGAACTTGGCGGATAAAAGAGTTAATCAACGACCAAAGTTTATTCTAACTAACACGTACATAGAGAGAATGTTTGAAAAGAATACATAATATTATTTTGTCATAAATAGTCATTTATAGAACCGTAAATAGAACGCACACACACACATATATATTTATATTTATATATATATATATATGCATACATACATACATTGTATAATTAATGGGGAAAACTGGGGGAGAGAGAGAGAGATGGAGAGAAAGAAAGAGAAAGGGAGAGGGGAGAGGGAGAAAAAGAGAAAGAGAAAAAAAGATAATTTAAATATAGTTGATGTAAGCATGAAAAAGACATTTTTTTTTCATTTCTTTTCGTTTTTTTCTGGCTAAAACTTTTACCAAAAAAAAACCTTTTTTTTTGCCAACAAAACGTTACGATAGAAAATATACACAACAATTAGAAACATCTATAGATATTTATATCCACAATCAAGGTCAGTTTTAGTTTGTTAAATTAAGCATCACTCCAAAAACACTGATAGGATTAAGATTATTATTTACTTGTTGTTCGTTATTAATTTACTTTATCTTTTCAGCCATAAACAAGAACAATACTCAATTAACGGCGTTACCAATATATATATATATATATATACTTTTATGTAGAACATAATCAATCTATTGGCAGAAGTGATGCTTTCTTTATTTAAAAAACTAGAGACGACCTCGATAGAATACAGTACATTGGCAATTAAAAATCTATACACCTCAGTGCAGATATCCGTAGCCAATTTATGTTTTCTTTGTAATTTACTTATCGCGTTACACTGTATAATTTGAGCCAAACTTATAACTTTTCATAATCAGTTATAATCTACCTAGATCAACCTGATTTCGTTTGGCTCAACAGTATTATCATCAACGTAATCACCACCAACATCGTTATCGTTATCGACATCATAGACATAACCATAATCGCTATCAAAATCATCATCGTAGTCGTCATCGTCATCGTCATCATCATAATCATCATAGTCATTGTAATATCTCCCTCTATCATCGAGTAACAGATAAATTTATCTGTTAAAAGTCACCAACTTCGTTTAAATCATTGTTACATTCTAATCGCCTCCGAAGGAGGGGAAGGGAAGATAAAATTCAAACGAATTTAAGGCGTACATCGACTCTTTTAACAAACAAACAATAACGTATAATCCAAGTAAATGTTTAAAAGATTAACAGCTATTGTTCTTGCTGTTTGTTCGAAAAGATTTCTCACAATTCGAGAAACAAAGCATCATTTACTCGATAGAGAAAAATTTTGTAAAATTGATTATACAGTATAAGAAAGTGATACAATGCAAAAGTTAACTATAGCTAAATAGTTAGATAGATAGATTGATAAATAGATAAATACATAAGACAGAGAATTAGATAAATAGATAGATAGATAGATATATGGATAGATAAATAGATGGCTTATATAACAATACATTAATACATAGATAAAATAGATAGATAGATAAACAGTTAGATAAATGCAAAATGGATAAATAGGAAAAAATATTTTCTCGCTCTGTAACAAATAAGAGAAAAGAAAAACAATAAAAGTACATTTATAAAGAGTTTACAATTCGATAAGAATGGTATGAATGGTCTTAATTTTTACAGCAGACAATTTCAAAACATTTCAATACAATAGATATAATAAATACGAATAATAATCGGCTAATTACATTTGTACCAGCAAAATCGTGAACTCTCAATTACTTCTTTTTTTTTTTTTTTTTTAAATTTTACAAACTTTGACAAACAAATCTAATACTACAAATAGGGTTAGTAGATAATATATATATATATATTTATGTATATATGCATATATACGTGTATAAGAATTCTGTACATTACAAATTATACCTGCGCTTATGTAACCAGTAAACCTTTTAACGTAAACATGTACTTTAAAACTTTTACAATGACAAACATACATTGGACAAACATTTTTTTATGCAATTCTTATATAATTACTAAAAAGGACTAAATAAATTTTATATAAAGGTGTGTAGATAAGGAGACGACGAACGAGGGCGAAGAAGAGGACGAATGAAGAAGATGAAGAAGGTTAAGAAGATAAAAGAACGGAAAAATATATAATAGAAGTGAGAGCATATACGGTTTTAAATATATAAATATGCCTATTTACCTTAAATCCCTTTGCTAAGACAATCAAAAATATGTACAAAATTGGTTTTTTCCTGTTCGCTGTAAACATTTGCTTGTGTTATTTGTTGTTACTTCTTTATTTTCCATTTCCTGCTTGATCATTTTATGCTTAATCTGCTCTCCTGCAAATTTTCTGAGTGATAGTTTTAGAGAAAGTACTGCAAGATTGTAAGATTGTTGTAGGTCTTGCCGCGTCGCCCAGCAGCCCTAAGGCCAACTGGTATCGAGAGCTGAAAGAATCGAGTTTTTATTTGTTTCTCAACAAAGAGATTAACATATGAATTATGATTGGCTAAATAACCTCTAAAAATAGGCGTAGAACCGCCTTTATTTTTCCAAGCATCAAAGTTTTGCAAAATTTTCCGCTTTTCTCACTTTAATTAAGAAAGATGCGATTTTCCGCTTTTTTCATTTAATCAAAAAATACCGTTATTCCCAAATTAGTAGACTTTTCGATCAACATTTTTAAAAATATAGCATTATTCAATATTTCAAATTGATGGAAGAAAAAGGGGAAAAACCAATAGGACGGGAATAGCGATAGATTAGAGATGAAGAGGAAGTTAAGAGAATATATTAAGTGTACTATATATATATATATATATATTTATAGCCACTTTATATGTAACGTATGCTAATATTTTACTTGTGTTATATCTCTTCTTCTCCTCTCTCTCTCTCTCTCTCTCTCGATCTCTCCTCCTTCACTCTCCTCTTAATGTCTTCTATATCTGTTCAATTTAACACTAACAACAACTTCAAGACAAAACTTTTCTTTACGAGTTGGGTAACTTTTTTCAACGTTACCCAAGTCTAGTTTAAACACCTTTAAATTAGTTTTTTTAGTCTTTTTTTAGCCGTTAATGCCAAGCAATGACGCTTTGTTTTCTTCGTTTATCGCAAATCCTAACATCTTATCAGATCAGGACGAAAACTAAACTTTCTTTTTACAATAGAGTTTATAAAAAAAGAGTTTTGTTTGTCAAAGACCAAAATAATCATTCCAGCTAACAAAAAGACCTTTAGAACCAATAAATCTTCTGTTTTTCTCCTTTTCTGCCTTTAAAAACAGTTATAAGCAAAAAAAAGTTTGCATAAATTTTATTTTTTTTTTAAAAATAACCACCGTAAGCAGTCCTATAAATACCATCTTACTAAGATGTTTCTTTGAAGCTATAGGCTCAAAAATATGGATATTTTTGATAATAATAATAAAAAAGACTATATACGACATACAGCGTATACTTAACTAAGTAAATAAGCAGCATAAACTCTGTATTAGACGTGTTTTTGGTACTATATCGTTGACATCTTTAAGATCGTAAAAGGTCATAGTGTTTTTGTGTTACTAAATTGAGTTGAGTGATCTTTTTATTAATTGTTTTTGTGTTTAGATATTTAAAAATGATGGATTTATTTACAATATAAAGAGGATAGACAGATGGAGAGAGAGAGAGAGAGAGAGAGAGAGAGATTAAATATCGCTTAAAATATTTTTCCTGCTCAATTTCGCGCAGTTGGTCATTTTTCTCTCGTAAAATAAATCATCTTTTCCATTCTATGAGTATAATATATAAATATATATATATATATATATATATATATATGTATAACTATATACATATATATATTAGTATATAAAGCTCTTTTGTCTCTAGTTACATCTAATTAATTCTTGATGAGAGATTATCAAAACTTAATTAATTAATTAGAAAAAGGAAAATAAAGAGAAGGAAAATTGTTAATAATTAAGCTTCTTCGTATTTCTTCCTTTCTTTTTTTTTTTTTAATTTACCACTTTATTACTTTTAATAGTTTTTTTTTTTAAATCTCTATTCTAATCATAAACTATCCGTTTAGTTTATCTATTATCTGTTTAGGCCTATATTACAATGATAGATAATTAAATTATTTATTATATTGAATTATTTAACTCATTTTAGTTAAAATGTTAAATTAGGCGTATATAGCAAAGTGTTCTCGTTGATGGAGTATAAGTTTTTTTTATACATGTATTGTAAAAACGTTATATTCTTATCTTTTATCGGAATATATAATATTTGCACTATCGGAACGATAATAGTTTGAATAATACTATACGTTTTCTTGGAACAGCCAATTTATACCTATGTATATGTGTATGTATGTATGATTGAATGAATGTACCATATATAAAAATTATCATTGTAGGCCTATAGTTTCAATGTAAATTACAAGTTTTTTTTTTGTTATTTAGAGCTAAGCAAACTGATAATTTGTGTAATAGGGAAGTGATGGAAAGCTTCAAGGACTGGTAACCCTTTTAATGTACCTGAATAATATCCATTGCACCTTTAGGCGATTTCTAACACTATCCATATACTTGTATATTGAGAAACGATTAAGATGAAAAACTATCGTATCCATTACTGCTTCAACTCATCCCTTTATAGTCCGCTAAATCGGAATTTTAATAATGGTGCTACTCGATTTTCTTACTCCTTTGATTGACTTTCTCAATCAACCCTATATCATATTTATAATGAATATACGAATTCATCTATCGAAGTACCAAGTTAATTCTCCTCCACTTTATTATCTCTCTTTTATCTTAAATCTTCAAATTGAGGAACAACTAGTGTACATCAATTATTCCTAATGACTAAAGTTTTCTTTTCTAATAAAATACTACAGATAAAGGAATAATCTTTATCCAAATATCCTTAAATATATGAATATCCAAGGTAAATGTTTCAATTTTAATGATCATGAGATGCTCATTGACGAAACAAACTCTCAAAGCCACAATAATTAAAGTGAAGGGTAGAAAAAACTTAATACCTATTCTTTATCCTTAGCCTGTTCTATTTTTATAGATTATTAAAATTAATGTTAAGATAGCCTATCCTATTCTCTCTTTCTTTAAATATTCTTGTTATCCTCCGAAAAAATACACTCAATTTATATTAACTAGGTAAATTAGCTTTAGCTAATCTTTTTATATAAATGAAAAATCCCTTATTCATCTTTGGAAATCTTACCTTTGATAAGTGTTCTATATTCAGGTTAAACTTTTCTTTTCTCGTAAAAACATTATATATACTGTACTATGCACGTATACAGTATATACAATATAACCTTATACATGAATGCTTGTATACTATTTACAGTATACTGCGTATAGTGTAAGCATTAATATGCTTAAATCATCTAACGTAAGATGTTTCGTAAGAATGGAGTAACATTTAAGAAAATCAGGTCAGATGGATAGGATAAAAAATTTACTATTGTTCGAAAAAAAAAGCATTGAAGAGAGGGGAGATATATATGTATATTTTTAGTAGTTTATTTAAATATTAAAATAGAGAGAAAGTATCAAGAGAAAGATAGAGAGAAGAATAAATGGAGGAGGAAACATGCATAAATGTAGCTTTTTGTATTTTAGTCCTCTATATGTCCTTTCTCTTTTCTCCTTTCGTCTGTGTCTTGTTGTGTACTTCTTATCTCCTCCAGCCTCGCTCTCCTTCCCTTCTCTCTCTCTCTATCGCCAACTAAATCCGGAAAAGAGGTTATAGGAATAGGCGCGATTTGCAAAAACTTTGGTTCTAACGTTACATCTTAGTTATTTTTTTAAACATGGTCTATTGTTTTTTTGAAGCGGATATAATCAGAGAAGAAGGTTAGACACTTTTTAAAAGAGGCTAATGTACCATTATGTTATATATATACAACAATGCTGATAAGTTAAATATTTGAAATATCTGGTTAAGTCTGTTACATAATAGAAACATAGAAATGCAAAATGAGAGACAGAAAGTGAGAGATAGGCTGAGAGAGAGAGAGAGAGAGAGAAGGATAAAAGTTAAAAAAAGTCTTATCGAGATACGCTTATGAGCAACAAAAATTATTATCAAATATATTTAGAAATAAATTTGTTTATTATTCAAGACAATTGGAGAAGAGGAGGAAGAAGAAGAAGAAAAGAAGAAGAAGAAGAAGAAGAAGAAGAAGAAGAATAGACAGTAGGGAGAATATGAAGAAATGAAGGAGGATGAGGAAGAGGAAACAAAGAAGAATTCGAGAAAGAACTCTACAGTTTTAATTTTTCTCCTTCTCAAGAAGACTTCGGCGATGATCTCTTCCCTTCTTCTTTTTCGGTTTTAGTTTTTTCGGTGTTTCCTGTTGGTGTAGTTGTAGGTTTTTCATTAGTATTAAGTTTAATTTTTGCAGAATTGGCCAACATTGGAAATTCGACCTCTAAGGGTAACTGATCGTCCGAATTTTTTGCCCTCCTATTGTCGGAAGTTAGCCTAAGGTGATGCTCTTGACACACACGGGGGCATGCGAACGACGGATTTGTTGCGATTGTTGGCACTCTCGTTCCTTGAAAACCTCTTAAATCTGACGTTTCGAAGCGGCTAATATTTCCTTGTCCAGGGGAAATTATTCTTAAGCTTTCTGCACAGTTAACGCTCGGGAAGCTATGTCCATTAGAATATGGATTAAATCTTCCCTAATTGGGTTAAATGGAAAATTTGATATATTATATTATTACTTAAAAAAATGTACGATTTAGCAATAATTAAAAACCTGTCGAGATCTTATAGAACTCAATCTGGTTGAATTCTCGGCCTTTCTCCTGGTTGAATCCTCTCTGTTCCTCTGAATTTCATATTCGAAATGCTTTGCATCTTGCAAGATTTCATTCAGACTCCTGGCACCTTTTGCTTCCGCTCTTAAGGAAATTGCTTGATTATTCAATCCAGTAATAAAACGATCTCGTGTCATCGCTTCCGGATCCGAGAATCCTGCACTTATTGCAATATCATATAAAGCCTTACAAAAATCGTCTAGCGATTCTCCTTCCCTTTGAACCCTGGAGAAGAATCTCAATCGATTTTTAAACATTTTATTACCGGTCTCAAAAAATTCGTCAAATTTCTTTATAATCTCTTCTATCGTCCTGTCCTCTCCGCCAATTGCCGAAATCAGACTTTCGGCCTCTTGACCCATAGAATAGATCAATGTAGAAACTTGAACTTTGGAATTTTCTTCATTCAATTTAGACGCTATGGAGTAACGTAGAAAACGCTGCCTCCAAATTGGCCAGAGATGGGGAGAAGCAAAATTAAACGGTGGAGGAGGATCTAGTCGAGACATCCTCTTTTTTTATTGTACTTTATTCTTGCCGTGCACCTTTACAGTTTCGAATATCGTTTATGATTAACTGCCTCTACATAATTTAGGCCCAAAGTGGAAAAGTGCAAATTCCTTTAATTAAAGACTGAGATATCTCATTACCATAAAAAAATGTAGAAAGATCTTTCTTGCACAAAAGAAAAAACACGAAAATTACAATAATCTCTAAACTTTTGCTTTTTTTCCGCTAAGACGTGTTGTCCCTGTTGTGCAGTTCGAATTTGTGATTGAAAAAAAATACTCCAAGCAAACTTTAAAAAAAAAACTGGCATTGTATTAAATTTAAGAAAAAAAGGTAAAATTCTCTTCAGCGATTATCCGAGAGAAGATCCGTATGGTATAATTAGTAGATGTTGTCTAATACAAGTCATAAAGTGCACTCTTCCCCTCAATCGAATTAAGTTTTTCTCTTCTACCTTTAGTTCTCCCATTGTTTATGTAAAACGTTGAGACTTCTTTTTTATATTAATTATTCTTGTTTTATTTATTAAATCATTCTATCGTTACTCGCCTTTTGTCGTTCGTAGCATAGGTAGCGCTGCTAACCAGATAATGTGTAGTGCCAAAATTTATTCATATTTCATTTTTTATGTCTATATTAGAGATAGCTAGCAGAAAACTTAAATTTTATAAAAAGAAAACATACATCAAAGTGTCTATGTAGACATCATTTTCTTTTTAAAAGCATAAATGTCATCTTTTTTGTCAAAAAAACAAACATCAATAGAAACAAATTAACAATTAAAATACGAATTATGGATGATCTTTAACGATAACAAGTATATAACAAACCTAATTTTCTTTATCAACCATTATAATTAATTTGAGATTACCTTGTAAAAGTACCAGCTGATAATCGCATGATAAATGAGAAAGTACTTGAAAAGAGTTCATTACTCTCAAATTTGCGCTGCTCGCATATGTTAGATATACCCAAATTGAAACCTTGACATTTTTGTAGAAGATAACATACAGGTTTATGGTGCCTCTGTGAGCGAATTAATCAGTTGAACCAGTCAAAATGCAGAATAACGGTTAAAATTTTTAATTAATACTGATATTTGTCAATTTTTTTATTCGATTTATACGTAATTTAAAGTTACCAGTTATTTTTTAATATATAGAGGAACCAAAACAAACTATATCGGAATTTTATGCTGGCAAAAACGTGTTTCTAACTGGCGGCACAGGTTTTATTGGAAAGGTAATTTTATGATTAAATAAATGAGATCAGCATGGCTGAACCATAATACAATAAAAAGAAAGAATACAAAATACATATAGATGTAATGAATATCCTTTATAGGTCGTAATTGAAAAACTATTGAGATCATGCCCAGACGTACAAGGAATCTACTGCCTAATCAGACCAAAGAGGGGAAAGACAATAGAAGAGCGTATGAAAACTATGCTACAGGATAAGGTATAATAAACAATTAATCAATAGGAGAATTAGCATTTGCTAAATATAAAATTCAAATAGGTTTACGACAGAGTTCGACGTTTAAATGCCGATTTTGCTAAAAAAGTCCATCTAATTGCTGGCGATGTTATAGAAGAAAATTTAGGAATTTCGCAAGATGATTACGAATTTTTAGAGAATAATATCCATATTGTATTCCATTCTGCTGCTACAGTAAGATTTGAAGAACCTTTGAAATTAGCTATTCGGATGAATGTCATCGCAACAAAAAAAATGATACAACTCTGTAAAAGGATGAAGCATTTAATTGTTAGTTTTTAAGAGAAGAGATCTATAAAGAATTTCTTAATTTTCCTCTTTCTTTCTAATTTAGTCTCTTGTACATGTTTCGACGGCATACGCTAATTGCGATAGAGAGTTTATCGAGGAAGTAATCTATCCATCGTTGCATAAGCCTGAAAACATTATCGATATGGTTCAGTAAGTGAATAACATGTTCTTATAAAAATGTGAACGTCTTTTTCTTTTATACAAGGATTCTCGAAAAAATATTAATCGACTAAATAACCTTTATTACTATCATCGATATTATTATTATTATTATTATCATTATCGCCAATATAATCACTATTACTATCATTAATGTTATTTGTCTTTTATTCAGATGGATGGACGAAGATACCTTGAATTCGATTATGCCGAAATTAATTGGACCGAAGCCTAACACGTACACATATACTAAACAATTAGCCGAATACATGCTCGTACAAGAAGCTTCAAATCTGCCCCTAGCTATTCTTAGACCCTCGATTGTCACTGCTTCGTGGAAGGAACCTTTTCCGGTTTGTACATTGTTTTATAGCTCTTATTTTCGGCTAACCCAAGAGATAAATATAATTATCAAGCGTAATTTTCAATTTTCTTTTTATATCTTATCGTTAAAGCAAAGGTCATAATAAATAATATGACTTTGACCTTTAAACCGCTTTTTATGAATAATATTAATAATAATCTAATTTTATAGGGATGGATTGATAATTTAAATGGTCCTTCCGGTTTATATATTGCTTATGGAAAAGGTTTAATGAGAACGATGATCATGGAAACAGATCTTGTTGCGGATATGATTCCGGTTGATATTTCTGTCAACATGTTATTAGCAGTTGGTTGGTATACTGCTGTCCACAACCCCGAAAAGACAATGTTGTATCATTGTACATCTGGAACATTGAATCCTTGTACCTGGGGAGCAAGTTGTAGCCACGTCAAAGAAGTATTCAAAAAAGTAATAATTCTTATTCACGATTGGTCAAAAAAAGCATTCCGATAGACTTCAGAAATTTACAGTTTTCCTTTCCCCTTAATAACGCTGACAAATATAAAACATATAACATTTCATTTTACCATAGATAGTGAAATGTAGAATAGAGATGAAGAAAGACTATTCTCTTGAGTGTATACTAGATCTAGTACATCATTTATACTTGCTTTTGTTAAAGAGATAAGAACACTGAGAAGACAATGTGTTTATTATACTTTAATTTAATGAATAATCTATATATTATAGTTAGGAGTTAGCCTTATCTGTCTATCTTTGAATTTTCTCTTACAGTTACTTTTAATATTGGCGATAATTAGTTAATTATACATATGTTTATTCATAATAGGTACCATTAGAAGGAGGATTTAGGAGACCAAGGTGTTTTTTGACAAATAAGCCAACTTTATACGACTATTGGATTTTCGTTAGTCATCACATTCCAGCGTATTTAGTAGACGGTGCGTGTAGGCTAATTGGTAAAAAACCAAGGTATATAAGCATCTCTAATCATTATAATTTGAAGCGTCTATTTGATAATTTGATAATTCTTTTATTTATAAAATAGGATGGTCTCTCTTTACGCTCGATTACATAAGGCTATGAGCACTTTGACTTATTTTACTACAAGATCGTGGGAATGGAGTCACAATGGACTAGACGCACTAAAGGCTGTGATGACAGCAGAAGATTCCCAGGTACTAAAAACACATAGATATGTAATCTATATATAATATACATATTTGTTGCATAGAATTTTTACTTGGACCCAAGATCCATCCATTGGCCTTCCTATTTCGAAGATTTTTGTTTGGGCACAAAAAAGTTTATACTGAAGGAGGAGATTTCAAATGTCGATACTGCTCGCGCACATATAAGAAAGTAAGTAATGAGTTAATTAGTTAAACTTACAAAAATATTCTATTTTGCACAGATTAAGAAATATTCGCTATTGTTTCAATACTTTAGCCCTTGTGTTGCTATGGAGGTTGTTGATTGCAAATTCGAATTTAGCGAGAAGTTCCTGGTTCTTCGTTCTCAATTTAGCCCTAAAATTTTTGAGATTTTTTAGATTGTCTAGTACAATGACCTAAAAACTTTAATTATAAGTTGATCTTTTTCAAACGAACAACTTATAATTGAAAGAAAAAATAAGCACTCCTAACCACTAATGATATAGATATATTTATACATATATACTAAATAGAAATATCTATAAATTAAACAAAGTATATTTATAAATTATATCAAAAATCTACAACAAATCATTGTTTCAGGTTGTGTGTTGACGTTCAGTATTTTTTATTTAATTGATTTTATTTTCTTTCAATTCACTCTGTTCACTCTCTGCTATATATGTATATATATATATATATAGTGTGTCTGTAACGTCGTCTGTGATTACCTGAATTAATTTTGGTTAAGTTTTCCTTTTTTGTCTTTTATTATAATTTCTCTTATTTTTTAAAAAATTCAAAACAAAAATTGGGAAGACGCCAATGGTTGTTTTTTTAATCAAAGTAATTTATAGTATTCGTGCAAAAAGAGACTATATTGAAGATAAATCTGCTATTTACATTCCAAACTTTTATAACTAGTTCCGATATCCTTTTATATATGTACAGATATATATCAATATTCCATTATTAATAATAATATATACCACTATAATTATTTAGTTTATATTTATCTCTAATTCATTGAAATAAAAGATTAAATTACGTAATTTTTACCTTTAGTTCCTTTATAAAAGAGTTTAGTCAAGTTGAAAAAGCTTGATATAGTGTTGTTGAAAGAATATAATATTGAAGATTTCTTGATAATAGGCTTTTTGAAAAAATAGATAGAACCGGAAATTCAGTGCAGCGCTGGAGTTTTACAGCAGAAACCGGGTTGTATGTGCGCACGTCAAGAATAGCATCGTCTCAAATTTCAGCAAATCATCTCAATCAAAAATGCCCGAATGCCGCCTGTCAAGAGACTTCTTCCTATGGTCAATTTGTGTTATTTATCTATTTGCTTTCGGATCACTTTATGTTCAAATTCCTGGTTTGTTTAAAAAAATTTTACGGTTTTTTCAAAGAATTTTCCTACCTATTCTTATACATTGTATTTCATAGGTCTTTACGGTCAAAATGGAATATTACCTGCTCGTTTGGTGGTTAAAGAACGTACGTTCTAATTATATCTTCATAGTAACTTTCATAACGATTCTGATTTTATTTTTTACTCAACAGCTGCAAAAACAATATCTGAGTTATTTCATGACCAACCTACTTTAGTAAGAGTTTTAATGGGCGTCGGATTTAGCGTCGAAACAGCAATGGACGCTGTATGTTTGGGCGGTATAGTATTGTCATTCGCTGGGGCAGTTTCATCAATTTACAGAGGTCCTATAACTTTCGCTTTTCTTTGGGCTTCTTATTTTTCGCTGTATCAACTTGGACAAACTTTTCTCTGGTTTCAATGGTAAATATTTCCGTAATTTTCTTCAAATTACTACTCTTCCATTATACTTTTTATGTTTTTCACTAATTAAACCTTCCTCTTTATCCCCTTTTCAATTAGGGATATTTTGCTGTTAGAGACGGGCTTTCTATGCATCTTCATATCCCCTTTCTCTCTAAGACTACGCAGTCCAAGTACAAACCATAGACCACACGACCATATAACTCTGTGGCTGGTCAAATGGCTTTTATTCAGATTAATGTTTGCAAGCGGAGTTGTAAAATTAACGAGTAGATGTCCTACTTGGTGGTCCTTGACTGCTCTCGATTATCACTTTGAATCTCAATGTATACCAACTCCAATAGCTTGGAATTTTCATCATTTGCCACAATGGTTCAACAAGTTTAGCGTCGCTCTGGTTTACGTTATTGAAATAGCTATACCCTTCCTCTTCTTCTCACCGAGAAAACAGCACCAAATTTTCTCTGCTGCTTTACAGGTAGGCTTGTGAAAAACAATAAAGTAGAAAGAAAGAAAGGAAGACAGACAGAAAGAGAGTGAAAAACAAGTAAAGTTAATCCAAGAGTAAAAGTGAGAGACAGTTAGATAGGATTCTCAGCTGTTACAATCAATAAGAACCTTTCCATTTAGTTTAGAGTACTATACATTTATGTTAACGCGTACAAAGTAGCAATTTATTACCTGTTAACGTCTAAACAGTAAATAACTAACTCATTTAAGAATTCCTTCTTCTTTTTTTTACTACAGATAATCCTGCAAATGATAATAATGATCACTGGAAACTACAATTTTTTTAACCTGCTCACTATTTGTCTTTGTATACCTCTATTCACAGAATCTTTTATCGATACGATCACTTGTAATCTTTTGCCGCTTAAGCGATCTTACTTGGAAGATGATGAATTAGAGTACAAACGAAGAAATTTTTCGCTTCTCTTTCGAAGATTTTTAGCCTTTCTTTCTGATATATTGGTCTTTGGAGGTTTGGCATACTGGACTACTGTCGCTTTCAATTTAAAAATAATTGTTAAACCGACGTTCAATATCGAAAGTTCTGTTAATTTCGATTTAAATGGTTTGTTTAGGTTCCTTCGCCTAATCACACCAATCTCTCTATGGCTTGGTGGCCTTTCTTTAGGATGGACTATATTAGGAGCATTTATCGAAAGTTTCAAAATGAAAACTTTTTGTAGGAAATTTACGTCAGTTAGCTGTGTTGCCTTTTTTTCAATTCTAGCATCGGGCCTATTTAGTGTATCGCTAGTTGAACACACTATTATTGATCGCACTTCTCAAAATAATCTATGGAATGTTGTTAGAGATTGGCATACGGCCACAAGAAAGTTTCAAATTGTTAATTCATACGGTCTATTTAGAACTATGACTGGAGTTGGTGGTAGACCAGAAGTTATTTTGGAAGGTGCACCAAAAAGAGATGGTCCTTGGTTCGAATATAATTTTCAATACAAACCCGGCAATCTTACAAAATCTCCCCCCTGGGTAGCTCCCCACCAGCCACGTCTCGATTGGCAAATGTGGTTCGCCGCTCTTGGTGTCTATGAACACAATGCTTGGCTCTTGAATCTCGTCTATCGATTGTTAACTAACGAGCCAACTGTCGTACAATTATTAGATGTCGATCCCATACCTAAATACAGAGAACAATATGGTGATTCAACGCCTCGTTACATCAGAGCACTACTATACAATTATCATTATTCTGATAAGAATGAACGAGTTTATTGGTGGAGTCGAACTCTCAAGCAAATTTACCTACCCGTAGTCGGTCTTGATGATAAAGGCTTTATGCAATACTTAACAGAGGCTCAAATAATCAAGGTAAATTATAGCAAGATTCGTACAATCTAAATTAATTATAGAACTTGAAGTATTTCTTCTAAATAGCTTATAGTAAATTTTTTTTTCTTTTAATCCTTCTAGACTGACGGCTCAAAGGAGAAATATATAAATACGAATCCAATAGCCAAATTTGTCTCCTCCCTTAGGGAACTCTTTGGTCAACCAGATGGCTTTATAACACTTATTACTTTATTTATTGTAGTAATTATTGTGAACGTAATAAGAAATAGACGATGCAACTAGAAATTAACATAATATTTGAAAAATATTTATTCGAAAACAAAAAGAAAAATATATTTATACTAATATATATATATATAATATATATGGCAAGAGAAAAAAATATTTATATAAACGTGTAGAATATATAGGTATTTACTAAATTCCACCATAATGAAAAAAGTCCCCTAGATGTTTTACGTTTGACAAATGATGCAAATATTTTCAATATGTTCCTTTGCTCGTTAATTGTTAATAAAAATTTTTAAAAAAATCTTAAAAATGTTTAAAAAATAATTTTTTTTTTTGACAAACATACTGTATATTTGCTTTTTGTCTAACCACGGAAGTATATGTTTCGCCTAATATCCGAAGTCGTAGGCATGGGAGGATTGATACACCTTCGTCTAACGTAGACTTTTAGAGCTCCCATTATTGTTCTATTCTGCAAACCATAAACAATAGCATTTATAATAGGTGCAAAGTGCCAGAAAATCGTTACGATTGATAGTAAAACAGGCTCTTTAGCTCGACCAAGACGACAGGCTATGATGGGTCCATAGCAAATAATGCAAGCACCTAACCTGTACGCAACACTTGTCGTAACGCTTTTAATTTTAATAGCCGAAGCCGAAGTGCGAACAGCTAACGTTGCTATCTGTACCACTGCAACGATTCGACGTTGTTGGTTGTTAGTTACCTGAACGATATACATTAGACTGACGAAAGTTAGCAAAATGGGCAGGAGGCTAGAAACGAAAACTTGTAGAATGTGTCTCCAGTTGTCATTTGATGCAACACAAATTGAATTAAAAATTTCATAGTCAATTCCAATGGAAATGATTCCACAGCATATAGATAGTATCCATATAAAGGAGAATTGCAGGAAAAAATTCCTTTTGGAAGAATTAGCTTGTCGGAAAGGCCGTGATAAAGATAAAAAATACTCAACAGCAAGAGAGCTTATAGTTGATAAGGCGGCACAGTCAATTGACGTTGTTATCAACACCATTCCATCACAACGTAAATACTTCTTATTCAAATCACCTCCGAGAAGAATGAAAGCAATCTGTAAAGGCATTATCAGAGAGGAGGCAAGCAGATGAACCAGTGACAAGTGGCAAACAAGAATATGCTGTTGGGTGTGCAACTTCTTTGTTCCTATAATCGCAATAATAATTGGAACATTTAATACAATACCACCAAGCATACAAGCGACGGTCAGAGTTGCTCTAGCGGATTTCTCCACTACAGATACCGTCGACGTCGCGTTATCCATCGCTCGACTGTCAATAAACGCCAGGGTGTGGCGCTAAGAGGTACTTTTTTTTTCTCCAGGGGTTACTCGGTTCATTATACTACAAGAATCAAATTGTAATTTCTCAATGTATTTAAAACAGCGTAAAGCTTAATATCAAATGGTGACGAAGATATTGTTAAAAGCTAAAAGAGTATTGCCACAAAAACATAAATAGTCAGGAAAAATAAATCAGCCTATAATTCTTTGAAAGTGTATATACTTATTGAAACACAGAAGAATATTGCTAAAAATCTTACAGGAGATCCTTGAGCTGTTGTATTATCTTCCTCAAGATCGTCTGGTGGTGATCCGATATCAATTGTTAAATTCGTAAAAAGTGGTTGTTTTCGTACACTTATAATTTTATATCCCAAGTCGACAATATTACTAAGACCATCCTTTTGCCATCTATTCATCCAATTTTTAAGTAGCTTGAAACGACCCTTTGCCTTCAAACGTTTTTTATGCTTAACCATCTTATATCTACCAAATGACGATTGAGGTCTATCTATCCGAAAACCTTTAGGAAATAATAAATACAGTAAATTAATAAACATAGACATGGAAAGATCGGCACGAAGCGATCTGATTAATTAGCATGATTAAGCAATAATAAGACAACGCACCTGACGCCATTATCCTCCTATGCATATCGTCGTCTTCTGCCCCCCATCCCCAATATTCATTTGAAAATCCATTTGTTCGATCTAATTGACGCCTATTTAAGGCTAAAACGCCTCCAACAAGACCAGAGTAAGGCAATTGAAATCTCATCTCGTCAAGAGCAGGTGAAAGATGGCGTGGTTCACTTCCACAAGAATAAATGTTTCTGTCATCTATTGGCAGCATATCTACATCATGATATATAAAGCAGTTAAACTTTTCTTCCTTTAAAATCTCCTTCGTTGCCGCATTCATTATTTTTCCTTTATTAAAAACTTCGTCGAAAGCTTGTTCTACCAGAAATACAGTATAATCACAATTCTGGCGAGACAATAGTTTATGTAATCTTCTTAATAAATCCATTAAGTGCATATAGCGATTTCGATATGGGATAATTATTGCAAGAGTTTGTTTCGAAAAGCAGCTTTTCTGACTAGACTTACCACCTTCGGCAAGATTTTCCAACATTGAAACAATATGAGATTCGTTCAAATTATTATCATGTTCATCAATTAGATCATTCGCTCTTAATTTAGGCTTTGAACAAAATTTCTTCGTTGTATCGGTGAGAGAAGTTCGACCAATCTCATTCAAAGCTTCGATCTCGTTATATCCAGAGTTGGGATCACAATATTCAGCTATTATCAAGATGTAGATATAATGAATAATTAGGTAAGAGATTATCCATTTATATCTCCAAATAAGAGATCTACCAGGGATACTCTGCCAGCAGAACATGATTCTTCTGAAAAGAAATTTTTTAGTCTCACTGGTACACTTTGAAACTGATATGTAAATAATGCTCTTTGATAACATTGATTATTAATATCTTACTATTTTTCATTTAGAAAAAGCTTTGGGTAGAAAGCATAAAATATATTATCAAATACTTTATCAGTTCTCAACAAGTTAAAAAAAAACCTATATTCTTTACTCTTTGATAAGCACAAAATCATCAAAAAAGACCTAACACTAAAATATTTGTCAGACACAGAATTTTATCAGTTGAAATGCTAATCAGTAGAAAAGTTGAATATATGCACGTAGACATGAGGCCGATCGACGATTAACTATTGAATATGAACTTTAAAAAATCCATTTTGAATAAAAGTAGTAGAAGTTTTTCATACGAATTAATTGTATGAACGAGGCAAAAAATGGGCATATGTAGTATTATATGGATTGTCAATGCCTAATTCCCTTTAAACATTCTACTAACGCAATTACTATAGAAATAATCCTATTTAATACTTTTTAAAAACCGATTCGAATCAATTTAAATAATCATTTTAAATAAGAATACAGTATACTTCTCTGGTAGAGAGACTTTATTCATTCCTGACGAACCGGAAGGGTTTTAAGTCACGCCACCTATTGGGAACTTATTGTTATTTAAAGAATATTATACCCGTAGCTAACATAGATTCTCTAAATTGCAAATAATATTTTCTCACATAAAGTAATATTATTAATAATCACGCTTTATAAAACAATTAGCAATATTCTACCAATTACTATTAGAATGAAATTAAATCACATAATCAATTGCTCAAAAAAGTCCAGTTTAGTTTGAACAGCATATGAAAACAAAAAAGAAAATTATTTTTCGTAAAGAACTATACAAATAAAACTGAACATTTCTTTCGAAATACAGTATGCTCTATTGTTAATGCCTTTTATCAATCATAAGAAATTAAATACAACGTTAGTTTGCATTTTATTCAAAATATGCGTCACATAAAGACGATAGAACACTTTTACAGTTTTAACAAGATAGTTAGTTAGAATAATAATAAAAGGACTAGAAGTTTTATACAAAAAACTGTTTACGGTAAATCTATTCACCTGGTAATATAAAAGTATAAATGAAAATTTTTTTGGAAAATGCCCCATCAAATTGATTGTGTCTGTAGCATTTAAAATTTACCGGCAAGGGTATCAGCTGGCGGAAACCTCATAGAGGTCGCTCTGATTTAAAACAATCGATAGGGGTAAGACCTTCTTCATTCTGAAATTGGCAAATGCTCTTTCCATCTACTTTATAAAATATAAAATTTAATTGTAAAAAAGATAAATAATTTTTCTGAGATGATCGATTCTCTTTTATATATTTTTTTACACGTTGTCATATTTTAATAAAAACACCCCCGCCGATTGTTATTATATGGCTGACATGCCAGGGAAAGCCGATAAAATGCATAGTAAGGTCAAGCAAAAGAGCGCTTCGACCGCAAATGATTCAACTGCACTGTCAATAAACGAGCGTATCCTCAAGGAATGCCATGATTTATACGCTGATAAAGAATGCGGTAAGTAAATGTTCTTTTTTGCTGGTATTTCTGTGTTTTTTTGTTAGAGCAGCAGACAGCTTTATACTTGAAAATTCGTAAGATGTAAAGCCCCCAACCTACTGAGGTCTATTTTCAACGCCAGAATTGCGTTAATAAGAGTACGCTTTATTAAAGTATTAAAGGAAAAAAGTTGAAACATTGTTAAAAAAGATTTTTTTTTTTGTAAAGCTGTCTACTGTCTAAACATTATTTACTGTGTCAGTAACATAATTACAGAAGTAATAAATCGCAAAGAGAAATTTATAAAATAATTGAGGAGGTGCCCTGCTAGGCTTTCATTAGATGCATTATGCGAATTTTCTATTTTAAAGCCTTTCAATGGCCTGTCGACTATTCTTGTCGACTTGGATCGATAGATATAGGCTAAAATTGGGTAGTGGTTAATAGCAAATTAAATATTGTATCGGAGTAATTTTTCAAAATACAGGCTTAATACGAATTGCGGAAGATCTTGGCTTAACTCTTCTGGCACCTAGGAAAAAGATAACAATTTTACTAATTGGAAACCATTCTGCAGGAAAGAGTTCCTTTACAAACTGGTAATGTATTTTTTCTGAAAAAAAAAAAATTTTCACTTCGTGATTAGACTCTGAAATAAACGTAAATCGGGAGTTTATCGCACGTGATTACTCGCTCTGATGAAATAGTATTTATGTTCCACTCCGGTGCGTTCGAATTTTTTGACTGATCTTTATAAAAATAGGGGACAGAAAAGGGAGTATAAAAAGAAAAAATAGTAGGGAGTGTCTAACATACGAGAGAGTTTAATCTATTTATACATGATTTTTTTTTCAGGTATGTCGAAGAACACATACAGAAAACGGGAGTAGCCATCGAGACGCAAGGTTTCACTTTTGTTACAAGCGGAAGGAAGAGAGAATCGTTAACGGTATGCTTAATTTATTATTATATTTTTGTCATTTTTTGTATTTTTGTTCGAGCATACATTTCAAAGTTTCGACTAACAAAGAAATAAATTGATAAATATATTTCAAACAGGGAAATGCAACGCTCGTGCTGTATCCTCATTTTGAGCCGCTCAAAAAGATCGAAGGTAAATAATTATGTTGTCTGATCCAGTTGTTACCCCAATTCCGCAAATGGAATAGAAGCGAAGGATAATTTTCCAAACTCGGTTAATTATTTTGCAGATTCTTGCTAGCAGAAAGCTCCCTGTTAACGAGCACTGTTAAAAGCGGGGCTTTGTTCTGTCTTGTTTAAATTTTAGAAAATTTCTAACTTTAAATCAAACTGAAAATAATTACGGGCTTATGATCGCTCTGAAGCTAGGTCGCTGTCGTACAAGAGATTAACAGATAGCTGCCTTGTGAAGGGCTGATCGTAACTTGACTAATTCATCTAATCTAATCCAATCTAACATTCCTTTATGGATTTGTTTTTCTTTTAAGCAGAATAAATAATCAAACAGAATTTCATTTACTTTTAAAATAAATAAGAAACCTATTTTTCTCTCGATAGGAGTTGTTGATTATCTGACTACCGAAATATCAACTTCAAAACAAAAGAAATTTAATCTGGTTACTTTTGTTGATACCCCTGGTCTGGTAGATGGAGATATGAAATATCAATTCGATGTGAATAAGTCCATTCTTTGGCTGGGTGACCTGTCTGACTTGATATTTGTCTTTTTCGATCCAATAGGACAAGCTCTCTGTAAACGTACATTAAATTTAGTTGAAAAATTGAACGAAAAGCATCCCGATAGAATGAGATTCTATCTTAGTAAGGCGGATGAAGCTGGACACGAAAGTGATAGGCAAAGAGTTATGATGCAAATTGTTCAAGAGTTATGTAAAAGACCTGGTCTGAACAAAACTGGTTTTGACATGCCAACTATTTATATACCTTCTTTGAAGGGCAATGTAAGAAAAAACAGTGTAATCATATGCTTTATTTTACAAATTTCACTTAAAACAGAATAGCCGTTGCGTCAACCAAATTGATGACGTCTGTAAAGATATTGAAAAAACAATTAACCAGACTATTCAAAATACTTTGAATACATTGGAAAAAGATTGTAATGCAATAGCAGAATTAATCGATAAGAAATTAGAAAAAGATCGACTTGACAGTTTGTATAATTTGAAAGCTAGTCTGAAGGGTTGCGGGTTGACAGTTTGTGCCTCTCTTCTACCGATTCTTTTGCTAATTAATTTCCTTGCGACATCGGCTTCATACCAATTTGTGCGAAATATGCTAGGAAGAGATCTCCATTCAATGATTACTATCTATTTGGTTAGTTATAACGATATAGAAATCATCGCAGAGTTTTTTTTAACAATAACACTTTCATTACAATCTAGGGTCCGGTTACTAAAGTGTGGTCGTTCGTGCCATCTGAATATCAGCTTTATGTCATAATGGGAATATTTTGCCTGTTCGGTTTTATGGTTCTATTAGCAAAATGTTTCACTGGGTAAGAAAATAATTGAGCACAAATCTCATATTATATTAAACGGTTGATTTTTGCAGACGTCGAAAAACACTAAATCGAAGGCAGAAAAAGCTGTTAATGGAGAACAAGCTATATGTTGCCGACTACGTTAAGAAAAAGAAGGTAACGATACTTATTATATATAAACCAGAATCATCTATAGTGATACATTCTAAAATTTTTTCTTAGACTAAATTATATGAGGAATACTTGAAGCAGAGCGTGGCTGAACATGATTTGTGAATTTAGGAACGTTGGGTTAAAAATAAAAGTTACATTATTTTTTTCTCTTGAAATTACCGGGGCCTTAAATTTAGTAGCTATTTATGCTAGACGGTGCTCTAAGTGTTAATGCATCTCAACCCAAAAGTGTTCGTCTTTGCTGTTCCCTTTTATTACATAATACGGCAGCTGAATATCCTACTTCTTATTAAATGTGCTAACAATAAAACGTTTTTTACGGGGGCTGATGATATTTATTAATGCATCATAATCTAAATGAATCGTAGCTTAACATGTTGTTTTTGGCATGCGCTATATTTCATTTAGAAAACAACAGTTCAAGTATTGTGAAATGAATCAACTTTTGACCGGTTATTTGTTCATATTTTCGTCGTTATCTGCCATCTGCGGACAATCATCGTAGTCGGGCTTTATTGGAGAAATGTCGAAATTCTGCAATGGGGTACCGGTTGAAGATAAAGGCATTTGCAACAGCGGTGGAGTTACTGATCCAACGTTAGGTAAAAACTGGAAAGAAGCAAAGGCTTTTATCAAAAAGAAATATACTAAGATTAAGTGATATACAAACATCGCTATTCGTTCGAGGTCTAGGAGGAGTGGCGAAAGGATTCAAGACAGCACCATTATTTGGCGGAACTTTCGCCACCTGCTTCGGAGAATCTATATTGTCAATACCTTGAGTAACACCTAGAATACCATTTGATTCGACACTTAAAATCACCCATATTATCTCGCCAAATGCCAAACCATTTGGAGAGAACGTTCGAAACTTTCCTTCATACATGCCAGTTTCAGGCGGGCTGAGCAAATTTAAACTTACACGATGCGACTCATTCGGCTCTAACGGATGTAAACGAACAACAGTTTCGCAGGAAAATTTTTCACCTTGGGAATGTGCGAAATAACACCCGATGGGCCATTTTTCGTTTCCGTTATTACATATATGCCAGGTTTTTACGAATGAAGTCGCAGGGGTAATGGCCTCACCTTCACCGAGGGTAATATCTTTTATTAAAGCCATATTAGGAAGAGGTGGTTGCATGAAATCATAAAATGCACAAACCGCAGCTTGAATATTCCTATTGAGATATATATATTTTTTTATTAAGCAAAAAATATATATATGAAGATAGAAACTAACCAATTTGTCATATCTAAGTAAAATGCACATCCTTCGTTGCTAATCTGGTTATTTAGTAGTTGCCTGAGCTGTAAAATTAAAACATCTTTATCCTCCGTGTTCATTTCTCTAAACTGCCTCAGCAAATTCGACTCAATCGGATCATTGGAACCATCCGTCTCCATTATGTTCAAATTCGATTCAAATTTTTCAACACTCGATTATGATCATAACCTATTAAAAGTAAAGCAGTTATAGAATTAGAAAAATCTTGAATAATTCCATTAGGCGAAAGATTAGTGAAATTATCATACAAATTGCAAAATAGCTCATACGTTCATCAGATCGGAAGTCAACGGAAAAATACCAGTTATGACCGATACGAAAATAACTTTTATCGGGCGATAATGTAAATTTGCGGGAAATTCAAAATAAATATTTATTGGTAAAATGATTCACAAATAACGAATACATGTGCAACAAATAGTAACGATTACAAATTAATTTTCCATTAATTAAATACAGACAAAAATAGAATTCAAAGCTGTAAAGTATCCTTGAAAAAACGGCGGACTGTTGTACCAACGGAAGAAGCCGATAATGACATGTCGTGTGTTATCTAAAATCAAAATTTATATTTATAAAACATAAAAATAGAAATATTAGTTTTAAAGACTAACTCTATGCAGGTAAGGTTGTACATCGGGATAGCTGGTATCAAAAATGAGATCAAGATCGCGAGCGCTTGTCATTTTCGGTACATAATCGTGCCTGTCCATAGCCTGAGATATTTGCAGAATTTTTGCCCTTGCAGCTTCACCAACTGACTTATGAAACTCTTGACGTTCCAATTCATTATTCAAATTTATTATATTCAATCGGGTTGTCCATACTTCCCATGGAGTACATTCGGATGGGAATGGCCAACGTGCCTTTCTCTTTTGATAAAATTCTAACGAAATTGCGCCCGATGTTTCCAATTCATTTGGACTGATTGAACATTGAAAAAGAGACACTTCCCGCTTAACGGCGGCATCCAACTCATCAGATCCCAGCCTAACCTAAAAATTGAAATAAAAAAACCATTTACTTTTATGCTTCTTCTATATTAAACTATTATTAAGATCATTACATAGGTACAGTCAATGTAATCACAATCAACATCAACAATACCAATTGAACCAATAGTATAGTTTCTGCAGCCTTGTTGAAAATGAATCTGTTAATTTCGGATATTTGATTATAATTAAATCTCTTAGAGATAAGCAGATTGTTAACGAACCTTTCCCATACTACGATGGAACAGTAAAGAATGGAAAATGCCTATTTGAAAATGTCAATTAAGGAAAAACTTAAAACTATAAATGGATATTTACGTACATTGCAGAACCTCTTCGACTTGCCGACCTTCCACCGTCTGTAATAAGACATAAATTAATGTAATTATTAAGACAACGTTATATCAATTAAAAATAGATCTTATAATGGAATTATTTTCTATTTAGCATTTTATGTTAATATATAAAAATTAGGGATAGCTATTTTAAAAAATCATTTACATTTCGACGAGAAATCTATGTAAAACAGTTTATTTCCAAAAGAAATTCCATATTATCGCTCGTTATGAATCTTATAGGATACATTCGAGTGTATAATGTAAAGTAGATTCACAATATAGCCGAAAGAAATAAACGTTTCAGAATAATACTTACAAACTCAAAAACATGTGATCTAGCGTTCATGTTAATCAGGGAGAAACATTTGTTTGTTTACAAAATACGACAAGTCTCGAATGAGCTTCGTATTTAGTATTTAATGGTGTCCACAGTATTTAGTATGGTATGTGATCCCTCCTCCGTTTTACGCATAACCGGCTGCTGCAGTTGAATGGTGTGCATACTTCATTTTATGTGACGAAATTACGGCAAGTAGTAATCTTTAGGCTTTTCCAAGAAGAACGGCGAGTTTTCGGTAAACAATTTTATTGTGTCTAAATAATTCGAATAGTATAGTTTTAATCTGTATTTAAATTACAGTGGGACAGAGGAGAAATATACGGAAAATGGAAAAATATCATTGTCCATGCTGGAACGTCTGCCTGAGAGTGAAAAAACATTCATCAAAGGAGCTACCAGATGACCTTCCTGCTAATGATTCGTTTTTCTCTTTGCAATTGGTAGATGTGCACTTGCCCGCAGCTGACGTCTCTTGGGTAAGTAAAAGTATCGAGTAGTCAACATATAGTTCTCACACCATATCTCCTGTGTAAACTATTCAGAAGTATGAAAGTCTCGTTGAAATATCAGCTGTTCAAGATTGGATTATAAGAAGGTGTGCTAACTGCAATACCTATTTATATGCCGAAGAAATAGCTTCAGATATGTCAACTTTTCTAATGAACGCAAATCTAAAGGTTGATAAATAATAGCAACTATTTTTATCCTCGTTTTTCTAAATGGCCTCTCTATTTATTAATAGAAAAACGAGAATGAAGAAGAAATCGAAAAGTCGATCAACTATTCGCCTGTCTATAAAATCGTTATTGATAGCAGGAACATAAAACTCCCGCCTTCAAATGTGTTTCGTAAGCGAACTAAACTAAAAATAAGAAAATATAATATAATGTAACAAAAAAAACAAACGTAACGAAATTTTTTAAGTGTTACAAACTTTTAAAAACAAATAAAAGCATTAAAAATAATAGTTATAACGTTAGGATATACCGTCTTTAACTTTTAAATTTTAAAACAGAATTCGATGCTGAATCTTCCATAACAAACAAATATATTGAAGAAAATATGGAGCTTTATCAAGAATACTTGAAAAAGGAAAAAATTAAAATGGAGGAACGTATAAGGTAATTCAATAAATATTGAAATAAATACTTAAATTAAATTCGAAGTAATTGTGCTCTTTGACCGAGATTTTTGGTAGTAAACAGATACTTTATATCCAACCGCCTTTTTCATGTCCGGTTAATACTTCTTATTCTAATATTTCAGACAATATCAGGAGGAAGAAAAAAATCGTTTTGAAGTTCTTGTGGCTAAAGCTCACAAAGATAAATGTGCTCTGAATAGGTATCAATATGGCAATTTATAACTTAATTATTCAGAGATCATATTTCTGATATTATACATGTAATCTGTCAACTCTAGTTTACGATAATTTATATATTTGTGTCTAAATATGCTCTTATCAACAATTTTGCCCTCTTTAACAGACTCGTGCTAAGTTTGTCAAAGAATGAAAATGCAGCTTCAGATACAGAATCTATAGGTTTGTAACTTGAATTGAAACAAAACGTCTAACAGGAATATTTTTTGTTATTAATTTATTCAGCTAAAGCTGCAGAGAAGGTAGACAACTGTTGTCCTTTTTTCATTATCCATTAGTAATTTTTTAATCGCAGAAATCAAGTCCAGCTGTGATAAAGAAAAGGTCTAAAGGTCCTGATGATGATTTTTTTGATATTGAAATGGAAGAGGAAGAGGGAAATCAATCCCTGGATGACTTGGATGACGAAACGGATTATAAGACAGAGGTGTTCAATGCAGAAAGATCAGGAGGCGATTTTGACAAGAGAGATAGATGGAATATTAAACAGGAAGCAGTTGGTGAATCTTATTCAACAGCAGCAATTAATATTTCATCACTTTCGGACAATAAGAGACTGGAAAGAACGAGATCGTGTCTTGATGATGATGACGATGCTATTCCGGTCGATATTGCTCGTAGTATGAAGGAGTTATCTTTGTCTCTTCACAAGAATTACGACTCTTATGTTTTTGGCGAAAGACCAAAGAGTAAGAGAGCTAATGCTTCTGAAATTGCAAGTTCTATGGTGGCTAATAGAAAAGACAGTGAAGACTTTTAAAATCATTACGTTTTTAGATACCCTTTTGAACAAGTAATTTTTTTTTTTGTTATTCTTCAATTTACGTATAAACAAAAATGCTTTTAGTTATTTACAGCGAAAACAGTTGATGGGTGCTTTTTCAAAAAAAAATGTTGGTGTACGTTTTTGTGTTTCGTTTCACTTGAAATTGTTTTAGAAATAAGATTAATTAATGCCAACTTATAGAGCGTCACCGTTAATATTTAAATGAAATTTTTCGCACTATCTATGCAGTATTTAAAGAAATTCTGAGGTTTCTAATAAATTAATTTTGAAAGGTTATATTTTAAAATATGAATTAAAATCAATATTTTATATTTCCCGCTGATCTTGGACTGTATAACTTATAGGAATCACTTTCGTTTATTACATCCGGGTTACATGCGCAATTTATCTATTGCGCACAGCACCATAACAGCTATACAGTCGTCAACGATTTTGGCAATTTTATTCTTTCAAATCGTAAGTATCAATCGCTGTCAAAGACATGTATGGTACAAATCTAAACGATTTATTAAATAACCAATTTTCAAATATTATTAAAAATCCAGACATGTTTAAGAAACTATTTAATGATTGCGTCAATTAGGCTCCGGACTTTTCAGACTCATATATTTATGGAATTTTTTAAGTAAAGAAAACGCCTAAAACGAATCAAGGTTGTCAATTTCGCCTATATATTAGTTTAACAATATGTTTGAAGATTAGTCTATTTTTAGAGTTATTTCTGATGAATCAAGCGCGATTTAAAATGTTCTTGGTTTCACCTATTAACAAAATCTTTCATTACAGTTAAAGATCATCTAAAGCTTTGTCAATATGTCTTTCGGAGAAGATCAACCAGAAGTATGTTTGTTTATATTTATACTACAATACTCCCTAAATTAACGTTGCGATCTGCTCAAAAATTAAAGCAAATTCATGACTACATCTCTATTGTAAAAGAATATTCTTATTTTATCGTCCACCCGGAATGCCTATAAAATAATTTTTTTAAATTGACAGTATTAAACAATGTTTAATACTGTTTATTCTTACGCAACTATGTCAGATAGAACTCACTGAGCTGATAGTGCTCAATGTGTCGTTAAAGAAACGACCACATTGAGCACATAATTAGTACTACTCATTTGTCACTGCTACCTCATAGCAAGAACGAATATAATATTTAACAAAATGTCGAAGGTAAAGTTTTATATAAAAACAGTAGTTTAAAATTGAATTTACTAGTTATTTTCTACATTATTGTATAACATAATTTAAGAATTATTAATTACCATTTTTTTTAATGCACAAAAAGTCATTTGAAAGTCAAAATGAGTACTTTTTTGGGTAGCGGGAAGAAAACGTGGTCTCATAATTTTTTTTTTCACATTTCCAATAGATATTGAGGCTAAACATGCTCTAATAAGGCGCCAATTTATAAATGTATCGTTATACATTAATATTTTTCGCTTAAAAAAAACAAAAACGGTTTTACCAGAATTGTCGAGAAAGGTCTAACGACTTTCAATTTTTTCCCATAATTCTTTGTGACGTCATTGAAGCTTTTTTTTTTTAAAAATTCAAATTCAATTTGCCCAGTAAAAGGGCAATAGGTGAAAACATGATTATATTATGTATAGACTTGAATAAATATTAAAGATATAGATTTAAAAAAACTGTTTAATTACTTGAAGAATACTTACTATGGTGAAAAGTAACAAAGTTATAAGTATATATATATACGTGTACTGTATATTTACTTATAATTGAAATTAATGTCTAGTCATTTAATATGTATCTGAGAGAATCTTTTTTATAAGAGATGGAATTGACTGCCGACTTGATTAAGGAAATACATTCTGGAAACAAGACATTAAATCTTTTATAAGTGAAATTTTAGATTTTCCGTTGAGCTTTGATCTACAGTGAAAGAAAAAATATTTTCAAGTTAGCTTCTTAAGGAAACTGTACAGATTAATCCTTTTTTAAAAAATACTATGTTTTATTTTTTATACTTAAGATTTGCCTTTGATTTTTGAGCTAAAAGATAGATGGCAAAAGCTCATATATGCGTTTATTTAGACGACACGAACTTTTCTATAACATCCAAGTTTTATATACTATATCGAATATCTTTTGCATTTAGTCATACTTTTCGAGCCAAAATCAAAGCGTTTAATGAACGCTTTTGTCTTGTATAAATATAACAATAGTTTATTAACTCTCGGCTAATAATCCATTGACTATTTTTATTTTAGTGCCCACTCTGTATGGAAAGTTTCGAACCAGACGACCTGAGTTTTTTTCCCTGTACTTGTGGTTATCAAGTAAGCAAAGTTTTTACATTTTCATAAATTTGATCTCTTACACTCATTGATATATAATTAATTATTCATTAATAGATTTGCCGTTTTTGTTGGCATCGGTTACGAACGGAGGAAAATGGCTCCAATGGTCTGTGCCCGGCCTGTCGTAAGCAATACGCAGAAGATCCCGCTGAATTTAAACCACTCAGCGAAGATGAAGTAAATACAAAAAATAATTTCTTAGACTACTTTTTAATGGTTTTTTTTTTTCAATTTTATAAAAAGGTGCATCGTATCAAAAAGGAGAGGCGGTTGCAAGATTCTCAAAGAAAACATAAAGCAGCCGAAAGTCGTAAACATTTAGCAAACGTTCGTGTGATGCAACATAATCTCGTCTTCGTTGTCGGCTTACCTCCTCGATTGGCCGACTCGGAAATTTTAAAGAAACAAGAATATTTCGGAAAATTTGGAAAAATTCATAAGGTCGTCATTAATCCCTCAACCAACTACGCTTCAACCCAGGTTTGTTAATTATTCTATATTATAATTTTACATCGTAAATGATGCAAAATTGTAGTATAAAGCATATCTTGAACTTTTTTTTTTAATCCGATTTCTCTGTGAAATAAATATAAAGTGTCTTATCTATATCTCTATATAGGGCAAAGTTAAAGACAAGGTATCAATAGTAGTTTCCCAGTTAAAATTTTTTATTTTTTCTGTTTTTTTACCCCTATGGCCCTTTATAAATTTCTAAAGCTGTTTTTGTTTTACTTTGTTGCTTGATTAATGACTTTTTCTCACACCTCAATGTATTCTTCTGTTGACCCTGGTTTTCTGATCTTATCAAAACAATTTTTTTTAATATTGAACGTTTTACAGGGGCCCAGCGTCAGTGCTTATGTGACGTTTATGAAATCCGAAGACGCTCTGAAAGCCATTCGGAATGTTAACAATATACACGTTGATGGAAGAACATTAAAGGTCTCTCTTGGTACAACGAAATACTGTAGTCACTTTCTCAAAGGCTCGGCGTGTACAAAGACTGATTGCATGTACTTACACGAATTGGGCGATCAGAATGCTAGTTTTACAAAAGAGGAAATGCAACAGGGGAGACATTTGGAATACGAACAAAAACTTTTCGATCTATATACCCATAATAAAAGGTTTGAAAACGTTTCTCTAACATTTTTTTTATTTTTATACTGGAAAAAAAGAAGTACTAAAACTCGTTACGTATTTTTATTAAAAGTAGAAAATTTACTGAATGTACGCAAGAAGAAAAACCTGAACCGATAAATCATATAGTTGAAGAAAATATCGACCGATTAAAAAAGCATTTAAATACTAATGGCAGAATAAAAAATGATGTAACTTATGTGAATGGAGCACAAAATGGTTTGGCAAAGCCGCATTCAACATTAGATGTATTAGGACATGACAACGCAATATCGAGATTATCACCTAACAGTAGTAATTCGCCCTATTCATCCTTTTCCTCTTCATCATCTCCAACAGAAATAAGTTCAAAATCGGAAGTGAGTAATACAACCAAACCTGGTCATAATTCAAATTCTACAGCCGAAATTCGAGCACAACCAATATTTAGAGAATTACAAAACCCTCTGCCAAGCCACTGGCATATCGAAAGAGAGCTTTTATCTAGCAATCATGACGATGACTTAGGTAAAGTTGAGAATAGCTTTTTATTTTTATTAAAGATATATATTCGAACTGATAAACGATTATTTCACCCAGGTTTTGATCCTTGGGCAGAATCTGCCAAAGGCTTAGCGGATTTGGTTCAGAGAGAAACCAATAGAAAGAATTTAGCAGCTGTTAACCAAAGCTTACCAAATGTTGAGCAACGTACGGAACTTAGAAAGCCGCCGATGTATCCATGGGCTACAAACGGAGTTGGAATTGGCAATGGTTCACTCAGTTATCCAGTAGTTGAAAATGGTCTCTGCAGGAATAATCTATTTCATAATATTCAACCTCCCTTTCCAATGATGAAAGAGGATGAAGTTGAAGAACGTGAGAACGACGAACTGCTTAACGCCTGCATGAACCTAAATGCCCAGGAGACATCGAACCTTCAACAAAACACGCAAACTACTCGAGAACTTCAAGAGGGTTTTAGGGCCCTTCTTCCTGCTGGCGTCAATATTCGATTTGGTAATTCAGACAATGTCAAAACCCAATCCAATGGAAGACATCTGTGGTACGATCACGTCTTTCAACAGACTTTTAACGATCCGGCTATTGTCAGCGCAGGTAACAATATTAGAGAAACTGTTATTACAAAAGAAATAATATGCAATTTTATTTGTAGGTATTTCCTTAAATGGTCATTATAACAATAATATGGTCAACTTCGATCGAATGCCACCTCCCGGCTTCAGCTCTCCCAATGTCATCGAACAAAACTGAAAGCACGACGAAAATGGTAAAGTTTTTAAGGATGATCATTAAAGAAAAGGATATATATATATATCTATATATGTATGTATATGTATATGTATATATATATATATATTTATTTATATTTTATTAAATTTATATATATATATATATATAAATATATATATACAAGTCTATATATGTATACCAAATATATCAACATGTATTCCTATGAATACATATATGTTTTTATAACACGTGTGTCCATTGCATATGTGTATCGTATATGTATTTGAATTTATATATGTCGAATATATAAAATATATATATATATGTTTGTAGACGTATATATATATATATATACATATATATATATATACATAAAATATTTATAAAAATTCGAATTGTTGGAAATAAACAAGAAAAGCTGAATACAGAGATATAAGAGACTTAACTGATGTTTTAATTTAGTCATTAGCTCAACGTACCGGAAATAAGATAAACTCCTGATTAAGACGCCTATTATCTGAAAGACGTTTATTGGTAAAAGAACGTACTTGGAACATAAAATTTGAAAACGTTTAGAAGAAGAAAAACGAGAAAAGTACGACAATGTAAACTAATACTATTGAAATGCAGACGGATCACAGATATATATAGTAAAGCCTGAAGAACATGGTATAGCGCTGCATTCTTTGCGGATCGTTGACGAAGTTCCATTCACTACAGTCATGCTAGAATTATATGGATAGATGAAATACATATCGCGACCTCGACAATGCTTGGTCAATTGATGATCAGTCACAAAATCGACGAGACTTTTTTCGAGCTTAGACTCATCTGCTACATACTTCTTAGCTGTCATTTTGACTGTCCTATTCTGGTGAGATTCGAGGCTTTCTGCGTCCTCGTCGAACGTGTCGCGCAGTCTTTGCAGGTAGCATTCATCTTTTGTTACATCCAGGTAGGCGGCAAATTGCTATAGGATAGAAAATAATTCTACCATTAAAGCAGCCAACGCTTTCAGCGTGGATAGTAATTAATGACGTACCGCTTTATAATCCATTAATATCTGTGTTTCGTCCATATTTTTGGTTTTATTACTATGCATTGTTATACATTTTTCCTCAAAGTTTATTTGCGAGGTTTGCGTAACTGGTTGATCTCTGTTGTCTAGTAGCTGAACAACAATAGGTCTACCCAACTGTGTTGGCCGGCGGGCATAGATTACGGCTAGGGCGATGACGGCGCCGAGTAGAGCAAGGGAAAATAGCACGAATGTTACGGACATGAAGACAAATAACCTCCTGCTAGTCTTTCTCCTTCTATTTGCTAACGTCTTCAATTGGGGAACCTGGATTTCTTTTTCAGCCGAATTAGGTGTATTGAATGCAACATTCTTACCACCCCCTCCGCCTCCTCCGCCTCCTTTCTTCGAAGCCGCCAATTCATGGCCTTTTTCCTCCTCGTTCCTCGCAGGGTTCCCGAACGCCGTCATGCTATCGACTGAACAATCTACTCATCGCCAAACCAGTTTACATTTCTATTTTTCGTCTCGTCCTTTTAGGCGGCCGCTTCAGAAAGTACTCTGCAGTTAGGCGCTGAGCGATGTATCCAGTCTCTCGCCTGCTCGTCTTAGTCCTATTGGCCTTACTTGTAGCTAACAGTGGTAAGCTAAACATTTAATTTTGTTGTTTTTTCCAACTCCGTTTACAAAGAAAAAAAACACTGAGTAAGATCGTCGTCTTTTCTTTAGTAAAAACAATTTTCATCAAAAAAGAAAAAAAAGAAAGAAAAAAAAAGCGTCACATTTTGGCGATAACTTTTTTCTTCATTAATTAATTTCACTTTTAGCAGCCAATTCATCAGTAATTTTCTTGTTGGATATAGTATATATACATTATTTACAATATTAAAATATTAATATTTCATGTACATAAATATATATGTATATATATATATATATATATATATAGTAACAGTAACAGTTGTTCCTCAATTTCAAATGATTCTGCTTATCAAAATTTGGAAATTTTATCTTAAATCTTGAAACAATGACGTAACAGATATATTTCTTCATCTTAGCCGTAGGATACATTGTTTTCCCTTTGTAGCAATGTGCAACAACTATCGCTAATATACTTAAATTAATAATACTTGTACCTATAGAACAACTTCTCTGCTACGAATGCAGTAGTAAGGAACAATCAAGTTGCGGTCCGTATTTCGAGTCATCGGCTTTCGAGAGCAAGAAGTGCTCTCTCAACGAGACGGTCTGTGCGCTTCAAAGGCAACCAAGAGAAACCGGTCAGCTTGTCGCCATAATTCGTAGCTGTTATACTCCCGGTAAGGCAACATCTCTAGGGCTACGTAATTTCCCGATTGCAGTTTCTTTTTTACTCAGATGCTATAGACATATACGAGACAGAGTAAAATCGTATTGTCATATCATGTAGGCAGTAGGCTGTAAACATTATTTTTACTTTTAATTACACTTTGTTTCCTTTCTCCATATATTTTTTCATACCCTTTATACAGGCCTATTTTCTGGCTTAAATTCGTCCGAAGGCTGTCGATATTGGACAAACAATCATAATTATAGGGCACTCTATTGCTTTTGCAGCACCGATTTGTGTAATAGCGGAGGTGTATTTCGAGTGTCGTTTGTCTTAATATTTTGTTTAATTTTATGTAAATTAAAGTAAGACAAGAAGAAGAAGAAGAAGAAGAAGGAGGAGGAGGAGGAGGAGGAGAAGAAGCGAAAAAGACTAAAATTTTTGTTTCGTTTTTTTTTTCTTTGTATACGTAGCTCTGTGTATTTCTATTATACGACTTAAAGTAAATTAATATACCCTACGTACAATTGCTGCCATATTATGTGTGTACTGTATATGTACATATACGATCAAAACAACACGTTTATATTCATCCTTCTAGTAGCGAACATAATTCGATGAAATAAACATACTATAAAGAAGCACATTCAACTCATCCCTACTCATTAGAACATATGTCTGAAAAAAAAAAGCGGAATGTGACCAACGCCATCTAATGTACACTGAAACGAGTATATCTAAACGATGACTAGTTAGGATTGTTTAAAGTTCTCTTCTGTTCTATGTCGCCTCCATTTCTTAAATTCTTTTTTTTTTTATTTTTTTTAGTTTTTTTTGTTTTTGTTGCTTTTTGTTGTTCTAATTCTCGTTTACAAATGCAGTTCGAGGGCTTCGCAGAATAGTTTTGCAACACCTTCTTTACTTGATCGTATCGTCAGACGGTACATCTGTTTGTAACAAGAAAAATATTATAGTATGCACATGTTTTCTTATAATAGATGTACAGTATACACATCAATGTATACATATTTCTTGTTGTACATTATTTGATCAAAAACAAGATAAGTAACTTGAGAGAAACTTCAACCAACCTGTTTACTCAATTCCAATCTCATTAAGACACCTATCTGTTGTTGTCGAGTAGCCACTATACCGGCTCCAACGCAATTACTTTCATTCGGATCGACGCCTTCCAAAAATGAAAAACCAAAACCCATCAGGCGAGCTTTTACATTTTCTTTCGCCACGGAAAACTTAGCTTTAAAGATACTCTGATTCTCCTGTTGAGGTTGGCCAAGTGCCTTCCATCTTTGGAAGAATGTCTTCGAATTCATCGCTACACCTTCAACAAATTTACTTAACATTACTGGAACACGAATAGATAAACGCTGATCTGTTTCCCAAGTTCCTCCACCCTTATACTTATACGTAAGCAACAGTTGAGGATTGGCTTCAAAAACTGTTATACATTCGGTATTTATCTGAAGTTGTTTCTGAGCTCCGCCAGGCAATTCCGATTCAATTGGCTTTACGTCGATCATTAATTGACTTGATAATTCAGACGCATTTGTTATTTCTGTTGTCAAGTTAGTCATTGGATAGTTAGACTTGTTTCCCAAAAATAAACAAACTCTTCCCAAATTCTGACGAAATTCCGACCTAACGCCCACTTGTATCAGCTCATTTTCAAAGAGAACTCCATTATTTTTAGTATAAAAAGCATTGAAATTATCTTGCGATTCTTGAGAGTTGGAACTCGAACTTGTTAGGTTATTATGATTGTTAGTTTCTGTAAGCGAATCTCCTCCTAAGGCTAGGTCGACGAGCAGAGAATTTCCAGTAGATTGTGTCGGGAGTGGTTCGACGGTTTTTATTTGGGGAATCGATGGATCAACTAAATCTGTGATTGCTTGAGATGCGGGTGTCTGCTTATATGTAACTGGTGCATCTTTAGTGGCTGGACGTTTCTTTTTCAATTTTGCCAATATTGAACTTTGACGTTCGGGGAATGGAGGCATTTCTTCTAGAACAGTGGCCAACACATCAGCAGATGCAATGGTAGACAATTGAAGATATTCTATGGCGCGTTGCTGCAATTCGACATCCGCGTTACGGATTTGATTCTCATTGCTTAAAACTTCTTGTACGTGAACTTTAATTTCAGGAAAGAGGTTAACAAATTTGATATAGGCTGATAAAAGAAGCCCTCTGGTTTGAACATTGCATAAATGAAATTTCGAATGCAGCAATTTAAATTGTATAAGAGGGCTAGAGCGTGGATCTCCAGCAATAAGATTGCCAAACTCTCCAAGAATATAACCACCGACTTTGACCATATTTTCGTGGCATGCAGGCGCCTGTAGGGCTTCAAAAACAGTTTTGGCAGCATACCCTTGAACGTCGTCCCGATTAATAACAATATGTATGACTCTATACCACACTTCTTCGCTAACGTAGTCACCGGCTACTCTAATTAAATTCAGGATTGTGTCAACGTACCAAGTATAATCTACGGCGTACTTTTCGGCTAAAATGGCAACTTTAAGCACCATCTCTTCCCTGATAGAATAATCGGCCGTTTCCAAATACGTCAGCATCTCAGAAACAATATCAGAGGCATTACTTCGATCGCACATAGCGTACAATAAATCAACAGCTCTTTGTCTTACGCTTACATCTCTCTCAGTTTTTAGGGCCTGAATTACCGTCTCTTGGTGCTTCTTAACAGCGTCATGGGAAAATTCAGATGTTGCCAAAAGACACATACTTTCTAAAGCTAAATATCTCAGATTAGTTTCTCTGTGCTGAAGAAACTGTCCTAATTGATTACAAGCTCTAACAAGCAAAGTAGGATCGCAATCCATATGGATGATAAGGTTAATAGCTTCAAATAAAACAGCATTCTTTGCGTTGGAATGTTGTACTTTCTTCGATTTTGGAGGCTCTTGCGCTTTGTTCAATATCGTCTCCAAGCATTCTGGTAGTCGAGTCTTCACTCCAGGATCATCAGATGGAGGATAATTTTGCAGAAGTCGTAATAACTTAACGGACAGCCATGGAGCGGGTACAAAGTAATAAGTATAGTCTTGTAAATCAGTATACGAAGACGTAACAATTCTAGACAATCTGGAAACAGCCAATGTTACGCATCCTTTGTACTCTTCTGGATTTCTCTTTACAAGCGTATCAATTAAGGAAACGGCAGCAGTCACCACCCCCAAATGTTGATCATTTAATAAATGAATTATTCTAGATGACCATTCTTGCATTTTAATAACTTCAGGTGCATTACGAATTAATCTCAGCAGGCATAAAGCCGATGATTGCTTAACGGAATCAATTGTTTCTCCCGAAACTAGTAGTTTTGGGATAACTTGACCGAGTTCTTCGGCCATTTCGGCACTTCCAATGTTGGCAATACATTGTAAAGCCAAATTAACGTGAATTGGGTTACGAGAAGACAGGTCATTCTTTATTGATTGTATAACCAATTTCATAAGTTCGTTACTCTCACTTACTAAAACTGATATGAATAAATATCCTATTTGCTTCTCAGTATACTTGTTCGAGCTAAGTAGATTCACCGCCTCCATATGTCCAAAGTCAATATCGTGACCCAAAAGAAATATAAATAACAGCTTACATACATATTTCTTCTTTTGATAGCCATCCAAAGTTTTATCTCCTATAATAAAAAAAAAAAAATTACAATTGTAAACATCGCAGATGAGTGAAAGTCGACTATCAAAACACAATACTTAAAAATATCATTTAAATAAAAAACATTAAAAATAAATAGAGAATTTAATATAAAATTCTTTTCTTTACCCTTGAACTTGGATCTGATATTAGCTAATTCCTTGTTAATTCTTTTTACTTCAGCCTCTCTACTTTTGCCTGTTTAAAAGAAGTACAAATAGAATTTATTATATTATTATGTACTGTATTTATATAGAAGAATAATAGAAAGGGATACTTACAATTTCTAATATCAGAAATAAAGACGGCCAAGCCACGCATTCCATCACCTTTTACTGCAGGCATCCTATCGATTGGTGCTGAAAAATGTTTCAAATGTATAAGCCGCATAGTATGATGAATCAATTAATAAATAAATTTAAATATAAACCAATCAGTCACGAGTCACGCGAAAATGAAACCGTTTGTTTGTCCACATTAATTGAATATAGTCTTTAAGATTTTAAGAATCTTTAAGTAATTATTTTCTTTTCAAATAAATTGAATATTTATTCTTAAATTAGGAATATAATAACAACAAACCGCCCCTTTACCGAATTAATTAAAAGCGCAGTCAACTCATATAAACAACTTATAGTTTTATAATTTTAGGTAATAATTTCTTTACCATAGATTATCGACTGGAAAAAAAACAAGCAAGAAGCGTTATTTCAGTGAAAACAAAGGCGGTAAAAATCTCCCCAAATCAACTCAACAGGAACTGCGACGCCATTATGACTAACCAAAACGAGACTGGTACTCCCACTATGGTACTCAATAAAATCAATTAATAGTTATATATTTTATATTTAATAAATATATTAAAAATTATAACAAATAATAAAATAATAATTATTGATATCAACGAACTAGTGACATCTAGTACGGGATTTGGTTGGTGGATAGATAGATGGCGTTACGAAACGTGTGCCCGCGTATTTTAAACAGGCCTTTAGGCTTTTTCTTCACTAGCCAACTAGGGTTATTCTTCCATTAACAATTAATTATTATTTTTCTATTACAAATCGTTTAATGAACGATAACCGTTTTATTAATAATTCTCCTTGTTTTCTTATCCTATAAAAGTCTTCAAAGGGAAGAAGACAACACTGGAAAATTCGTCGGAAACATCTTAAAATATCAGCACACAATCAGACAGAATATTTAGATTCAAGCATTTCCAAGGTCAAACGACGAATGGAACAATTAAATATTATTTATTTTCTTTCCTTACTAATGGGAGAATCATTGTTCTTTTATTTATTTGACATTTCTCTTAATTATTTACAAGAATAGGTCCAAAAAAAAAGAACATAGAATGGAATCTTCGTGGTCAACTCTAATTATTTTTGATATGGAACGTGTTAATTCTCTTTAGGGAAAGAATACCAAAAATTCCTCTGAAACAGACATAGTAAATGATCCAAGAGGAAGAAGTAGTATTTTAATTGAATGCAGCTGTTGTTATCCAAAATTTTCATTCCATAAATAGAAAAAATGTTTTTAAAGGATAAAAAAAGAAGTGCATTATTTATGAAGAAAAATTCGAGTAATTTGCTTAATAAGTATAGGAAAGTAATAATTTCTTTTAATCATTATATTGTCACTATCCAATGAAAAGAATATTCTTCAAGCTCCCTTCCCCCTCTCTGTCGTTCTTGTTCGCTCTCTCTCTCTCTCTCTCTCTCTCTTCCTATATACATATATATTTATAGGTCTCTCTCTCAATGCATATATTTACTGTCTCATATTCGAAATACTGAGGATGAAATATACTATTTCTGGTTGATTAGGTGAAATACTCTCATATTTTTATGATTATACGACAGGTATTTTACTTAATTTAGCTAATAGTATCCACTTTAGCACCTGGCTTCTTTGTAATTAGGGGAGAGGAAGGTTATGAGGTCATTTGGGGGCCGATCACTGTATGCTGCGTACACATATTAATAGACAATATTAATATAGCGCTGGCGTTTTGCCTCTGATCTTCTATATCACGACAATATGCGTAGTGAAAATATTTCAGCTATTCTCTCAAGACTAGCTATTAACCATAACAGATCACCAGAGAATGAAAAGGTCGCCGTCTTTATTCTTGATGAAAACGCTAACAAAGACTTATCTGCAAAGATAAAATTTTCCTAAAAGCTTCCTCTTATCATACCTACGCATGGAAGATGCTGCTGTCATCAGCAAGACTCTATACTGTAGCACCACCGGTTTCCAAGGTAACATTGCCTATCCGCAAAATAATTTTTTAGGAGGGTAAAAAATGTAAATTACCAATAAAAAATTGAGATATTTTAGCCATCGTCTATTTTCAACTTGCAAACTAGTTAGTAGAGAAATAGTATTAGAAAAATAAATGGCCAAGAACCTTTTCGTTTTTCTTTATTTTTGTACAGCAATACGAATTTGAAAGACGTTAAAATACATACAATTGTTCTTTTTCGGCAAAAACTTTAAAATACCATAGAGAGAAACAGTACATTCATAGTTTAGATATAAATAAGAATACCTATAGCACAAGTATGAATGTTTAATGCTTTATATATATATATATATATATATATATATATATATATTGTACTTTATATGCAATTCTATGAATAAAGTTTGTAAGTAAGATGAAGGCTGTGAACATACGTAAAATAGCTTTTATAAATTTGTAAATAAACGATGTTCAAAGAAACATTCTTTAAGAAATATACATGTACGAGTATCATTATCATTTAATTTAACAAAAAAAGAAGGGCAGCTTTAATAGTAATGAATAACCAAATTCTAAAGCCAGAAAATTTCATCATAAAAAAGAACTCTTTGTTTTCTCCTGTTCCATTTCTAATTTCTTAAAAGAACAAATACTAGAAGTAGAATTAGTAGCGTCGTTGACATAGAAGTTTCAAGTTTCCCTCCCCAGTTACCACCCACTAAGCTCTTATATTCTTGCGCTATTGGAAAAGAATAAAGAATGAGGAACGAATAATTATTAGAATATTATTAAGAAGAGTTATTGTATATTTAATTTTATCTTATTTACTTTTAATTAATTTGAAATCATAATCCGCCTTTCCGAATTTATTTTCAGCTTTAATTGTATATTTCCCATAGTGTTTATCAGCAGCAACCTTAGATATTAGAATATTGATTTCTCGTTCGTCGTCGTATTTGTTTTTCTGTTTAAATTTAAAGAAATTAATTCCGTTCGATTTATCTTCGCAGATGCAATTAAGAAAGAGAAATATACAAAAAACATTAATTAATCTATATCTCAATGTACATACCTCCTCGTAGAGTTTCAGTCCGAAATCAGGTGAATTTTTTAAATTACCACCTTTAGGTAATGTAAGAGAAACATCTGCTTTCGGATTAGATCTCACTTTACATACTATCTTAAATTTATCTCCAACTCTTCTCCTAAATTCCACAGCTTCGCAATTTAATTTTGGAGAATATTCAATAACAACTTTAACCTCTGTAGAGATTTTTTTAGTTTCTGGTACTTGAGCTGAACAAGTTAGTTTGGCGTTGTTATATTCAATAGCCACGCTATTACTCTTTAATGTATAAGACATATTGAAGTTTAGATCTGACTCCTCAGAAGATTTAATCGAAAGTCCAAAATCGCTTGTAACGTCTACATTCTTTTCTCCACTCACTTCCTTATCTCTTGAAATAGTAACTTTTGGCTTAACTTTAGAACCTTGAACAATAACAAGGCAACTTAGAAACTTTCGGTTTACTTCGTTGAGCGTAACAACACTTCCGTTCTTGTTGGATACTATGTTGTTGGAAAAGGGAGCGTACGATCTGAATTCAACTTTCCGAGGTAATACTAAGACGTTTAGGGTAAAGTTATAAACAGTCTCTTTGCAATGTTCCGAAGTGCAACTGCATTTATAAACTCCGCTGTCTGAGCCTTGTGCCCTGCTTAAATGGAATTTAATAATTGTACGACCGTCAGTCTCGGAATCTGTTGTTTTTGCATATCTATTGTTTTTATCTACAAGACCAGGAGTACCGACGAGATAGAGAGCGGCTCTTGATTTTTCAATAATTCTCACTGACTCTGTAGCCGGTAGAACACAATTGATTACATAATCTTCACCTTCGCGCACGCTGTCCTCAGATTTTTCCCAGCCTAAATTTACAGCAGATACGGTCGATGTTAATAGTAGAAAACCTGTTTTTGAGGAATGATAAACTGGCCTATAATGACAGCTATTTACTATATATTTAACAACATGTTCGCGTGGAATGGTTTTACTGTATGTAAATTAATCACGCGATGAACGTTTTAACACTTAATGAATAACAAACGTAAACAAGGATACACTCCTCTGTTTTATATCGCTCTTAAAAGACAAAGGTGTTAAAGAATGAGGGGATCTGCTCGTGTTAAATAACAATTGTCTTGCATGGTAGATATAGCCCCGATCGAAAGGATAAAACAACACTGCAAACAGGTTATTCTAAACAAAACAAACTGAAATCTCGGAAAATCAATAAAATCACGCGACGTTTAGAAGAGCAAAGAAAAAAGTGGTAGAGACGACGGCTAAGAGAGAAGGAGGGGGGGTGTGTATTGGGTACAAAACAGAATAAAAGAAAAGAGAAAACATTTATCATACGATGTTGTGTATCTTACCTAAGAATCTCATAATATTTTCCTCTTCTTGTCAGATCTAGAAACGGTATAAATAAATTTTGGCAGAGCTTCCTTCTAAGAGAAAACGTGCGGCAAAATATTGTTCCAGAGAATCACGCTCTGCCGTATACGAATACAGAATTTTTATTAATGAGTAGGGGAATTCGTAGGAAAAGCCCCAGCCTCGTTCCCAACAAGCGCGAATGAGTCATTTATATAAAAATATAAACTTGAACTAAAAAATAGCAAACTAGCTGTTTATCAAATTATATATATATATATATATATATATATCTATTTAAAATGGTACTCGTTTATCATTCTCATTAGACGCCTATATACATCATATGATAAACGACTGCTACTTGTTTCATTGTCAATTAATTTGAGAATCCTTTTGCGGGTTTCAGTCAAAGTTCTTCTATGCTTTTCAAACCTGTCTGTTGACGATTTGCATAGTTTAGCCATAGAGTACCTAATAGCGTCGATAATAAAGTTAAATCCCTCCAATATGCTCATAATCGATATACCAGCTAAAACGCTTAGAATCCCGCCAATGTTAGCAGCTGTTGTATAAAGATCTCCCTTCGCTTCATTTCTATATTTTTCAGTTATCATAGTTGAGTAAAAAACGTTAACTTCCGTTTGATTTATATCCTCTCTAAACGGTAAAGTTGTAACTCTAGTATTATATTTAATACGATGACAAACATCTGGACAAATTCGATTTAATTTGTCCCTATTAATTTGCTCTAATTGCCTTTTGGAACTATCAATACAACTTTTGAATATTGAAGAATTATTACAAGATTCTAGAAGAGAATTATTAAGATATTCGTAATAGTTGCAATTGCAATTAAATTCAACAATTCTTTGAAAGAGACTGTAGATGCAAGTTTGTCGAGTATAAAATGGTAATTCAGTCATTCCCTTGCTCCATTTAAAAGCAAAATAATCACGTTTCTTCATTTGTTTCTTTGTTAAATATTCACAATTGCTGTACGATTGTGGATTATCGATCCATTCCATCCTCCGTATTCCTACGTGATTAATAGTGGCTGGCGTTATGTAGATACCGTCGATTTCCGGCAAAGGTGATTGGGTTTCTTCATGAATTTCTAATCTGATAATGGGACTATTGACAAGAAACTTTAAGCCTGTATCCTCTATCATAGAGTTGGCTTCCAGCAGTCCAAACTCGTTGTAAAGATAACAGTTTTTATAAAGATGGTGATTGTATCTTCTAAAATTACTGTTTAAATTGAATTAATTGATATTTTTATTAAATAAAAAAAATTGATTTACTTGCCATTCTTGAAGATTATTATTAAAGTAGCACTTTAATGCCTTATCTGTTGCATTCCCCAGACAGAACGTAATAACAGGGTAAGTAAGGCGAGTATTGTAAGACTGAGTGATGCTAGTTGACGTTCTTCCTTCTGAAAAGGAGCGTAAAGCGAAAACCGTTGCACTCAGAGCGATAATTAACGATGCAGCAAAACACAAGGACCAAAAGTAACTTGTCAATTTGCCTCGAGCTGAAACAAAATAAGCCGGTCCGTGCGTATGTGTCTTCTCAGCATAATGATATACTAGTTCTTTGAAGTCTATAAAGTCGATTTGATTGTCGCTAAATGTGCCTGGTGAAGCTTTAAATACAATCCTTTCCCTGGGGTTTCTGTCAGAGGCCATTCCTCTTACGTAGACGCCGAACCGTCCCTCAATTAATTTTCAACTATTGAAAGGAGCGCGCAGTTCTAAAAACTGGTGATAAGTAATAAAAGTAATATTTTTCTATTGACCTTGACCTGTAATTGTTTTCTTAGGAGTTTACTTGCGATTCCTTTAAGAATCTGATATGGCGAGAAGATTAGGTAAATTAAACACAAAATCCTCTATGTTATTCCTATGCGATATGCAAGAGAAATTTAGGAGGACGATACAATATTATCCTTCTATTCTTGAGGTCAGTAGAAGGATGCTAACTGCAGCCAAGGCCTTAAATTTGCCAGTTGTCGTAACCGAACAATATCCAAAAGGACTTGGTCATACAGTAAAGGAATTAGATGTTAAAGGATTCCCTATTATTGAGAAAACCCAATTTTCTATGTGTACTGCGGAAACTCGAGAACATTTAAAGAGCGTCAAAAATTTAAATTCTGTACTACTTTGTGGAATTGAAGCACACGCGTGCGTACAACAAACAGCATTTGATCTGTTGGAAGATGGATATGACGTCCATATTTTAGCCGATGCGGTCTCATCAAGGAGTATGGTTGACAGGTCTGCTTTGAGCATTCGCAATGAAAAATGTTATATATTGACATGATACAATTTTTTCCTTTAGAATGCTGGCTTTCCGAAGAATGGAGAACGCTGGGGCTTTTATTACAACGTCCGAATCAGTTTTATTGATGCTTTGTAAAGATGCGGCTCATCCCAAATTTAAGGAAGTACAAAAGTGCATTTGGGAAGTGACCCCGGACAGCGCAATTCTCTCTGGACAGATTGAATAGACCTTTAATTTTAACATTAATACTAAATTCTTTTCATTGAATGTTTTGATCTTTTGAACTGCAGATGGAGTTTTGATTCATTTTTTCGCTAGATGGCAGTGATAGCGTTTTATTTATGTGAACGATAATTAGTTTTATAAAAAAACCTTTCACTAAAAATACTTGAGATTGATAAAAAAATTGTTGTTTTTTTTAAAAAATGGCTGACAGCCGTCTAAATACACGTATATTCGATGGCGGTGAGAATAAAGACGTTTTAAATTGCCCGAACTGTACTTCCAGGTTCGATAAATCGTAGCTACGCCCCCTGACCCTTCTTTCAAAAAATACAAACTGCTGACTCTTTTCTACAGAATTTATCCAGATTGTCGAAAAACATCGACGAATGGAACCTATCTGACTACGTGCTTAGAATGTAATAAATCATTCAAATTTCGTAAAGAATCTATTCGCCGATCAGCCATCAAGTTGTCCGTCAATGGAACGTCACACATTGGTAAAGCAAAATGAAGCAAATAGCATTAGGAAAGACTTTTATTAAATAAATTTATTTTTCATATCTATTATCTAGTTGACAACAACACGGCAGTCAGATTAAGCTTGAATGAATATCTGAGAGATGTTCTTCAATTGAAAGGAACAAAGGTTATGTGTAGAGAAGGCGGATGTGGATGTTGCGTTGTTACGGTTTCCTATATAAAAGATGATAAAACCAAGACAGTCCCAATTAATTCCGTAATTAGTTAAAGCTGTCTTAGGTTAATGTTTCTTTACAAAATTAACCATTCTTCAGTGTCTATGTCCATTATACTCGTGCGATGGTTGGCAAATTACTACATCGGAAGGTATAGGAGACAGAAGAAAAGGCTATCATCCAATTCAATCGAGATTAGCGGCATGTAATGGAAGTCAATGTGGATATTGTTCTACAGGAATGGTAATGAACATGTACGGATTTTTAGCTGACAGGAAAAATCCTACCAGAGAAGAAATCGAGTCGACTTTTGATGGTAATATATGCAGGTGTACTGGTTACAGGGCAATTTTGGATGCTATGCATCAACTTCCTACTGATATTGAGGTAAAATATTCTATGCATTGGGATAATACGACTGCTTATATATTACATTATATTTATTTGTTTTTCCATTCCTTTCACGTGAATATTTTAATAGGATTTAGTTGAAAGAAAATGCTCAGGAGTGAATGATTCGATTTTCATTATATCGTCGGATGCACAATGGATAAGACCGGAAAATTTGGTCGACTTGTTCGACTTGCTGAGTAAAAGAAATGATTATTCATTAGTTTGCGGTAACACTTCAAAAATTTTATTTGAAAACACAAAAAACAATCAGTTATTTATCGATATAAGAAGTTTGCCAGAGCTCTGTCAAACGACGGTAAATTTCCCTAAGTTGTCTCTAACATTATTGTTAAATTGAGCTTGAAAATAGATTACTGAAGATTTCGTAAAAGTTGGATCTTGTGTTACGATAAGCGAATTGACAACGATTATGGATAAAATTTCGGCCAATCAGGGTTTCGAGTACTGTAACGAAATTAGAGATCACTTGAAATTAATCGCGGGTTCTCCAGTCAGAAATGTATAATGAGCTAAATTCTAGACGCGTTATTGATTTTAATTTCTCTAAGTCCCCTTATAATTTTTATCGATGTTATATAGGTTGGCAGTTGGGCTGGTAATTTAATACTAAGACGTTCTTGGACTTCATTTCCATCTGATATTTTGACCCTTTTTGAAGCAGTCGGGGCTGAAATAGAATTTGGTTTGAATTACTCATTTTATCTATCATTTGTCCCTGAAAAAATTGTAGAAAAAGCCCTACTTCTATTATAGGTTCCAAGATTGAGACAAAAGTTTGCAGGGCATGGGAATTAATTGAGATGCCCGAAGCTGATTTGGATAAGAAAGTCCTCTTGAATGTAATGTTTCGTCCACTTAGCAAAGATACAAAATTCAAGTCTTATAAAATAATGCCACGTTCTCAAGTAGGTCAACCCATCCGCTTAACGAACGCGGACAAATTCAATATTTTTCCCCTTAATTCCCTTCTACGATATGCAGTTGTCATTGGCTTACGTAAACGCCGCTTTCTGCTCCGAATTCGATAAAGAAACACTGACGTTCCGTGGTAGGCCTACTCTAATATTTGGCGGCATATCAGAGAAATTTGTAAGTTATATAAATAATGTTGTATATACTATATATATACTTATTTTTTCATGTTTTTTTTTCATAAAAAAAAAAAGTTAAAAGCCGACAAAACGGAAGCGTTCCTAGCAAATAAATGCGTGTCAGATACTACAGTTCTACAAGGTATAAATAGTAACTGCAGAAAAAAAAAGGAAGAACCTTCACTTAGTTCTATGTTCTTCTGCTTCAGATGCTTTTAAAATGTTAAGATCGGAAGCTGTCGTTACTGCTGACGAATCGTCGATATATAAGAAAGACTTGACCGTCTCCTTACTATACAAAGTAACGATAATCTAATTTTTTTATATTACTTGTCAAATATTATTAAAAAGGAGAAAAGAATTTTTCTTCATATAATATTTCCCTATTCTTCTTTACTTATCATTCCCATTCTTTCCTCATTCCAACTCTCCCTTCCGCCAGCCCCTTTTCACCTTCTTTTTTTTCCTTTAGTATGTTTATATTCTTATTTCCTCTATTTTTTTCCCCGCCTCTCTTCTATAATAAAGTTTATACTGCACCTGGTTGGAGATAGAGCTGAGGCTAAATTGCGGAGCGGAAGTGAAATTCTACAAAGGGACGTTTCGTCGGGGACTGAAATATATGACACACATCAAGAATTATGGCCCCTAACAAGACCATTACCAAAAGCTTCTGCCAACATGCAGGTTAAATTCAATTATATATAAAAATGTTTATATATATATATAAAAAGTGTTTATGTACAAATGACGGTTTTCTTTTAATCATTTCCCGTTATCTTGCCACCTTAGACGGCTGGAGAGGCGATTTATACAAACGATATGCCTAAAATGTTGGACGAGCTGTTTGGCTCTTTCGTTGTTACGTCTGTCGGAAATGCCACGATTGATAAGATTGACGCTTCGGACGCTCTGGTATACTCTTTTGTTTTCTCTGACATTTCCCTACACTATTTACTTATTTGCAATTCTTCGTAGAATATGGATGGGGTTGTAAGATTCCTTACCTATAAAGACATTCCAAAAGGCGGTAAAAATAATAGCCAACCGAATTCCCCTGTACCAGAGTTGGTATTCTGTGAAACAGAATCACAGTACGCCGGTCAAGCTGTTGGATTAATAGTAGCGGGTACGGTTGATAATGAACACACTATATAAAAATTGTAAAGGGAATATCGTCTAATTCTTTTTTCTTATAGAAAGTCAGAGTATAGCGGACGAGGCGTCTAAAAGAGTAATTATCAAATATAGAAATCGCCGACCAATTATTACGGATATTGAAAAGGCTATAGAAAAAAAGTCTTTCCATCCAAAACCCGGTAAAGATATCATAGTCGGAAACGCCGAGGGTAATGGAAAATGAATACAGGTTATATTTTCACATTTTATATACACTGTGTTAAACAGAGGCTATAAACAATGCCCCAAGGCAAGTAAAGGGTAGAATACGGATCGGTACCCAATACCATTTTACTATGGAGACGCAGGTGAGTATATTAATCGAATAAAATGGCTCGTTATTTTAAAGAGGATTAAACGCCACGTATCTCTTTCTTCCTCTCCTTCTCAATCTTCTTTCTATTTCTTCAACGTATCTATAGGGATGTATATGCATACCCCAAGAAGAAAATCTGCTCGTCTATGCCACAACACAATGGCCTGATTATTCTCAACAAGCCATTTCAAATTTCGTTAATATAGATAATAGCAGGTTTGACCTCGACGTTAAATTAACCGTTTTTACTTTGTTTACTTGTTAACTGTATGCCGTTTTAGAATTCGTGTTGAAGTAAAGCGTTTAGGAGGAGCTTACGGATCGAAAATAACTCGAAACCTTCAAATTGGTGCCGCAGGCGCTTTAGCCGCTTTAATCTTGAATAAGTAAGTATGGACAACTTGAAAATGAATTAAATGCTCTTAGTATTCATTTGATTTTCACGCTTATATAGACCAATTCGAATAAGACTAAATTTAAAGACAAATATGGAAATGATAGGAAAACGATTCCCCTACGTTGCAGATTACGAAGTGAGGAGAAAGCAATAGTTGAAGGATGAAGAGAAATATTATATACATATATATATATAATTGTTTAGATGTATACTCTATATGCAGTATATATATATTTGTGTGCTTATATCATCCTATAATGTTTCTTTAAAAATTAATATATACATAAAACGCTTAACTGAACAGATGGGTTTGGACGACGACGGATTATTGCTTGGAATCAAGTGCATATACTATGCAGATTGTGGCTTTCTCGCTAATGAGTGTACGTCGCCTTCGGCCCTGGATTTTGCCGATAACGGTAAAAAAATTTGATTGCAAACAAACAAAACATAGACCCTTGTGTTCTTTTAGGGTCATTTATTTTTACCTTTTTCCATTTAACAATAAGTCTTATTCAGAAAAAAATCTATAAATATCGGATTTCTTTTTTTTCATCATTCATACTAAATATTTGAAAATTCATGACATGAAAACTTTTACTCTTTCGCTTCTTATAACAGCCTACTTCTGTGAGAACTGGCACCTAGTTCCCATGGCTGTCAAAACGAATACGCCCTGTAACACGGCGACAAGGAGTCCTTCCACCCTGCCCGGAATTTTCGTAATGGAACAAATGATGGAGCACGCAGCCGTCGAATTAAATATGGATTCTACGTTTTTGAAACGATTAAATCTATATAAGAGCGGTCAAAAGACGCCAATTGGTATCACCCTCAAGAATTGCCTTTTAGGGGATGTATACTCAAAGCTATTGGATTGGTGCGAATACGATGCTAGATCGGCCTCTATTAGAGAGTTTAATGCCAATAATCGATGGAAGAAGAAAGCCTTGGATGTTGTACCAATGAAATTTGGAATAGAGTGGCAAGGGGTAAACTACGGATGTCAAGTAACTATTTACAACGGGGACGGTACAGTTTCTTTATCGCACGGGGGTATAGAAGTCGGGCAGGGCATAAACACTAAGACCATTCAAGTATGCGCTTACGAGTTAGGTATTGGGGTAGATAAGGTAAACGTTAGGCCTACTGACAATTTTGTTGGATCCAACTGCCAGGCGACCGGCGGCAGTATTACGAGCGAACTGTGCTGTCAAGTAAGAAAATTCGATTTAGCGTGCAACGCTAGTTTTTTAGCGATGTAAATGGATTGAATCCGCAGGCCGTAATAAATTGCTGTAAACAACTAAAAACTAGGCTGGGACCGTATAGGAAGGGATCGAGCAGTTGGGAAGAGACTGTAAAGGCAGCTTATAACGACGGCGTTGATTTAACGGCCCGCAACTGGTATGATTGATGGAGTCACAATTTGACGTTGTTACCTAATCAATTCGAACGCTACAGGAATCGTCCCGAAACTTCGGATGCGTTTCGGTATGAGTCTTACGGAGCTACTTGTACAGAAACGCTTCTCGACGCGCTAACGGGCGTTTACCAGCTGACGAGAGTCGATATACTATTCGATTGCGGCCAGAGGTGGGTCATTTTCTGCATTCCCTTCCCTTTAGCCAGATGTTCTTTTTCACAATCCAATATACTATACTGATGTACTGTTATATATTGTATCCTGTATATATATATATATAGAAAGATATATATTGGCGTGCACGGTTTTATTGCACGTGAATTTGAATAGAGCTTGTCTGTATAGAATTAATCATACATTTCTACAATATGTACTGTAAATATGTAAATATAGTACTGTATATATTATAAATTTATACAGTATACACTTGTATATATATACAGTATATATAACTAGTATATTGGATTGATTAAAAAGAGGTTTTTTAGGTACAAGATTGTATTAATATATACTAGTTCTGTAGGCAAACTATTTAATTTACTACATAATCTAATTTACGAACTCTACGCGTAGCATGAATCCGAAAATTGACATGGGTCAAGTACAAGGTGCCTTTGTTATGGGTCTTGGTTATTTCCTCATGGAAGAGATAAATTATTCGGCGGAAACTGGTCGTAATCTGTCGGCTAGCACTTGGGTACGTATGTGTAATACAGTAAATCGACCAATTGCCAAGAACAAACGTTGCAGGAATATAAAGTACCGACTTCAAAAGACATACCTATTGACTTTCGAGTGCAGTTGCTCAAGAATGTGCCGAATCCGCTAGGTGTATTGAGGTCAAAGGGTAAACTTCTTCAATATTGTTATTCTAAACCACCGTGTATAACTTGCAAGCGTAAAATTATTCCATTACAAATTCTTTGTTTTTTTCATTTTACGCCTTCTTCCTTCATGCCGTTCCGCCCTACCGTCTTCCTTCCATATCAAACAACCCTACAGCTTGTGGTGAACCGCCTTTAACTATGAGTTCTTCGGCCTTTTTTGCATTAAAAAAAGCGATTAGCGAAGCTCGTGAAGATGGATCGTATTTTAGAATCGGTAATGAGTCAAGACATATCATTTCAATGCATCTATATTTAATATAAGCTTTACATATTTCTTCTATTCGTTTAGATTCTCCAATCACTCCCGAACGGGCAAGAATCCTTAGCCTGATCAGCGATTCGGATATGAGAATATGATGAACGAAGTTAATTAACAACGGCCTCCGTAAGATGGCGGAAGGCAACCGACATTTACAACTTGAAATGTTTAGAAAATAAAAGCAAAGTTTGTATGACGTCACGAGCGGCACCAGAAATGCACCAGATGTGTAGGTATCATCCCCAGCCAACCGTCGGCGTGTTTCTTATTATATGCATACATAGACGAAAGCTATCTTAAATATATTGATATGAATATGAAGGAATGAAGATGATAGTTAAAAATCTACAACTAAAGAGGGTATAATGAGTTAGGGATACACAGTGAGAAACTACGAAGCGCAGAAGAAAATAAAAAGCCTTCAACACACTTTATTTAGACTAATTGCTGATTTGCGAGCACGCAAACGCCCCGACAAACGTTCGAGCGGAATAATTCGGGCGTTTTGCCTTATCGATTCGTATTGGCGACTATTTCGGTCGCCTGCAAAGTCGCGATCGATTTTACTTCTTTACCATCGATTTCTCTACACAGAAATAAAAAAAAAACAGAAGAATTCTCTCCTCTCTTCCTCTCTGTCTCTATGTATCACCAACAGCTCTACTCTTTTCTTTCACTCTTTTATTTTTTACTTGGTCTCTTTCTCAATTTCTTTCAATACCTTACTATTTTTAGTTGCAAATATAGTATCTACAGTAGTATAAAATTACGCACACTTTATAAATACAAATATACAGTGTATGATGTATATATAAAACTTTGAATATATATCATACTATAAGTTTATGTATATCACTTTTTTGCATTCATGGCTATATTCATATACACGCACACGCCTGTATTCTATAATGTCACATAATGATAAAAAGTAATTTCTACATATAAAAAGTATTAAATGGCTATATAAAACATAAAATAATATAAAGTATAGTTTACATTTGTACTATGTATAAGAAGTACATGTCTTATCTGACTCACTCTCACTCTCACTCTCACTCGCTCTCTGTATACCACAGTTGGTCTATCGCTTGCTCTCTTTCCCCTTCTCTCTCTCTTACGCGCCCACTCTCTCTCTCTCTCTCTCTCTCTCTATCTATGTCTCTCTCTTTCTCACTTTCTTTTTCACTTTATTTATTTCTACGTCTTGGCTCACAAATTGCCAAGCAATACAGCAAACGCAAATGTTGACCGATTCGTGCGTGACCGAGTGGCCGCCGTGCAAGCTTAACGCCTGACGAAAAACAATGCCTGAATAAGCTCTTTCAACTCGTCTAATTCGCCTTCTCATCGTGTTTCCACGGTAACAAATTCAAAAGAATAGCCCTAGTCGGTCGTCACTCTAGAGATGCTCACACTGACAAGCGAAGCATGATTACGGCAGCAAATCGAACGAAACGGTCGGTCGTTTTTCTTTCCGACGTTCCCTTAACGCAATTTTCCGCCTTTCTCATACCTCCTTCCCACCCCCTTTCCCCCTTCCCCGATTTCTTTCGTTAGCGAGAGACACCACTGCACTACTGACCTCTCGTCGACCGTGTTATGTAAGACTACAGCATTTAGACTCTTATCACAAGCCCGCGCAGTTTATTTTTTTTTCAAACTCTCTTTTATATAATTTACTAAACGCGCAATGGCGCGCATTGCGATTTCCGATAAACCTCGTCACAGACTGGTTCAATCAAAATGATGAAAGGGTCTGATGTCGTACCGGCTACGAGGAACATATACCAATCTAAAAATGACGTCATTATAAAGGGGTTTCCTTAAAATGCGGCCAATCAACAACCGATGTTCTCTTACTCATACATATTCATTCGTCTTTGCGCGCCAAGCCGTTTAGAGTGGCGCAGTCGGACTCGCGCAGTCGAACTCGTACATATTGTATATTTTCCCTAGTTGTAGTTATCGTAGATGGTAGTAACTATGAAGATGGAAGGGAATGTACAACCGTCGACGAATAACAACAGCGAAGAAGGCTCGAATGACCCAGGGTAAGGAGAATTATTATATACTGTGTGAGGATTGCTAGAAATCAGGTCACTTAGTAATGGCGGCTCGTCTTTGTGTTTTCGACAGGAAAATGTTCATAGGAGGTTTGAGTTGGCAGACGTCGCAAGGTAGGTTTAAAAAATGAATATTGATTTTTATATTATCATCTACGATTCATGTCGAGGATGAGTTAAAAACCGTAGAAATGAAAGTAAAAAAATTTCTTATGGAACTCGATACCTGCTGCGCGCGCTTCTCGTTCTAGGCCTATTTCCTACGCGTGTATAAAGGAATGCATAGGCCCATGCTATTTTCTACTCTCACGCTCGAAAGTCAAAAGTACACTAAAGTGCAGTATTTATCTTTTTGTTGCAAATTCATACAGAGAGCTTGCGGGATTACTTTGGTCAATTCGGCGAAATATCCGAATGTATGATAATGAAGGATCCGATGACTAAGAGGTCAAGGTGAGTTGAAAATTTATTTCGGCGGGAGTCCCCGTCAAAAACCGGTCCAAGGACCGTGTTTTTTTGAGGATCTATATTCTTAGTAGTTACAAATAATGAGAGCAGTTTCTTTTGTGACTTAAATTAGTGCCTAGTTTTTTTTCACTGGTAGCCTGATCGTTATACGATATTTAGATGCCGTAGCATGATCACGCAGGCGCCCGTTTGCCCTTTTTGCTGTAAATTCTAAATTTTCTTTAAAAAATATTTATTTAAAAATTATAATGTAAACTGTAAATATTCTAAATAATAACAACAACGAAATAAGAATAAAATCTCTTCTTCTCTTTTACTCATTTAAGAAAATTTATTTTCGTAAAATAATGATAAAAAGAAAGGAAAAGGGCTACAGAGAAAGAAAAAAAAAAGAAACGATATAAAATTAATAATGCATATAAATAAGGATAAGATCCACTTACAGCAATAAGGGGACGGTGCGTGTTTTGAGTGGTGCCGAATTTTTTTTGCTTTCAGGGGTTTTGGATTCATCACCTTCACTGATTCAACTTCAGTAGACAAGGTTTTAGCGAACGGGCCTCATGAACTAGACTCGAAAATGGTACGCTTTTCCCAGGCGCTGCCATTCTTTATAGCGAGCGGCCGCATACTATTATACACTTATCAAAGTCTTGCCGTAGTATTTAGATTGTAAACAAAGCGTCGAGAAAAATTGGCTACAATTCCATCGATTAGTCATATTGCTATGCCGGATACATGAGTTTTTGGCTGCATTCTTTTTCTCTCTTTCATGTTTTTCCCTCATTATTCTTCCGCCCGTTTTGGATTGAGCGGATTATATGGTGCAGTTGATTAACGAAGCCAAAGGATTTAAAGAGGAAAAAGGAAAGGATGATAAATGAAACGATAAGGCTTATGGGAAAAGGAAGAAGGGGAGGTAGAAGGGAGAATTGGGAATAGAAAAGAAATGACAGATACTCGGCTCGATAATAAGATATTTGGTATTGTCCATATACTAAATTTCTTGGTTTTAAGTGTATAAATATTCATATATTGTTGCTTTAAAACAAACAAACAAGAATTGGTGCTCGCTATAAGGAATGCCCGTCTGCCGCTTCTAGACAGTAGTATGTATCAATAGGCGAACGATTAGGCCATTTAGGCGGTAATGGCAGGAAGATATTAGCATATTGGAATATTTTAATAAATAGATAATTGGCATTGTTTGCGTATTCCTGCCAATTTTTGCATTAAGTGGTTTTGTCACGTAGATTTTCGGTACGTAGTCGGATTAGGATCACGCCCAATTTTTTCTCTTTACTACTTTTTAGGCTGATCCCATACTGTAACAGTGGTCAGCAGCAAATTTCTCTTTCCTCTATGTGTATATATATATATATATTTATAAAAATGCATATTTAAAAAAACATAATATTAATTAAAAAGATAAAACGACACCATATACATGTGTATACTATATAAATAAATATATATATTTATATGCATGTATATATATATATATGTATATATTTATATTTATATTTATGTATATTTGTAGATAGATAGCTGTAAATATATAAAAAAAAGAATAAAAATTAAAATAAAAAATATATGATTAATAATTAAATCATTTTTTTCTTTCTCTCTTTATTTCTAATCATTGATCTCCTTGCTAACGTTTTTTTTTGTTTTTTTTCCTTTCCATTAAAATGGAATAGATCGATCCAAAAGTGGCGTTTCCTCGCCGTCAAAATACCAGTAACAATCCAACAAAGGTGAGTTTTTTTCACTACGTACTCTCTGCTTAATTATACATGCGATATTAACGATATTGCCAATCATTCCGTTTATAATTAGACGCCTTCAACCCGTCGGAATGTCGATAGTTTTTTTTTCAAGTTCCTTTTTTTTTTTGGTTTAAATGAGTACTAATAAGCGTTTTATTTTTAACGTTTGCAGGAAGGCGTTCGATAAAACGTTTCATGCGACATTATAATTCTTATGCGTATATTTGAGAATGTATAACAAGCCATATGAAAGGCGATGCTTTACATATGTAAACATAATATATTAGTACATACTGCGCATAGAGATACCTATATATATATATAGGTATTATTTAATATAGTATGTTATATTATATGAAAAGTATTTTTTATGATAGAGAGTACATTTATGCACGACAACTTCTATAACAGTGACTTATCAGTGTTGAGTTTTCTAAATTGATTTAAAATGTTTCAGATGATTACCAAAACGAAAAAAATATTCGTTGGCGGTTTATCTGCGACGACAACGGTTGATGACGTCAGGAATTACTTCGATCAGTTTGGAAAGGTACAGTTAGATGCTGGTGCCGCCCCACCAATCGATATTACAGAGAAATTTTATCGATTTCCCCCCCCCCCCCTCTTTTCTCTTGCTCGCTCACTCTTTTCGACACTATCTTTCACACTCGAAAAGAGAATTAACTGAAATCTATTAATTTCTCTGGGCTGGATTTTAAATCTTTTTTTTTCTATAGTTCCCTTTTAAAAATCGACGTAAACAAAATTTTCTATTAATTTAATACAGGTTGAAGACGCTATGCTCATGTTTGATAAAGCTACGCAGAGGCACAGAGGTTTTGCTTTCGTCACATTCGAAAACGAGGATATCGTCGATAAAGTTTGTGATATCCACTTCCACGAAATCAATAACAAGATGGTAGAATGCAAAAAAGCCCAGCCAAAGGAGGTAATGATGGCGCAGGACGCTAGTAAGGGTTTTCCCTTTCCGGCCGCCTACGCGGCAGCAGCAACCCTTGGACGCAACACAGCTAGCTATCCTGGATTAGGAGCAAATTACTACATACCTGGTGCAGCTGGTAAGTCTGGATTATTTATTTTTTTTATATATTTTACTTTATACTAGTTTTTATTTTAAAAAAAACAAAATCCCTTTAGAGTATTTTAGTTATATTTATGAATAACGTATATATTTATCTATATTGATATATATATTTATAATTATATACATATTCATTTAGAAATCTGGTAGTGTTATTAATTTTTTTAATTTCCTTATTACTTTTATAGTTAAATTATTCTTATTATTGACAATTCGTGTTTTTTGATAGTGAAAATGTCTCGTTTTGTTTATTTCTTTTTTAATGAAAAAAAAGAAAATTAGGCTTTATGCATAGAAAAATAATATCAGTTTATAGGATAATTAGAAAGGTGATACAATACTGATATGTGTATGTAGATGTATCTAAAATTTCATTATACCATTAATGTATATACTGTATAGATATGGGATATTATTTGTATTGGATAGAAATAAGCCGAAAGAGTTATAGGATGTGATTATTTTAAGTTTAGGAAAATTACAAATTTATAGCCTAAATACGCAGTTATTCATACATAAGTTTAATGAAAAGAACGGGCCGTACATGATTTATGATAAAAAATCAACGATGCATGCGCTTCTTTCGGATTTGTCACGCTGAAAAAACAAAAAAAGCGTTCCTTTTTCTGAAAAAAAATTTTTTTAAAGCGAAAATAATGGACAATTTCTGTATAACAACGCAACCTTGTACTGTATATATTTGCAGTATATAGGCCTATATTACATATATAAAAAGAAACATAAATAAATAAGGTAGATAATAATACAAAGCGGAGAAAAAAATTTTAAAGAGAAAGAGAGGAAGTCAGTTAGAACGCGCATGCGAACCGCCCTATTAGCCCTTTGCCTGATTTAGCATGCTGTGTGTACTCGCCTATAGGACTAAACAATACGGTTGCGTCTTCCGGCCGAGGGACGTCACGGTTCTCTAGCGGCGGTAAGATGTTGCACGGTGTTTTTTATTTTGCTGTTGATGCAATATACGTAACATTTGTTCTTTATGTAAATGTGTGTGTCTGTGTGTCTTTTTTTTTCTTTGATTTTTCTTTAAAAAGAAAAAAAAGACGAAATTTAACAGAATATTGAAGTGTAAAAGCAATTTTAAATATATTGTAAATATAATATATATATATATATATATATATATAAGATATCCATTAAAGGTATTTTGCAGCGTTTACAATATATTTTAACACAAGACACGCTTATTTTCATTTCAATTTTATTTATGAAAAGTAAATTAAACAAAGTAATATATATATAATATATATATATATATATATATATTAAAATAGGGATTTTTTTCTATTGTAAAATATGAAAAAAAGACTTGCAATCGATAATGTTACAACTAAATAACATACAAAAGAAAAATAATTAGAAATAAGATAAAAATCTATTTACTTTTTTGGAAACACTTTTTTTTTCTTTTGAAATAGAAAAAAAGGGGGAAAAAATAGTTTTTTTTCGTCGTTTTTGACGTTGTATTATTAGCTTTTTAATTATATTTTTTTTGGTGTTATTTATCATATTTATATATATATATATATATATATATATAAAGTCAACGTTAGTTGGTTTTTTATACTTAATCTTTCGTTTACCATTTTTCACGATATACTATATATAAATTTATATATCATATTAGGTACAAAAACAATATTTAATTAAAAGATCTATTTTCATCTAATTTTCTATTTTTTTTCTCTTTTTGTTTTGAAAAATAAAAAGTTCTATATAAAACAACGAAAGAGGTTTTGATAATGAACCAACTTGTTTGCTTTCATTTGATATTTCACCTGTTTAATTTTCGTATTCTTTTTTTCAAATCATCAGTTTTGTTTTATTTTTTGTTCTTTTTAATATTATTATTATTATTATTATTTTATTTTATGGTTTCATGTTAATATTAAATATGTGTTTGTTTCGGTTTTGTTTTTATTTCCTTTTTTAACTTTAATTTTAAACAAACCTTTTTCTCTTAAAAAAGAAAATATTACACTCTTATTTTAGTTTTTTTTTTTCTTTCACTTTGAACCTCTTTTTTGACTTACTAATTGCCTTCCAGTTCTCCCTGCCCAAGTTACTGCCGCACCAACCGCATTTGTTATGCCGGAGTCGATTGTTGCTCAAAGGGCCGCAGGTAAAGACAATTTTTCTAATTATTCACAGCCGTTGTCCGAGTTTTTGTATTATTATCTATGGTATTGGTTTCAAATTAACACTTTCCTACAAGAAATTCACCCCTACTTACCTGTATCTCTCTTTCTCTTTCTATCTGAGCATATGTAAGCTTTTTTTTCTATGTAAAAATATCAAAATACTCTACGTCTTTGTCTATCTGTATTATCCTCTGTATCAATTAGGAGCGTTATTTTTTAATTAAAGGAGAATACTTAAGCTTTTTGATGTTTCTTTTTTGTTTTCTCATCATATTTCTCATGTCTGCGAAAATCAACATTAAGCTTTATTCTATTTTTACTGATTCTAGCTTGTCAGGCGTTCTAATTTGAAAAATATTAGCCTTTTATTAACATCCCTTTATTTTTTATGTTCTTTTTCTAAATTTTATAATAGACAATACGAAAAAATCGTTTATATATATATAGAAAGAAAGAGGAGGGAGGGATAAGGGCTCGATAAGAGAGAATGTTAGAAGGGAAGAAAAAATGAATAACATAAACTATCGAAAAAGTTATGCTAATGGGAAAACGATTGTTAATTGGCATTTTATCTCTTATCGAATCATGTTTATGTAATTTTATACAGGACTATTAAGAGAGTTAATTAACCAAAAAAAAATACTAGCTCTATTTGTTAAGAAATAAAAGATAAAAAGATGAGATTAGTTTTTTTTTAGCTGACTCATTGCGTAAAACGAAAAAACTACGTTAATGTAACATTTTGTGGCAATGCTTTCTTTTATATTTCTTTTTATTTTTATTTTAATAAGGTTTTGATTATAGAATTGTTATGACTTTCTGTATATTTATATTATTTTATTATATTTTCTTCATCACCAATCGTTTATAACTCATCGCTCGTGAGCTTTTTTTTTTTTTCGCTGACACTCTGTGAATGCAAAAATTTAATCTCGATAATGAAAATTGCTCAAGTAACAATATTTTAAAGGCTTAAAATTTGGCCTTTTTTTTATAGATTTAAAATTTTTAGATTAGTAGCTAATTAAGCTTTTTTTTTTGCCTTTTAATAATAACAGTGATGAGCAACTATGCCGCGGCAGCTTTAGCAGCTCAAACGACGTTTGCCAATCCTGCTACTTCTCCTCTGAATAGTCGCTTCCCAACGAATAGTCCGTCTGCATTAGACTATATCAATGCCGGAACGATCGATCCTTTAGGACCGTACGTTCACGCAGCGACATCTCCTCAACCGGTAACGGCTGCCGGATTTGCAACGGGACTGACTACTGGAACGCTAATTCCAACACTACATAATGGCTTCCATTAAACCAAAACACAAAGAAAAGTTTGAAAAATGAAGGAATGGGATGAAAAAAGTTATTAAATGATATGGATAGTTAAAGGATTGGAAATTATCGATTTTGATTCTTTTGCTCCTTTATCTTCTCCATTTTGTGAAAAATAAGTTTTTTCCCACTTCCTCATAGTAATCTTCTCTTCCTTGTTTTGATGAAAAACACATATGTAAACAAAAAAAAAAACAAGAGACACCACGATAATTGGCGCTTCCTTATTAAAACAAAAAAATCTTAAAACTACTTCTACTACTACTACTACTACTACTACTACTATAAAATATGTATGTTCTAAAGCAAAAAAACCAAAAAAAAACACAAAAAAGAAGTTTATTTCTTCACACATATCGATTCACTTACGAAATGGTATGTTTAAAATATTTTTTTTGGAATTGAAAAAAAAACGTATTTCATGAATATTCATGCAACTTTTTTTTTAAAATTTTACCATATTTTCTTTGTCGTTCTCTCAATAATCTACAAAACGTTATTTTATATATATATATATATATATATGTAAAATTTCTTGTGTAGACATACGTTAACATGGTATAATTCTCATCGTTATACGTACCGTTTGCATCGTTTATCGACATTGTTCATCATCCGCTGATTCCGCTCCAGTATAAAGCAATAATATTTTATATAAACTTTTTAATATATATATTTCGTTCAAAAAAAATAATCTTTTTTTTTTCCTTGTTACGTAATGTACGTCTATACTTTATGTTTTTTTTCTTTTCTTTTTTCATCATTCGTTTTATTGTCATTTAAACAACTTTTTTTGGTTTTTTTTCAATTTCTATCTTTCTCTCTCTCTATATTTATATTTGTATACTTATATTATATGATTATAAGTATATAAATATATTTGTACGTATATGTATATCTCTATCTAACAATTCTATATTAATATATATATATATATATGTATATATATATGTATGTATATATATGTATATATCTTTCTGTAACGGTATACGAAAAATTTGTAAATATGGTTGTAACAACGTACTTGTCGTTGTCGTCCCATTGTAAGAAATATTCTTAATAACCTACTCCAACATTTACATCTATATATTTATAATTTCCCCATTCCTACTTTCTACAGTAGCCTTTTAATCCTGTTTTTAAATATGTATGTATATGTATACGCATATATACAGTTTATATGTATACATACTTTTTGTGTTTCATCTTTTTTCCAATTGCCTTAAAAAGAAACAATAATATGATCATCATTTCCTTAATAGTAATTTATATATACCTTTATATATATATATATTAATAGTTTTATTCAATTTGTTTTCTTTTTTGGAAAAATCTCACAATAACTGCGGCTATATATGTGTAATGCTGACAAACATTTATCAGAGTTCTTGTTATTAAGTTTGTTTTTCTTGTTCGATATATTCGTGCGCGTGAAAGAACGTTTTTTTTTCTGGTTGATAATTGTGTTCCTACCGTTTTTTCCATTTTTTTTTAAATATTTTTAAACGAAAAAAGTCTAATTTTTTGAATATTTTTTTTTAATATAGTAAAATGTTCTTTTGAAACCAAGTAATATAACTATACTATACTTATATATATATATATATATATATATATATATATATATATAGTAGTTAAAATGATATTTCCAACTTTAAAGGTTTCTTTTTCATGTGAAATTTTTTTTTTCTCCCTTAGCCCTTTTTTTTTACTTCATTCCTCCTACTCTAACCAACCCCCTACTCATCTCCGTTCCCCATACTTCCCTCATTAGCTTTTAATATTTTTCTTTTTTATAAAAATTTTTTTGTTTTATACCTATGCGCATGTATTTATATACATATTTCTTATTAATAATCATTATATTGTTTATTTAGTTTTATCCTTGTCGCATTTACATTCTATCGTTGCGTTTCTAGAATTACTAAACACACATTTTTTTTTATTTTGTCTTAAAAAAAAATGCTATACCTAAATCGTTTTAAGTGAAAATAATATGCTTGAAATCGTTATACCTGTACATGGTGTATATTATTTTTATTGCATGCAAAAAACAGCATCAGGTTCTTTTGTTGGACGTAGAGTTCTCTCGTTTCAATGGGTTTTTTTTGTACGGTTTTTTTCGTATTTTTTGTTCACAACTTTATATTTCATATCCCTGTTCGACAACTACGTAATGTAAAAGGCCTACAGTTTACACGTGTATAGTTTTGCATGACTATATATTTTATATATACAATATATATATATATATATATATGTATTGTATATTTATTGGAAAAAAGACAAACATTATTCAAATCTCGATTATTGTTACCAGTATTGATTGCGAGATATTTTTATTCTCTTCATTTTACTTGTTATTTTAAGTATTTTAAACGATATAAAAAATAAAAGTCATTCAGTAGTCGCATCTCGAAGTGAAAAAAATAGCCAATTCGGAGGGAGATTATTATCGAATGGCAATAAATTAATATTGTGTTAATAATAAAAAAAGGCGATATTCGTATTGAAAGAGGTTTGCTGTTGTATTTATACAGTAAGGATTTATTAATTTTGAGTAAAAATAAAGTGAAAAAAAAATTCTCCTGTCGCTACTGAATGATTTTTTGTCTCTGAACAAATGACTTAATATACCTCTATGCGTGCTTTTTTTATTTGGCTGCTGCCGATGATCTGGTCACCGCTTAAGGTGCTGATCGCACCAAAGTTCTGCTATGCGTTATATGTTATATATGTATAAATATATACGTATATACATATTCATGTGTATGTGTATATTTATATTTATATATATGTATATGTATGTATTTATAAATATGTATACGCACGCACAGTTTATATATATATATATGTATGTATATATATATATAAATAGTAAAAAGCATATTGTAGTTATTTTGTTTTTATGCCTGTTCAAAACATAGGATATGTGATTTTGTGGAAAATTTGACAATTTTAGAGGGTTTCAAGGTCACATCGAAAAGTATTATATAGGATCAAAAGATAGGGGATAAAAAGTAATATATATATATATATATATATATCGTATTGATAGACAACAAAAAAAAGATAATAAGAGAGTGAGAGAGAGAGAGAAAGAAAGAAATAATTTAAAAGAAAAAAAAGATGAAGAGGGAAAAAGATTTTAAATAAAAAGTCCCTTTTCCAAACTGTTTATTATAATAACAACAACAAAAAGCATTTATATAGTAGAAAGTATATTTTATTAAAAAGCTATGATTATAAAATTCCTTTCGATTAGCGCCTTAAACCCGATCCAAAATCACGCACAATTTCCTATGTTTATTGTTCTTCATTGCGTTCGGCGCTTGGTTGATGCTCACAAAGAATAGGCGCTTTACTGTTTGAAAAAAAAATTAAACGTTTTTTTTTTAATATTATTAATACTCTGAGCCTGTGCGTTTCTTTTACAAATAGGTGTATATGTCTATATATATATATGTCTATATATATATACTTATATTCCTATCTCTACACATATATTTATACTTTTTGTTCCATTTTACTTGTTTTTTTTTTTGTTTTTATTGTATTACTAAAAAGCTATAAGAAAAATAATTTCGGTTTCAAAGTTTGTCTTTCTCTTTTTTTTTAAAAGAAAAAAATTATAAAGATAACTTTACCGATATTTTGTAAACTTGAGTTGACAAGCAATAAAAAAAGCCGAATTTTTATTATAAAACAAACAATGTACAGTCGAAAAAAGAAAATGTGTTGTGCATCATGTCTACAGTCTACTGTATTATAAATATAACCGCATATTACATATTCTCATGATATATATGTTGTTATCGGAGTTTCTATGTACCAACGACCCTATGCAAACGACTGACTGTTCTCTGTTAATCCCTCACCTTCAAAAAATAAAAACGAAAAGAAAATCACAAAAATTTCTCAAATGTCATTCGAGTCATACATAAAGTACGCGTTTTTACGCGCCTAAGTGCATTTTTACACTGTACTTTGTATCCGCTCAGTACACTAGGAAACGCTTAATAACTCGTAGAGAGGGAGGGAGGGAAGGAGAGAGAGAGAAAGAGAAAGAAAAAGAAAGAAACGTTTGGGCTATAAATTCATGATATTTACATATTTATATCTGATTTTTTGCTGGTGTTTTTCCTTTTTTCTCTATTTTTCATTTCTCCATTTATTTTGTCTATCTATCTATCTATCTCTCTATCTATCTATCAATCATCTATATATTAATTCCATTCTTTCTCTTTCTTCTCTCTCTCTCTCTCTCTCTCTCTCTCTCTCTGTATGTTATAATTGGACGACGCCATCTTGAGGGCGATCGATATTGGATGAATAGCGTCTGATTTTTGTGCAGTTGGTGCAGGCGGCGTACTTCCGGCGACGCAGCAGCTTTACAGCTTTTCATCTAGCTAGCCACAACTACATTCCCTCTCTCTACCTCCCTCCCCTTTTTTCTCTTTTTCGTCATCTCCATCCCGCCCTCCTTTTTCTGCCTCTTCATTGCACTCTTTATCTTTTATCCAATTTCATCCATTTTCAATTTCTCTATCATCTTTCCATTCTTTTCCTCGACGCCTCCTCTGTAATTATCTTTGTCATATTTACGTAGAATTTAAATCCTAATGAGATGCTTGTCCAGTTCGCACTAATGGTAGCAATTTTCCATCGTTCGATTGTCGATTTAGCGCCACATGAGGTCGAAGAATGTGTCGCGCGACCTAAGCGCATTATAGCATTCGTTAACGAGTTCCCTCTCGAGTGGCCTACTTTTTATCCGCTTTCATCAATAAGGGAGACTGATACATATATTCGAACATGTAGCTTATACGTATAGACCAAATTATGTACAAAGATACATTGTACGCTATCCATTTGATATTAATCTAATACATGAATACTGCGCATAGTCCGTCCGTTTATAGCATAAATCGGTAGACAATTATGTTTATATGATATACATATACACTTGCGCACATAAACTGGGATGTATAGAAATATTCTATATACATAGTCAGAAGACAACAAAGGGATATAAATAGAAGAATGAATATTAGAGAGCTCATCACATGAATCGGTCCATGTGACAAGCATAAAGGAAACTCAAGCTGTTCAGGTATCTGAATTGTTTCAAGTTGAAAAAAATTTCGCAATCGGCAGCCTCTCATCTTTAAATTACCGTAAACGAACGCCATTACGAGTGGATGATTAAAGGAGGCCGTAGACGCTTCATTAATATTTCTATAATATTATATTTCTTCGATTACTCTCCTTTTCGTAAAGAGTTCTATCGAACCGTAAACAAATAACATTGGAGCAGCGAGCTCGCTTGCGTAAAGCACCGATTCGCTCTCGGTCACTGTATTTATGTGTATCTCTGCCTCTCTTTTCGTTTCCCATTTCAATTTCTCCCTTATCAATTCGTTTTCGTCTCCCTGTCTTTATCTCTCGTCCCTCTATATGTCTCTTTTCCCCATTCTATTCCGATTAGTGCACATATCTTTTTTCTCTTTTCCCACTTCTCTTCTTCTCTTTCAATTCGATAACATAGTTCGAGTCTTAAACAAATATTCGATCGATCGTATGGCGAACAATCGCGGTTTATTACCCGTAATTCGCATTCTTATCTTATCAAAATATATACACAACACATATACACACATACACAGAAATGTATACATATTTGAACGGATAATATACAAATATATCTGAAAAACTATATATATATATATATATTATATTGTATATGTCCAAATATAAATGTATATATACCCACAACATTGATCGACCAATTCCAATTATACGAACATTTATAGAATCATCAAAGCTCTACGCCGTGTGCATACATTCCGTTCTAATTACATTCTACGATCATAATTACATATCAATCAATATATAATTATCATTAGCCACATGATCCCAAATTTTCGTATGAGACTTTATGTTTTCGTGTTTAGTTTGAGGTTCGCTTTAAGAAAATAAATAGCTCTAGGTTAAGAAGTAGCATGAAAAAGGAAAGAGGAAAAAGGAAAGAGAAGAGAATGGAAAGGAAAATAAAGAGAGGGAAAGAGTGAGGGAGTGAGATAAATAGAAATTGAAAAAGCGTAGTCTGTGACGAAGGAGTAAAAGAGAGAAGAAAGTAAAAATAGACTGAAAAAAAGAGAGAAAAAGGAGAAAAGATATATATATATATATATATATACATGTACATGGATGGATAGATGAATGAATGGAAAGATGGATGGATAGAAAGAAAGGAAGGTTATTTAAAAAAAAAGAATCCATAAAAAGTACACGACTCTTTCGTGGAAAGGAGAAGGAGGCTAAAGACAAATTTTATATACATTAGGTGCCTTTTAGCGTTAAAAAAGAATATCGAACGCTTTTCCTTTCAATTAACAGATCTTTCGATACAAATCAGTAAGCTAGTAAATTGCCTTAGTGTTCAGAGTTGTAACATTAAATTCTTGCATTCTATTGTAATAAACAATATTAACCAATGCGATGGGCGTTACACTAGAGGGTAAATAAGAACGTCTCTCAGCATTGGATTGACGCTTATTTTCTTTACTTCTCTTTTCTCCTTTTTTTTCCCCCTTTAAGTCGGTCAGAATAAACTATGGCGCCATCTTACTGATTGTAATCTAAATTTGTAGATACATACACTCTCCATTTATTATACTGCAAAGTCTAAGGTTTTCTATTCATCGGTTTTTTTTTTATTATAAGTCGAATAAAAAACGTATTAATTCCTTTACATTCAAACAGGAAATAGTACTTTTTTTATTCTATTTATAGACAATCCTTAATAATTTATTTTCTTCCCAAGTGGTTAGTAATTCCTGTAGTGCCCTTTATTTACGATCCGTTTATTCGATGGTTACGATTCAATGAAGAAGGCTACGACTATAACTAGTCAGATTTGAAAAAAAAAATGAGTGAGAGAGAGAGAGAGAGAGAGAGAGAGAAGGAGAAATAACAATTGCAAATAATCAAGTCAGAGAGAGAGAGAGAGAGAGAAAAAAACGAAGGAGAAATAATAAAGAGAGAGAGAACGAGAGAGGCAGATAGACAGACAGGCATAGAGAGATCTGATATATATCAATCGAGATTTATTTATTTAAATACATCTAATACCTTTAACAAAGTTCACATTTACAAGACAAATAAAAAACTATCATCAGACAGTTCAATTGTCTTTCAAATCTCCTAACGTCTGTTTCTGTATGTATAGTATCTACTTCTCTCTCTCTCTCTCTGCCTTGCTCTCTGGCTATCCATCCATCCATCTATCTATCTATCCGTTCTTCTCTCTATCTCTTTTTGTATCCTTTTTTTCTAACATACACAAAGAAAGGAGGTCAGTAAGCACTTTATTGACATTAAAAACGATACAATTTTTCCTTTAGCCAATATTTCAGATTATAAAGCCCGTAAAAATCCATGGAGAATTGTGGATGAACCTTATCAACTTATCCAATAATTTAAGGTCTTAAGCTATTGATTACTGGTTATTTTGGATATTTACTAAAACTTCTTGTCACATCAATTTATTAAATCATTACTTTTCGCTTATTAAATAAAATATATAACTATTAAATTTCGTTAACCAATTTAGTCAGTAATTATTAAAATTAGTTGAGGAGTATTAGATCTCTTCTCTATCTCACTCTCTCTCTTCCTTGTTATTTCCTCTTTCTCCTTTGCACTTCTTCCTAACATTGTAAAATTTAAAAGTGACTTTTCTTTTGTTATCAACGTGAAAGAGTTAGTATTTTTATATAATATTCATACACTTCCGGTTCATTCATTTATTTCTATTTCCATAAATTTTCGGTAAATAAAAAATGTAAAGTAACGGTTATCGATTAGGTGAGAATAGTTGTATGCGTTTCTTTATATTAAAAAGTCGTAATATTTTATTCCTAAGCCCTTTTTATCTTTTTGTTCCTTTACCTTATAAGTTTCTTTCATTCATTTATTCATTCATTCAGCCATTCATTCATTCGTTCCCTAGTTGTTTTTTATTTTCCCTCTCTCTCTCTCGCGCGCGCTCTCTCTCTCGCTCTCTCGCCTTTTCCTATTCTTTTAACTTTTCATTCTTCCTTTGTATGTCTGTGTTTTCTTTGGTTTGTTTGTACGTCTATAAACACAATGTACATTTCCCCTTTTCAGTTAAAAATAAACAAGATTAGCAACTTTTTTTCAGAAGACCATATTGTGAATTTTTATTTTGTTAGTCCAATACAGTACAAGTATATTAAGCAACTCTTTCGTAGCATCTAGTCGCCTCTATGCCGTTGCAGCTGAGAGTCTGCAAAAGGGGAGTAAACAATGAAAACACTGCAAATACTCAACATTTACAAAACATTAACCAGAAGTATTCGGCCACCGTCGATTATTTTAGATGTTAAGTGTGCTTCGTACGGCCCAGTGTCGTTAAAATGAAATTCTCCATCTTTAAATTCGGTTAGGCGCTACAAAAAAGAAGCATCGAATATGAAAGGCGTCTCTCGTAAAATTTAATAATCTAAATAAGCGTCTATAATCTGACTAGCTTCTTTATACTCTCATTCTATTTACCGTAACCGTTCTCTTGTCGAGAGTTTGAATTTCGGTTGGTTCTCCCAACTTTAGAGAGATTTTATAAGTCTCCTTTCCACCAACTTCGACTGTCATATTCACAACATTGCCCTGAATATACATAAAAACTGCAAAATTTCCTTCATGAATATTTATATACTCACTTCAATACCGACTTTTTCTACCAAATTTGGAGCAATATTACCACTTTTTATATGTTCTCTCACGCGTTCGACGAAATCCGCTTCAGCTCCGGTTGCCGTTAAATAATCGCAAAAATTCTCGCTTACCGATACTGGTTTCCATTCACCGCAAAACGCTTCCATATCTTCTGCTAAATATACAACCGCCTTTACAAACAGACATTAGAGAATTCGCACTGATTTGCCTAGTTTTAACGGTTATAATAAAAAAAAACAACTAGTACAGGAAAAGCGAGTTAGATGAAGGGGAGGGACTGAACGGGGAGCGAACAGTTCTAGGAAGAATGGAAATAAAACTGAAAAGTAGGTCAATTCTCTATCTTTCTACCTCACTATCTCTCTTAGTCTCTCACTCTCTGCTCAGTACGGTTTGCCAACTGCTTCTGTTGCTTCATTCTTCAAGGTAATTAGATTCCAAAGCAGCCGCGCCTAGAATACAGTTTGTCCCATTTGACAAAAACAAATTTACGCGGAACCAGCAGATGGCGACTCCAAACAGAGCTGTTTTAAAATATTATATTAAGATATATTAAGATATATAAATATGTAATGCATATATTTGCATATATATATATATATATGCAAATAAGCTCTATCCTCTTTTTGATTTATGACCTTAAATTTTTTATTTTTGAATTTTTTTATGACTTTCGAATGATAATATAAAAAGAGGAAAAGTCACGCTAAAGGACCATTTAGATAAGGTTAACTCCTAACTTAAAACTCTACATTTACGAGTCAGTAAATAGAAAGAAAGAAAAGGAAACTCTTAAACGTTAAATATGGAAAAATTCGTCGGTAAATGGGAACTTGCTGAAAATGCTGGTGATATGAGAAGCTATTTAAGACACTTAAACACTTCGGAATCTGATATCGAACAGTTTAGCTCTATCTTAACAGATATTGGCAAACTTTGCCAACAAGCCGTTTTAGAAGGAGACGACGATCTCCTTGTTACAGTTATCCACGATGGTAATAATAAAAAAAATAAGATCGTTACACAAACAAAAACAAGATATTGAGTAGTTGTCAATAATTTTTTTGTTGTTTTTTTCCTAATTTTAGGAGAAGTACTGGATGAAGATCATCTAAAATTGGGGACAAATTTTGAAGCAAAAACTCATGATGGAAGAGATATAATCTATTCGACAACAATCGATGGAGGCGTACTAACTATTATTGAATCCGGAGCCTACGAAGCAACAACGATTATGGAAGTGGAAGGTGACGCCCTATATTCAGTAAGATAATTAATATATTTTAAAATATTCAAGCTTTTATTTATCGCAATTATTTTCTAATATACTGTTTTTTAACATATAGAAATTGATTGCTGGAAAAGGGGACAACTCGATAGTTGTTGAGCGAAAATACATTAGAGTATGAACTCAACATGAGTAGATTCTATTAAATAAAAAATTTTTTATCTGTTTGCGTACTGTCTGGTGTTAATATAAAAAAAGAGACGTTTTTTATATCTTGAATACAACTCACTTGCAAAAGTGTATAAAAGGCAAAGAAATAAGAACATTAAGTGTAGTCTGTAAGCGAAAATGATGTCGTACGAGCCCATTGGAAAAGAGCGTTTGAATAGTAGTTTCAGGGGTCGATTTATCAGATTCTTGGGTATTCTGCAACTCGGGTTTGGCTTGTTAGCACTAAGCTTAAATACTACCCTTGTCGTGAAGAATTTCGAAAACCGTGAGTTGCTGAAAAGAAGTCTACCCCTGTATTCTCTTGCCGGTTTCTGGACTGGTCTTTTTCTATGCATAACGGGGGTTACTGCACTAATGGTTGATACGAGATGCAGGGTGAAAGCTCTAGCTATTCTATCACCGTTCACAATTCTAGTATGCATATATCTAATGGTTTGGTCTGGTTTGGGCGTTAAAGTAAGTATTGTGTATTCTTAATTTTTGTTTTTAAGTACTAAATAAAGGACTTGTTTACACAGGAGAACTTGTATCTTGGACTCTACTCAATTCTTGTTGTAAATGGCTTCGTTGGGGTGTTTGTAACGTTCCCGATGATGTGTCTATGTATGAACTATTTGCGAGTGAACAAGGAAACTCCACTGCAGGTTTCAAGCGGCGATACCCTTCTCAAGGACGACAAAGAGACTGCCGAAGATATAGAAGCTTAGGAAGATATACGTGAAAGCAGTTTTCAGGCGTTAATCTTGGCTTGAAAACATTGAGCACACTTTCATTACTTTAATTTGCTATATATATAATAATAAAAGAACGGCGCAAGCTGTACAAAATAATGTAAAGTTGAGTTATTAATTGAATCAAAGAAGATATTTGAAGCAAAATGCGTGTAGCAACTCTACACTTTAGATGGTAGGAAATATAATATAAAAAAATATATTAGTATATTTATAATGTCCAACGGTCGTCACTGGCTCGTAAACTGTTTATGTATGATGACGTCACACGAACATATTTTTATAAGGCTCAACTTTTTTCAACTTTAAATTTCCCTCCCTCACTTTGTTTTCACTCCGCCTCCATCGTTTGACAAACGAACGTCAACGATGGGCTGCGGTGATTCAAAGTCGAGACAAATCAACGCAACGTATACAACAAACGACACGTATTACCATGAAGTAGTTGAACATCTTGAAACTTTCCAGTTCATTTGCCAAGATGTTTGTATTCCGATTGTACTAAGTTTCGGCTTTGTTGGAAATACACTTAGCATTTTTATCTTCCTTCAACGGCGAATGCGCCATAGTTTGAACGACTTGGACAAATCAACAATCGCCTGGTTATCAGCTCTAACTTGGAGCAATCTGTTTCTATGCCTAATCGGTATTCCTTCTCCATGGCTTCGAATTCCGTCTCTCTATCAACCAATTCAAGTTTATATATCCACCTATCTATTTCCGTTGACGGATATTTTCGAATTGACATCCACATGGTTTATCATTTCGGTGGCTCTGGAACGCTCCATCACCGTCACTCAACCCTTCGGTATTTTCTATTCAATTGATAAACAATCGAGGCAAAGAAAAATGATCGCTATATTTTCTTTGGCACTGCTTTTCTCGTTACCATCCCTTTTCTTGTCGCAGGTAAACTCGTACAGATGTGGTCAACTGTGTTGTTACGTAAAAGTTCCAATTTCGCATTTTATTTTCCCATTGGTACATTCATCACTAACTGCTATCATTAAGGTTCTAATACCGTTTATAATACTTTGCATTTGTAAAATTCTGCTGATAAGAGCCTATAGGGCCAATTTGAAAAAGATAATTACAAATTCACCAGATGTTGAAAAGAACGCCGTCTCAAGAATAACAATAATAACAATATCAGTGGTATGTCTTTTCACCTTCCTAACCTATCCACTATTTATAGCCAACTATTTTCATATTGTAAGAAAAGCTCTTTTACATAAAAATAACAGTCAGTTTATTGTCGTTCAGACAGTCTTAAAGGTTATACAAGCCTTTAACTTTTCGGCAAATTTCATCCTATATACAATTGTAAGTAAACCATTTCGTCAAATTCTCTTCAGTACCGTTTTTAGAATTTCCAAAAATCAAAATCCACCTTGTAGAGTTAGCCAATACAGAATGATAACGTTTAGAACTCTTCGTCCAAACTCCATATCGTCATGTGATATCTAAAGTTTCAATTATCAATTATTGTTGCTGTTGTTTGTTTGTTTGTTTGTTTGACCCTAAAACTAGACGTTGTTTACCTATCCTTTCTAAGTCATATATATCATATTATTAAATGATAAATTCTTGATGTGTTCTGTCTGAATTTTTATGTTATCTTGTATTAAAGAGAAATTTACGATGGCAGTTCTTTAAAGTTATATATTGTATTGTATTTTGTTATAAAGTAATATTTAGAATAAAGAAATATCTCTTCCAAACATTATAGTTTTACTCCAATCCATTGGTACTTGCATTCTTAAACGCCAACTTCCCAATTTCGTTAAATAAGCCGATCTCCATAAAAACCAAGAGGGGATACCGTGCATTTTAACATCAGGCATATCGCTTAGACCCTGATAATCTCCTATATAGGCTAACATTCCCATAGAATCAAATTTAAAGGGTTTTAAAACTCCCGAATTAAGCCCATTCGCCAAATGGCGACCTTGCTTTTCGGCAACTTGAGCAGTACAGGGTAACGGATAATCCTTAATATCTGCACAATCACCAATTGCATAGATTCTGCTGTCCTTCGGCAGGGAATTTACTCTTAAGCAATTATCCGTCACGATCTAGCCATAATAAAGCAAGAATATCTCTATCAGTATACGAAGGCCAAAAAATGAAAAGAACTGATATTTTACCTGACCAACACGATTCTTTTCACAATTAAGATCACTTGTAAATTGCCTTGGAGCCAATCCCGTACTCCAAACAACTAGATCGCAATTCAATCTTCCTCCATCTTTCAATATAACGCCATCTTTCTTAACCTCTACAAAACAAACAGGGATAAATTGAAAAAAAGATAAAAAAATAAGAATAAATATTCTTGCGTTTCTTACCCACAACGGTAGATTGAACAATATTGAAATTCTTCCTTTGTTTTATCTTCTTCTCAGCAAATGAACGTAAATTTTTATCAAAGCTAGCTAAAATTTGATTAGATTCGATTAAAGTAACCCTAGCCTCGTTACTTTCATTCGGATAGAGTCGAGTAACGTCCTAAATAAGGATAAAATATAAAAAAGTTTTTCTCCGAGTAAAATAAAAGTACTTTCTCTGGCCTACTTGGGTTAAAAAGTCATAAAATTCAGCTCCAAATTCAACTCCTGTAGGACCACCACCAACGATAACAATATGTAATAGGCGTTGTTTCTCTTCTGTAGTGATGCCCGGCTGCATTGCTAATTCGAAGTTTGACAATATCCTATTTCGGATGTCACGAGCATTCGATATTTCCTAATTAATAGACATCTTTCAGTCACTTTTACAAATTTCATAGTCTTTTATTTACTTTTAGGAAGACGGCGTACTCCTTTACTCCGGGTATATTGAACGTATTGCTTAAAGAACCAACTCCAATAACTAGATGATCGTACTCTAATTCGTAAGCTTTTTGGTTGTCGCCCAAGGCACTTATACACTTTAAACAGCGATTTTTCATATCTATAGTCAAAGCCGACGACTGATGAAAATGCGTCGGATCACGAAAGCCTTTATTTCTTATTGGTTCTATGATGGATCTGTCTTAAGATAAAAATCAGTATTTTCCTTAGAGATTGCGTAAGATTACCAACCGAAATTCCAATGTTCCAACAGTTGTACTGGCTAGTAATGGCGTAAAGAGAAAATGATTTCTTGGGCTTATAACTAGTACATCGAATTTTTTCTTGTCTATTGAATTTAAGACTGAATAGCTGGACCATCCAGTTCCCAATATCACCAACTTTTCTCTCTTCTTAAAAAGATTCTCAGTCAGGCTTAAATACCTTTTTGGGATACTTGCAAAGGAGGTCGAGACAGGGTTTCGAATACGCATAAGCCTATATTTGAGTGATAAATGATCAATAAAAGAAAAATAATGAAAAGTCACACAATAAATAGATTCATAAAATCTATAAGAGTTAATCATCACAACATATGATCTAAAATCAATTAAATAGAATATAATAGAGAGGAAGACAATTACATTTTAATCCTTGAATTAAAGAACTTTCTGATGAAATTTTTCGAAATAAGAGGTTCGATTGAAAACGTATAAGAAAACTGGTAAATAATCAAAAAATTTTGCCATTTTAAAAGAATTCGGCCAGTAGCTCAAATATGTTTTAAAAATGGGTTTAAAGTTGAAAAACAACTTTAATATATCAATAAAATAAATATAAGAGAATTCTTAGTTTCAGATCAATTTTCATAAAAACAAACCACAGATACAAAAGGAAAAGGTAACTTTATAAAAAGGACTATATTCATATATATTTATATATATATGTGTGTGTACAGCCGAATTTACTAGTAATTAAACATCATAACATTAGATACTTTGTAAAAGATGACGGGAGTTTTTTATGAGGAAAATAGTCAAAATAAAAATAACACAATTCTAGGGAATAAAAAAATAATCTATTGAAAACAAATGCCTGTCTTAAAAAAAGTTGTCTATATAATATTTTCAAAGGAACCTTCCATTTCATAGTTGAAATACCACTTTTTTTTAGCTTTAAAAAAAACAATTCAAATACAAATAACTGTCTTTTTACATTTTACATGTCCAAGTTGAGAGTGCCTTGATATATACTATATATACAGTTAATATATATATATATATATATTTATATATAATGTATATATATATATACTGTATACAATGCCTTAATAGAAGACTATCATTCCTCCTACTCCTCGCTCTTTATTACTTAATTTAAAGGAAAGTCTCTTTTTTTGATATAGAAAAATATTGCTTACATTGAAAAATAAGAGGAAGAAAACGTACTTAATTATACGACTCTATTATAGATATTTAAGCCTATAAAACAACTATAATCCTCCAATAAAAATAAATACCTCTTACTTATCTTCTCTTAATCAGAGATAATCTTGATATTTGACAAAAATAATAAATTCATCGTTATTCTTGTTTAAATAAGAATTTTGTTTTTTTTCCCATTCTCTTTATCTATTCTTATTTATTATTAATGAGTGAAAATGCTTGTTATCTATTTCTCTCGTCTCCTCTTTTATAATTGATTTACGAGTAGATTTTATTCAGAAACATTACTTAATACCGTTGAGTGAGGCCTATTGAAAGATTATTTAATCGATTGTGTAAAAATAAAAAGAAACAGTTAAGAAACCTATCTTATCATTCTCCATTCTGTCATTGGAGAGTATAGACAGCTATAAAATCGCTGTTATCTTAATTATGAAAACTTGAACTTTTTTTTTATTAAAAAACAAACTATAGATTCGTTTTTTTTACATTTGAAACAAAAAAGAATTCGGTTAATCTCAATTCGACATTTTTTTTTCACAAGGTTCTTTTTTTCTCACAGTCTGATAATGCTGTTGAGTTTAGGAAGAATTTTCAACATTTTTTCGCTTTTTTATTGGTTCCTTAAGTTCTCCAAGTTCCTCTTCAAGTATTTTTATTCTTTCTAGATATTTAATTTCTTTCTTCTCGAAATCGATAATTCTATTATGAAGACGTCTATTTTCCTCCTCTATTTTTTGATATTCGATAAAGGGTACATGTTGATCTTTGAAATTGGTATGTTCTACGATTTCTAGTTTATCACCCTCCGCTATAACCTCTGTATTATCTACTAAAACTTCTCGCGAGGCTTCTGTTGTTGATCAGTATATAAATATATTATGTAGTATACGGTTACGCATTTTTATGTATATTATATGTATATTATATATAATTACATACCAGGTGCTATTGATATGATCAACTGAGGCTCATCTGACAACCTTTGACCCTCTGCATCGTCTTGTTTGTTCATATCTAATATTTTCTGATTAACATCTTGTACCAGTTGAATTTGAAAAGTGGTACGAGGATTTTTAAAATGTGTACGAAAATGCTTTAAGGCCTCATCTCTTCTATTAAATCCATTTCGACATCCATAACAATGCCAATGAGCACCCTTGAATTCTTTTGAGCCTTTTATCGACCCAATAATGTTGCACGAATCACAACATCGGATTATCCATAAACCTTGAAAAATAATAAGATTGTTAATCAAATTAAAAATAATAAATCGGGTTCGAAGGATTTTTAGAGCTGATATAACTTACCAGCAAATAACATTCCCTTGTCGACATGTTTTACTCTATAATGGGCTTTCAGTAGAGCGCTGTCCGTGTAAACATCGTTTTTAAAACAGAACGGGCAATGATAATGGGTTCTTTTATTCGTTTCGGAACAAACGGGACTTTTACATAAAATTGGATTAAACTTTTGTTCCGTTCCCACAAGCCTAATCGAAGGATGGCAGTCCTTGTAGAGAAACTCGATATTAATTAAGTGATAATTTGTTTACAATTGCTACTTACGACAACTGGCTCAGTTACACTCTTATTTGCCATTGTAATCTTTGTAGGTAAACTGTAAACACTAAACAGAAATTAGGGAAAAACTGTTACTAGTACCAGATTTGTTTAATCACTTTTCGCATGGTACTTTGTTTTCGTTGCTATCGTATAAGCAACTACATCTCAAATGATCTTACCCAAAAAGAGAAAGTTTATTTGAAATTCAAAAATAATTTAAAATAGAATTGTTTCCACTTGTCCAAACGGAATAGTAAAAACATTGTTATGATGTATTTCGCAATGTCACCCTATTATCGCCCCCAAATGTAACAATTTTCCTAAGAGTGTCGGCGTCGATACGAAAAAATTAGTAAAAAAGTTTACCTCTTTTCAAAGTCCATTCAATCATATTATTTAATTTTTACAAATTAGATATTAATAATTAGTAGCTTATTCTAAACATAAAAAAGTTGAATACTTAAAAAAAAAGACAATCTATCTTTTCATATGAATAGGGAATCAATAAATTTATGCTAAAATATTCATTATTTCATCTAAAGCGTATGTTAGGCAGATGAATTAAAAGTATAAAAATAGTAGTTGTAGAAACACAAACAACAAACTTACATACACACACACACACACTAGTGATATTTTTTTTTCTCTCTCTCTTTCTCGCTCTTTTCAAGGTTAAATCTACTTAAAATGTCCTTTTTGTAAGTCAAAAAAAAAAAATAAAAACAACATTAATTGTTCTTTTCAACTGTACAAAAGGCAGATTAGAAGGCGTTTCAACTACAGACCTTTCTATTTAAAAATAAAAAACATTTCATACAATATACACACGATTTGTAAACATGGATTAAAAGTACTTAGATAATCTTTGAAGCATACACAAAGTTCTTACTTTCCTTCTCGATATTGGAACATTTTATAACGAATTGTAAACCTTGATAAACGCTACAGGTTGGTCCCTTTTTTTCGAGAGTAAAAGGATGTTGATAATTGTTTTCCTGATTAAATTCAACAATATGAGGACATCCAGTTAAACTTTCATCAATCACTCTTGCAAAATTCTTTGTGATAATATAGCAAACAACTTGACATAGGAATTTTGATCCTTCATAGGATTTGTGATATTGTTCTGGCAGTTGAAACGTATAATCTCTACGAAAGGCCAAAGAAGATGGATAATCTTGAAACAAAATAATTAAACTATTTTGAAAAGAAAAACAACAAATTAAAGTGTATTTACCTGAGATTATAAGGGCGATGAATAGGATTATAGATAAAAGATGACTAAATCCAATCATATTTCTGTTAATTAGTTCTGTTTTTTGTTTTATTTAGAAGAGAGTTATTTTAGTGAAATCTTTTACAAGCAAATACATACAATAATAGAAAAAGGATATATGTATAGTTCTCTATACGTTACACGCTAGAAGATTTAAGATTAATTACCCGCCTAAAAAGTAAGAATATATGATAATTTCGGTTTAAAACTATACTACTTAAGTAGTACAGTAAATTATAGATGTATTTGTTAGTAAACGCATTATTCATGCATTTCCGCTAATACGATATATGTATACATCTATGGAACATACAAACAGTAACCTAAGCTCAGCCTATCTCTTGTCTAAAACATATTTATACTTAAATGACAAACGTTACATTCCTTTTTATAAACTAAAAGTATAAACTTTTTCACTACGTAACTTGAAACGAATAAATAAAGAAAAACGTTGAATAAACCTGTCCTCTCTTCTCCTTTGTTTTTTTTTCTTTACATTTTATAATGGCTCTTATTCAAACAGAAATAGCGTTTGTACACACATTTGTATGCGTTAACGTCACTTTTAGACGCTAGATGTCCTACTGTATAAATAAAAATGAAACTTTTCACTTCGATAGAAAGCAAAGTAGTTCAAACGTAAAGGTCATCTAAAGAGTTTCGTTAATATTTTACAAAGCAGAATAGCAAATAGTTGTTAGGTTGTACTATATATTTATTTCCTTATTTAATAATTAAATGACTTGTTCATATTACAAACAAACTTTTACATTAGCTTTCTAATTATATTAAAAGTAACCGAAAGGCTTATTAATTACATTAAAACTAAGAGAGCGTAATATTTTCTATGAAATTACTTCATATTTTCATATTACTTCTTATTCTACCTCCGTTACCCTTTTTTTTTTTAAAAAAAAACATAGAACAAATAATCAATTAAACAAAGTAAGAAGAGGAATGTTAAATAATATCTAAATTATTGATAAAAGATAATATTTTTTTCTTTGAAAAAAAAATGAGAAGAAAAAACAAATTCTTAGATTTTTAAAAAAATAGATAACTAATTACAAAATTGATAAAAATCACTTGAATCATATATATACAGCATATATATATATATATATATATACAACGAATTTTCATTCTACATTTCAACCTTTAACAAAGACATAAATAATTGAAATGTTTATCATTTTCGTCACCTTTTTTTCGCTTCAAATGGTTCAATCATCGAAACAAAAAAAGTAATAAAAATAGAAAGATGGAGAGGTATCGAGAAGAGAAATTTTTCTTCGTAAAACTCGTGACTAGTGAAACAAGATTCGAGATTTCATACTTTATATACGGATCGTTATATTTTAAAACGGGTTATCTTTAACCCTCTAACTCCTAGATCACAATTCATCAGCTTAATGGAAAAAAGGGGGGGGGGGGGGGGGAGGGAAGAAGAATCTATTTTTATCGCCTTTGTCTTTTATCAAAGTTCCCCTTTCGAGTAGAAAAGGAAAGAGAGGAGGTAGAGTGAGGGGGAGCTGAGAGAGAGAGAGAGAGGTAGATTTTCATATTAAACCCAGAGGTTCGTGTGGAAAGCTTTTAATCTCTTTTTATTATGGAGAAATCTTGCTATCCTCTAAATAAATATACTTAATTGGTTCAGACAAATAATTATCCTGTAATTGGAACATTGTTTGTAAACACAATTTTTAAGAGAGCATTTCATTCGTTTTTATTGACCATTCCTTAAATACATTTTTCTTTTAATGAAGGGCAACATAAGCAATGCAATTGAATAAATAAACAATAAACACTTATATAAAGAAATGATAGAGATAAGGTGAAAGAGATAGAGACGAGAGAGTCAAAACTAAAAAGAAATATCCAAAAACGAAAACATTTTACACAAAACACTCAAACTTAAAACCTATAACCTTTTTTCGTAAATGTTTTCTTCCTCTCTTTAATATATTAGATCAAAAGTATTTTCGAAGTTGAAATAGAAAGAATCAAGTGATTACTACATGGGAAGCCGGTCACGTGGTTCAAATGTATTTTGCTTTTGAAATAAAAGAATATAAAACAATACAGGCTTCAAATATGCTGTTAAATCAGTTGAATTGCAACGTGTAGCACAGAAACAAAAGCATTACAGCCCAAAAATATTTTGGTTTTTTTTCCAAGCCTATCACCTTATTCATTTTTTACGATTTATGGTTCGATGAAATTATTTACCTATCCATTGATCAGAGCTTATTGCAAACGTATGCTAAACTATTCGAATAAGGTGATAAGTATCCTAAAAAATCTGCATAAATTTTCCTAGACTTAAACTAGTATTTATCACCTAGACTCATCAGCACATTCCTCGTCTGCATCTAAATCGCCATCCTCATCGGAATAAGAATCCATATATTGAGAGTGGGCACCATTTTCTGAAAACTCTCCATTTGCTGCTTCAACACCTCCAACAGCACCCAAATTTTCTTCCTCATCCGAACTCCAACCCTCCTCGGGTTCGGGCATAGGAAATCTCAATAAAGCAGCAATACCAGACAACTGCAAAAGCTGTTCGCCGGAGACATGTAAACTGGAAAACACTCGTACTTCTCCACCGCTTTCCTTTACGTCATCGACGAGACGAACATACCGTTTCCTCACCTTTATATCAGTTGCTCTAAAATAATCCAAAAAAAAAAATTGATAAAAATATCACATTTATACTTTCCACTATTTTTTTATTATCTAACATTTACTATTTTAATATGATACTGTCCTAAAGAAGTATATACCTGAAAAGTGCATCAGATACAAGTAATAATTCAACAGCTTGAACCGCAGCAGCTGCCTCGACATGCTTGATTCTGCGTATTAAATGTTTCATTAGAGATTTAAAAATTTTTTTTTTTATAGAAACATATTTTATTGATTTGAAATTATATATATATTTTATTTTTTTTCCCACACCTATAATGATATATACTGTATATGTAATAATAACTCTCACAAACCCCCCCCCTCCCCCCCCCCCCCTATCATTGTTTTGTTGTTGTTTTTAATTGTTTAAAAATTTTTCACCTACCCGTAAAATGCCCGACCCGGATCGTTTTGTAACATTTCGTAAAAGTCATCGAGCGCCTTAACCTCGCTTATGGCTTTCGTATCTGATAGAAGTTGTTGAACATTTGGATCTTCTAAGACTCCTGAAAAGATAACATTTTATGTATATCAAGAATAACTAATATTTATTTAATGACGTAATAAAGCAAATAAAAAAAAGAACCTCTTAAAGAATGTTTAAATCCAGAAGTAGATTTAGCAAAGGTAAATTTCGATTTATTATCTAGGAAGATCTTAAGAGATTCAACCTTTACTGCTTGATTCATTAAATACCGATAAAAATCATCCTTAACGAAACCAGGTGATGCTAATAAGACGCACTTTAAAACTAAAAAGTTAAATGTTTATTATATTAAACATGAATAAAGTGACTTTTTCCTTCTAACCTTCAAAGTTCAAATGACGTTCCATGGCTTGTATCATTTGATCGTAAAATTTTTGCATAGCTTTTGAATATTGATTGCCAACTCCCTTTCTTTTTCTTGGTATATGATAATCAACTTTTGATCTTACTAAAGTCATACTTGGGGTTACTAGACATACATGACCAACTCCCTCTTGCATAATAACAGCAGCAACATCTGCAGATTGTGCGGGATCACATGCAGTTTCTACTCGATCTAAGGATACGCTGTCCCATTCAGTTTTGAAAAGTGTGAATTTTTTATTTTTTTCCAAATCGAGGGTATGGTAAGCACCCATCTAAAAAGTAAATAAACATCAATTGATATTAAGCTTTGAAAAAAAAAACATTAATTATTTTATGACAAAAATTTGCGTACTTTAACATGTTTATTTTCTTCTACGTTTCTTCCTTTAACTCGAAGGGCACAAGCAATGGTATCAAAGTCTATAGATTCGATCTGGATGGATAATGTTGTCCTTATCTTACTACTACTCGTTGTACCCGTAGCGGACTCGCTTTGAACCTTTCGAATGGTCATTGACTTAAGAATGTCACCAACCGAAAGGAGATTGTACGCGTGCCACATATCTTCGCTTTCTTCAGGGTACAGAACAATTGAACTGCAAGTTAAAAATATTTTCAATGCAATTAATAACTGATTTCGTAGGATTGTGTAAGTATGTCATATTTATTTTTGAAATTAGTCGTGCTTACCCCTGGGCTCCTTTATCGACATCTTTGTGTATAAGCTTCATTTTCTTATCCTTGTGGTTAGCCTCATAATTTTGTATATATTATGGCGGATAATACTTTAAAATGATTTAATCGCGAACGATTATTAGCCAACGTGTCTTTCGTTGATGTGCTTTATATCGTCTACTACTAACCGGATGTTGGATACTTGCTTTTCCAGTTCCGCAGAAAATTAATAAATGTTTTTTTTTAAAGTTTTTAAAAAATTTGTGTTACGATTAATCGATAGATTGAATATTCTTTTATTTTTTATCATGTCTAATGAAGAATGGAAAATGTGATTTAAAGAAGTTGACAGGAATTTAACACCAACTGTTTATTGTCACGTGACTATAGGTGAGCGATCGATCGAAGTTAGCATAGAATCGATTTTAGACTCTTTAATTTCACATTTAAACGCTGGACTAAAAGTTCAATAGAGTGTTCAGGGGGTCATTATATTACGATCGGAAAACATTGGTAACCTTTTACGAATTTCTGTTCAATCTTTGCAAGCATATTTTGAATAGTAGTACCTGGAATTCATATCGGTCAATGTAAGTATCGATTTGAGGATCGAAGTCGATTATCGCTCACTCATATTGTGAACTTCACTCGGTGGCGCAGACGCAGTTGATTATTTGGCTGTTTCAAAAAAGACAATAATGGCTCTAGAAGAAGGACACATACCACGTTTATGCCATTTGAAAAAGTGGAGTGATTTCCAAGGTTATGGCTTTAATTTGCACGCTGAGAAATCCAGACAGGGGCAATTTGTTGGTAAAGTAGACGATAATTCCCCTGCCCAAAGAGTTGGTCTTAGAGAACACGATAGAATTGTTGAAGTTAATGGTGTTAATATATCAAATGAAAATCACCAACAAGTTGTAAATAGAATTAAGGAGACTCCTAATGAGACTCGTTTATTGGTAGTTGACAAAGTAGCTGAAGAATACTACAAGCAAAAGGATATTGTCATCCATAGTAATCACGATGATGTAGAAGTTCATATATGTCCTGATACCTCTCAAGAAGGTCAGTAGCACAATCTTAAAATATTATAAAAATTTCACCACTATAATCTATAAAACGGTATAACGATGAAAAATTTTGATCTCGACCTATCGTAAATCTGTAATCTACTTGAATCAGTAATTTTACAGATTGATAATAGCCATGGTACAACCGATAAAGTTTTTTAGATAATTATTTGTCTATACACGCTCTATATAATGAAAAAGATCAAACAGTTAAAAAAAAAGAGAGAAACCTAATAATAATTTACAAGTAGAAAGGAATACCACTAGGTTTAGTGACCGTTTGATAACTGTATCGTTAATATCGTGACTCTGCATAACATTATATTATTATAAAAGAAATTTGATAACAGAGGTAAAAGTTTATAAAGTCGGAGAAGCAGCATCACAGGTCACAGCTGAGGTGGAGCTGAATCATGAGCCGGAAGTAAGTGACTCTTTTTAATGAACTAATATATGCTTCTTTGTCATAAACCAATACATAATTATCTAACGGATCGACACGGATTGTAAAGATCAGTCGATAAAATTCAAAAGCTCATATTTAATGAAATTGAATAATCTTTTACTTTTTTTTAAAGAGGGATGATAAAGTTGAAGTGAACAATCATCCAGATGTTATCGAGTCATCTACCCCTGCCGAAGTGAGTTAAATACTAAATAAACAATTAAATACTAGCAGCAAATTGAAAGCGATGTCTTTTTATTCTTTTATTGAATTTGGTTTTATGCTGTTTAAATAACTGAGTGAATAGATTGTTTGAATTTCGCTTTCTTTTTGTTTTAAATTGACTACTTTCATTCCAAAATGAAAGTAAAAACAAAAAAAAAAAAATCAAGGAGAAGCATAAAAATTGTATTAAAAAGTTACAAAAATTTTTTATTATTTATCAATGATAAAAATCGATAATTTCCTATCCGGAAATAATTGTACTCGTTGTTTCAAGCGTCAAGATGTTGCTAGAATTGGCCAGTTAAATTGCATGCTGTATCAGCCGCTTATGTGATAAAGTGGCAGATTTAAGTGTTGTAGCGTTTTATGGCGCTTTTGTGCATGCTCTTACATGTCATTGCAGGTGCAAGCAGTAAGTGACATCCCACCAGCTGAAGAACCAAAAGTTGATGAGCAGCAGTTAGATGTACAAAAACAAGAAGAAGAGCCTGCTAAAGAGGAACCAACGAGCGAGTCAAATAACAATGAAGATGAAAGAGCGGAGAAAGTGGTAGAGGTGTGCATGAAATCTTATACCTTCTTTTTGATTCTAACAAGAAGAGTAATATATGCTATGTTCTAAGCACCGCGCTTTATCTCTTTTTGTCTGTCTTTATGCTTATATTTTTTTCGCTATTTTTTTAAAACGTGTCCTACTCGCGATTCGTGTTTTTTAGTTTTTTTTTTCAAAATTATTAACTGGTTATTGACTCGGTTCAAACTGAAAACCAAAAAAATTAATGGAAAAAAAAGCGAAATATTATCATATATTAAAAATAGTACTGCAGCATGAGTTTTATGAAATTTTAGGCAGCAGTCGTGGCTGCAGCTATTATTGTGGAAACTGAGAAAGGGGAATATGAAGTAAATGGCATCAACGATAAGAAGGATGAGACCAAACTAGAGGAGCAAGAAGTTATTGATGACCTAGAGAATTTAGCAATTGAGCAACAGAAATCATCGCGATCGTCGACTGTTTCTTCGACAGCTTCTTTAGATGTAAACGGCCAAAAGGAATACGATCTATCGACGGCTGTTAATCCACCAGAAGAAGATACTGCAGTTTGTGTTACTGCCATTAAGTCTGAGGTGACTCAATTCACGTTCCATAAATCTCAACTATGGATGATTACCCTTTCATAAACGAAATGCTTCTCTTATTTTTCATTGCTTATTTACAATTGATTACTGACCTTTTATCCTCAATAATTAATTAATGATTTGTTTTTTTATTACTACTATTATTTTGGTGGTTTATGGTTCAGACTCGTTTCACTCTATAAAAGTTGATTTATTTTTTTTCTCAAATTAGAAAAAAGTTTTTATTCGCCAACTTAATCATGATCTTTACAAAACATTAAATGTGTAATTTATTTTCTTTATATTTAATAATTGAAGTGTTAATCGTGAATTTAATTTTTTTTAATTATTTATTTCTAATAGAATCCGGCATCGTATACAGATAATATTCAAGAGGTTCAAAGAGCGACTGATGAAACAATGGCCAACTCAAGACATTCTGTAGTTGTCGGCGGTGTAGAATTTGCTGGCTCAGTTAGAGAGGCACGCGAAAAGATGAAAAAGAAAACAGACGTTCGAGGGGGACAACAAAATATGAGAGAAAAATATGATCTATTAAATCGTCTTTAATGGATCATTCAAACCACCTAAAATTAGTTTTGAAGATAGCAAAAATTAAAAATAATATTTTAGTTATGGAAAAGACTTATTTAGTAAAATTCTTTTGTGATATAAACAAAAACATTACAAAATTGGTTATTTTTGCGTATGATTCCGATATTTTCACATTTTTACGGACCACTTAACTAGTTTCTCTGTGTAGAAACTTTTCTGCTGGACCAAGGGATGTCATTAACTTCGTTCTTTATTGCTCTTTATCCACTGATCGGCTGCATAATGCTAAGTAATTTTCTCAAAAGGAATAATTTTTTCTATTAGTATATGCAAGTATTTTAGAATAAATAAATATAACAATTGTATATACAGTTATATACAGTTTTTTCTACGCTTAACATTTCATCTTATAACAATTTGAACTGTTAAAATGGTCTATTTAATTTTTTGAATTTGTATTTTGTAAAGGTATTTATTCATTCCATTTCCTTGTCTTCCCTTGTTTTAATGATCGACCTATTCGCTTCCGTTTTTTTAATACTTTTTCTCCTTGGCCCGACATTTTGCGGATTACTCATGAATTTTGTCTTTTGACACGAATTTTTATCTTTTATCTATTGAAAACGATATCAAAAATATAGTCGGTCAGCTTGTGGTGACAGTCTGTATAATGTTCAAATGTGTTTCAATTTTCCATTCAATTTCCATTTCAACTTTGACCTAAGCCACAAACTCCTTAAGTTAACAAAGACTCCTTAGAAAATACCGTCCTCGAACCGTTTTTATTCGCTATCTATTCAATAACATAAGTTGAGTTTGTCAATTTTCCGACTACCTAATCGTGTTGGTCTTAACAAGGGACGATTAGTTGATCAGCTTAATTAAATTCCATTAGATTAGTCCTTTTTCGATGTTTAACAAATAATGATCGTTTGGTGTCCTAAATCTCTCGTGCTTTTCAGTCAATCCTCATGGAATGACAACGATTTTGTATGAACATTGAAGTGGACTTTGATGTTTGTTTGCCATACAGATATTGTAATTTTATGCTTTCCGTCACTAATATAAATTATACTTTGATCCGCTTGAGTAGGTTTGATTTTATCTAACTGCTATAGCAAAAGTTCGTAGTTAATAGCATAAATGATGTCGTTCACTCAGCTAACGCTCTAGATCATGATACTTTACTTTTAATGTGAAAGTACGGTACAATAGGTTCAACTTTATCCAATGCTTCGGTCATTACATCGAGTAGATGAAGTATAAAATCAACATCGTTTCCCTGTATTGGATTTTAGCTAATAGGCTTAATTCGATTTTGAATCATTTTACACTTAGAGGACTTTTTAAGCGTTCACTCCTGGATCGAGTTGCTTTTTCTCCGGTATAGAGTTCTTTTACCTAGAGCTAATGAAATATTTTATTCTTATTAGAGTGTAAAGTTTTTATCTTTATCCTTATCTCTACTTCTTCTTTTCGTTGCCCCTCTTTTCGTAAATATTTTATTCATTAAACAAAAAGTCTATTCAATCCAACAAACAGCGATTCAATGTACAGTATATTTTGTCTTTAAAGAAAAGCTTCATGCTCTCTACAGGTTCTGAAAGATTGCAGGACAACAAAAACAACAGTATAATTTCTATTGAATAACGTTATAAACAGAAAATATATGCCCTTCTAAAATATATTTTTATCACGGTCAAGGACAAACGAAAGATAAAAAGGAAAGTATGTGCAGTGTTGCTGGTATACCTTTATAAAAATATACTTTTTGGAAGAGTTTACAATGGTAGAAAACAAGAAGAAGTATGTATTAATGGGCTAACAGGCTTCTATTTGTCATACATCAGCATTGCACCATGATTCGATGAATCTTCCTCACTTTCGTCCGAACAATACTTTATACACCCTTCAGGAGGTTGGTCTATTCTAAAATTCATGATAAGTTCACTCTGTTCTTGATTCAAGGGAAATAGGGCGGGTAAAACTTGGAATATATTATATAAGATGTAACCGCCATCGGAGTGATTTTTGTTAATCTCGTAGGTCAGTACTTCTATGTAAAACTGATGTAAAGTCTTGATATTTCTTACATCGGCTAATCCTTTGCGTTCTGTTGGGGCGGGGGAGAAAAGGAAAAGATATGGGAAAAATGTTGAAAAAAGAATGGGGAAGGGGTCATCAACGAAAATATTCGAAAGTATTTACCTGGTAACATAAGCTGCACGGCGCAAAGAAGAACCAATTCTGATCTTTGTAGGCGGCAGCTATTTATCTGACAAGCTAGTCTCATCATTTCGTTAACAATGCGTTCAGGTAGGAAATGGCACATCCACCACTTGGAGAATGTCGCTCCGCATGGTAGTCTCATCCACATATCGCCTCTTTCTTCGAATAGCATAGCATTCATGATTAGCCATACATCAAAGTAGCCCTCCTCCATCAGTGCCTTTTGATCTTTGTATGACAAACCATGGAATCCTGGTATATTTCTACATAGGCCAAATATATCATCGTTTAACCTATTGATAAATTCCATGAATTCGTCGTACATGTAAACAATTAGTTGTCTATTGGCCTTTTTAATTGTGTTCAAGTGATGAATTGGTAGTTTACCGGACAATTCTTTATACATTTTCTCTTTACAGTCTTTCATATATTTGGTAAAGCGATTGTCAATTCTCTGGCATATGTCCGTTATTCTCATATATAATTCGTCAACCTCCTCCTTAGACCTATAGGCTTTAGTTCGTTCAAATTTTACAATATTTGTCAAGTCGAGTTGAGCTTGTTCGCTTTGAGTCATTACAATATCTTTCGGCAGTCTAAAAAAGTTGTCGAAAGTGTTGAATTGATCATCTCCAGTAGATGGCATTAGATATGATGGACTTAGGTAAGAATCAAAGTCAAAGGGCTCGTTATCTTCAGGATTTATTAGCTTGAGCATATCATCATCGTTGAATTCAAGATCATGCTTTTCTAACGAACCTCTAATTTGCTCAGAATTCTCATAGGCTTGCCGAGGCGCCGCCGCTGCCGTTGTAGAACTAATCGTTGGATTTTGACTGTAAGTCGGTAGTTTGCTGGGGAAAACGCTATGAATCGCTGGTAACGTTTGTCCTGTGGGATTTCCTGGATATAGGCCTTTCGCAGTTGTAATACTCGCCGTCGATTGGGCTTTCATTAGTTGTTTAATCATTTCGTATCTCCTATTGTCGTCGAGGGATGAGTCTTGCATAACAAGGCTAATCAGTTTCGTACAATTAGTTTGGTCCGTTAAAACGGGAGGGGCGGAGAGAGATGGAGGAGGTTGCATGGGTTTATACATGGGAGTAGTGGGAATTGGAGGAGGGGCACTTGGAGGAGCACTCGGAGGGGCATTCGGAGGGGGTTGATATAGGAATTGTGAGCCTCCATTGGCATATGTAAGCAGAGGCTGAGGAACAGCAACTGGAGAGGCTATTGCTCCTGTTGAAACATTCATAATAAAATTTCGATTATGTTGATTTGCACTTGTCGAATCCGCTAACATTCTCGTTGTTTGTACAGCCTCCAGAGCTTTTTCCTTATCCACTTTCGGTATACGACCCATCTTTACCGCTTCTAAGGACATACCCGCCTGGAGGCATCTCCGAAATCTACAAGCTTTACACCTGTTCCTATTCTGTGGGTTTAGTACGCATTTCTCCCCAAAATAACATTTATAACTTTCATTCTTGGTGATGCTCCTCTTAAAAAATCCTTTACATCCTTCGCAGGTGGCAACTCCGTAATGAACTCCTGTAGCTTTATCGCTACACACACGACAGTTGCCGAATGGAAACGGCACTACACTCTGCGGCATAACTGGCAAGAGATCGTTCACGAATTAGTTTAAACGCTTAAACAAACAATGACGAATGTTGACTTAAGAACTAAATGCGCCATATCTAAACAGGCATTTTGATAATAAAAAAAAAGAGTTGACTAAAATATTTTAAGAAAATCCTTAGCGTTTAAATAAATATATAACGTTAAATATTTATATTACAAACTTTTAATATATATATATATATTGAAAGAGAAAAGAGATAGATGAATTATGTCCATAATACAATATATATATATATTGTTTTTTTTTCCTCTCTCTCTCTCTCTCTCTCTCTCTCTCTCTCGTACAGTTACGTTTATCTTTTATCGTCTCTGTTCTACGTTTTAGCCTTTGTTTTTTTCTTTTCTTTTCTTTCATTATTACTTTAAATACATATTTCCATCTTATAAACTTCTTTACCTTTTATTTTTTTCTTGAGCTAGGCCTATTGGAATTCTTACACGTTTTCGCCAGATTATTAAATGTTCATTAAGGTCACGTAAACTCTTATACAAACAACTGAATATCGACACTTACCGCCAGCCAACCTCTGATTGAAAAATGTAAGATCTCAAGTGTTTCGCTTGTCCTCATTTTAAACAGATAACAGCCTCGAATAGGTCTATTTCTCGTTTTATGATAGCTATTATATTGCCTTATCTAAGCGATCGATTCCGTTCATTGTCACACATATTGTTAATATAATATATTAATTTATAGATTTTCTTATCGATATTTAAATATTCATGAGATAGATAGAAACATAGTTAATATTGTTTTTCATGAACAATATCTAAATATTTCTCTGTATTGATATTTTTTCTACAAATCTTATCTATTTAATAAAAAAAAAACAAAAGACATGTTGTCTTGTGATTGTTATTAAAATTATATACAATTGTTATCTATGAATACAATAACGCCATCTTGTTCAGATTTTCTACTAGAGTGTATTTTCGAAAGAAATTAGAAAAAGCACATAATATTTATTAGCTTAGCAATAGTAATTATGAATTATTTGTTTACTATTGTTAACTTAAGAATTCTATTTTTGATTTTTATTTACAATTGGTAAAATTTTTTTCTTTATGATCTTTTTTAAAATAAACAAACAAACAAAAAGTAGCATAGTTTTCTCTTCTTTTATCATATATATACAACTAGCACAGAAAGAGAGATTAATGTAAAGTGGTTTTTTTTTTGTTTGTTTTGTTTAATTACATTAATACAATATAATTGGATAGATTTTTGTTTTAAAGAGATAACTACAGTCTAGCAAAGAGATTCGTGCCAAGCGCCAAAATATAATGCAGATCGACTGGTGTGTATACAAACGCATTACGAGTAAAGATTTATATATTCATAAATTATAACTGAACGACGGACGAGTGGTCTTGAACTAAAGTAAAGTCGATTAAATATATATATATATATATATATATATATATATATACTATATACAGTATATATATATATATATATATATATATCCTATATTGATCTAGATATAGTTATTTTTATATAATATCTTTAAAATGCCTTCTTTCATGGAAATAAACAAAAAATAAACAAGAAAAAAATACGGTTTTGACTTAGTTCGGTAGACAATTTGCATATTATTAGGACACATACAGTACATACAGTATATGCACTTGAATGTACTATACAAAAGGGTTTTTATAGATTAACATGTTGTATATGTTAATCCCTTCATTTTTTGTAAAATGTGACTCACTAATTTATGATTGGCGTTAGAAGAGCAAAAAAAAAAGAAAGAAAATAAAATAATAATTCAATAATCACTCGATAGCGGAAAAAAAAGTAACATTTTTTTTTTAAAGCAAATTTCTTCAAGAAACGCTCGCCTACGCAGTTGATTCTTTTAGATTATCGAAATAGGTCATCAATTGGTGATAGGACAGATTTGATAATTTCTGCCAGCTGTCCTCTTCCGATTCAGAAACAATAGGGTTCGAAGTTATTCGAACTGAGCATTCAGAGCCTTTGTAGGTTGAGATAACCGAATTACGATTGGAGGATGTCGGTGGAGAAGAGGGCGTAGAGTTCGATGCAGATGACGTCGATATATTAGCGTTAAAATCTTCTTGTGGTAGTAGACTGCGGCTGCAACGAGTATCGATCGCGTTGCGTTCGAGCGTCTCTCGGCCAATCCATACCCAATCGTGAGCCGTTGTGTCGGCCGATGATTGCACGACTTTGCCACGTCGATACCGTAATACGAATATAAAGCAATTCGCAGCAAAGACAACTATGGCTATACAAAAGACGGCTAGCAAGATGTACATACCCAACTCTAGGGAGGTGACTCGCTTGCCTTCGTCTCCCACATTAGAATTTATAGCCGCTGCTTTGGCTGCTGATTGTTCATTCTGTAATTGTGCCTCACTGGCGGCAGCGTGTCGGTTGCCTCCATCTTGAGCGGCGTCACGCTGAGGTTGTGGATCAACGACGTCGGCGTCTATTAATACTTTTGTTTTTGCTAGCGGAATTTTGCCGCAGCGACTATCACTATAAACTGTAACTGATATCAATTCTCCGATCCCTATGCCAAAACCTCTCACCATTGGTGTTGTAGACTGTCCATTTATCACTTCAAGAAGTTGTTCATCTTCACTTACTGTTGTAACATGTATGTGACGAGCATCAACATCAGTCACCAGCTCTCTTAAACCATCCGAATAATGTAAGGTGATAATAAGAGACGCTGTACTTTCCGATCGAACTAGTCTGCCCTTGCGCCTAATATTAATAGCTAACGTTGCGTGCATTCCCATTTCTGGTTTGACGTCAACCGATAGTGAAGAGACAGGTAAAGCGCTTACTTTATCTACTGTAACTTTACCCTCTACCTCAAGAGATGCCTTTCCGAGACTGAGTCCAGTGAGAGATTTGGCAATTAACCTGGTTCTACCGTTCGCCAACCCTCTTACAAATACTGCACCATTCTTTTTTCGCCGTAAGGTTGCCACTCCTCTGTCTGTTAAACTTAAAAATCTTTGGACAAGATGAGTTATATCCATATAAGCCTTTCCAGCAACGTAATAAATTTTTTCTCCATCTTCTTCAATATAGAATCTTGTGTAGACCTTTACGTCCGTTTGTTGATACCGTAGATTGCACTTCTTCTCCAATTTCCATCTCTTTATCTCACTCAGCCGGCTGTCGGATAGGACTATCTTGACCGGCAATTCTGGCTGCCAGACTCGTAGGAAAACAATGGATGTATAAGATAGATATTTGGCTTCGACGCTAACTAAAGCTGAGTTTGCTTTGACTGGATCTAATCCAATGTATAATTCTTTGCATTTTCTCACCTTTGTATGGGAATAAGTTTTGATTATAAATATTGGAACAATATTTATTGCATAGGGGATTTTGTTTATGTATAAAATTAACAGGATATCTCACATTTAGTATACGCATGTCCCCTGAGGAGCATTCACTTTTTAGGGTTACATCTGTAACTCTGCCAGTATTGAGAGAGACTTTATATATTCTGATCGGCCATCGAGCTTCCTTTCCACTCAATACAGCTGTATTGAATAATTCCTTCGTCTGAAAGAGCACAAAAACCTATTAATCATTTATTTTGATATGATTTAACGGAAAATCGGGAATAGCGTAAAGGATTTACAAAGAGAAATAAAGGGTCGCCATAGGCCAATATAGCTAATATATACCTTGATAACAGGGACTATAGTCGTAAGGGGCATTAAAGAGAATTTCTCGATTATACTCCTCCTACGACTTTTCAGATTCGTCAACGTCAAATGAGGTCGACGTTTAAGCGTCTTTACATTATCCATTTTCAAAAGCCAATCGAATACATGCACAGATCTGTTAGATAATCAAAAAATTCAATAAGCGAAAAAGTGATAGATAGTTGTCAGATGTTCTGGCCTTGGTAAATATATGTAGATATCAAAACAGCCAGAAAGTGAGATTGAGCGAGAGATGAGACGGGAGACAGGCAGTAAAGAGATATAGAATGAAAGAAATAAAGAGAGAGATAGATTGATATATAGATAGTTATAAAGATAGGCAGGCAGATGGATAAAGAAAAAATAGGTAAAGTTGAAAAAGAAGTAGGGACAGGAGAAAATGATCGATAGAGAAGAAAAGAGCGATGGTATCAGGCACCCTGCATGTAATATAAACAAGGCGTACGTAGTGGATTCGAGTAATTCTTTAAAGGGTAATGCGTTATGGTGGAGAGATTGTCATAAACTATCAGCGTATCTTGTTAATATATAATAGTTGGTGAGTGAAATTGAATGTTGTGAGTGGAAAAAGGTCGAGCTATTTGAGTGAATAGTGGTAGATAACGAAGCTAGAAAGAGAAATATGGCAAACCTGCTATCTTCAGATTCTTTACATCTTGCAATAACTTTTACTTCATCTCTCTTCCTTCTTTTCGTTTTTGTGACCTCTGTTGTCCAAGTGTGCGTCTGCGTTTGTACAGCCAATATTTTCAATCCGTGCTTTCCTCTTGCTCTTATAACTGCGTTCCCACAAAAATTCGATTTAGCGTAGACGCCTACTGTAAATTTACTACCGGGCGCTACTTGATGTTGGGGAATGTGAACGACGAGGCCGTCTCCTAATTGTATTTCCTTATACGAAGTTTGTAAAAATTTCAGACGTACGCTGCCAATAAGCGATTTCCGACTAGAGTTTTTAGAGCAGGAAGAAGACCGTTTATCAAACGAAGAAACTTTCTGATAAATAGGTATTGCTGATGATACTGAGAAAAAGGAGACTGGCAGAGTAATTTTTACGAGGATAGTACCCTTCATAATGGCCTCTGATGATAATATTGAATGGCCCTGTTCGATAATAGCCTCAACGCATATGGGCTCACTTGTTGGAGCATGGAAAAGAACGTCAACGAATGGACGAATGCTGGATATCGGTTCCTTTCCAATAATATGAGCTGTAACCCCGTCTGATGGATGAGTGCTTTCGTTACCGAATGCTGCCTGAAGCGTTTCGTTACCAATTCTAACCGACGTCTCTATCGATCCGGAACCTATTGCCAACGTTGGATCGTTAGGGGAGGCAGTTAGGGCAGTATGAAGCTGTAGAAACGACGGATCGAGTGAAGGTGTTAAAGGCTTTAATAAGTAAGCATCTTTAGGTAGCGTCAAGTTTACTGGGAAATCTGCTAAACTTCCTGTTCAATGAATAATAATTAGGTTATTTATACAGGTGATCTAATAGGGGAAAAAAAAGCAGCGCCCCGCTGAAATACTAAACTGCTGATCGATCGAATGTCAAATAGTCAAAAAATACAAAAGTAGCTACTTAACAAAAAGAGATAAATAGGAAGTTATTGCCTTAGGTTAATTCAAGTACAGCTATAACAACTAAATAATAAAAGTTTCGGTTTTGGGACTCTTGCAGTATTTTCAGCCTATAGGGATTTCTGCGTCTGCATGGTAAATTAGCTATATAACTGTAGGGGCCTAGCCAATATACTGTTTGGATATAAATATATGTATACTGTTTATTGTTTATAGATGTATATACTGTATATATAATTTTTTTTTATGAAGATAAATATAGGAAATATATGATAAAATCTGAAGATAAATAGACTTTTAAAAATATATCCTGTTTATATTTATATATATTTAAATATATTTATAAATACAACTTAATGTCTATATATATATATATATATATATATATATATATCCGTCTCTGAACACCAACGCTCACTCATTAATCATTTATTGACGGAGAAAGCTAATGATATTACTGTTGGTCTAGTACATAGAACACACGTATGCGCCCTAAATGTTAACAGGCTTTGGCTACCCCCATCTTAGAGAAGTAAAGGAAAGAAAATAGAACGGTACACATACACAAAGTATTATCTTCTTTACTTGATTATCTCTCATCCTTTTTTTCCTTCCTTTTAACTCTTTTTTTTTTCAATTACTTTTTCGAACGTTTTCGATAATGATTTATAGAACAAAAATTAATCGATTCTAATTACGTAAACAAACTCAGCATGGAACCAGCGATTGTGCGACAAATAGAACTAGTTTTTCTTTATTTTCTTTTTGTTTATAGATGTCAAAGAGTCAAAATAATACGATGCTCTAATATTACCCATACCAGTATCCTACACTTATATCCTAATAAACAGGCGATATAACGTGACCCCATTTTTTATATAGTTTGGCACGTTAGTAAATCAATATGCCGCTTCTGATTGTAATAGACAAATGAGAAAAGAAGAACATTGACTAAAAAAAACGGAAGCCGGTTAAGTAACTACGTTAATGATAAGAAATTATCTCCTATAGTAATTAATGTATTTTAAAAAATTCTTCGTACCATGACAGGAAAAGAAGATAATGATCCAACGAACGAAGTAGTCTCCCATCATCCTAATTATACGCATCTACCGATTCAACGGCAACGTCAACATTTTGGACGAATACTATTTATCCATTTTCAAACCGAACCATTCACATTCTTCCTAAGGATTATCTCTTCGAACTACTTTTTTTGACCGTAAAATTATTACGCCGGCGGGAAGAGCGCCTTCTATCGATTCCCCGGAAGCGCTCTCTGTAGGGTGAAAAAATTATCTCCACACTTTTCATCTATGTTTTGAATTATCACTTAACTTGAAAAGGTATTGAAAGAGACTAAATCATTCACATAGGCCGAAAAGGAATGCGTTCCAAAGAAATAAGAACCCTAAAAATGCGTATTCGCTGCCAATTTATGATTGTTACATTTTGCTATTAAAGTATTTTATTTACAATTGTAACGTTTTCAATAGAAGAATGCAAATTAGTAAAATGATATTGATAAAAAAGATATTTATAGAAGTGTTATCAACGATGAATAACCTGTAAAAAATCTATAGATTTAGTAAACCTCTCGCTCGAAGTAATCCGCTTACATTCTCAAGTAAGTTTGTCTGTTTTTAAGGTGAATCAGATGTGATAAACAACTATAATTCATAACTGCTAAAAAGTTAAGTTGATTAAAGTTATTTTGATAAAGGAAGTGATAAAATTTGGAATGTTCGTCTTGTCGTAAAAAGAATTCTTAAGGCATTCATTTTGTGGAACTGACTTCGAATTATCAAGAGGTCATAGGAGAATTGTAAGATTGCTTTTTGAGAATTTTAATTAATAAAATTTACGATTATTAATTTTGTAGATAAAAGTAAATGATTATAATGGAGTTAAATTATCTTTTAGTATTTTGTAAAACATTTATATTGGTCAGTGCAATATCAGTGTTGTAAAGTTGTTAGAATGATAATAATTATCTTTGGATGCAAGAAAATAGTTCTTTCGTATCGGTTAAAAAATTAGTTTGCTTAGTAAATTTGATTATTGTTTTTTTCTCTCAATTAAATAGGAAATATATAAAACTATTTTATCGAATACGAAAATAAAGTTTTATTATTCAGCCAATCACGCTCTCCTTTAGCAGCACTAACCTTCACCCCGCCCATTTATATTTTCCTCTCATATCAACATTTGTTTGCCAGTAGTCTTCGTATGTTTTCAACCTTTTTATACAGATGTTTATATTGTTAAAAATCAGATTGTTTTTTATGCTCGTTAATCAAAATTAATGAGTCAGCATTTAAGTTCGAATGACTTTTTTACCCAATCTCGACCTGAATTTTTGCATATTATTAAGGTGTTATAAATGTTACAGGTTTGTAGGTGCTGGCGTAGATCAACTCCTCGCATAATGTCGGTGAGTGAAGATATATCGAATACAGGAGCGTCAACTGGCGACAGCTTTTGGGAATTAGATAGGTATAAAAGAACGGTTAAACGTTTAGAGGATGGTCATAAATTGTGTTCAGAAATGATGCAAATGTTACATGAGAGGGCTGAATTAGAGAAGAACTATTCCAAGTCATTGCGCACTTGGGCCTCGAAGTGGGAGGATACTGTAAGAAAAGGTCCTGAATATGGAACAACAGAAGAAGCTTGTGTAGGTCTATTTAGAGAAGCTGAAAGCATTGCCGAATTGCACACGGAAGTGAAAGATAAATTAATATCGGTGGTTCAAACTCAAATAAAAGCTTGGCGAGATGAACATTATAAAAAACCATTAGTTGGTCAGTGTAAGCAAACGAAAGGACTGGAAGATTCATTTCGTAAAGCTCAAAAACCATGGGCAAAATTTTTAACGAAGGTTCTTAAGACGAAGAAAGACTATCATACTGCATATAAAACATTCAACAGTGCTGAAAATAGTTTGAATAATGCACAAGCTGATAGCTCATTGTCAGATGATCATAAAAGGAAGTTATCAGACAAGGTAGAAAAGTCTCGAAGAGAAGTGGATTCCAATAGAGAAAAGTACGAAGCGGCCCTAAGAGAGTTGAATGGTTATACATCGAGATATATCGAAGATATGACAGGGGTTTTCGATAGCGCTCAGAGGGAGGAAAAAGAACGCTTGGATTTTGTCAGGCGTGCATTAGAAGAAACACGAAATTGTCTTAATCTTAGTGATAACGATAACTATCATAATACCTATGAAATGTTGGCCAGTACTATTGAGGCAGCTGATTCAGAAAAAGATCTTAAATGGTGGTCACAATATCATGGGGTAGATATGGCAATGAATTGGCCTCAATTTGAGGAGTACTCTCCCGACATGCATTCTATTTCACGTAAAGACAAGAAAAGTGTTATCTCCGGCTCTGATGGAATTACCATAACTAGCATAAAACCTGCTCAGAATAATACAGAATACCAGACTCAAACTTCGATACCCGAACAGTCGACGCCGGCACATACTATTCAAAACCAACCACCTCCAGCACCACCCCAACAGCAGCAGCCGCCTCAACAACAGCAAGTACAGCCTCCTCCCACACAGGGTACACCTTTCGAGTAAGAATTTATTTATCTTAACAATAGAGATCTAAGAGTTTAAAACAAATAGTTTAAATTTTAAAACAATTTATAACGTTTAATATGAAAGAAAAAATAAGTTCATTCTTATCTAGAATGTGATAGCGCGACATTTTATAGGCTAGCAGATAAAAACTTTAAGTATTTCCAGCAATGATGACGACTATGATGATGATTTGAATCCATTCGCCGCTGACGTAAGAACCGATAATGATTGGTTTGTGTATTTAGCATGTTGGCTTAAAATCTCTCTTATCCGACAAAAAAACTTATATAAAAAAAAACAAACGCTTCTATATACTGTATCTGGCGAACAAATCCCACTTTTTTTTGATTTTGGCGTCTGTACACCCACATATCATAAGGCGAAATTTTTTTTCTAACGGCATGAATGCATTATTACTATTTCTCCTCAACGCTCTATTAAAATCATTATTAAACGATATATCCGCTTCTTCTTTCCTTCTATCTCCCATCAAACCTCCCCGTATTGACTTTTCTTTTTTAAAATAAAGAAAAGTGATGTGTTGAATGCAATTTAATCAAACAACATAACAACAGTTTTTTTTTATATATTATTACTATTATTACTATTATTATTACTAGTAGTATTATTATTTTATTAATAATATTCGCTTATAACAGTAAATAATATAATATTTCACCAACGTACGAGGCACTCGCTTTGAATTTGGTTTGTCCTTAAAAAAAACGAGAGGAAACGTATTCTTTTTCTATTTTTAACAAAAAGGAAAAAAAGAGGAAGAGGGAGAAAGAATTTTTCTTATAAGCTGATATTAAGGGGGAAAGGAAAAGTAATTTGTTAGTCTTAGTGTGTAACAATTTACGTTCGAGTACGAGACGCGAGTATTTATTTATTGATTATCGACTTTAAGTTCTCTTTTTGGAATTTTAATAGGAGAAGTAATAAAATTAACGAACATTCTTAGCCAGTGCCTTCGTTTTGTGTGTGTATCTTTCTCTGTTTCATTACAAAAGTAATTCTATTTAAATTTACTTATTAATTTTAACTAATAGAGATTTTTTTTTTATTTTTTGCTCTTCTCGCTCTCTCTCTCTCTCTCTCGACTCTCCAGTAGCAATGAAGAAACTTGGTCGTCGCATAATGGAACATCGAACGAGAAGGGTGTTAAAGTAAGGGCTCTGTATGATTATGCTGCTGCTGAAAGCGACGAGATATCCTTCAAAGTTAATGATATTTTCATTAAATTGGAAGATCAGGACGATCAAGGATGGTGTAAGGGGCTGAAGGATGGAGTAAGTTTGTAAAGATAATATTTAAAAAAGAGAGAGTAATATATGCTGTGTATATAGATAACTTTATCTATATTTATTAACAATTTTTGTACTTTTTTTCCAACCTATTCTATATACATGCATATTTATATAGATATATATATATATATTTTAATGTATATATACAGTATATATTTACATTTTATTCTCTATTTGATCACTATTCCTATCTATCTGTTTTTTTTTTCAAAAGGTTTCTGGCTTGTATCCGGCTGGTTACGCATCTGAAATCTAAAACAAAACAAAACAAAAAACTTAGTTATGCGAAAACACTTGCAAAACAAAGCAGATGTGTATATTTTTGATTAGCAACGAATATCAATTGGTTTGAAAAAGCAATTTAAAATCTCTTTTGGAAGATATTGAAAATTGTAAAAAAAAAAAAAGTTATTTAAAAGATACAACTATCAACTTTTTTTTATTATTCCATAATTCCATAGACTAAAAAAGTTGAAAGAAAAAAGGCAAAGATATTTTGTTGTTTTATAGAAGTAGATTTATTACTGCAAATTAAAATAGTTATGTAAAAAAAAGATAAAAAACGAAAGAAACAACAAAAACACGTTCGGTTAGAGGTGTTTATATGTTATTCAATAAATAAGATGGCACTGCATAGCATGACTTCATTTTCGGTGTAAATATAACTTCATTAATATTTAACTATCATTTCTTTTTTAATACTATTATTTTTCTTTCTGTGTGCTTACTTAAAAAGTTAATCAAGAACTTTACAATAATAATTTTGATTGCTATGTAAAGGGTTATATGTATAATTATATATCTATTTAAGATATATGTACATATAAGAGATATTTATTTTTTAAACGAAAAAAGTCTTGATTAAATCGTTACTATTCTATAATTGACATATTCCTCTATTGATATTTACCAAAAGATCATATTGGTACCTATACTCGAAATGTTCTAATTTTGCCAAATAAGAAAGTTTTTGTGCGATAACCTGATGTGAATTGTTTACTTATGCTAATGTACGTTTTTTAGACGTGGTTAAATTTTCGTTCAATCTTGATTTTTGTTTGATAAAAGTTAGATTATGCCATGTCAACGACAGATGGCGTTTTCTTTATTTCATTATAAAAAAAAATTTGTTTTATTTTTAGTTTTATGCCATAACCTTGTCCCTTATTATTGATATAGGGGCTGAAACGCTCGTTTATTTAGATTATATTAAAAATTCTTTTGCATTTTATCGCGTTTACACTGGATTCTACATAAAAAAAAAAGAAAAATAAGGAGGGGGCAGCGAAAGAGTGTTTCCTCCTTGGCATTTTACGCATGATGAGCCACATCCATCTCTCCTTTCTAGTAGAAATTTCTTTCTTTACTGTCAGAGACCTTTACTGATTTTTATGCATAATCTTTCAGATAGGTTTCCTTAAGATTGGGGTAATAAATCCTTCTTTACAAGTAATCGTATAAGGGATTTAGGAGTTATCTTGATAAATTTTTCAATACTTTCTCTAATAAATTTGTGTATAATAAAATTTTATTAACACTAACAATTCTTTTTTTAGTGATTTACTCGACCATTATAGGCTTATAAGTTCGAAATATGCATTTTTCTTTATGACCCCCTATTAATATGTTGTAATTGAATAAAAAATTGTTATTTTTATACTTTATTGCCTCAAGTAGAATGCTTAAAAGTAGTTTAACAGAACAGGAGTACCGTTAGCATAAAACAAAAGGCCTATTATATGGAAAAAATCTTTCCTAATAATAACAATATTTGTCCAATAAAGAAGACTTTTATTTGCATATTTAATTTTTCTGTTTCAAGTATTTATTATTTTATATACTGTATATATACAATATACAAAGTGTATTTGCGGTATACATAGTATATTTTTCATTCTCCTCTCCCTCGCTCTCTCTCTCTCTCTCTCTCTTTCTCTCTCTCTCTCTCTCTCCCTCCCTCTCTCTCTCTCTCTCTCTCTCTCTAAGGAAGAAAAATGCGAAAGATATGCTAATCTTTCTTTTTTCTCCTTCAATCTCTTCACGTGAGTGATTTCTAGCCAATTTCTTGTCTTATTTAAGCGTTTGTAATGTAATACAAGAACAAGATTATCATATTAAGATGTGTACTTAATAAAGAGCATGTCTTATATTTGGGGAAAAAAAAGAGAACACTCACTTCAAACATAGGATTAATTAAGGAAAATTAAAAATCTCCATACTAAGACTGCTGCCCTAATTAGTTATGTTGAATAGTTAAATTCGTATTTTATTTATAATTATTTATTATTTAAACTTCATTGTTTTATTAGATTTAGAGTTTATTGATTGGAAAATGGAGGGAAATAGTCAAACGTATAATTAGAAATCTATTCAGGTCAATGATTGGAAGATATATGAGGAAATAAGAAAAACATAATCAATATAGTAAATCAGGAAAGAAAAACATTGTCACCGGTATTTTAATGGTTTTCCTTCATTATTCTTCATTTCCAGCGGCTAGTCTATGGGCAAAAAGAATATCAGGAAAAAAGTAGTCGAATGTACAAATATTAACGTCCCCGGAGGTTCATTATGGAATCAACTTCAAATGAACATTCTGATGTGAAAACGGAAAAAGTTATTGTTCAATCAGTCAATCGGTATGATTGTCTTTATTTGTTAAATATATCTTATTACTTCTTCACTTAATTAAGACAATTTTCTTTGAGAAGAGGGATAGGGAGGATTTTTTTCTAACTGGGACAAACTCTCCTTTTAAATATTTTCAAGATGTATTATACTTGATTCGTGCCTGTCGTGATCGATAAGTTTTCTATAGAGTGAGTAGTTTTCTTTTTAAAAAAAAAAGACAAAACTATATTTCTTTATTTTTTTTCTATAAACAGGAATATAAACAGGAAGAAACATCCTGTCCCCAGTTAATATCAAAAAATACAATATGAATGTTTCGTAAAAGAACGAATGTTTCATTTTCGAAATGTAATTCAATTAAAATCAAACACTGTATTAATATTCGATTTCTATTTATCATAAAAGCTATTATTAGTAGTATATAAACTGTATATCAAGGTATTAGTATTTATGTCAAAAAATTGATTTCATTCTCAATAAATGAACTTATATTTGTCCCGCAGATGGCGGTATATAAAAGAACGTAGCGCTTGTCTAAAAATCTACATGGTTCACAATGGATCGTTGGTTCCAAGTTTATATAAAGATCATCTTCGCACTCAGTAAAATATTTATCTAGTCACCCTGCGAACAATAGTATTACGAACTGCGTAAGGAATAAGATTGCCTAGTAATTTTAGCATTCGAGTACATAATAAATAGCTATAACAGGGATATTTTTATATGTGTAATATTTCAATTTAGGCTGAATTTAGACCATGTAAAAATACGAAATAAACAATGGATTAATTAGTTTGCGCACTCTAGCCATTTCTTTTTGACAATTGCATTCCTGTGTAGCTGGCTGGCTTGCTTACTCTCACTCTCCTATCTTCCCTCTCAGTTAGTCTCTCTCTCTCTCTCTCTCTCTCTCGCCATTGAACTGCCGACTCTTGATATCATCACCATCATCGCCCTCATTGTCTCTCTCTCTCATTATCTCTGCTACTCTCTCTCTCTCTCTCTCTCTCTCTTGTTTCATCTTCGATTAGCTTGCTTTAAACTTTTTCAAACAAACGCCAAAAGTTGTAAGATTTTAGAGAACAAGAAAGATGGCAAAAGATTTAGAAAACTCTGATTATGAATTTTCACCAGCCGCTTTAACTTTCAATAGACGAATGTTTAAAAAACATAGATTAGAAGCAATTTTTGATAGGGATTTTGTTTATAGTTTGCCAGCTTATTACTCAATTCAAGAGGAACTTACCACTACAGATGGTATCAGTTATAATCTCTTTTGTCGTATTCTTGATTATTTAATTAAATCTGGAGAGTTACTTCAACGCTTTCTTGTTCAAATATCTCATAGTTTGGATCGATTTGAAATGGATATTGCCAAACTCTGCATGGATAGAATAGAGAATCGTCTAACTGGGTTAAGTCAGCAGATAACTTACAGACTCTCTCCTGAACAGACAGTAAGAAATAATCCTTTAATTCCTCTCTCCCCAGTCCTATAACCATATTATACAAACCTTTTTAGCAAATCTTTTCATTTTCTATGAAATCCGCAGAGAATCTTCCTAGAAAAAGCACACGACGATGGAATAGACGCCAACCCTAATATGACGTTCTACTCTTGAGGAAAACGAAAAGGAAAAGAGTAAGAGGGAGAGAGACAGAATGAAGAAGTTTACGACTGCTCTCTATTGAAGAAAGAAGAGATAATTTAGAAAGGAAAAAACATAGTTAATCATATAAATTTGAAATGATAATTTTAATAAATCTATAATATAGAATTCCTACTATATTCCGTGCCTTTTATCCTCTTTTATCATTTGATATTGTCCGTTTAACATTACAATTTAAATTGTTGCTAGTATAACGTTTCTATTGATTTAGCATCACTACTCCTAACAAATCGTTAATGATATTTTATTAGTATGTTACTGCAACTATTTTATACTCTATTCATTATTTCTTATAAACTCTTCATTCTCTTCTATTGAATAATGATTTCTATTTTTATTCCCTCTTGTTTTCTTTCTAACAATAGACAATTAAAGGTATAAATTACGTTCCTATACACATCCGTTAGTATGTATTAGAAAGAAGCTAGTATATGTACTTTAATGTTCATCAAGAAAGGAAGAAGAAGAGAGGATATATATATATATATATATATATATACTGTATATAGTATATATGCTGTATATATGGAAAATAAAGGACAATATTCAGTATAAGCTACCCTTTGTTTAGGTTATTTATTAACTCGAAGAAAAGTAGCGATAAATATGTCTCTTTTTCTATTAAAGGTAGGCTAATTTCTAGAATAAAAAATGGAAGAGGATGTAACACATAAATTTCGATTTAGTTAATAAGCTTAGGTCGTAGTTTTCTTGAATTTAGTTAAGATTAATGATTATATATCGATTTCTATGGTTTAGAACTGATGATTATAATGCTTTTTAAAGTATTAAAGTCTATATATATATATATATATATATATATATGTATATATATGTCTTTATTCTCTTTCTATTTTTTCTATATTATCATCGATCATTAGTTAAAATCCACCATTTTTAACTAGATATAATAATTAATAATAAATTAATTGATTATATTTCAAATGACCTTGACAAATCAAGCATACAGGGAATTTTTCTATTAAATAAAAATTCCTAAACTATTGGTTAATTCATTCTTATTTAGAATTCATTCTATTCATTAATTGATTCATTATTAAAATTTATCATTGAAAACCGAAAAAGTAGACGCTTTAGAAAGATAAGAGAGAGAGAAAGAGAGAAAGGGAGGGATAGGGGGAGGGGGAGGAGGGACTGGTAGAGAGAATGAAAAAGTAAAAAATGATAGAAAGAAAGAGCAAGAGAAGGAAAATAAAGATATTTTTGTAATTCGTTAAAAAAATATAGCCCGAGGATAATTCTACTTGCTAAGACTAGTAGATAATAGAGTAATTTTTCGATAATTCAGGCATAATCAAACGGGAGAGATATTTTATCTTATTATCTATTATTACTTATTACTATTATATTATTATTTACATTGATAAGTTTAAGTTTTTTTTTTTGAAAGGTTTAAAAACCTATTCAAGCAGAATAGTTAAGATGAAATAAGAGAGAAAGGAAAGAGTGATAAAAGAGTGAAATCCTTCACATTAATACATAACTATTTGATAGTTGTTTTTATATAATCCGATAAATACTCTCTATCACCGGAAATCTAAAAAAAAGTATAGAATCCTATAGATGTCGCTTTTTACAAAAATTTCTCTATTTTTGCTGATATTTTATTTACATTGTATAGCTTATATCTTAGATATTTCTTTAAAACATTAGGCCTATAATTAAAAACGAAAAATTAGAGAAAGAGATATAATTATCAAGGATTAACAAAGTTTTTTTTTCTATTCTTTTCGAGGGGAAAGGCGTAACCCTTTTCTAGTATTTCTTCTATTTCCAAATTAATCAAATTTGACAAAAAGGCCCTTATTCTAAAAAGTTTTTTCTCCTTCTCTTTTCTCTCTTCTCTCGTTCAATATTCATTTTTGACTAAATTAACATATATAATTAATATATATATAAGTTTTTTTTAAAGTAATTATTACTTTTCATTCTTTTAAATATTATCTCTTTTCTTAAGAAGAAAAACATAAAAAAGGAACGAAGAAGTAACATATAATTATGAAATTTCATAAAGCTGTCATAGTACGAATGACGGTTAAGAGTCGCCACCATAGTCGCTCCTTTGATATATTTTCAATGGACTAATCCCCTTTCTAAATCATAGACCGTTCAGTTGATTGTGTATTTGCATACTTGAACTTTTGAGTAATTCGTTAAACGATTAAGACTTGTTTCTAGAAACCAGTTTTTATATTATTATTATTGCGATTTTCCTCTTATTTACGTAAGAATAACTGTTAAGTGTTTAAGAGAGAGAAAGGCACTAGAAGGAGAAGGAGAGTTAGTCGAAGCAGAAGACCGAAGACGAAAAAGTAACAGATTTATGAGAGATCGTGTATTTTCTCTATAGTATACCTCTTAAAGAGAAGATAAATATTTGTTGGACTCTTCGTATTAAGAATTATCCTTTCTTCTCGAGTTTTAAGAATCGTTTTTGACAACTTAAAAACATGACGTACAACAGGAGTTTGGCGAGAGTCAAAGTGAAGAATCGGATTTCTGATATGACCTTATCAAGAGTTATTGAGAGAATTGAAGAGGATCGCCTTATTAGAATCGCTCATTTAGATCACGACAGATTGGATGTTCACGATTTCCTCAAGGAGATCAACTATTGTAAATCGGATGATCTTCCAGAGTCAAAAATGTAATTTCATAACGATTTATCTCCTCTATCCGTTCCATAATTTTGTATTACCTTTCCTTTACAGATGGCTGGGCGATAGAGTTGAAGCCCTTGAGAGGAGGATGCAGAGGCGACGGAATGCCGAACGTGACGTTCTTACGGCACCTCCGGGTAGGGTGAATAACTCAGTCATATCAGTAATCGCTAAACCAGAGCCGGTAAGAGGTAAAACTGCACCCGAACCGACAAGAAATCTACCTTACGTTGAAAGAAAAACTGCTAGGACAGCGAGAAGTCCTAATGTCCTTAAATTGTCCGATAAGAGACCAGTAACAAAGCATACAGTGGAAAAACGCCAAGAAACGAAGCGAAATAACTTTATTAACGTTGATGATTATCAGAACGAAAATGATGTGGATACGGAGGAAATACTAGCAGATGTAAGGGATGAAATTGAGCTTGTTGCAGAGGAGAATAAGCCCAAATCCATTTTACTCCCGAGTATATTAAATAAGCATTCGGATGATATTAGTCGACCCCCGTCCGTTGTTTCATTTACCGACAAACCTACAAGAGTCGTTTATACAGCAGTTGTTCATGCTAGTCACGAAGATGATACTGGAAATTTTTCACAATACTACAATGATGAAGACAATACAGAAGATGACGAAAATTCAGATCAACAAGAGATAAAAGAAAAGGGAGCGAAAGAGCAGACAAAGAGTAAATTGAGAAAGGTGTCAACCACCTCCTCCAGAAAGTTGAAAACTGGAAAACTAAAGAAAAAGCCTACGCCTAAACCGAAGAAAATAGAGAAAAAGAAAGAGCCCGAAGAAGTTGTATTGCTGCCAAGTACACCATCTAAGAGTCTTATTATACGAACTCCAACAGCTAACTCAATGGTTAGGACTAGGCAGCCACTTGTTAGATCGGCTATAAAACGAGAGACGTTGACGCCCAGCCGTGTTTCCATAACAACAGAGGACAGAAACGCTTTTGTTATGCGTCAAATTTTAACCGAAAATTCACACATGCATAGAAGATCAGCTAAAAAATCAAAGCAACCTTTAAGTCAAAGAATAAATGACTTTTATGAAAAAATTGATAAACTTCGACAAGAAGTCGACACCGCCGCCAATTGGATGCCCACACCAAAAAAGACTAAGAACCTAACAAAACGCAATACGCTGAGAACTGGCGGTTTAAGGGCCGCTCTCCAATTAGACATTGACGATTAAGGATAATAAAATAACTCTCCTCCTTTTTTCTTCCTCTATCTCCTCCCAATATCAAGGTATAGGCCTACTCTTTACATATACTGTATATCGACAAAATATAAATGTTACATGTAAAAAAAAACCAGTTTTCTCTTTAGTTGTGCTTATATGCATAGTATATTCCGTTATAAAATTGATCTTATATACGACATTAACTAACGAAACAATGGGCGGTGAAAATGAATTGACGTTTCTCTATTCATAAAATGTATTGAACGTGAAAGAGAGACGTCAATAAGTAACGGACAAAATTTTTTCTACTTTATTCAGTCGATATGAATTGTCAAGATGACGCTGAGTTAACTAGAATTTTATTCGATTTATGTCAACACCAAGATTTCAGTTCGCAAACTTTAATGCCTGATTTTCAAATGCCAAACAAAAAGCCACTTGCCGTTGAGACTAAACGCCAACAGCAAAACAGACAAACTACGACGGTTAATAGTACAAAATTTCGAGATATGGAATCGTGGAAGGAGAGTAAAAGGATAAAATATAGACAAGGTCAAGGCTCTTTTGACCCTTATTCCAAGAAAATTGGCCAAGATTTACTGTAAGTATGAAAAAGAAAAATTAATAGTTGTCAAATATGAGCGTTAATCGGGCGTTAACTTTCATTTTTCTTTTCTAACCAACAACCTATAAAAGACCAGTCATTCATAAATTGGGTGTTATCAGGTCGTTAGCAAGATTGGTTTGGTTTGAGGATGAAGATAAGAAAATAGAACCAAGACGGATAAAGAAGACCAAAATGCCTGGTATAATTATTCCATCAACAAGAAAAAGGGAAGAGAAAACGTTTAAAGTGTCAAAACAATCTATTCAATACAATTCCTTTGGGAAAAGGTTATAAATATAATAAACAAAGAAGAAAAAAGACTGTATTTATTCAAAACATGTTGTTTTTTTAAAAAAAAAGGAAAAAAATGAAGTTTTCAACTGTCTGGTATCTTTCCTTAACAGATGTAGAGTTTTCATATAAAATAAATAAAAATATATATATATATATATATATTTATATTTTTTACGTATTTTTGTATATATATATAAATTATGTACACATTTATATATCCATATATTTTTATCTTTCAGTCACTTTCGCTCATTATCTCTCTCTCTCTCTCTCTCTCTTTCTAAAAGATACTATATACAAATAGGATCAATTTTTCACTTTCATTTTGTTTTTCTTAGCAAGATTAACGTACTCTTCTACCATTTTCATAAGTTTTGTTTTATTTATATTCGGGCTAGAATGGTTTCCAACCTATTTTAAAGATTTAAAAATATATCATTATTATCTATTTATTGAATTATTTATGATGAATATTGAATACCTTAATAACAATCCTCTTCATGATGTATTTATATTGTTCTTTTGTTATTTCTTTCTTTTTATAGAAGTCTTGTAAATATTGCTTAATTGTTAGTTCGACGGCTTTGAACTTTTGCTTTTTTTCTAATTTCGTCTGTTTTTTAAAAAAAAAAAAAAGTGAAAAAATAATTAAATATTAAGCAATATATAATTACCGCTACATTGTTCATAACTGTTGCCGATACCATAGGATCACTTGGTAAATCATTTTTCTTTCTTTTAGAGGATCTTTTATCCATTGATTCGTCTAGGGATTTCTCGTCTTTTGGCGAATTTGCAATGATTTGGAAAGAATCGTCTGCATTAGGTGAAGGGAAATTAGAGAGATCTAAAACGTCGGAGGAAGGAGAATAGGAGTCGTTGTTTTGTTCGCGACTATCTTCCTTCAACGTCGATGTTCGATCCTTATTTCGTTGATCCCACGGCTCACGAAACGATTGCTTCGATTCATTGGGTGGTTGTTTACCATCGTGGAAGATCGCATTGATACGAGTATCGAGATCGAGTATATTTTGAGCAGTTCCACTATCAGATTCTGCCCCTGAAATATCCATTGATTGTGGACTATGATCAATAGAGGGCGGTGACCTTGATTTAGGATTTTTTATAGCTGAAAAATTCAACAAATAATTAATACTAGAAAATAAATAAAGAGGGTAGAGATTCTTTTTTCCTTACCATCTCTATCTTGGTCTCTTCTGGATTTTGAAATAGACTGCCATTTACTTTTTCTTGGTGCTCGAACTGGTGAAGTAGATTGCTTCTTTTTCACCTCCTTAATTCTATCAACTTTTCTTCTGTCATCTGTATTTGAGACTAATTTATTTTCTCGACGATTTCTCGATCTACTTCGACTTCGATTTCTGGGGTCTTTCGATTCGTCGATTGTCGCTTCTGTGCGATGTAATCGACTCGCCTCAATTATTCTTCTAGCGTCTGGTATGGGACTTTCTCGCTTCTCTCTTCTTCTATCCACTTCTGGACGATTGTTTAAAGAGTTTGAGGGGTTACTATTATTATTATTTGTTGAATTTGTGCGATTTTCCCATCTATCTGGTCGCCTAGAATGAAACGGACTAGAACTCCTGCGAGAACCTGAGCATTCTTCTTTTCTAAATCTTTTTGACCGATCAGGACTGGGATACCTAGCTGAGTAGCTAGAGTCTTCCTTCCTCCAATAACGATCTGGAGATGAAACTCGTTGATCGGACGAGAAGCTATCATTTCTTCTATCCCGATCTCGGTCTCTTTCCCTGTCTCTTTCTCTCTCCCTGTCGCGATCCCGATCCCTATCTCGATCTCGGTCTCTATCTCTGTCTCGATCACGTCTCTCTGGAATATAACAATCCGAAGGATATCTTGGATACTGACGACTGATTTCACTGCCTTGACGACAATGATTATCGCTTACACCATCGTAATCGGTTGTCTTCTCGTCTTTGCCAGTTCGTCCCTTTCTACCACGACCTCTACTTCCATGTCTACTTCGACTTCGACTACGACTCTTGCGTTTGTGCTTCTTATCAATTTTCACTGAAATCTTCCCTTTGTCCTTGTCTATTGATTCTCGTCTTTTAGTGTGTTTTTCACGCGATCTATCTCTTTTTATTCTTTTAAATTGAATTTTATCGCCATTTTTGTCTTCTTTCAACTCCCCCTCTTCATCATCATTCGGCTTTCGGTCACTTTCAACTTTCTGATCTTCCTTTTCTGAGCCAGCTTTTTCATTGTCATTCTCAGAATCTCTTTCGTTTTTATCTTCCTTCGGTTTGTCATCTGTTTTATTGCTCTCGGATTTTTCTTGACCGTTGTCAGATGAAAGTTCCTGATCGTAGGCTGGAGTTTCAGTATTGTTATCTTGGGGTTCGGGACTATTATTTGATAATAGTAAATTATCTTCCACTTGCTGTTGTTCCTTATTAATAGGTAATTGGGTATCGTTTGAATTTGAGCCATGACTTCCATTATTTTCTTTGTTATCTTCCGATTTTTCTTTGGTATCGTTTTCGTTTGCTGCTTCGCCATCCTTTTCAGTCTTACTAATTTCTTCTATAGTTCCGTCGACGTGAATTTTAAGATATTTACTCGGCACGTGAAGTCTACGCTGTCCGTCCAATATGGACGATAATAAGTCAACTGTTGAAGTTGATGCAGCCCTTTTTAAGCAATTACGAGACGTTATGAAGCGATTTCTGAGAACAGGTAGTGTAGCTAAACCATGACTATTTCCGCTAAAATTTTCTCTATCATCATCAAGAGAAGGATGAACATTTTCATCTGGATTTACATCGTAGTTTAAAGAAACGGACCGACTGAAATCCAGTTTACTTCCTTTCATTTGAGGTATCATACGACCAGGTTTTGGTAGAGTAATACCAAGTTTATCGGCAATACGAGACTTAACTGACCGAGTGGAACGGGATTTAGTTTTGAGACGCTTTCTTTTTGTCTTCTTTCCAGACTTAGTTTTCCGTCGCTTTTTACGACGACGTCTTCTCTTAATCTTACATCTTTTTCTAATAATAGCCGTTCTAGCACGGCGAACAGGAACAATTACTTTTTTCTCTATTTCATTTTCAGCCTATAATTCACTTAAATTAAAATTTCAAAAAACATCAAAATATATTTCACCTTTATTTCGTTTGTAGAATCTTCAACTGATTTCATTTGCTCCAAGAGATTACGCATATATTCTTCTCTATCATTTAAATCCACTAATAAAGATTATAAAGAAAAAAGAGTAAACATTATCAAGTTACTAAAATATTTAAAAAGTAAATGAAATCGAAAAAAAAAAAACTCTCTTCTTACTTTTTGAGAGACAATCCATACAAAACCAGGAACCAGTTGGAATTTTGCTTAGAGCAGGCGTATAGCAATACGTGTGACATCTTTTTTTATTGAAAAAAGTAATAATAATAATTATAATAGTAATAACAATAGGAAATGAACAGTAATTACCCTCTATCACAACGATCGCATAATAATAAATTAGCTTCATCGTCCTGTCGACCACATCCTTCACAGTGAGCTAAATCTTCAGCTGTAACCAGATCGTCACCGTCTAAATTTAAGGCTTTTTCCTCTACTTCAATCTTTACAAGTTAAATTAGTTTATTATAATATAATCTATTAATGTTGAATAGAATTACTTACACTTTCAATAAATTTATCATCAACTGTTTTGATAATCATTAATCCAAACGGTTTGCGATCTTGAGGGCATGTACTTGACGACTAGAGAATAAAAGAAAAAAATTATTAAGATATGATTATTCTTATCAAAAATCATATTTTTTATAATTGCATTTATATTACTTTTGTCCATTCAGTCAGGCAGTGTTCGCAAAATACATGATCGCATACGTCTGGTGAGGCTAGTCTATCATTTTCTCTAAAATCTCCATAACATATACCGCAATTCTCTCCGTTGGTTTTCGGTGGTGAAATATTTAAGTCGTATATTTTATTTTCTTTTCCAACATCATCGTTTTCCTCTGTTTCGTCCAAACTTTCATATTCCTCATCATCAGAACCATCACTTGAACTTTCTTCATCTGAGTCTGCTACAGTGTAAATAGGCCTAAGTAGGTATCTTTTTTAAACCTGAGCCCTAGTTACCTGTTAAAATGTCTTCTATATCCTTCTCCATATTATCCTTAAATGATTACACAATTGGCTGAATTATTACCAGCTTAAGAACATGGTTCCTTCAAGATTTCCCCAAAACGCGTAAGAGAAGCGTTGAAAGTTATATTATATGTAATTTGAGCTTTGAGATCAATGAAGAAATAGTTCACTATTCTTACCAACTAGTTTATAATGACTTTTATTAATTATTTCGATTAATTTTAATTGAGTAATATCTGTAAAAGATATTAAAATCGTGTAACAATACTACACAAGCATTACAAGAAAAAGCCCGGATTTAAAATGGCGGTTATTCCAAAATAGACTGGTTCGCGCCTTTCTTATATGTTTAGCCAGCAGATGGCATTGACAATAAAATTAGTCACGTTGGCCGAGCTAGTTGATTAACAATATTTATACACATTAAGTTACAAGACCGATTTTTATTACAGCGCATCAAGCACAGTTCGATTAGTTATTAGTTTTAATAAATAATGGAATTGCTTGAGGAACTTCGTAGGGAATTTAGTGACAGGTTCCCGAATGATGTACTTCCTTCTGCCATAGAAGATTGTTTGGATGATGGAAATTTAGCACAGGAGCAAATGGAAAAACTGCGTGACGATATAGAGAATTTTCGGCACAAGCTACGACTAAAAGAGTATCTATTACAATTCTTGGAAACGAAAAGCGTAAAATACGAGCGGAAACCGACTATACTTTCACCTTCAATGAAAGAAGCTCTTGAAAAATTCAGTGACCCTGACGCTGAACTCGAATGCTCTTCCCCATTCTTCTTGGGAAGTGACAGGGGTGAGTCGACTACCGAAGATAATTTTGAAGAATTCAATCCGGTCGTTAGTCCTCCGTCGGATAGCGAAGCCGAAGATCAATTCCCAACGAGATATGAGAAATTCAAAGGTTTTCAAAGGATATCAAAGAGGAGCATTGATGATGAAGACGACCCGGAAAGCGAAAACAAAATTTACGTGAATATTCAACTAAAATCACTCGGTTCGTTAGCTTCCAGACCAAATAGAGGTATATATAAATTTATATATATAGTATATATTTGTATTTATGTACATAAACTTTTTTTATGCGCATCTATATGCCGCACAGTACAACACACTGTTAGCTAGCTAGCTGTACACCTTACACTATAATACTATATGCAATATATTGAGTACAATATGACCAACGTCTTACATATTGTATAATATTTCTTGTAAGATGAGAAAGTTGTTATTATAATTAGATATTGTATAATTTACATAAATATTAATATATTTCGGAATATTTTTTTTCTATCAGTATTCCATAATGGTTGCTGAACTTGCAGAAATAATTACTGATTAATGTACAGCGCTAATTATACGAGTATTTAAGGATATCATAAGCACATATCATATTACTAGATAACTTATTCATTTATTATTTGTTTCCTTTTTAGATGCAATTTATTTGGAAGAGGGTGACAATTCTGTAAGTTTTTCCGCGCCACCTCTATCTCTCTCAAGTTTGAATAAGACAAATTTTATACATAAAGAAAATGTTATAAATGCTTTACAGATTGATAGTAATAAATTAAAGGATAGAAAAGCTTATCTTCAAGGTTTTTTAACTGATGAGATAGCATATACTAAAACTCTTAGCCAATTAATGGCTGTAAGTTGTTGATTCTATTTAATAACATTATAAAACTAATCAAATATAATTAAATTTTCCTGAACAGTTGAAAGAGAAATTAGAAGATGTTCATAGAGAGTCAAAAAAATCATCAAAATATGTTAAGACTGACGATATTGATGTTATTTTTAAGTGTATACCGGAAATGTATTCAACTCATGATAATTTTGTCGAAATGCTGAGAAATACCTTAGAGAACTACAATAGAGATAGCGAAATAAGCGATATCTTCAAGAACATGGTAAAAATATTATCTTTTTTTATTTATAATAATTAATTACTGTTATATGACCTAGAAACCATAATATATATTAATATTACAAATTTACTCTTCATTTAGATAACTACTGATATAGATATTGGACAAAATTACATAAATAATTATTCAAAAGCTTCTAAATGTCTTGAAAAGTTGATTGAACAAATTGATAAACGTAAAGAGTTAAGGGATATTGGAACTTTTATGCGTTATCAATTACAAGAGATAGCGTCGGCTAGGAAGGAGGAAGTTAAAAGTTCTAGTAAAAATGATTTAAGAGAATGTATCGAACCAGGCCAAGAAACTTATTTAAGTTAGGAATTTTAGCGCTTATTTATTCAATACTTTTGCCTAAACATTTATTTTATTTACCCAGCTTTGCTGCAGAAGCCTATTACACGAGTACAAAAGAATCTATCAATTATACCGGTAAGGATTATTTGTCTATTATTTATAATTTCATCATGTTTTTTTCTCTTTATTTTTTTCTTTTTCACTTTTTTTTAAAGGAACTTATAAAATTAACGCCAGAAAATCATAGAGACTTTGCTAGATTAAAAAAAATTACTATTGAACAGCAAAGCTTTTTAAAGACTTATGAACCGAAAGTTATAGAAGTTAGTGGGTTTTGCAAAACAAAAAGCATTAATAATATCTTCTTCAACAAATAAACGTTTTTATTTAATAATGTTTTAAGGGAGAAAAGGTACGACACGATTTAAAAAATTGCGTTGTTGCCGAACAATCTGGTTACAGGAATAGATTAAGGACTTTGGTACTATTTAATGACTGTATTGCTTGCTGTAGACTGATAAGACGTGAAAAGTACATACATTAATTAGATTATTCATAATTTTGTTTAATTAATTCGTTACCTAATTTTAATATTATGATATGTTTAAAGGATAATTTTGTTCTTGTTTTCTCTTTCAGAGAAAATATACAATTAATGTTAAAATGGTTTACGCCTGTATTGGATATTCAGGAACTTATTCCTCAAGAGGGTAACCAAAGTCGTATGGCTGAGTTAAAAAGGCTTAGAGATAAGCTAACAGATACTGGTAATGAGATGAATAAACGCCGAAAGTATATCGACTCTTGTGACAATATTATAAGTGCATATGGTAATTTAAATAGGGAAAATAAGGTATTCAAGGGAAAAAATTACATTTATGTATACAGTATATATATAATCGATTTCCACAGGACCAACATCAACAGACATCTAAATTTACTCAGGAGAAAGAAATGGCTATTTTTGATAAATTAGCAAAGGAAGCAAGAGAACTAACCACTAAATTAACGAGTCTCGCACCATTTTTACCCCTTGTCGTAAGTCATAAATTGAAAATAGTTATCAAAATTATATCTAATAATTAATATTTCATGTATATAGATAAAAAGTAAAAACAAGAAATCCCATACTGTTTTGTTTACATCAGAATTTGAAAGAGGTGAATGGATGAAAGAAATTTTTGCGCAAAAAGCCAAACAGGAAAAGATTACTAAAAGTATATTTATACTTTATCTATAGTTATAGACAAACACACATACAAATTTTTTATATTTAAGCTCTATAAATGTTTCAATCTTTTAGATGTTTGCATATAACCTTTCATTTATATTTCGTTAATTAGATTATTATTTAGTTTTGTTTTCTAAGTAATTATTTTTAATTAATTAAAACGTGTAGGTTCGGATAGACGATCAAGTCCAAGCAGAGTTCCAGGTTCACCATTTAAAAGACGTTCTTTCAGAATAAACAGTAGGTTGCGGAATATATTATGAATAGCATTTTGAACGAATTTTGTATGGAATGGCCACAGACTCTCTTTTATATTTATATATATATATATATATAAACATATACATATAAAAATTTATACTGTATATATATATATAAATTGTCTTTGAAACAAAAACAGTTTATAATGCTTCTCATAGGGTTTTTTTTTAATAATTTTGCAATAGTCTTAGTAAAAAGTTATTTATTTCGACGTATTAAAGAAATGCTTTTCTCAATAATAGGCTCATCAAAATCTTCTTTTTCCTTACTACGACGTATGTAAAAAGAACAAAAATTAAAAAAAAAACAAACAAATCAAATGGCTTAATGCACAATTTTTTTTATTCCTACTTTTTAAAAACTGATTCCCTATTAAAAAAATTCAATAAATATGGTGGTGTTTTTTTTGCGAATTCCTTAATTTAAAAATTCGCTTGACTTAGATTTTTTTCCTTTTTATAACGATTCTCTTTTTAATAATAGATGTGTTTCCTATACATATATATATACTATATATATATATATATATACTATTATATGTATAGTTTTGTTTATCTAAAAAGATTTTTTTCTAATTTTTAATAGAATTGGCGATTTTGATTTAACTTTGAAAAAACTAATGAACGATTTAACAATAATTGCAAAGTACCATTTATTTTTAGTTTCATGTTTTACCTCTCTCTCTTTTTCTCTGTCTCTGTCCTTTTTTCTTTTTTTCTCTCTTATTTCAACGGACAGAGTAATTTATTTGGTCTATATAAATATTAAATACGTCCTCATAATTAGAGAGATCTATTAAATTTTTGCTTTTCATTTTTTCTACGGCATTTATGACCTTTGATTAGAAAGACAAAAGGAGCAACAAGTATAATTTCATTAGCTTTTATTTGTGTGTTTTTTATTTTTCCCATATATTTAAATTAAAAAGTTTTGTTTTTTTTTGAGGACTATTTTAAAGTACAAATTTTTTAAATAGAGTGGAGTATTGAAAAATAACAAATGTAATTATCTACACTTTTGTTGTTTTTTCTGTTAGATGACGATAGTAAAATTTCGAGCACTGACGTACAAACTTCGCTAAATTCTATGGCCTGGGAATGTTTAGCTGATCCTTTAGACATGTTTACAGGTAATTATTATAGAGATGAAAAGTTTTCTTTCTATAACGAAAACTAATTATTGTTCAATTATAATAGATTCTACAACTACTACCCTTATAAATGGTTCAGGTCATATTATTATTCATAGAGTGAATGGTTTAACAGATCCAATAAGTTAGTTTATTAATTATTAAAAAAATTTTCATCTTATTATTTTAAAACTTTTCAAGATATCAAATGTGCCGTTGAAGCTGATTCTTTCGGACAAAGATATATATATAGTTGGACGAGGCTAATACCAAGAACACTTAAACCATCCTGGGAAGATGAGGGATTTTGGGTTGACTTTCAAGGCAGTGAAATTATGAAGATTTACGTTTTTCAAATCGACGAGGGAAATGATAAAATTATTGGAGAATGCTCAATGCTTGTAGGTCATTTTTTATGATATAAAAGAATAAAAACATAACAAATATACTATTCACCTATATTTTTTTATTCAGCTCAGTGAATTGTATAAAGATAGGATATGGCAGAAAAAAAATTTTACTATCAATGAAAAAGAAGTCTCTATCGATGTAACTATAAATTTTCAAGATATGTCAACGGCTCATCGTCGAAAGAACAAAAATGACGATTCGGCCTTTTTCGGAGTTGAAATAAAGGATATTTCTGCTCGTGAACACAACTTGGTGCCTTCAATCGTTCAAATATGCGCTGAGACTGTAGAAGAAAAGGGTAAAAATGCCGAAGGCATTTACAGACTATCTGGCCTCTCTCAAGAAGTTTCCAAATTGAAAGCATATTTCGAGAAGGGTAAGAAGAGTTATTTATTTTTTAAAAGTAAAGGCATAGAGACTTTTTACTATTTTCAGATATGTATAAGGCGAAGAAATTTTGCAACGAAGGCGATATTAATACAGTCTGTTCCGTTATGAAGTTATTCTTTCGGGAACTTCCACAAGCTCTGCTATCTGGGCTGTATAAGGCAACAGAAAATGTCGACACAAAAGATCTACCACAAATTATAAAACAATTTTTGAAAGATATAAATACCAGCTCTTCAACAAGATGTGTATACGAAACAGCTAGATATTTATTTATCCATTTGGTTCAGTAAGTGTTTTAATCAATTTTTTTGGTTAGTTAATTAATTTGGTTTTTTTCATTTTCTCAGAATCGAAAAGTATCGCGATTCGAATAAAATGACATTGTCCAATTTAGCCACGGTATTTAGTCCAAACCTTTTGGAAAATCCTCTAGAAACTGGTGAAATAACTAGCGTTGATGAATTACACCACTTATCTATCAGGCAAACAAATATTCTGCATACTGCCTTGGAAATGACGAAAGCTGGAATTCTATTTACTTGAAATTTTCATTTTGTTTTATCTAGTCGCTTATCGTGTTCAATTTTATACTGTTAATACTTGATTATTTTTTTCATAAGCTTTCATAAACTGCTTATAAAGTGGATATTGCTCTTTTCTTAGCATTATAAAAATCTAGCATACAAAACTAAAATATCTACTTCAAGCGAGGGTGATTGGTACCTTAACGAAATAAAATTCCCAAAAATATTATCTACAATACCACCAACATTAAACATTTTTTCAACAAATACAATACGCGGGCTTATCTATTTTTTGAACAGGTATAGATCGTAATATAAAAGATAAAAAAGATATGGCTAATGGATTAATTGATAAACAGAAATAATAAGCCATGAATTTGATAGAGACAAAAATAGTGGAGAAGAAGCTAGGCTTATAAGGCCTCTAAGTTTAATTATTCGAGTTTTTTTTAGCCTAATTATCACTTTATACAAAATTTGGCCAATAATAACTGAATTGTTTCTGCCGTCGTTTACTTTTCCAAACAAAACGTTAGTTGTTGCCGATACCCTGTCAACTGAATCATACATCATCAAGCACATTTTGTACCATATGGAAAGTTGATGAAAAGAACTTAATGAGATTTAATGATGATAATAAAGTAATTAGTACAGAGAGTATATACATATCCTTCTCCATTCATAAATCATTTATATTTAGCGCAGAAATCTTAAGTAGCTATAATTTAACCTTGACTGGCAGTTGATTCTCTCTCTCCGCTAAATCCCTAACTAGAGATAATTCTCAGAACAGTACAAGTCTTATTCCAAGTGTCAACATAGATTTTACTTTATTTTATTCACAACATTTGTTACAACGACTACATATAGACACAAATTTAATTAGCATATATACGAACTGTATATGTTTATATTAGTATAAATTTCACCAAAAGACAATATAATTTATCATTGGATGGAATAAATAAGGGTGAATATTTTCATATCAAAGCACTTTCTAAAGTTTATATTTTAAGCTATAATAGACATAAATGATTTAGTAGAAAAAAGCAAAGTCTGTATGATTTATTTTGTTAAATTATTTTGAAAAAAGAGAGAAAATCATACATTTTCAGCTCATAAATTAAGTTTACATATATTGGCTAAAGAATTATTTAAAAATAAAAAAGTCTTTCGGGTTTTTTTTACTTGGTAATAAAAAGGTGATTTATTGATCAGATTGAGGCTTTTTTTTTATTTATTATTGACTTTATTGTACTTGTTTGTCTCTATAGTTCAGAATAGAAAAGTGTAAAAAATGAGGTTATTTAATGTAACAATTTTCTTCTCTTAAGTTAATACGATCATCTAAATTGGAAACATTTTTTTTCAAATAAAAGTATTTTTGTACGTTTATTATTATTTATCTAAAAACTGGGGCGTGGTACATTTTTCATTAGATAGATAGAACCACAAGAATAGGTCAAAAAGCATAATATCGTTGAAACAACGCCTTAGTCAGGCATTATTGGAAGAATTATTACTATTTTCTACTGAAATGATTATTTTGACTTTAAGTACTTTAATTATGAGATTGACCTCGAAAAGTATATAATTGTGCCAAACATGCACACAAATTCCCATTTATTCTCTTTCTCTCTCGCTCAATCTACCAACTAATACTTGAGATGATGTCTGTGCTCACAATTTTAATTTGGCACAATAGAATTATTACATTAAAAGTCACCATAATACTAATATCTTTAAGAATAAGTAAAACTCTTCATGATAATAACCTCACAGTAAATATAAACTAAATTGATTTCCAAAGATTGAACCCAACAAATGTTTGTGCTTTCTATTTTATTTTATCTCTCTCTCTCGCTCTCTTTCTTTCTTTCTTTCTTTCTTTCTCTCACTCTCTACTTTTTGTCTTTCACTCAAATAATGATATGGAAGCGGCTGATTTGGAAAATATGTTAAAAATTTAACAAGCAAACTATGTTAGTAATCAAGGAATACCTACTTTAATAGAACAATAGAACATTTAAGTAAAATACCAATTCACAAAATAGAACAGTCTGTTGTGTAAACTGGTAAGTTTGAGAAATTCGTAAAGAAAATTTTTCAGGTTATTTAATCTTGATATTTATGAAAAAAGTTGTTAATTTACTGAAAACATTTCTTATACTTAGCTATCTAGGATCTCTTTACCAGGAACCATTCAAATAATCACAGTTAGCGCTTTGGAGCACGTTTTGATTAGAAAATTAGTTTACATTAAAAGAGATCGGTCATTGTTCAAAAACAGTTTACATTAAGATACATTTAAAACATTTTGTGAAATAAAAGTATTCAATTGTGTTGAAAAAAGCTTTAGAAGAAGGCAAATGAAGAAACTTTTCAAAGGATAACTTAGGATAATCAAATAAAAAGAACTAAAATTACAATGTGCAATGGAAAGAAGAGGAGGAGGAGGAGGAGGAGGGACGGAATACGGATGAATTATGAATGAGGAGACGAGAAAAGCTACGTAAAATAAACTAAAAATTGTTTGTGTTAAAAGTAAAATAATCATAATTAGATGCTAAGTTAGAGAACAGACTTTGAGAAAAGATAACAACTAGATAGATTTAAGAAAAGAAACGTGGTGATTGATGATAAGAGATGTGCTACACTGAAAGATGTTTACAAATTGTGATAATTGTAACATCAACTCCATAAAAATGTGTACATTTCTCGAATTAATGCGATAGTGCAAAAAAAGAAGTTGTTTGCCAAAAAAGATATCTTATTTATCATTCACTTCTACTGTCAACTAAGTTTTTTGACGCATTATTTCAGGTTTAGATTGTAGAAAATGGATTAGTAAAATACATTATACATGTAAAAGATGAAAGATATGTACAGCTACTTAATTCAAGTGACGGTGTGTGCTTTATGGTATATGAAGGCGAGTAAAATACACAAAAATTTGTGCTATTGTGATACAATTCTTTACCTACGACAACATCGACTGTCTATATTATTTTTGCAGGATGCTATCAGCCTAACGTTAATCTTATTCTTTTGGTCAATCATTAAAGTATGCTAAGATAAAAAAAAAACAAAGGTGTGATATGATCTATTACCTTATCTATGTTCGTGTACATGTATATATTCATGTATATATATAACCTCCCTTTTCACACATCAAAGTCATATTATATAGACTTGTTAAGAGTTACCACCCCATAGAAATGATTGTCATTGAACTTTATGATTTGAAGTTATGAATGTATATTTAGTTCCCCTTTTCACAATTTATTACCAAATACCCAAAAGTCCATCTAATTTACAGACTTTGCTTTTAAATGTAGAATAATAGGACAAATTATCTTGTTCGATGGAGTTATACAAAGGAAAGTTGTAACTTTTAAAATATAACACCTATACAATAAGCGCAATTACACAGGGTTTCAAAGCTCTTGAACAAAGGAATATTTCCTACTTACAATGCAGATTATAATTTTCTTTCTTTTCATTCTTTTTCTGTTGATTTCATTTTCTTCACTACACTCACAAGGACCAGACTTTTACATAGACATATATATATATAATAAACCATCTAACGACTCTATGGAATGAAGAGTAAAATGAATAGATGAAATTTCATGCATTGCCGTAAAGGTGTTACCCACATTTTTTTTTTTTTGCTCTTTTTCGGGAATTTTTTTCATTAAGTCACCGGGTAAAAGACATTCAAAACTCTGTAACCGTCTTCCCAATCTCCATTATTCTTTTGGATAGTATTTGTCAGTTATTTTGCCTGTAAATCATAAAAAGGGAGATTTAGTTTATAAAAATTTATAAAAACATATTACGATACTCATAATGTCTACATTTTACAGCGAATATTTAAGTTTATTTTTTCATTTAGATGTGTGTATTAAAAACAACCGGAAGTTGGTAAAAATTCTTAAACCAGGTGATTCAGTCTCTTTTTTTGTCATTAGGGAAAGACTACGAACGCTAAAACGGCAATATGTTAAGTATACTTTTCTTATATTTTTTACTGCTTTTGTACATCGAACAGATGGCCTTTCGATATCATCAACATTGTAAATTTGTCCAAAAGTTACCCTGCGACCCATTTTAAACATTTAAAAAGTTTTTTTTATTTAACAAAAAGAGAAAAAAAGAGGAAATTTATCAATGAAAACTTTTGTCATTTAAATGAAGCTTTATCTACGAAAAAGTAACAAAGATATTTCTTTGAAAGTTTCTTTAATTTCTCTATTATCTTCTTAATATTATGAAAAACCATTTAAGAGTACTTACTCTTTGGAACTGACTCAAATTTACCCAAAAAGAGATAATTTTCAGAGGAAGAACGGCTACTGTAATTCTCTTCTCTCTTAAGTTGTTCTTCAGCAATTACAGTTGTTTCTCTTTTGTTATAGATAGAAAGATGTTGACAAGTGGTTGAATGCCATGACCATAGAGAAAGTGACAAATAATGGTATATGACAATCGCATCTGCGCAATACGAAATCCCCGCCCCTACTCATCGGTGATTGGTTGAAAAATCTTGTTACTCTTATTTAAATAATAATATATTCATTTTGACCGCGTTCCAGCTAGAAATAATGTATGAAATTGTTTGACGAAGGTAAAATTAATTGCGATATTTTCATGTTTTCTATCGTCAATTAACATCCTATTCAAACATTTTTGGCAAAGAAACAAAATCAAAGTTTTATTAATCAAAATCAAAACACAGAAAGCAATGAGAGTGCATTTTGAATTTTATTTATACTAAACCATCGATTACCCTGGAAACTCTCTACATTAGAGTCTTATTTACCTTGACAACGTATAATTGACCAAGGTATGAAAAAACGACCCAAGAACGCCCACTTTTACTTGCCTACATTCCACATTTATAAACTTTCCATTGTCAACTTCATTAATTAATTTATTCAAATAGCAGGATTTAATTACCCGATTTAATTATGCTAACGGGTGATGGAGAATATGCGTCTTTCTTCACGCATAGTATTAAACTGTTACATTGACTACATGGTAGATAATTCACAGTTTTCTCTTGATCATTACTTATCTATAAAGGTGTTCTTAAATAAGTTAAACTAATTAGAAACCATATAATTTACTCGAAAAGTTACAATATTGTCCTATTATTAAATTGTTGGCAGGTGTACAGCAAATCCTAACAGTTGGTTTCTCTTCTTTGTACCACCAATGAATGAACTTTCTTTCTTCTCTTTTTTTTTAAAAAAAAAACATAAACATGCAATAATTAATAAATACAAAAAGATAAAAGCAGTTGATTGTAAAAATTTGTTGATGTTTACATTATGAAAATTGTTTATAAATACTTTACGTACGTTTTCTTTGGATAGGAAGAGCGTATGTACAGCATGTTTAAATATAATAATTTATTAGTAAAAAAGGAAAAAAGAACAATGTCAGCCATTTTATATATATATATATATGTCTTTTTTTATAATTAGATTAAAGAAGATGTAATTAGAATTAATTCGTTGAATAAAATATTATGTGCTGGATGAGCCATCTAGCGTCTAGAGGGTGACGACAGACATCTAGTGGCTATTGAATAGGCTTCCCTTGGAATAATAAAGCGGCGAATATGCTGATGGGAATCGTCAGAAATGAGATTACTTGAATAATTGCATTTCTTTTCTCGAATTAATACAGTACCACCAGCAATTGGAACATTATCAGCTCCAGTTATATTAAATCTTTTGAGGCCTGTTACTTGACTAACTAATTCCCTACCCCTACCCTTAACGTTATCAGCTAAGAAGTTAGCTATTCGAAATTCTAGGTTGGTGAGACTTTTATCACTGGTTTCCTCATCAAACCAATCATTAGAAGGCTGAAAATCTCCAATCTTTGGCGGCGCTGTTTTAGGTCGAAGGATATTGGATCTAACTCTTTTTTGGCTTTTCATCCAATTCGTATCAATTCTATTAGTAAGCCTTTCCAATTCTCTACGTGATCTCGGTCTCTTACCCGATGCCTGCCTCCTAGCCCTTTCTAGTTTAATTTCAGGAGGCAACTTTTGTAATTTAGCACCTTTTTTTGCAGTTTCCATATGCTGTCGAGCTTTTTCGGCGTTTCTGGTCATATAATAGATTGTACCTGGTACGCAGGGGTCTATTAAAGGCGTTTTATTATTTAAGAAGAGCTTAATTAATTCACTCATAGTTTCAGCTTTTTTGTCCAATTGTTTATCTTCATTACTTGGCAATTCCTTGGCTATTATCTCTTTGATTTTGGCAAATAACGGAACTTTTCTAGGTAACCAAGCGTCTAATTTACTTAAAGCTAAATTTTGAAACATAACCCAAGTGGTACCTGCCTTCCTAATTAATCGTTCTATATTCTTTTTATCAAGATAGTAACAAATTGTATCCGTTTTACAAAAGACATTTAGAGCGTAAGTTTCCATGTTTAGTAGCATCTCTAAATCTCCAATAATCTCATTCTCTTCCATCCAGCATACTTCTATCTCTCTACTCTTCATTCTTTTCTCGGCAGCCGAATAGCCTTCCTTTCTTCTAACGCGTATTCTTTCCTGAGAGACTATTGATTTCTTTTCTTTTTTAACCTTTAAAATTGTGTCATACTGCTCTTCGTGCATTGATGGTCGGGTGGTAACCTTTGTTCGGCCCCTGGTTAAAAACATTTCTCTCTCAGCAGGATGTAATAAGATCTATGAATTTTACCTTAGGATAAAGAATACTCCAGTAAACGGCTGGCCTTGTTTAAAGATAAATGAATCGTATGCGAATACTTCTTTTCTTAAGCTCATTTCCATCAATCTTCGAGATTTAGAAGACCAATCTTTAAAGAGGGGACAAGCTCTAACAAACTCGTTCTTTTCCCTAAAGTCTCTTTCATGCTGAGTTTTTAGAGTCGAATCAAACAGTTCTTTGTCAATAACGAGTAAATGAGTTTCTTCTTCCGACAAGATAGATGCATTCCTTACAGCATTATCACTTATCAAAGCTATTTCTCCGAAACATTGACCTTCACCTATAAAAACAAATATGAATCGTACGAATATTTATCAACTGTAATAGTATTTATATTATACTTTGTAAATACAAAATTCTTTCTATCTAGGTCTATCAAAATCCAAAAGTTAAAAAAAGACAAAATTACGAAATTCAACTAAATTTCATTTATTTTTTTACCATAGGAAGTTATATATTTTCCTAGATCGTTGGATAATCCATTATCTAATTCTTCTCTATCATCCGCATCCTCATTTATCAATGATGTATGTATATGAACAGACACCTTTCCGCTAAGTATAATGTAGAAACTGTTGATTAATAGCTATTATTATCATACTATTTCATGTATGTTTGTAGTAAATAAACTAAAGGGAGAAAAAGAGTGAGTGAGAGAGAAAGAGAGAGCGAGAGAGAGAGAGAGAGAGAAAGATAAGGATTATTATATCTTCCATGACTTTTTGAGCACGATCATTAAATACCAATTTATTTGCTCTTTCGTTCTCTCTCTTTTAACAGGAGAAAATATCTCAAATCATATTTTACCTTCGACCAATATCTCCCTGCTTTATGATAAGCTTATTACCTTCTACGTGATCGTACGAGCAATTCCTTAATAAGTTGGACAATTCGCCTATTCATAATAAATTACTTAAGATAACAGAAACAATAAGAAGATAACGGAAGCGATAATTTTAATATTTTATGCAAATCAACTTACTAGACTCTAAATATTTTAAACATTTTCCCTTTCTCCTTAACCAGGGTAAGAGGATGGCAATTTCATTTTTACTCCTTTCATTTGGTAACCTACTAATTAATTCCAAGGCTTTCTTTAACATAGAATTCATTATTGAAAGTCTATACGAAGAATAACTGAAAGGCTGCTTTTTTAAAAACTAGGTGCAAAGTTATTCCGCAAACAAGTTCTTAACTGAATCACGTATGTAAACAAACGCTGATTGGCTTAAGATCGTATATTTTAGAGAGTTTAACTAAATTATATACGAAATTATTTAGTTTATTATTAAATATCTTAATGATTGCAAATTACATATGACGTTCTTGAAATAGCGACTAAGAGAGGGTGTAAGAGAAGAGTATAAGATAAATTCGTCTTTTCCTAGCTTATCTCTTCTCCATCCTTTTTTCTCTCCCTCCACTCTTTACCAAAAAAAAATTGCTTTTCTATTCACTTTGCTAAATCTTTCTTTCTTATCTTCTCTTCTGTTAAAAGATACCCTTTTCCTAACCTATTATAATTTATGTCTAGCTGTAAAATTACTTAGGCCTATTGTTTTAAGTTTTAACAGCTGGTATCAATAATCAACAGTTTGTAAGTAATCAAGTAATCCTATGATGAAAAGTTTGCTTTTCTTAAATTTTAGTCCGCTTTTCTTCAATTAAGTTTCTCTTTTAATTAGTAAAAGAAGAGTAATAGACATTAATGAAACGAATTTTACGTCCCAAGATGATAGAAATTAAGTTAATTATGACAAGTTTGAATAAAGGAAGAGGCCAAAAAGAGTAAATTCTATTGATTTTCCTATCCAAAGTCAGTGTTATTAAGATAGTCGAAAAAAGGCGGAATAAGTGTACCGATACGTAAATAATAGATATAAAATATAGAGAATAAAAGGGAATAGGAGGTTGAGTTCCGGTTCTGTTTTAAAGCAACATTAAAAAATGATGGAGTGATTATATAGAGTATTCTATCTACCATTCTTTGCTCCTATATCGTACAGTATTCTCTTCATCTCATCCTTCTATCTATTTTTCATATATGTTATTCTATTAGAGGAAGGCGGACATATCAAATTGATAATCTAGTAAAACTTTTGATGAGTACCAATTGAAAGAATTTACAAACAATTTCGCTAATGACTATTAATGTACGAAATCCCTTTACCAACACGTTTTTATCGCAAATTAGTGCTAGAAATGGCTTTTCCATTGACTGATGAATAGGTTATATTACGTCCATTATCTTCATTTTATTGCTAAGGATGCCTATAAATGTTCCTCTATATAAAAAAAGAGAGATGTTAATTTAAATGATTAGTACATTCTTTTCATTTTAATTCTGATTGATATTCTGCTGTGACCTTTTCTTTTTTTTTACATACATCTATACATACGCACACGCGCATACAACATAATATAGAGTTCTGGAGTACATCTACAAAAACCCAAATTGAACTTCCACAGCTTAAAAAGCTTAATAAATCATATTAACACAGGAAAAACATATTGTTTCTTTGACTATTTAAAAAATACTCTCCTTTCCCCTCCTCTTCTCTTTAATCCTTATATTCTTATCATACTATTTTTCCTTATCTCTTCAATATTAATGTACTATCAATATATTTCTACGTTTGTCAAAAAGCTATTAATTTACATTATTCTTCTTTATTTACATAGTAAGTCGACATATTTATCTATTGATATGATCTTTAGTAAATTATTGAATTGGTCACATAATTCCAGGAATAACGTTTCACTATTGTCTTATTATCTATTCTTTTTACTTTTGAGTAGTTTTCTAAATTAGATTGGTCAATTATTCAAATATACCTATTTTATAAAGAAACATTATTTAAAACCGAGTTAATGATTATTGACTTGTGCATTTAATTGTATTAATTAATATAATTAATATGTAGGAGAATGAGAAAATGAAAGACAGGAATAGAGAACGAGATAGAGAGGCGTAAGAGAGAAAGAAATAAAGAGAAGTGAAGAAATCTCCAATATTCATATCCAGAGAAAGAGAGAGAGAGAGAAAAAAGAAAATGAAAAAATAACTATTAAAAAAAAAAAATTCAGTAAATGTGCATCAAAAAAGCGCGCGTGTTATTTTTTGTTTCTTGCGGAACGTTACGTAATAACTAAATAGTTTGCACTGACACCAGTATTTTTTTCCATATAAATATTACAAATAAATTGTTTTGTTGTTGTTGTTGTTTTTTTTTTTATGTACACATACATACTATTCACACGTAAGCTTTCTCTGTATGTGTGTGTGTGTGTGCGCGTGTGTGTGTGTGTTAATTTTTTTTTGTTTTACACGCATTAAAGTCATATTTTTGATGAGACAGAAGAAAAAATGTTCAAAAATTGGCACAGGATTAGCGGCAAATGAAAAAAAAAACAAAGACAAAGAAGAAGAATAAGAAGAAGTAATAGTAGAAGAAGATAGAGTTCGAATTCCATTCTTTAAAAGGATATATGTATATATATATAGATATATACATATAAATATATATACACTTCAATTACATATACATATATATATATATAAAAATATATACATATATATGTAGTACGTATAAGAATATTTAGGACATATATGATTAGTATGTATGACGTATTAGTGTGGGGCGAAATGGTGTCCTCGTTGAATGAGGTCGTGGTGCATTTGCTGGGCTATGAGTTGACGCTGGATCAGGGTGTCCCTCTCTAAAAGGGCTGGAGGATATCCGGCAGGTGGCGTCGGAAACGATTGTGAACCCATTAGCGGATGCATGTGTAATCTGGCTAAAGGATCGTTGAGGGCCATCGATCTTTCCGCCTGCATTCTTTCGGCTGTTGGCACGCAACGGTTTTAATCGAATTAAGCGGCTATAAAGTGTCCGCCACTTACCCAAAGCTCTTTCGCGTTCGCGTTGTAGAATATCTGGTGGGTAAATACCGGTAGGGACGGGAAAGGTCAAACCTCCGTGTAAAAGGCCCGGTCCAGGAGGTAGCGGTAGACCCCTTAGCGCGTAGTCTCTTTGCATTTGGAGAAATTGCGCTTCGGCTACTTGACTCGAGGTAGCTGTAGGTGATGTGGCTGAAGAACCTGGTTTCATTTCTAATTCTCTTTTCATTTTTTCCTGCAATTCTATTTCCCGTAGTTCCCTTTCCCTCATTTCCCTCTCTCTAGCATCCCTCTCTTGCTTATCGCGCAATAATTCAGCCTCCAACCTCTCACGACTTGATTGCGAAGTAGTATAAATAACCCTCTGGTTCATATCCGGCGTCATATTTAAACCTCCGTATGGCGCTTGGGACACGGCTGTTTGCCCTAAGCCCAAAGCATAAGCTCTATCGCTGTACGCCCTGAGTTGATGCAGGGCGGGGGTATCAGAGTTAAATATCGGCGGAGCGGGTCGGTTATTCAGCATGTGTACGTGTGATAAGACTTGTGCGTCGGCTGTCTTATTTTCCGGCGGCGTCTTCCTAATCTTCTCCTCCTTAGGCGCCGATTTTGTGGATGGATGGCGATTGCCCTCTGCCCTTGCTGCTTTCCTCTTAGCGAATTTCGATCCTGGTTTTATGGCATATATAAGATCAGTTCTACTGCAAGAGTTGCCGCCTCTATCCAATCGCCTTATAATAATGGCATTTGCATACTCCTTCTCAACTCTGTCTACAACTTCTGGAGTACTTTCAACAACACTGGTCGCCGCTTCTTCGTCCGTATCCGGTACATTCGTTTCTCGTTTGACAGTCGTTTCACTTGGAGTTGGCGATTCGATTATTTCAGAGTTTGGTGTTTGAGAATTGTGCGATAGCGTCTCTATACTTGATCTCCTAGGTGGTAGGTTATCAAGCACATTGGTTTGCGTACTAGATATGTTGAGTTTGTGCGAATTAATATCCGGAGTCGTTTCATTTTCTAAACGCTTCAAAGGAGGCGGTGGACCGTGAGGACGGCTAGAATTGACGGGCGTTGGCTTTTCCCAAACGTCCTTAACTTCTTCCTTTATCTGAGTTGAAATCAACGGCGGCGGATGATGCTGTTGAACGGGCGGAACGGCCAAAATTGGCCTCGGAGGAACGTGCCTGTCATTGGGCTCTATTTCCATTTTGCAAGCGGACGATGCCGACGTGGATGGCTGAGCCTTACTCGATTGCTGTTTGGCATTAATTTGTTCTTCCGCCAACAAACTGTCAATCGCATTAATTGCAGGTTTAACAAGTGATTCGTCCTCGCCCCAGCCTCCACTGTTTCCGCCTTCGCTGGATCGACGTTCTTTCTTAATAGCAGTAGGTATAGAATCCTTATCATCACCAGATTCTTCACCATTCGTCTTAGAGTCGGATGTCCGTCTCTTATCCGCCCCGCTGCTTTTATTATTATCCATCGAATCAGGCATCTGTGTAAAGAGGAAATGATAAGAAGAACCGCGAGGTGTCGACACTATACACCTGAATAGACTTATACAAATAAACTGCTTATAAAATATGCATTAGCCGCCAAGCAAAACAGAAGCGGCATCTACAAAACAGTAATAGTAATAAATACCTAAATTCGAAACGTACCTTAGGCTTTTTGCTCCGTTTCCATAGATAATAATACTCGACGAGTTCGCCCTGCCAAAAATGCAATACTATCAATACTTTTCGGTAGATTAAAAGAGAAATACTTTTACAGGTTATATCGAATAACGAACTCGATCTTTTCTCGCATTTATTTACACAATATCAATGTTATAATCGTACATCAAATAGTCGTTGGAATTGCTTAAAGCTACAGGCTTTGGTTTGAAAGGCACAAAATTAAAACAAATAGGCAGGAAACTAAGGGAAGAGGATGGATGGATGGATGCAACATCAATAACACAAAAGGAAGGGTAAACGGGTATAACAGCAACCCGACTTTTAGATTGTACAAACAAGAGGAAAAACCGCGTAAAAACGCTTAGCCACATCTGCTACGAATGTACATACATTCAGTAGTTTATTGCCCAATTCACCCGGGCAAGCTGTTCCAAACAACGATCATTTCAGATATAATTTTTATTTCCAGTTGTCGTTAGTTTAATATTATTAATGCTTCTATTATTATTCAATAGTCGACCTCAGTGTCGAAGATGCGGGTCGTAAGGTGAAAGGCGTGCAAGATGAGAGAGAGTAGCAGGCAGACAAAAAATCAATAATCTCACCACCAGATGGCGTCAAAGAAGAAGGGAGATGCGAAAGAGGTGAGACAGGGGGTGGTGATAGAGGTTGTAGAATATAGTAGCAAACGCCAGTCAACACTAAAGAGGGTCAACAAAGGAAAAGAGGTATGGAGGGGGTATGTTTTTGAGGAGGGGTTGAAGAAAAGGGGAGGGCTAGCAGATGAGTAAAGAAGGTATAAATAAGAAAATAGGAAAAAACCGCGGTAAGATTCCCCCTGGGGAGAAGCAACAACAGGGCAAGACGCACATCTTTGTGATTTGCGCCAATTACAATTGCAACTAGCGCAAGGCGCTAGCCCGCTGCTTAGTTGGAATAGGGCGGGAATAGCCGGCGGGAATATTAGCGAGTAGTTCCTATTGTCATCACACGTTCTATTATATACGCCATTTCTACTTCGGCTCTAATTAGTTTCATTCCCTTAAACGCGTACCAGCATACCATCAAACGGGTAATATTAGTAAAGCGAAAAATATTATAGAGGCGTAGTTGAGTATTTAAGTATTGTAGTAAGATTGAAGAAGGATTTCATACGCAAAATCAAAGCAGAGAGACATTTACGAAACGAACTGGGCGACTTAATCGGGCGTGATAAACAACCAAGCGCCTTTTGTCGGTGCTACCGTAAAATCGCTATATAATTATTAAAAAAGAAGGCCGGTAATTTTGCGCTGCCGCTAATCTAACCTCATCCGTATTATAGGATTAAGAGTTCGTGCCTGCCACGGCGTAAATAAGCAGGTGTAACGCTATACTTATATGAACATGAAAGCGAAATTAATCACAACGAGTCGCCCTCTAAATCGATTCGAACACGTATATTCCTTACCACTTTCTTATTGGGGAAGAATTCTTCTCGCATCCTGTAGAAATTCTTTCCAATCTGCTTAAATCCTTTAGCGAAACGTTTCTGGTTGAAAAAGTAAGAAAAACAAACATAATTAATCATAGAATCTTTCTTTCCTCCTCCCCTTCCTACTCCTCCTCCTCCTCCTTCCTTTTTCTCTCATTTTCTCTTTCCCCTTTCACCCCTATTCACCTTTCCCTAACCTCTTATTTTTTATGATTATTTAACGTTTATAGGATGAAACGCAATTACTTTAAGTGTAATTTTAAAAAAAAATACTATAAAAGGGTAAATTAAGGGTGAAGCTGAATAGAAAATAAGAATTGATATACAGTATACACAAGCCAAGGATTGAAGTAAAAAGAGGATGATTTAAAAAGAAAAAAAATGAGAGAGAGAGAGAGAGGAAAATGAAAGCAAGAGAAAAAAGTTTCTATGACCCGCGGCTGTGTGCGGCGCACCGTGCCCTTCTTTGTTATCGGTCCTTTCAACTATTGAAAGGCATGGCATCGAATCAACATTTTTATTACGCACTTGATCGCCGATACGCTAATTAAATAGACAAACTTACCGATTCTTCTTCGCCCCATTTTATCTCAACACTAGTAGGTAAAGGACGTTTAACAAGCTTTTGCAGAGCTTCTCCTTTATCGTAATCGCAACCGTGTAACTAAATTAAATAGAAAGAAAAAAATTCTGAATGAATAGAGAGTATATAATACTACAACCAAACATAAAAAATTAAATTACAACGAGACACGCAGCGCTCGTCTTTGTTATTGTATTTTAAGAGTGATACGGTAAGTATGTATGCATACAAACACGTATACTGTATACCTTCCTATATATATATATATAGTATAGTATAGTATATGTATTATTCTGTATAGTATATATAGTACATGTATATAAACTGTACGCATACTGTTTATAGATAAGATATGAATGTTTTGTGTTTTTATGTACGTGTATTCCATGCCTGTATATATCATAACCGTGTCTATATACAAATAGTGCTTTTAAATATGTTTATGTAAGAAGAAAAAGGCGGCGGTGGCGGCGGCGGCGGCGGCGGCGGCGCGACTGACTCAGATCGATAGCAGGCGTTGATAGAGCGAACGTAAACGCGATAATGTATAGAGGGGAATATTCGATTGGGACAATTATGAATAGATAGAGCCAAGAGATATAAATATATGTATAGCTTTAAAATACAATACAATAGTGAGGAAGACTTACAATATCAAGGGCATTGACGGTTGTACAGTCTTGAGAAGCCGCTTGGCACCTGTCTTGCTCGCTTAACGACGTTGCCGGGTCGCACATTCCAACAAGGGCGGCCATTGATCTAGCCGCTTGCAAGTAAACTAGTACATCACTATCCGATATGGCGCCTGGCGTCCATCGTATTTGTTCTCGACTAACCCAGCTGTTGTCGTCGGTCTCTTTGCTGCCATCGGAACATTCCGGTAATTTTGCTTGATACCCAGAACCGACGCGAATCTGACCTTGTATATTAGACGCCAGCTTGCCGTCACTCGCTGTTGGATAGAGCAATTTCATTAGCTTTAATAAACACAAACCAACTGCTAAAAGATTAAGGTGATTAACTGTACAAGGCGGCTTAGCGAGAGAATATACTAAATATCTTACAAACCAACCTGTAAATAGATCGTTTTGCCATTTACTGAACGTGTGCTAATGCAAACTACCAACAGATTATTCCGCTCGTTTTACAATCATCATATCTCATTATCAAGCTACTTTAATATACATGTATTGTACAGGCACGCAATTTTCCACCCGCCCTTTATCCATTTAATCAATATTTGCATTCTTGCCTATTTCAAACTATACAGTCAATTTTACAACAAACCAACTCTGAGTGCTTGCTATTTATTCGGATCGAAGTAGTATAAAAAGTTATAAACGAGCCAATCATAGAAGGAAATTAACAATACAGTACACTATCGATCAATGCAATCTCATTCGCCACTTATCTGGCACCATTTGCACCGTGCTTACTGTTTAACATGCACTGCAAATATGCGGTATGTAAACAATCGAATTACCTTACTCTACTGCAAAAAATCGTTTATAAAAACTTTCACACGATTATGTCCTCTCTTGTTTTAATCTCTCTGTTTTTTATCTATCCATCTTTTTTTATCAATCCAGTAAATTAGCGTATTAACATTGATTGTAATGATCACTCGATTATTCTAGTACAAATTGTACTAACGTTGCTTTAAGGTGCGACGCTGATTTATAGACCGATCGAAATCGTGCCATTTGATCTTCAAGCGGCCTACGAATATTAATTAAACACCGTTCGGCACAAAGAATCCTAACAAAACGCAGCTATTTACCTCCGATCTGTAGTCCCTATGTTTTTAATTCAAATCGCCCGTCTTCAATTTATTCCTTTTATTACAAATGCGATCAGCGAATTGTCATAAAACATCTTGTAGTAGTATAAAAATGCTAAAAAAACACAAAAACTCACGGAGAATTTGTACATATGATGTTACCGGCACGTAACGGCCTCGATTATTCGTTTATTGCCTACCACGCAGGGCCAATCAGCGACGGCGTTACAATAAAAAACAATCATGACTATGTTATACACTAGATGTCATCTTTAACAACTTTGGACATTACTCATAAGATAATTTCAACAAAAATTTGTAAACTAAATATAACAAGAAATAAAGTATTTTAAATGCAATTTGTCTGTTCTGTTTGTTTTAAAAATAAAACTCATAAATGTCCCTTTCAAAGTCAACTTCCATTACTTTTGCTAATAAGTCTTGTGGATTTACTTTCACCTCCATATCTACATCTTCATCGTCACCTTCCCAATCTCCGAGTTCTTCATCAAATTCTCCGTTGTCAATTTTGTGCTTATTTTCCTCGAACTCTTTGTCGCTTTCAGGACTACCGGGTAGAGTCCAACCATTTCCTAAGTCATAATTGTATAAAAGAAAAAGCACTCCTTGTACGGCTGATTGTAAGTCACAGGATGCTTTATCCCACTCGTCCAAAATACTGATGCAAACTGTTCCATCTTCATTTATGTTTGGATGGTAAATTCTATTTTTACAGACAATTGCTGGGGAATTGTCAGGATAATTTGAAGGTAATTGAAACTGAAGAATTGTAAATAATAATAACTTATATTTTCTTTGTTGGTACACTACTTACTTCGAAAGAGTAAGTCTGTTTTGCAAACAATCCTTCAGAAGGTGTTATATTAATCGAAAAACGTGTAAAGTCGTCTTCCCAGTCTGCTAATTCCGCTTGATTCGCGGTAAAGCTTGGTAAATTTACATATAGATCTCTCAGTTGTTTAGCTACTACTTTCATCATTTTCTTAGTAGAATGTAATGATTTATTAAAAATTATGTCTAATAAAATTCTCTCTTATAAGTGTCTTTGTCAAATCGTTTCGTGAAAATGTGAAGCTATGTTGCACAACTTTTCATTTTAAAGTTTTCAGAACTCGTTAGTGCGCATGTCTCTAGTTCTGGGTTCACATTCCAACTAACTTATTCGCCTAATCATTCAACTTCGGAACTGGTAAATCTATTGCAATTTCAGGCTTGCCCGTACTAGACTGCTTACGTAATTCCTGACTACTAACACAAATTTATAAATAGATTGGGTAAATTTCATTTATGTAAGAAATACTTTCCTTACACTTTTTTCAATAGTGTTATCGATTGTAAGCAAATTACCAATTTTCAACAAACAAACATATTAAGATAAAATTATTTTCTTAGAAAATCGAAAACAATTGATCGATCAAATCGATCACTTTTATCAATCTTTTATACTACTATTTTCTTTATTTGTGTTATTTGAAACAGAAATCGTACATTTTATGAAAAATATTGATTTCTTGCAACAATGTTGCAATTTAAAAAAAAAATGTTAAGATTTTCTTTAAAGGTCTCTAATTAATCATATGTTTTTTTCAGCCATCTATTTATACATATATATATTATTATTATTATTACTGCTATAATAATAATAATAATAATATTAATTATATATTATTATTATAATCTTTTATGTAAAAATTAGTATATATATATCAATATTTATATTATAGCATGAATATAGTTCAAAATCTTGATTCCTTTATTTTCATAATTAAGTAATTTTAATAAATACGTTGAAAAACAATTATTAGAAAATATAAACATATGCGGTACTACGAAAACTGGCGGTATTTCCGTTTCCTCTCAAGAGTAAACTAAACTTCCTCAGAAGGCAGATTAAGGAATTCTTTTATATAGAAAACGCCTTTGCATAAATAATAATATGGCAGATAACCAAGAAGGTGGCTTTGAGTGGGCGGTTCGAGTTGGCGACCTAACTGTCATCAGAAGCAAAATTGAAGAAGTATAAAATATCCATTTCCTCAATTATAAAAAAAAAATAAAAAAATATTTGTTTCAGACTCCAACATTAGCAAATGAAATTGGTAGAACTGGTAGACCACCACTTTGTGTCGCTGCAGATTATGGTCATTTTGACGTCATAAAGTATCTAATTGAAAGGGGAGCAAATGTCAATGTAAGCAAAAGAATATCTATAATAAGTATCAAGCAGAGGTGTATAATTTCAATTTCAGGCTTGCGACAGTCACGGAATTACTCCCCTACTTTCTGCAATCTACGAAGGACATAAAGAATGCGTTGAATTATTGCTCTCGAATGTAAGAATCTTGTTTCTTGGTCCTTCTCTCATTTTTAGCCCATCCCCTCTTAAGCATTCCCCCATCCTCTTTACAATCGACTATTGAAATTAATTAAATTTAACTTTTACAGGGAGCAGATAAAAGCAAAAAGGCGCCAAACGGGCAATCCTATTTAGAATGCGCTGAAGATTCTGTTATTAAGTCTTTACTTAAGTAAATTAAATGAATGTCAACTTCAATGTAATCTGAAGGGGTGTATGACGACTATATGTATAAACAGTACTTCATCCGGAGAGGGTTTATAGCCTAAAAAGCCTTGTTCAAAAAGCATTTTTTTTATACTAATCTCTATTTACCAATAATAATTTGTTAAATGTTTTTCATAAACTCCCAAAAAAAAAGAGAAAATAGCTATTTTATTTATCTTCTCACAATTTCCTCTGAGTTGAGACTAATAATTAAACATAGTACGCTTCTAATTTAAAGGCTTTTAGATATGCCTAAAAATTTGTTTAATCTCTTGAAAATGATCTTTATTGTTTTTTTTCTATAATTTGTTTAAATGCTCGGTGAAACATATAGATATTATATTACGCCACCTATTGGACTTAAAAAAATTGCTGTGATAAAATAGAATAAAGCTTAAAATTCTGTTGTAATAGCACTTCATAATTTAATAATATCTTTGAAATGTTAATAAGAAGTTTAATAAATAATGATAGGCCCAGTAATTGGAATTGTAAATAGCTAAGGGGAAAAAAGCCTACAATACAAATAGGCCCTGAAAAAGAGACTTTATTAAGTGTATGTTTGTACGGTAGAAGATATAAATAGCTAATAAGCAAGTATTTTCTCTACGAATCTTAGTTTCTTCTCTGAAAGTGTTATATGTTACAAAAGATGGTTCTTTTTTTATCAACGTTTGAGAAACATTTCTAAACAATAGTAGGTCCTTATAGTCACTAATAAAAGGATAGTTCTTCATTGTTATCTATTGAAATGATGATAAATATTTCATCTCCATCCTGTTCATTCATTACTTGTTCTCGAAAAAAACTGTCACTCTACAAAAGCGTATTCCTCCTTGGTTTATCTTTCTTTCTATTTGTTCTCTTTCTCAATGTTGATGTATTATATAAAGCGTATTGGTTACCAGTAAGAAAGATAATGTAAGGTAGAGATACAATGTAATCTATAAAAACCTATCAAAAGGTGGGCGTTCACGCAAATTGTAATGGAACTATAGCATTTTCTCTCCCTTTGTTAGAAAGTTGCAAGAATAGTATTAGATCTTGTTCAAACAGATAACTACTAATAAGCATCTTCCGCTCCAAAACTACATAAAGTCACTCACTATGACTATTTTAACGTACGAAGAGCATAATAAAATTTATACTAAGACTTTCCTAATTCTTCCATAGTTTTTACAATACTGTCCCGATAGGCCTTTTTATTTGACATATCATTTGAAAGGATAATTATGAAATGATTAAAAATCGTACTAAATCTAAGTCGTGCGTGGTATAATATCTTGACAAACAGATTAAGGATGCATGTAAACTGAATAACAGATAACCATAATAAAATACAAAAACATTTTATCATTTACCTAGGAAAGATGGCGGAAGCATTTGAACTTCATCTTTCTCTAGATAAGGTTTGAATAACGAATAATTTTTGTATTTGTCCCACATTATTCATTGCGAAAAGAATAATAATAAAAAAAAGTAAATTCCCTTAAACAACACAAATTAGTGATAAACCAACTAAGTTATCGCATAAAAAAACTGGCTGGACCTTATCTCTTTTGCTAATTACTTGACGAAAGGTCATAAAATATTTTAGATATAAAACAAGGAATATGGACTAACGCGTAGTCTGCGTCAAAATTTTTATCGCTATAGCAGAGAGGAGAGGACTGATTGGTTATTGACGAACAAAGATAATCAGTGATAAGTGATTAGATTGTAGAGAACTTACCTGTTTCGATTCTCTTGTTATCTGACTGCCGTTGAGAGAAGAATGTATCGTGCTTTTGTCCTCTTCTCATTCTTTGCCTCTTTCCTCCTTTTCCAGAGCGCCTATGCTCGTAAGTATTAATTATTAATTATGGTCATTTAATAGAAAACATCCCGCTTTCGAATCAGAGTTTTTATTAACGCTTTACTCCTTTTTACTTTTATCTAATAAAGAAGAAGAAGCTGAAAGAGCTGAAAATCCAGCAGATTTAATTTTGGGAAAGGTAGAAGTCTATGTTGAAGAAGCCATTCTTAAACTTGGTCAAAATACTAGATTAATTTGTATTACAAAATTCAAGAAAAAACCAGATACAGACATTACTAGTATTTGGTTAAAAAAAGCTTACGATTCGGACATTAACGAAACCGAAACTGCAAGCTTAACTCTGGGTCCAACTCTGATAAATGAGTACTATCAACCTCGCTACAGTGTTAAAATAAATGAAGACAATAAAAACAACATGTATACCCGTAATTATACGCTTTCAATAGTAAATGCTTCAGTGGCCGATTCCGGATTATTTGTGTGCCTGCACCAAATAGGTACTAAAAGATTTTCCGGTAACCATAGCGTTCTAGTGAACAAAGTAATTGGAACCTCCTGGAACACTTCTGCCTATGACCAAACAGCAAATAGGTCATTGGTTGAGGAAGGTTCTCTAGATGCTAAAGCATCAGAGACATACGACTTGGAATGTTCAGTTAGACACACTAGCAATTTGCACGTTTACAACAGAGCTGATGTATATATTTCTGGCACAAAAGAGAGTAAGAAAACCAACGTCAGCAGCCTTTTCATTAGGACCAACGCATCTAGAAGCTCAACCGATGAGAACTACATTAAAACCGCTGTAGATGGTGCAAAATTCGAAAAAGATCCATTAATCCAATTATACGATACAAGTCTTAGAAACAAAAAATTTAAGTTTAACTATACCCATAACGGTCAATACCTTCATTGCTTTGGCGCAAATGACAAATCTGGAGCCGGTAGTAAAGATGCCGTCATTAGATTGAATATTACTCATGCACCAGCATTTAAGTGTGATCACGTCCAAAAAGCTTCACTGCACGCCACCAACAATGCAATAAAATGTAAAGTCTACGCCAACCCTATGATTGCTAAGGAAATGTACTGGGAATTCTCTTACGGTGGAGATAAGTCTAAGCTTCGCCCAGGACAACACAAGGGTAAACACGACTATAGAATAACCGCCGGAATTAAGAAGAAGACCAACGAATATGTTGAATTCTCTCTTCACTTTGCAAAAATTCGACAAGAATACTTTAAAGATTATAAGTTGGTAGCAAAAAATTCTGAAGGAGAAAAGTCTGTTAAAATCCGATTGCAACAAAGTAAGAATCAATTTTTAATTTAAAAAAAAATAACAATTTCATCAACAATTCTTTTAACTCTTTCCTTTTATCTTCCAAAATAGAAACTTCACCGAGAGGAGCTGCATCCCAAACAACGGCTCAATTTAGCATGCTTTCCATTTTATTTGTTGTAGCAAGAATATTCTCCAAAGCTTAGATGTCAAATGTTGTGTTTTTAAAAAGAAAAGTTTTTAGAACTTAGCTTGTGATTAGTGGCATGTCGAACCCGTAATATATAAAGAAAGCTTTTTTTTTTAATTTAAATAAACATTAACAAAACAAAAAAAATGGAACTTACATATTCTGGAAAATTCTTAAAAATTGGCGCCAATCGGATATGCGAAGTTATCATTTCCATAGATAATTATGAATCAACATGCAGAGGTTAAAAATAAAACTAATTGGTATAATATCTCTTTTATCCGTGTTATGTTAAAAATTGTAAAACAATACTTTAGTTATAAAACTAGAAAATGGAATAGAATTTACAACTACTAATATATTCCCTTCTAGGAGTTCTTTAATTTTTCAATATAAATAACTTTGTCTTTGAAAAGAAAATAATTAAATTAATAATAATAAGAATATAATATGAATAGTTAGTTGTTATTTATACTTAATGCTTTAGAACGATTAACAAATTAGAGGTGATACGCAAAGTTTACCTAACAATTTCTTTGTTTATCGCTCACTCAATTAATATTTATTCTATCTATAATATTTTGCTGAAAAAATTGTATTTTGATGTAAAATATGTACTTACAAAAAGAACGTGAATATATATATATATATATATAACATAAATACATATATATTTTTTAAATAGTTTAGAATTGACGAAGTTTTTATTATTTCGTTTAAATGAGAGCAATTTTCTTTATTGATATTGTAATAAATTCATATCTTAATAGACATAAAAATTTATTCATATTCATGTTTAAATAGTGTTCTGGATTAAGAATACAATTTTTCGCAAAAAAAAATTAGGTTCCCTTATCTTTTTGTAGTAACCTAACGAAATCTTATGAAAAGTACTATAAGAGGAGAAAAGATAAAGTCAAAGATATGAATTTTTCATATTGTCCACTCTAATTTAATATATTACACTTTACGGTTTAAGCAAAGAAACCGTCCTTATTGTTTTTTATGAGAAGGCTATATAATGACGGCCATAAAAATATTAACAACCACTAGATGGCGTAGGCCGCTGTGGTCGATAATACAGAGTTGTGGGTTTGATACTAAAACAAGACTAGATATAAAAACTATCAGTAAAGGTTAGTCATACTTAAAAAAAATAATAAAGATTACTAGCAGACTTTTATTTAGACAATTAATTAATAGAGGTAATTTTAAAAACTAAACTTTTTGTTTAAGTAATTTGAAACGGCTACAACCATTATTCTTTACGAACGAAAGAAAAACCTGCAAAAATGTTTAAATATCATTGTCGAAACTTTGTAAAAATAAGCATGAATAAATGGTATAAGCAAATTTTTCAGATGGATTTCGGACCGATTGAATGGCGCCCTAAATTTGCAACTAAACAGGGTGAAAATGCTCTCTGTGCACCAACGCCCTTCCTAGCTATTAAAGAGGAAGAAATGATGAAAAATATGAATAAAATGATGGAGTTGATGAAGCAATGGCCAAATGTTGATTTGAGACCCCATTTTAAAGCCCATAAATCGGTTGATATTGCAAAACAACAGATAAAGTTGGGAGCTGTTGGCATTTGTTGTCAGACACTTACTGAGGCTGAATCAGCTGTTTATGGTGGCTCAATAGAAGATGTTTTCATATCGAATGAAGTTATTGGTGTAGGAAAAGTGAAAAGGGTTGTTCAATTAGCCCTGAAATCCAAAATATCCATTTGCGTTGATAATGAAGAAAACATAAAAGATTTGAGTCAACTCGCTAAGGAATCTAATGCTAACTTAGATCTTGTGATTGAGGTTAATGTCGGTCAGGATCGATGTGGTATTAAACCTGGTGCCGATGTTGTACCTTTAGCTAAACTTGTAGAATCTTTACCGAACGTACACTTTAAGGGAATTCAAGCTTACCATGGCTGGAATCAGCATGTTAGATCAGCAGCTGAAAGGAAAGAACGGACCAACACTGTTGCCGGACTAGCACAAAAAACGGTTGAGTGTCTGCAGTCGGCCAACATTAAATGTCCCTATATTACGGGTGGTGGTACGGGAACTTTCCCCTACGAAGCTGGAACCGGTCTTTTCACAGAAATTCAACCAGGTTCCTACGTCTTTATGGACGCTGACTACAATAGGAATCTGAATGAAAAGGAGACTTTCTATAGTGGCTTCGTTCAAAGTCTTTTTATATATACAACAGTTCAAAGTATAACTGGTGATGAGAGAGCTGTTGTTGATAGCGGTATGAAAGCTGCTAGCTTAGATTCTGGACCTCCCTTGGTAAATTTTGAGTCATGCTGAATTAATCAATTCAATAATACTGCAATTAACTTCTCAACAGGTGGCGGGAAAAGAGGATTCAGTCATCTATCATTCTGGCGGGGATGAACACGGAATATTAAGACCGAACGATGGCTTTAAAGTTGGACAAGTTATTCAATTAATACCTGGGCATTGTGATCCAACTGTCAACCTTCACGATGTTTACTATCTGATAGATGGTAATGAGAAGGTTAAAGCAATCTTACCAGTAAATGCCAGAGATGCTGGCGTCTGAAATGCTTGACATAGAAGTAACAAACAATTTGAATAATTTTGATTAATTCAAAATACAAAAAGATTAACAATAATAATAATGTAACTTCGTAAAGGATATTTGCATGACGTAGATTTATTTACAGCTAATAAGCCTATAAAGAATGAGATTAAATATTACTGTTTGTTATTTGGTAATATTAAATGATATCTTGAAACTTATAGCCAAATGTAATATTACTCAGAGTGTATTTATACAAGAAGTCATTTCAAACTTTCCCCTCCCACATAGGTGATTACTATTGCACCTGACATTTATTTATTTCCAGATAATTCCAATTATATATTATTATTATAATAGGATATGCATTGTACAGCTTAAAAATCTTTAACAGAATTTACAGTTTATATCTACTGATCCTGATTCTTCCTTAATAGCTTATTAGTCTTACTAACTGTAGTATACAAAGAGTCTTAACAAGATGTCACTTTGTAACGGGCTGCAATTATAAAATATTTTATTGATTGAAAACTTAGATATTGTTCTGCACCATCTTGTTTAACAACGAACAAATGATTTAGTATTTGGGGTTAATAACCACTTGGTGAATTAAATTTGCAGTTATAATTTTGAATATTCTTCAACGAAAAATACGTTATAATCAAACATGTATTTCGATTAGCTATTAATGATAATTTCTTCTCTTTCAATAAAGGATAGATGAAAATCTATGGTGGTATGCTCAAGTTCTCTTTTATAGAGTATAGTGATTTTGCGTGTTTTTCAGCGATGGGATACTAGTATTAAAGCTTTTTTTGGTATATTTTATCGTTTTCGACTTCCAGATAATCTTTTTGTATTAAAATGTACTTGTAAAACTTCGAACAACCTTATTGCCGCCGGAAATTATTCACCGGAAATGCTTAATATTAGTGTCGCACTTCCTGTTTAGCAGACAGCATTTTAACTATTGCAGTCGATATAATTCGCTCTGTTTTAGAGATGTCTTCAGTAAAACAGTCTTGCTTGTTACTCCAAAAACAACTCGCAGGTACGTTAATAGTAAAATAAGAGATAAAAAAAAGAAGTACAATATATAGTACAAAAAATTACGTCTTTTTTTTTTCTAATGATTTATCTAGAGTATGATACATTTCACAATCCTGTCGGACAGGCTGTGTTATTATCTATGTAGTCTATACATTCTATAATTCTTTTCGTTCCAGAATTACAAAAAAATCCAAATGGAGGATTCTCAGCTGGTCTTATAGACGATGATAATATTTACAAATGGGAAGTCTTGATATATGGACCACCAGATACATACTAGTTTGTCATATTTTTTCCATGTAACAATAATTTATTTATTCTAATGATACGAATTTAAAACAGCGAAGGAGGATTTTTCAAAGCGCATCTGACTTTTCCCGAAGAGTATCCTCAGAGACCCCCTAAAATGGTATTTGTTAGCGAAATTTGGCATCCGAATATCGAACAAAATGGTGATGTTTGTATCTCTATACTTCACGAGCCAGGCGAAGATAAGTATGGATACGAAAACGCAAACGAACGCTGGTCGCCTGTTCATACTGTAGAAACAATAATGATGAGCGTAATATCGATGTTGGCTGACCCAAACGCGGATTCCCCTGCCAATGTCGACGCTGGAAAGGATTGGCGTGAAAATAAAGAAGAGTTTCGGAGAAAAGTCAGCAAATGCGTTCGAATGAGCCAAGAGAGCGCATTTGACTAGATGTTGGCCGTGTATGACATTGGCTTTTGCCTTATATGTCGCAGCTGGGAATGAACTTGTGATTCTTATAGACTGCGTAATTAATCACTGTTATGTGTAAAATGTAATGCAGGAGCTAATTTATGCACGTTAATCAGGAAAATTTTTATTTAAGATCTTAAGGATAATTTCGCTTTCATTTTTCATCTTACAAAAATTTACTGTAATACAGCGATTGTCTGACATTTTATAAGCTTTAACGTCCATTCAATAGCTTTTTATTAAGTATCTTGGCCAATATTCTCTATTATTTGAAACAAAACACTTTCAGATTACAACGGTTAAATAACCACAAATAGTTTTCTAACTTTTTGTTTTTCTAAATAGCTCATTATCTATTTTTCCTGTTTTTTTTTGTTTATATACAGTATATTCTTCAACTTCATTCAAAATTTTTATACTATTTAATTAACTCTCTTTTTCTTCTTCTCTTCCCTATACGGATATTTAATAAGTTTTGTTTTCTTAATAGAAAACCCCATGTAATTAGACTCATCGCTAAGCGTCTAGAGACTAATATGTAATTAATGAAAATACACTGTACGGATGATGGTTAAGACAAATGACCTTTGATACAGGTCATAACTTTCTTATTCTCTCCTCTAAACAGGTTACCTTTTGGTTCAAAAACCTCAATCGACCCATCTAACCTTTGTTAAATCGATAGATGGCAGTAGAGGGCAGGGGGCAGGGAAGATAAAAAACTATAATAATGCAATATGAGAAAGAAAGAGGGAGAGAGAGGAGTTTTTTTAAACGTTCCCAGTACTTTAGAAAGCGATATCATAAAATAACAATTCCAAAGTAGTCAATTAATAAGTGTATTTATAGATATAAGAAAAAACCAACACAAGTAGAAGTTTAAATGAGTAAGTGAAATGTTATCGTTATCTCCTCTTGTTCATGTTTAATCCATGATTTTTTTCATATCAAAATTGGCAAGTCACTTTAATTTTTTTTGTATAGAAAGAAAACAATTTTCATTCATTTGTTTTATCTAATTGCCAATGATTTAACGTTTAAAATGCCGATATTTTATACTAAAGAAGGAAAATTATCATACAAATTACATGAAATTAATTAAATTTTGCAGTAGTATTTCTAGCCTACATAGAAATCAATGGTATTTAATCTTTGGTACTATAAATATCTTAATTATCTACTAGTATAATAGCACTTTTTCCTTATGTATGGTACATCTATATATTTTATTGTAAATGTCTATTTATTATGAAAAAAATGTCTCTTGCCTCGATAGTATTATTCCGATTACATATAAGTTGAATAATGGTTGAGATTTTTTAAGAATCCACAAAAGTTTTCGGGTTGTAGGAAGTATTTTCATATGAAAAAAAGATAGGCTATATTTTCTGATAAAAGCTTTGCTTGTAATGTCGTTAATTTCTTCATAGACGTGAAAAGGATTTATAATTTTCAGATGTCTTAATAATATTCGATGGGTCAACGAAAGGTGGCGGCGTCGTCGAAAATTATATGTAAATGAAAGCGGTAGCAAAGCGACGCAAAAAAAAACCGATTTCCAATTGATCCCAACAGTGACGATGGCTTCCAATTTCGCTCCGGAATTAATATTTTTATTATTCAAAGCTGGGGATGCCATGCTTGAACCAACTTTAAAACTGTTTCTTTACGAATCAGTTCAGCAGTCCGGTGAGAATGATGCGACAGCACAAGAAAGAGGAGCAACTTATATGTTATTGCACAAGATTGTTATAAATTTACCAGCATTAGTATTAGGCTTAGTATGTGGTGCGTGGAGTGATAAAGTTGGAAGAAAGTTGCCCATGATGTTACCTTGTGTCGGAGCAGTTCTTGGCGCTCTGGCCTATATCGGTAGTGAAATGTTTTACCCTCATATTCTTCCGTTAGTGTTGGTGGGAGCAGCCGTCCGAGGGTTATTGGGAAAATCAGCCGTAATTAGCATGGCATTACACTCGTATATTACGGATACAACTAGTACGGTTAGTCGCACTACGAGATTGGCAAGATTATTATCTATGAATTACTTTGGTTATTTTTTCGGCTCCCTATTAGCTGGAATTTTACTAGATGTCGTAAGATTCAACATTGTATTCAGTATTGTAGGACTTATTAACGCTATTACATGCCTAATAATTGTATTCTGTCTAGAAGAGACATCTGAACTAGGCATTGCCAATTCCGATCTTTTCTCCATACAAAATATGAAAGAATCGTTTAGTGTTTTAACCAAGGAAAGATCGCAGCGATTTCTTTTACTTTCATTCATAAGCTTGGTAACGCTCTGGCAAGTTTGCAAAGCTGGCGAAGTGGATGTCACATTGTTGGTTGTCGAACGAAAACCGTTGAATTGGCGTCACGCTTTATATGGCTACCTATTGGCTGCCGATTACGCTTGTTTAGGTCTCGGTGTGTTGTGTTTACTGCCAATATTATCAAAAAGAATGCATGATGTGAGCTTGGTACTAATAGGTATCTTCTTCAAGTTTGGTCGCGTCATTTGTATAGCCGTTGGCGGTAGTTCATACGTGATGTTTGCTTCCGTTGTCGTTGGAGCTCCTGCCTCAATGGTTGTATCCGGTAGTAAGTCAATCGTATCCAAGCTTGTTCAGTACGACGAAGTTGGGAAGATATTTTCTCTTATGTCCACCGGCGAAACAGTATCTAATTTAATAGGAGCTGTTATATTTACGACCGTTTATAAGATAACACTTCCAATATGGCCTCCAACGGTCTTTGTAATTGAAGCTGTTTTCTTCTCATTATTATTCTTGGTTATTCTATGCCAAGCTTCACATATTAAACAGTGTACTCCTAATGAAGATGAAACCTGTAATGAAAGTAAAAGGGACAAAACTCCACTCATCCCAAATATTAAACATACACCACCCACACCAGAAAAATTTAGCGACCCAACGTACTCATCGACTGTCGAGAAACACGTGTCTTTTTCGGATTGTTTAATCGAGAAAAAGCATACCGTTCGCTTCAATTAAACTCTTTATCATTATAAAAGGATGATATTGGTCGATTTTCTTCATGTATTTTGGGTTTAAGAACATAAGGGTAATATAAAAATCAAGGGCGTTTGTCAATTGGTAATTATTGATCTGTCTCAGGCGTCATGTGCTTTTGACTGTAGAGCATAGTTTCTAGTCGTTAACCTAAACCTACTCTATCCTTATACTGAAATACAAAATTGTTATGGCCCTGTTCCACTGGCATGATCACTATTACTTATTTCTATCTTACATGGCAATTTCGCTATTTTCAAGTTTTAGGAAATGGAAAGTCGATTTTCACTTTTCCTTTTTAACAATGAACATTTTATAGACTTTTTTCGATCGCCCTTCCTTTTCCTTTAAAGGGCAGCGTTAAACAAATACCGTTACCATATAAGGTAATTTTGCTGTTTTCAGGTTTTTATATTTGAAAATTGCTTGGAGTGTTTTTTGTTGCGAAAAAAACAATAATCAAACTAGTTTATATTATTACCTTGCCCTATCCCCTAAAGGATAATTCAACAAAAAATATAGTTCTTGAACATAAAAAACGTGTCCATTTTCCATTTGTATTACTCCGTTGTGACTCTACTCAATTCTTACATAAACACTTAGTATAAAAAATTGTTTTTTGGAGCAAACTGCGAAAGTAGTCCGATAAGCAAATTTTCAGTGTATAAAAAGGGCAAAATTTTCAGTGTTAATCGGAGTCTTGGCTTTGTCCAGGGTATCCCGATGTGGAAGTAAGTATTCAGAATGAAATACTAGAACTTGGACGAATTCTAAAGTTTTCTTTCTCTTTCTTCTAGCTCTTTCACAGAAGTCTGCATCTATTTCGTCGTCATAAGGAACATTTCAATGTTATCGTATTGCAACAGTTGTTTTTTGCTCCTGCTCTGGTCCGGTCTTCCACCGAGAAGTACGTGTATCTGCCCTCGTGATTCCGGATCGGATAGAAAATTTTTCACTTGCTGAAAGCTTGCCAATGTCTTCCCTCTCCCTTTCATTGGGGGCTGGGTTGATAGGCATGCCTTTCGGAGTGTGACTATGTAACCTTGTTATGGCACGAAGACAATCTATACACTTTCCACAAAAAAACCTCTCCTTTTGGATGGGTGATACAATTCGCTAAAATCCTTTATTTTCGTGATTGATTGGATGCAATATTAATATTTCGACAAACTTCTTACAAAAAATGAGGAAGATCTGAAAGCAAATTATTTGTCTTTTGTTTTGTCAAAATTATAAATAATAAGTGACCAATACAATATAAACTTTGTTTCTTGAAACACACCTTTCGCCTTTTTACATTTTAATAGGAATATGTAAAATGCAAATACAATATTTTAGATGTTATAATATATGCATTGATAAATCAAAATAGTCGTATCACGTCTAATATCCCTTTTCTAAATGAGAGTCGATTTTTTATTATATTCTTAGAAATTTTTTTTCTTGAAAATTCGCACCTTTTTATAAACCAATAATTTAATTAGTCATTGGGAATTCTCCTCGAACGGAAACTCCTAATAAATATCTTTCCTTTCTTTTGGCTAGAAAATTGATTATAATGCTTGATGAATATACAAATAGCCATATGTCAGATTTGATCAAATGAATTTATTCATTTCTTATCATTCTGCACAACAATAAAGAAATAACATGTTTTAATTGTTTTCGATTCGCTAACACGGAGAAAAGGTTTGCTTTGACACTCTGGCAAAGTAGGTCGTTTCAATGTCAAATATATTGTCTTTAAACCCAATAAACTAGTCGGAAAAGTTATCTAAACTACGAATTACCATAATTATTTATACGTATAAACGTTCGATATAATTGATTCCAGTGAGAGAAAATCTAATTTTCATAAATAACGAAAGGAACATTTAAAAGGTTTGTAACTGAAAACGACATCTATGGGATATAAAAATGTGTTTTTGTTAAAGAGAGTTTTCTCTTGGAGAACACAATGAATATTGGGTTAAAGATTACGCTGGAAAAAGTTCCAAAAATACTGACCAACTGTCTCTTCTATTCTTCACTAGCTTATAAATAGTTTCTCCTTTAAAATGACTTAAAGAAATTCTTCTTACGATTTCAAATCTTTTTTCTTGAGCCAATCTAATTCGAATGCTCCAACTTTCCAAAGTGACTTGGGTAAGCTACATTACTGACTACGTCATATCCTTCTTTAATATTTAATATTGATACGTAGGCCTATTTGAAAAATTTTTTGAAGGAAAAAACGTCTCTTTTTTTAAATTCAAATTTATTGTAATTTTCTTTATTTAGATGTATGAAAAGAGGTAAATAAACTGCTTTAATAGAATTATAAAAGGCTTTGAAAGGAAAGAAAAAAAAAAGAGAAGCTAATAGAGTATCCATATAAAATTCCTAAGAGACATTTTAAAAAGTTATGGTTAACAAATGTTAGGTAAAATTACACTTGAAATGTTATAGTTTTCATTTTTGATTGTTGTTCTATTTATAAAATAAGGATAACGATTAGTTAAGGTTCCTTTATTGTGACTACTTTCAGGGGATTTAAAATAGTACCTTATTTTTTTGCGAACGTGAAAGAAAATGAAAATGTACTAAACAACTGAAAACACAGTGATAGCCCATATCCAATTAATGACGAACTTAATAGTTACTTATATTTTGTACATTGCGGTACTTATATGGTATAAATATCAAAACTCTATTGTAAGGGGAAAGAAATAATGTTCATGGCTTTAAAATTTGATTTTTTTGCTTGACATTTATTATAAAGCAATTTATTACTGCCTGATTATGGTGAACATCTTTTTTCACAGCTAATTGTTTAATTGCGTTAGATTGTGTAGCATTAATAAGCCGTACAACCTTCAATATGTTTAGTTCTTTTTTGAAAAATTAATTTTATTTTTTACTTGACATACAAAGATATATAATTTTTAAATATTATGATTTTGTCGTCGTGACAGAGGCATAAAAAGCTTCTTTTGTTTGAATAAAAACAGAGAAATGTAGTCGAACTATTCTGGAGGCTAGTGACCGTTTAACCGCCGAATAATTACCGGTGAAAAAAGTTACCGGTAAAAAATTATAAAAAAAATCATTTATTTTAAAGATAATAAATGATATTAATTACTGACTTAATATTAAAAAAATCAAAATCAAAATCAAAAACCGGTTCCGGTACGGGAACCAGATTATTCATCATTAGAAATACGCGTCGCCTGAAGTCGAAGTTAAATGGATAATTCTCCAGACTCAGAAACGGTAACATACTATTTATTAGGTTTAAGGCTTCTATAAACTTTTATCTAACCATTGACGACGTATTGCTGCAATTTGTTTACTTTTCATCGACTTTGGTTACCCTTTAAAATTTCACTATGACCACGGAGATTTTGTATAAAGTTTCGTGCATATAATTTTTATTTTTTAGCTATTTTAGATAAAGATATATTTTTCTCCTTTAACAAATTACTTACTTTAATTAGAAATCAGCTTTGTCTTTTTTCTACATTTTAAACTAGGGATTATTATTTATTGTATACAATTTGCCTTTGTGAGATATTGGTAACCAGTCTTCAATTTTATTGTCTAAAGTTTGAATTTGGCTGATATTAGGTTAATTTTTTCTATATTTTCTTATTCTTTGTTTGTTTCAGGACGCTCAACCCAAAAGGATGATATCTTCGAATGAATTGGACTCGATACAAAAAGACTTAAAAGCAGCTATCCAGAATCATGCAGTATGTACAGAGGCCATATACACTTTTTTAACATTATCACTTTAGTTCAAACTAACCGTTCATAGTTGGAGGAAAATCTCTCCTCTGCTTTTTTGTTTTTGCTTGTTCATAGAGAATCCATTATTAGAGTTCGTACTAACTTCACATGGCACAAAATTAACCTAAACTAGTTTTAGTTTTTTAGTCAGTGGCACAATCTAGATTAGATTCCTCTATATTCGGTATAATAAGATTTATAAATTTTTCCATTTTTTTAGGCTCTTGGTATTAAAGCAAAACAATTTCCGGATGTAAGTAGCGTATGTTAATGATTTATGCCTGTTCAGTTTATTTGAAACTTAAACTAAAAAAAAATAATATATCTTGCCTCTGTGATTCTACTTATTTTCATTTCTTCAGATAATTGTTTTCTCTTTAGTTTTCTCTCTTTCTTTCATTTATTTCTAATTCTTTCTGCTGAGATGATTCTTAAAAAAAAAAAGAAAATTTAACGTGTACCACATTTTATTTACAAGTTACATAATTTGTCAAAATTGCAGGATAAATCTATTCGAGTAGAACTAGATGGACTTGCAGAAAAAATTATGGTCTTAAACGATAAACAGGTATTTTGGTATTTCATTTTTTTTTTTTAAACCTAATTTATACATTTTTTCTCTATCCGAAAATAGAAAGAAGTTGTGAATAAAATAAGGCAGCTATCGAATGCAACAAAGCAAAATAAACAGGAGGTTTGTTATTCAATTAAAGTTGTTTAGAGATTATTTTATAAATTATACTTTCATTGATGTCTCAGGCGCCAGCGATTTTGAGTAAAGTTTCGATTATGAGTAGAAGACCAAATGTTTCGAGGAGCCCATCTATTTTGTCTCCGGCAAAATCTCCAAACAGAAATTTACCCTCACCAAAAGTGCAAATAGCTTCTAATTTCCCTGCTCAACACAAACCTCGGAAGTCTGAACTGAAACCTCGATGCCATTCTCCGCCTATTAAGGTAAACCACATCAAATACTAAGGTTATTATTTGAGAAAGAATAAGCTGTTTTATGAAAACAGGTCCCTTCTTTCCAACCATCAACGCCTCCTTCCCCGGCAACACCACCCATAAATCGATCTCCTTCTATTACGCCGAGTAAAAAAGCCAAAATGTACAACGCTCCAAAAGTTCGATCTGTAGAAAAGAGGACTAGTCCTCCTCCTGATAATACAATGGAACATGAAGAACCTGTATACCCTTTTAGCAATGGTTGGCTAAGTTCCGAAAAGAATCCCGAAAAGAGTGCCGAATTACAATTTATGTGGAGTTTGAAATTAGTACCTATTGCCCAAGCAGAGGGTAAGAAAAAAATTATTAATAAATATTTTAACTAACTGCAAAACGTTCAAAAGAAATGAGGAAACGACGTTCAGAAAGGAAGCGGAGGAGCACTGCTAATCCTCAATTTAGTTATAGTAACTCTGCGGGTGGAGATGTAAGTAAAGTCCTTTGTTTTCTTGTTAACTTTATATTTGAAAGTTAATTAACTTCGCACGATAACAACGAAACAAAAAAATTCATTCTTTTTAATTGCATTTTTAATTTATCAAACTTCTTTTGTTGCCATAGTAATTCTTTTACCCGTTTCGTCTTATCTCGAGTTTAAATTTTTTCCTATTTTTACTTAAATAATAATTATTCAGAGATTTCGAGGAAGAAAGTACTATTCCGTAATTAAAGCGGTAAAACCTTTGAAATATTAGGTGCATCCTATTTTCAATTTATTATTCATATTCTAAACGGAGCTTACTTAATAACGTATATTGTACAATAAAAAGCTAGTTCAGTAAAAGATAATCGAAAACGAAGAAGAATTATGCTACTATATGTTCCAGATCATTTACAGCTTTAAAAAGACACTTGAATAGATTGTAATATTACGCATAGTTTTAATATATTTTTTTACTTTTTTTTTCAACTAATCAGAATTAATGCTAAAACTATTATTCGTACTAATTATATAAAATTTATTATGTCTGCTATTTATTAATATGTTCGTTATAATTTTTGTTATTTTCCTCAATTATTCTTGAGTACAATTTTTATTTTTTGTGCTTTTTTTTTTTATATATTCCCTCGCCCCCTCCCCCCCTTCCTTTCACACACAGTCCTCTTTAAACAAGTACTTGTGCAATTGTCCAGTTTTTCTGTTTTGTTATTCAAAGGCTAATTACTTTTCTCTTTTTATTTCAACAGTTATCTGACCGGCGACCAAAATCTTCTAGTTTTTATCATACGTTGAGTTCTCGTATGAGATGTAAGATATAGTTATAAAAGAGATTGACTTTTTTCTAAAAGTTTTCATTTAATTTTATTACAGCTCTTGAAGATGAAAAGTCATCATTAACAGATAGTATTGAAAAAAGTCGAACTAATGTTAGGAATATGAAAACAAATAGTGAAAACAAAAAGAAAAAAGCTGATGTAAATGTCATTTATCTTATTATTACAGAAATTATTCTTTCATTTAATTAAGCCTTTTATAACCATCTCTCTTTTACTTTTACAGGAATTAGTTAGCATAAATAAATCGAACCAGGTAAAGTTAAAAAAATTGGAGCAATATCTATTAGCAATTCAACAACTCGTTCCGAGTCCTAGTCCTCCAAGTGAATGAATTCATCTCCTCATTAATATCGTTATAATTATTATTATAATTATGTTCATTGTGCGAGAAGGTGCTAAAATGATTTTTTTCAAATTATTTGAAGACACCTGCCTCTATAGGTTTTAAAATCAAACTCTTCCGCTTGATATAGCAAATTATGATTATTTTAACTTTATTATTTATTACCTATCATTTTAGTGCCGAATCTTTAAAACATCCTATCTGTCTTTTTAGTAAAAAGAGATGAAAACACATTTTTTTTATTGTTAAAAAAAGTGTTCTACTGAGAAAAAATACTTGTTGTTACGATATTTTTCATTGATATATATCATACTAGTCATATGATATTTCTTTGTTCACGTTTTTCTTATATCCATTCATTGTATGGAGTTTATCATAATTTTTTTTTTTGGGAAAATTAAGTACCTTTGTAAATGGATAGAATTATTTACATTCAAAAATATATGGATATACTTTATATCTCTATGTACAATATCAAGTATATTGTATATATAGATGTTTTTATGAAATTTTTGTTTTTCCATTATTTTATGGAATTACTCTTTTTTTTTGAATTAGATGATTTTCAAAAGTTTGTTAATGTGTCGTTTTTGGTCTACGATGTAAATGTTTAAAATGTTTGTTGTTATTTTTTTTCCCAAAAAAAAAGAAAGTAAAAAAGAATAATTATTTAAAATTGGGAAAGCTTTTTTCCTAATTTCATAAAAATGTATCATCAATTTTTAATACATGTAAAAAAACAGAAAAAATATGTAAAACGATTACTTTTTTGGACAATGAATACATTGGCATCAACAGAATAAAATTTTATATTTGTATATTTACGTATATAACTAAACGTTATGCTTGAACGATAAAATCTAATAATCGTAATTTAAAAAGTATTCTTAAATTTTTGATGAGATTTTACATCGATTACCTTGAGTTTAGGCGAAATCTTATCCAAACCCGATAATTTTATCACTTGTTGTTTTGGATTACTTTGCAACAGCTTTAGAACATGAGAAATGTCCATAAAACGTCTAACTTTATGAATTGGGGCTTTTTCGAATAACAGTCTTAACTTTCTTGGAATGAGTGAGTTTTCAAAGAAACTTGATTCTCTGTATGAAAAATTATGAGCCAATTTTCTTATATGAAGATTTTTCGTATGAAAAATATGCCATAAAGAACACCCCGGTAAACAAATGGATGATCGGCAATTACAAGAAAACTTTGGCAGAATCAAAATGCGCTTTGTTATATTTGCTAGTTGAATAGCGTTCTCCAAATGTTTTAAACTATTTTTGTTATTAATTTCTGAGGATATCACCAAATATTTAGCTGCTTCATTTGTATAATAACCACGGGTATTTACTGACCACTTTTTCAATTCCTTCAGAATATAGATTCGACTCTCGCTATCCTTAGGACAGTTATTTCCCCAAAGAAAGCCATTCCAGCTTTTCTTTAATTGGAAGCCTCTTGTTAAATTACAATCAAGCGTAGGCAGAATATCATCTAGTTTATAGATTTTATATTTTCTTTTATGAGTTTTAAGTACCTCACGTAGAGCGTTTTCCCTTGACATTTTCTTGGATAAAGCACCAACCTGTTTCAGTAGAGTTACAACTTTCTGACTTGAATAGAGAGATATTGGAATAAAATCATTGGAACCATAATTAAGTCCAAGATCGAAATTTTTCGACGGTAGATGCGGATGTCTCAAAATAAGACTGTCAACTAAGGATATCATAACGGAGTACGTCTGACCAATCGATTTGCTGGCTGAGTAGAATGCACAGTTATTAAATGATAGATAGCGACTGTCAACTTTTGGAATTTTACAAGGTAGACAAGGAATATCACGTTTAATCGACCATAAGCTATCGCAATCCTTTTTATGTTCGGCCATCAAAAAATAACTGGAGAACTTTGCATTTTGAGCATGAAGTGCGTAGTTGACTGCTTGTTCTACAGTTGAATGGTTGAATAAGGCAATAGTAACTTTCTTATGAACAGTTGCACGCGCGCGTAAGGCCCCATAAAGCGAAACAAACTTAAACTTGCTTCTATCAAATGTCCTATTCTTATGCTGGCGAGAGTATTTTACAATTGGTACTTTATATCTTAATCTAGCTAAGGAAAGCTGTTGGTGTCGTTGTCCATCATCAAACAATGACATAAAGAGATAAATTGAAAACACTACAGCGGTTATTAGAGCTGTTGATCGTAAGAAGCTACCTGTAACTAAAATAGGTTGATAAAACAATCTATTTGTTACTTGCATAAATACATACATATTCGTGGCATTTTAAGTCAGAAGCTGATATTTCTTCAGTACTTCACTTCACATTGGTTTTTTTGAAGAATTCGGTCATTATTTTGTTCCAGATGTGAATTATTGCCAATTTAGACAAGTGCTCTAAAAAATAAAGGGAAAAGTATACCAGTTTTCGTTGAATGGTATGTCTAAAATACGGTTATTAATTTCAAAGTCTATAAATATAAAAAAAAATAGCCCATAAAATAATCTATATAAAACAAATTCAAACGTTAATCTGTTAATACAAGTACTTTAAGAAATATATGTCCAGCAATTATTTATTTCGCAAAATGTTAGACCCTCATATCAGGACTTTTTTTTACATAACGAAGGTCAGTAAATTGTTGTTCGGGCCATATTTTAGTCATTTTTCTCCGTTAATAATTTACTTTTATAAAAATCGGAAAAAATTCAAGTTTCTTTTTAATATTTTAAAATAAAACCGATTTTATTTATTTGTTTCGGACAGATTTTGTTAATATATACTGAGAAATTTCTGAAATAGAATTTCTTTCAATTTAAATTGTCAATATTATATGAAGTACTCAACGTCTCCATCGAAGTTTCTAGACTAACGGTTAGTGGATAGATCACAAGATCCGAAAAAAGTCATTTTTCACATCTCAAATTTTACCTGACCATTCTCACAAAGAAGTTTCCAATAATTAGCTTTTATGTAGCTATGTCTTGTACCAATGTTTTTGGACATCCACAACGATCAGGAGTTGATTTTTCCACAGAATTTAGAAGTTGGAATCGTCCAGTCATGTTAGGGAAGCGAAAAAATAGGTCAGTGTAATTTGTATAATTTTCAATTCCACGAATTAATTTGGTTAACTTTATCTTGTTTATCTTTTAATAGCACACCATTAAGTAGGGATAGTTGTCAAGAACCTCCTGAAAAATTATATGTTGATGAACAGTTTCTTTGCGATCATCTGCGTGATATCACATTATTAAAAACGTAAGTTATTATCTATAATTTATAGCTTATTTTCTGTAGTTGATACTTTTAATTTCAGCGAAAAGAAGGAAGTTATTGAAGAAGAGGAATACACAATTAGCATTTCCGATGATGTACGACGTCAGTGGGAAAAATTTACAAGGGACGTTCTACCACCTAGAGTTGTTGAAGATATGTAAGTTTACCATCTCCTCCTCCTTAATGACCCCTTTTTTTACAATTTTATTTTATAATTAAACAGCTCGAAAAGACAATCGATGCAAATGGTCCTATGGAAGCCATTACCTGTTGACGAAATAGCATCAAAAAATGCTAAGACAGCCAATACGAGCCAGGGCAGTGATTTATGTGAAGGTGATAGGCCAGTTTCCTCAAACTACATTAATTCAGAGTTCACGTCACGTGAATTTTTCAACAATAACAACAACCACAATAATAATAATAGTTCGGATTGTAATCTGAATCACAACAACAATAACAATTCCCAAATTACTAATCAATATGCAGTAAATTATCAAGAAAATGTATCACCAATGAATGGTATTTCGTATAGTGAAGACTTTTATACAACTTCGGACATGAATGATTATCAGATCGATGATAATGAGACTTGTGACTAACTTTATATTGACTAATCTTAGCGTTTTTAATTGAGTTATATGCTACAGCTTGGTATCCATGTCCTACTTTACTATAAACTCATTATCCGAAACCTTATCCGAACTGTCAGAGCAAAGTTGTGTTCATATAGGCATCTTTAGACAATATTGCATATTGAAGGATATAATATACTGTATATGTGTATAAATATATATAATATTTCTTTTGTCGTACGATTGTTTCATTTTCATATTAAACATTTGGTACGGTAATTAATCTATGATTATTATTTTAAAATATAATCAAATTGTAATCTCTTTAGTTTTTAATAGCTAAAAAAGGAATCTTAATGTATCATATAAAACTAACAGGTCTACTTGATAATATGATGGGAACATTTGAGAACAAAAGATTCTTCTTCAATTGGGACAAAGAGTTAAAAAGTCTTGTTATATATTTTTTATTTTGTTTTGTTTAAGATGCCATCTATCGAGATGAGATTGAGCAATTTGTAATTTGTTTTTTGTTTTTCTTTTTTTAAGGCGTTATCGGTTTTTCCGACGTTCCCAACTGGAATACTGCATTTGTAAGATTGTGTTAAGCTGAAAGGAAGTAGATTAAAATATTAATCGTATAACGAGTGAAATTATGCAGATGTTCTAAAGAAAATAGGTTTTTGTATAATTAAACAAGGCGTTTTAGTGAAGAATCAATGATTAGAGTGAAATAGACGAAGCCTATTTATGAATGATTTGCATAGAGCTGATAAGAATGTCTTTTAAACTGATCAGACTGAAAAGTGATGTCAATTTCGATAAGGATTGCATTGATTTTAAACCGTATACTCCAATCCAAATTAGATTAGGTACAAAAGGAATGTCGCTCTTAGGGTCGTAGGGTTGAGATGCTCTCTACTAGTAGTGCTGGTCTGTCTTTGACAAACGTCTGAAAGATGGCGCCTTTTGGAGAAATATATTTGTAATCATTTTGTACGTGTCTATGAATGTTTAAGAAAGGAGGGAATGCATAGAAAACAAATAAAAGGTCTAACAAAATTCTCCCATTCTCCAGTTTCTTGCCTTTCTCTCCTTTCACCCTTTTCGCACTTTTCTTTCTTTATTTAATCCTCTTTCCCAGTCTATTTTTTCAGGTCTTTTATATAATCCATTAACTGGGGAAAAAGAGTAAAAAAATCTTTTTCTCTATCACCGAAGGTTAGCTCTCTTTCGTGTCCCCTCTATGTAATATATACTGGTCATTTTCAGTTAAAGAGAGCAGGGATTCTGAGACAGTGCAGGTATGAAAATTGATGAGGAGGCGACTGCCTACTCTACCTGAGAAATTATAGTTACTTAGCTTAAAACGACTAAGTGTTCTGCATTATGCACGGCGCCGCATATGGCGCCATCCGTTGTATATAAGGGCTTGTTTATCTTCTTTTAAGCTTACTTTTTTGTGAGTCTCCCTGCTATTAAATGGAAGGCTCTTTTTCGCTTATGTATCTGATATAGTATTTAATTACTCTCATGTAAATTTTCATCTAAGAGAAAAGGATTTGTTCTTCAATAAAACTTGATATCATCTTCTCTCTATATATGTATATATATTATAAATACAGATATATACATATATATATATGTATATACATATATTTTTACAACATTGTTTGATATTCTGATAAACATACTGAAAATAACAAGAGAAGACAATGGATTTTTATGAAGATGAAGTTGTTAATTACGCTACAGGGGTTTGTCAATTAAATTTTTATTAATTTCCCTTTACACTGTACCTATATATATTATATTATATTATATAGATATTTATCCCTTTATATATACTCATGGTTTCTCTATACTTTCATAATCGATAAATGTTTCCTTCATTTTTCATACATGTACTCCTTTTACTATTAACAAGAAGAGCTTAACTAGAAAATGAATAATACATGCAATTTATTATATAAACGCTATATACAGTATATATATATATATATATATATATATATATATATATAGACGGTCTACAGTATATAATGAAGAATACGTTATAGGTATATTATATTTAAGGAAGCGCATACTATGCATATTTAGTTTGTATATAATATACCTGTTAACGCGTTATTTCCGTTTAAATTTTTGTTCTTTATATTTTATATATACGGTAATACTGTATATATTATATTCTCATATATACGTATATACGTCTAACAGATTCGGGCCCCACCCTTAGGAGACGCTTTATATCACATTTTCCTGTTCTGGCATAGGAACGATAGAGAATTTTCTGACCAGCTTATCGAACGATTGCAATGCGCTCGTAATGCCTTCAAATGTTGTTCTCAATATGATATATACAAGTCGGATGGGGATATGACGTTATGTCAAAGTATTTTATCTGGTGTTAAATATTGTTCAAAGGCACTGTTAATAGCTAGTTGGGATTCACTTGAGCTATGGAGAGAATGCGAAGAAGCAATTAACGAAGAATTGGATATAGGAAGAAAATTTGTTGTATTACAACTTAATCCTCAACTGGATTTACCGACATCCTTATCGGAATGTAATGTTGTTAGTATAAAAGATGATGACTGGTGGATGAAACTATTAGATTCATTAGCACCGGTTGTCCATTTGTCGTCAACATCTCCAAGTTTGGCCGGTGTAAATCCTGGTAAGTGAAAATATTGAACAAGTATAAATAAAAATTAAATTTGGTACAAGCAGGAAAAACTAGAGTAGAATTTGCACGCATCAAAGCAATTCCTTCCCATTTATTTGCCATGATACACTCCCTTGAGAGCGTTCTTTCACTACTAAATTTCTCTAAACTTGACTTTTTATCTGTATAACTTCATTATACAAATTATACGTCTTACTTCTTTATTTCATTATTAATAACGCTGTTTATTTAGACTTATTCTCTTTTCTTTTTAAATTAGCCTTACAGAGTGGGCACTTATTATTTAGCGCCCGGTCCCACCTCACTTGGCCAGGTAGAGAAATAATTGGTGATCAGGTACCCGAGGAGTTACTTTCGCATGGATTACAGGTATTATTTATTTGTAGTTACTATTTAGACGATTGTAAATTGTTCTATACTACTTTACACGGGTGTACACTTGTACCTGATTTTTCCCTTTTCCCCGTCATTTAAATATCCCTGTAAACATGGTACAGATATAATTATGCATAGGAATCTAGTTAATATTCTACCTATAGAGAGGAGAGAAAGAAAAAAAGAGTGGAAAAGAAAGATTGAGATAGATAAATAGATAGATAGATAGATAGATAGATGGATTGATTAATATTAGATAGATATATAGCATAGATAGAATGGTAAGTATAAAGAGAGAGAGAGAGAGAGAGAAAGAGAGGCAAAAGAAGTAGAAAAAATAGCATCTGTATAAGTAATTAAGTAATGGAGATTAGTTTAAGCCAAAAAAAATGAATGTATATATTTTTTTCAGGGAGAAAATCCCATATGAAAAGTGATATATAGAGTATTTCGTAAAAATAAATGTATAAATTAATACCTTCTATCAAAAATTCATGTATTATTTGAAAGGTTTGTCTTTTAATATCCCACAGATTGATCCTGAAGTCTATGAAAAAGCAGTTGGGACTCTTATGTCTAGTTTAAAAATTAAGTGCCATTTATGCTTTTTCTCAACACCAGCTGCGGCAATATTCTTTATTGTCTGGTTCATATTCTGCCTCACACTAATACCTTTCATAGAAATTAAAGTGATTCTCTACGGACAGACTAGTAGCGGCCTTGAATACGTACACGGTGCTCTTGTTTGGCTTTGTACACTCACATTATATTTGTTCGTAAGTCACCTCGTCAAAAGACAGGTAAGATTAACCATTTAGAAAGCTTCCCTTACCAAAATAAGTTCCTTTCTTTACATTCATATATACAATATTCACTGTATATGCAAACATAAATAGACTATATATAGTAAATAAAGCATGCAACTTTTCTCTCCCTCTCTGTTATGATTCTTTCTCGAGGTTTCTTTTTTCTTCTTCTTCTTCTTTTGATAGAGTACTCTAAAGCACTTTACTATTTGTCCTTATACACATTTAATTTATATCCAATACTAACAGATATATACAATATATATATATATATAAAGCACTTGTAGAAATGTTTGTATATTTGTTTTATCTTTTCAGCTTCGAAAACAATTAAAAAAGACCATTTCAAGCGTCAATTCAATATTTATCAAACAGAATGTACTTTTGGGTAGTGAGGAGTTAGGCCTAATAGACTGCAACAAGTATTACGTATCCTTTTTTCATATATATATATATATATATATATATATACAGTACTAGTAATAATCCCTTATAATGTTTTTTTACTATCTATAATCTTTTATCTCCGTAACTGCAATTAAAACGGGTAGAGGAGTGAGAGCAGGGTATCTTGATTATAAATTATTAGCTTTACCGTAGTCTATAATTCTTTGCAGGGCATTATTTTTCGTTTGTTCATCAAGTCTTTTATTAATTAATTCCATTTGCCACGCTTCTGCCCTCATATTACGGCCGACTGATGAACATGTAATAGAACTTTTTCTACTATTATCTTCTTCTGGTTTGGTAGCAATTTTTACTGTCTTTTCAATACGAATTGGTGGTTCTTGATCTATTTTATAGTGTACATCATTTGCATCATCTACGTAATTTTCATGTTCTATTGAGGGTCTTTTATGCAATCTCTCCCTTTTTACTTCTTCTTTTTCTTCTGGGGACAAAATATAGTCATTATCACCATCTGTTCTGGACGCAAAGTCCTCATCTCCATCGTCGAATGTTGCTATTTTAACTCTAGTTCGAGAGGGACTAGGCTTAAAGATATCGTTTTTACCAGGTTGAACCATTCTAGGTACATAGTCAAATACATCAACCTATAGAGTATAAAAAATTAAGTATATTTGCTCGAGAATATTAAATAGAATACTAACATCGTTCATTTCATCCATCATTCGCTTTTCATATATATCGGGATACAATTTCTTTAGACAATTTTTTCTCAGTCTATTAATAGGTTGTACTCTTAATGATCGGCTCGGTAGCTTTAATTGGTCACTTTTTTGCTTTTCAATAGTCCATTTAAACATGAGAACTGCATTGGAAAAAAAATCATGTAACTGTCCATAAAGTTATTTGTCGATACCATTAGCGGCCATTTTGTTACTATGACAATAGTACAAACAATTAAGCCTAGTTTCGATTTGGGATCTATTTTTTTTTGGGGGAATATAGAGTAGACGGAATATATAATATATTTCCTAATTATGAAATTCTCTTACCTTTCCTTATCCCATATTTCCATTCCTGCTACTTTCCTTTTCACTTATCCTGAATACTTTTCAACGCTTAATATCTCTCATAAAAAGAGAATCATACTCATTAGGATTATTTTTCGTTCATTAGAATACAAAAAAGAGAAAATATTCCTTTTTTCTTGTTAATTAAAATCAAATTTATTCATTCATTCATTCACTACCTACTGACGAATATATAGGGTATTCACTCATTCATTCATTTATCCATCCATTTATCCATCCATCCATCCATATATCTATTTGTCTGTCTATCTATCTATCCATACATACATACATACATTCGCACATTCATTACCTGTACCATTGTTATATCCTTTTCATAGCTCTTTTTCTTTTCTATACGTTACAAACACTAACAAACCATGTAAACAGGCACAAAAACGAAATACTCTCATATTTTTCATTATCATTATTTTTTTCCCTTATATTTTTATCCTCTAATCATTTACTTTTTGCAACGACACTCAGGTTCATAATAAATTTCTTCAGGGTTATTCCAACTTCTTTTACCGGGACCATTCCAATCAGCTGCCTGTTTCAGGGCTTAAATAGAACAGCTTTATTAAAGCTTAATTATTATTTTTCTCTTTTTTTTTACATAGAAATAGACTTTATCATTTTTTTAAAATTATAAATTCTTTTCATTCGAGAATAGGCCTACCGAATAATTTAGCTCCAACGCTTGAGGGAGAGCGTAGCCTAGCATGAATAAGAAAAATTGAATAAATATGTATTATGCAAAAATTTTTCTATTAATAAATGATAATAAGATATTTATTATTAGTTATTTGACAAACTCACTTCATGTAATGCATTTCGATTTCTTTGACGATATCCTTCAGAATTGTATTAGTTCCATCCTTTTTTAAACTTTCCACCCTTGATTAGGAAAAGATGCCATATATGGATAAAAGACATTTACATAATTGAAAATGCACTTTGGTCAAATTTTTTCGTTTTTTTGTATTAAAATTTTTTTTTTTTTGATTTAGGTTTCGTTGGCGGCTTTCATCTTTCTTTCTCAAATGTAACGAAATAGGGACACTATAAGAGCTTAGAATAATCTTGGAGCTTTATTAATAAAACTTACTTTTTATAATTAAACGAAAAATGGAATTAATATATTTGAAAGGTATAAAAAATTTCATTTATTCATTAATAAGAGAGAGAGAGAGAGAGAGAGAGAGAGAGAGAAGGGAGGAGAGAGGGGGAAGGGAGAAAAAATAAAACAGAGAAAAATAAATGAGATATCCTTTAGAACTTACATTGTACTTGGTCTTATTAAAATTACTAGCCAACAGCCATATAGATAAATAAGTAATCTTCCATTCATTCTTGAACGAATTAACAGGATCGTTTGACTCTTATCAGTCTAGTGTCTCAACTTTAAAGAAAACCAAATCGGGCTGATTTATTATAATAATTTGATGCTAATTGAAAGCCTCTTCTCATTAGCAAATTTTTTTGTTAAATGACAAAAAAATTCTGTCTTTTTCTTTTGTTTTCCTTAATATCTAATTTAAATAGTTACACTTTTTCTACTACGAAATTGGACCTTGTCTGGTAAGCAATTCTCTTTTCTTGTCAGTTTCTTACTTAAAAAAAGTTTTTTTTAAGGCTTACTATCAAGAAATACTGTCTAAAAAGCATAACTCTTTCGCCAACCCAACTTTTAACGCGGAAGAAGATCTATCTGCTTCATCCTCAATGACAACCTGTCTGTCGGATATTGTTATCAAAGAAGATCTGTCCGAAGAAACGGAAGACAAACTACTATCTTATAGCGCCGAGTACACGAGTCTACTGATAAATAGGAACTTTTCATTTGATCACTCAAATTTACATTGTATAGGATTTCCGTGCCTTTGTCAGTTCGCGCAGCATAAAAACAATATTCGATCTAAATAGGAACTTCTTGGAATCTGTATTTCCCATTTATTTAAAGGTAAAATAAAATTCAATTTTTAGTTAAAAAGTATATCAAAGCACATTTTGTTTTAATGTCGGGAAATTCAGAAAAAATCTCTCTTCCTTTTAAAATAGATAAACGATCAAGAGGAAGGCGGAAATGAAACCGAAGAAAACGTTTACTTTATTTACGGCTGCAGAATTTACTGCAAAAAAAAAAAGAAAATCATTATACCTAATACATTATTAATTGTATGTAAATAATATACAGAATATATACAAATTAATTGCTACCTACCAATAAATTCAATTTTAAAATTAGCTTCTTTCTCCTCATTGTTCTCTAGAACAACCTTTATAGTCATCTTAATCTCACCCTCTAAATCTGCTTCATCAGAAAAGCTAATATCACCAGTATAATTACGCGTGCCACTATTATCTTCGATTTTTAAACCAACTCCGTAATTGGTGTTGCCGCAAGTAACGCTATTCTTATCGTTTCCCCATATCAAGGCCGTTTCATTGCAATCGATATCTGCAGTTGTGCGGATACTGCACGGTAACGTCACATGTCCTGGCTTAAACGCTTTAATCGAATAATTTTTACAACTCAAATGAATTTGGGAAGTGATGCCTGCAACATCAGTATTCTGTTCCTCCGAAGGCTCCGTTGTGGCCACAGTTTCTGTTACTTTTGTTGATTCGATAGCTTTTTCCGTACTTGGAGTTAAGTTACCCTGTTTAGGCTCGACGGTTGATATTTTGCTATCAAGATTCGATTGTGTAGATGATGACTCAACTCCAACAGATGAAGTGGTCAAATTTTCTGAAATATCGAATGTTTTTACAGTGACAGTATCCTCCGCAGTGTTGTTGGTTGTGCTGGTAGTGACAGTATTATCTGCAATAGTATTGGTTGTATTGACAGCGGTCTCATTGATAGAAGTTTTAGAATCTGCCACTGTTGGAGCTTGATTCGTTGTTCTATCATTCGCTGTTGAATCTTGTAACTTGGAAGTTGTTGTTTGCTTATTATCTTCTTCGGTAGAAGTGGAAATTTTCTTGGAAGTTTGCAAACTAGCTGTACCAGTCGTTTGCGCTGTTGGTTCTTTTGTGCTCTTATCAGTCTCTGAAGTAGTTGAAGGTGACTTCGTTGTTGAGAGACCTTCTGAAGTAACAGCCGTATTTCCTCCAACGGTAGTAGTAGCTTCGGCTGCATCTCCTACAATATTTTAGAATATAGCAATTTATTACAACATATGAAAAATAGAAAAGTCGTTTTCATACCTTTCACATCATCATTGTTTAATTTTGCAGCTGTAGATGTAATTGTAGTTTCTTGACCTGTAAAAAAGACAAGATTGATAGTCACTTCTATAATCATTTTCGCTCTTAAAAACAATTTACCTGTGACGAATAGCACAGTCATATGACAGAGAACTGCTACAAGAAAACATCTCTTCGACATCATCATTGTTAAAGCTTAAGAATTTACCGCTTCCTCTGAAACAACACGATGTTCCGAAAAAACGTTTGCAACTGTTTAAATCTATGCTTAACCACCTATAAGAAGACTTTTTATGGAAGCAACTACTCAATTTGAGTAAATACTATTCAAAGTTTTCCACGTCGGCAAGTGCAACTCAGTATATGCCTACGTTTTCCCTACAAAAATATCCAACTTGTTTGTGCATTTAATATTATGTAGAAAACTCTTATTTATCCTTAAAAGAAACAATATACTATATATATACACAGTATATATATTGTATAGAAGAAATACTAGGAGGAAAATAAACGGTCTTGGGTCAAGGGTACCATACTATATATTTATATATCCGAATGTAATATTTATTCAAAAATTGACAATGTTTAATTTTTAAAACATCAAACATTATTTTCTAAAAAGCTTTTTATCTTTAATAAGTAAAAAAAAAAAACAAAAAAGAATACTCAAAATTTTAATCAATCAAAGGCAAGACAGTTAGGTGATAAATTAGCAATAATCATAAGTACTGTCGCTGTTTTGTCTTCAGCTTCAGTTCAAAGTTCTTGGAGAGAACTATGTTTTTCAATTAGGATTTCATTCCGAGGAACTGTTAGAAGAAGAAAAAAAAAGACGGAATTGTCAAAAGTATAGATTCTTATGTTAGTTAGGAAATGAAAATTAAGAAATTCGTTTAAGTTGACTGAGGGTTTTAATGTTAGCGTTTATTGGAAATGAACTTTAGTATGTAATTTAGGGGTGGAATTTGCCATCCAACCTTTAATATAAACCCAATAATGACGCTGAAGAGCATAATCGGTAAGAATAAACCAAATTGACGTCTTGAAGGTCCTTTAGCCATAAGTCTCTCCAAAAATTTCAGCTTCTTATCAGTGTAAGGAGGGTATCGGATATCATTCAATTTTTCCATTCCTGAGCAATTCATATGATACAGCGTTAAAAGAAAATAAGTATTCTCTAGAGATTTAATTACCTTGCTTCTTTTCCAGCACTCCCTTTCTATGGCAGAATGTTTCTAGTGTAAACTTTCCGTGGTAGGCACCACATCCACTTTCTCCAACTCCTCCAAATGGGAGTCCACTTATACCTTTTTGGAAAAAGAGATAAAAGATGAAAAGTTTATAAAATTATATATTTAGAAATGCTTACCAGCTTGCATAATAGTATCATTAACGCAAGTTGATCCGCTGGATGTTTGATTCAAGAATTTTTCTTTGATTGAGCTCTTCTTAGTGAAGACGTACAATGCTAAGGGTTTTTCTCTGCTATTGATAAAGTCTATAGCTGCATCTTCATCCTTTACAGTTAAAATTGGCAAGACAGGCCCGAAAATTTCTTCTTGCATACACAACATATCGGCAGTTGCATTTTGAATGATTGTTGGGGCTATGAAACGGCTTTCGACATCAGTTTTACCACCAACGACTATTTTGTCACTGGGAGCGTCGTCAATTAGTCTTTTAATTCTGTCAAAGTTGCGCTTGTTAACAATTCGACCGAAGGATTCGCAATGTTGAGGGTCATCTCCGAAAAAGGCGACTAAAGCCTTTTTCAGTTGCCTCACAAGTTCGGGTTGAATTTCTGATGGGCAAAGAATATAATCGGGAGCGATACAGGTCTGGCCGGTATTGCAGAAGCGACCCCATACAATACGCCTAGCTGAGATATTTAGATCGGATGATGGACAGACATAGCATGGCGACTTTCCCCCAAGCTCCAAGATTACTGGAGTTAGGTGCTTAGCTGCCGCTGTTGCAACAATTCGCCCAACGGATGTGCTTCCAGTGTAGAAAATCATATCAAATCTCTCGGAGAGAAGAGCTGTCGTTTCGGTAACGCCTCCTTGCACAATTTGAAAAGTATCATTATCTAAATACTTCCTGCAGAGTTTCTCAACAACAAAGGCAGTTGCGGGCGAAACTTCAGAGGGTTTCAAGACAACGCAATTTCCTGCAGCAATAGCTCCAACTGCTGGCATAAGAGCTAACTGGAAGGGATAGTTCCAAGCTCCCATGATTAGGACGACGCCGAGAGGATCTCTTTGAATGTAAACATTGTCCATAATGAGTTCAATACTTTTAGAAATTTTTTCCCTCTCCAGCCACTTGTCTAGATTATTAAGATGTTGAATTGCATCATTTCTCACTTGAATAACTTCCATTAAAATGGTTTCTGATTTCGGTTTACTTAAATCTTCTTTCATTGCAGCAACTATTTCATCTCTATTTTCATCAACCATCTTAACTATTCCTTCCAATTGACTTCGTCTCCATGATAACGATCGTGTCTTACCGGTGCCGAATGTTCGACGCAGGTCAGTTATAAGCTAAAAAGTTCAAAAACTATTGCATAAACAGAATTCGCAAATGTGAAATAGCGTTCTACCTGCTGATAATTGTCCATATTATTTCGATCTTAAATGACTCTTATGATTGGAAGTTTCTAAATTAGCAGTCTTAATTGCTTAACTGATGGTATTATCTTGCCAATATCCTGTACTATGACCAGTTTCTGGCTACTGCTTATGACCATGAACTTTATTGTCGTATCAATATCTTTTTCCATTAAAATATATTTAATATGAAATTTCTTATTTTTGTGCAGGTAGAGGGTAAAACCGAAGATTTTTCTAAATACGAAAATACTTCAGAAAATCCGGCCGATAAAAGGGAGTTTTACACTGTGTTCTTTAAGATAAAAAATACTCAATCAATAATGATTTAACACATTCAAAAGAAGGCCTATCTGCAAGTACGTATCATTCATATTCCGATAAAAGGACTGATTGCAAACGTTATCAAACATATTTTCAACATAAATACCACGTAAGTTAACTTGTTCTTTTGAGAAAAAAATTTTTTTGCCGAATTATTGTTATAAAATTTAATCTATAGAGTAATTGCAGTTTGATTTATTACGAAGTAATACGCTTTAAAATTCATCTGCTACCTCCGACTTATCGCAAATTATCTTATTAAGTTATTGAAGTCATCTTGATAAACTTCTGGTACAGTTTTAAATTGTAAGGTTAAGTGTCTAAGAAACTTTTTTAGCTATTTATTTCGAAAAATTTTACTCGTAATGTTGAAAAATAAATATTAACTTATCAATTTCTTTTTTTTTTAATTGAAATTCTTTTTTTAAAAAAAATTTATCACTATTCAAATGTTGGCAACATTTTATTGATTGAAGAAACCCACTTAAAACGATAAAATTTTTAGGCCAATCAATCTACTCTATTTGAACTACGTCTGCCAAACAAATAAATGATCTATAGCTTATGAACAGATGTTCGTTTTTCACAACTAAAATAAAAAATCAATTCTGACTATTTTGCATATTGTTATAATATCGATTCAAGCCAGTTTTCCATCATTTCGCTAACAGTGATGAAAATTTACAGCAGGTTCATAACAACGATGAAAGAGATTAAGTAAGCTTACTATAGGAGAAAATAGTGGCATGGATTATCAAGACGACAGTGATTTAGAGGGCAGTAGCCCCAGTGCTGAGGATATGAAACAAATGATGATTGAAAAAGCTCACGAACTATTCAGTATCTGTGATGTTGAAGAAAAAGGTTTTATTACCAAACGAGATATGCAACGTTTGCAGAAAGAACTTCCGCTAAATCCCGAACAATTGGAGGCTGTTTTCGACTCTTTGGATGATGACAAAAACAACTTTCTAACTTTAGAGGAATTTACGGAGGGTTTCGGTACGTACAATTTTTTTATTTTTAATCTATTTAGATATTTCGCCAAGATAAGCCTAAAGGATTTACCTAATTTGTAAATACATTACATTTGAAATTATCCTCTACTATAAAAAAAAATGATGAAGCTTCTTCTTTAAACTACTCTTTATCTATTCTTGTTAATCTATTGATAAAGATTTCTAATAAGTTGAATAAGGAAATGATAAAAGCTAATAATTGTTACTGTTTATAGGTCTTTTGTTTTAAAAAATGCGGGATAATTGAATTTTACTTATGAATTTTTTTTTGATTTATATTTATGGTGTTTTTTTGTTTTTGTTTCTCTACAGGAAGTTTTTTGGGAATGCCAATGAATAATGAAAAGAAGAATTTATCACGTTCTGGGACTGTTACTGAAGCTATGCCGGAGAAGGTTTATGAAGATGAAACTGACAATCTCAACGATGAGGAACAATTTTCAGACTTATTGCAAAATATGGGTGCAAATTGTGTTGTGGAAGAGTTAGTATCAAAAGATATAAATAAATTAGAAAAGGATACGATTATCTAATAGTATTTAGCACAATTAATTCTTATATTATTTATTATTTTTAGTTTCGATACTGTTAGAAATTTATGGATGAACTTGAAAAAGGAAGCTCCAGAATTGTGCGTTAATTTTGAAGATTTTCTTTATAGAATGTCTAATCAAATGAAACAGAAAGTTAATGATTATCAAAATTTGGAGAATATTCTCCGAACGTAAGTATAATAATAATAATCATAACAAAAACAAAGACCCTCATCCCACGATTTTATTATTCGCATAAATTCTCAATATCTATATATTTTGATGTGTTTTTCTTTAAATAAAAAAGTAAATCTACTGCACATGACGAAGAGGTAAGGCGATTATACGAAGAGATGGAAAATCAGATTAAAACTGAAAGAGAAAGGATTTTAAAAGAGGTACATCGGATATTAAATAATGAATCTCTATCTGCCATATACTTATTACATAAAATGTTGTATTTATATAATGTACTATAATATAATACAACAGTATTTCTATTAATTTTTCTAAGTTGTCTTTCCTTACGTGTTTTTATTGAAACTTCAGGAAAAACTAAAAGAAAAGCAGGTTAGAGATGAAATGGAAAATGAAATTTTGGAAAAAGATCGTCAGTTACAAGATCTATTGCTCAAGCACTCAGAGGTACAGCAAAATTTTCAATTTTTTTTAAAACACCAACAATAAATGTTATCTTTTTAAAAATTTCGCTCTTTTTTAAATCTCCAGATGCAAGATCGTTTGCAGGTGCTAAATAACGAAGACCTTGAAACGAAACAAGAAAATGAAAAGTTACTACAGGTGATAATAGTTGGAATGATTTTTAAGATTATTTCTTCCTCCGCTTTAAATGAAAATTTAACCGCTCAACAATTCGTTTTTGTTTTGTTTTGTTAGGAGAAAGAAGAGCTGGAAGAAAAGCTTATTATCTCGGACGAGCAACTAGAAGAAAGCCGTTCCTACATAAATCAATTGCGATCGCAGCAACGAAAAGAAAAACAAGAAAGAGCAATGTAAGTTTTAGGACGGTGGGAAACGTCCACTCAAAATGTTCAAAAATTGGCCATAGATAATGTTATCGGAATTGAAGCTCAAACATAAACTTAATTAGTGTGAGCAAAAACAAAACAGTTTGGTCATTAAAATAGCCAAGTCATTATGATAGTTTTGTCGTAAAAACTAAACACGAAGAGAAGTTAAGAACATTCCCATTCGCATCCATATGTGTTTGCTTCAAGAGAGGAGTCGCTTTCCACTCGTAGATTCCATTCAGCTACCCTGTACAAATCAAGAACAACGTATTTTCTAATATTGTCTTGGGTGATAAATTCTTCCGGATTCCTGGAGATGATGTCCAAACTTGGAAAGTCTTCGATGAATACCTGAGCGCTATCGATCCATTTCCATCTGTAAAGGAAATTAACATAATAAAAAAGGTGAAGCAGCAACTAATGGAGTTAAAAAAAAAAGTGAATAACTTACGCGTGTCCTTCGGTAATCATACCAATTAAAATTGATATGTGATCTGCATTAGTTGGCCATTTCCCTAGGGAAGTTATTTCTAGTCGTAGTTCTTTTACAAAGATGGAAAGTTCTTTTTCGTTGTTGAACTTTATCAAACGACCATTTGTTCCATTAGTTTTACATTGTGCAGTAGCATATTTTCTTGATATGGTTTGTTTCATGTTTCGGTCCAGGTTAACTCTTTGACACCATATTCTATTCGTATTTTCATCTACTCTTCTATACAGCAATTGATTTTCACCATAAACTATTTCAAAAAAAACAATGGCTACGAGAGCCAAAAGCACATAAAAACGCATTTTTTTCGATGCAGCTATCTTAGTTGACGAAAGACTGAACTTCTCGTCGCCTTTTTATACTTTTTGAAATTCATCAGTTTGAAAAATGAGTTCTACTCAAAAAAAACTTGTTTATGAGTAGATAGATTCGGTAAAAAATCTGTTTTAATTACTGGACAAAAACAAATTTTTAACGCGAATTCTATATATATATATATATATATGTATATTTATTATTTAAACTATTATTTAATACTTATTATAATGATATTTTTCCATTTTTTATAAGGGCTGCATTACAAATTAGTGAGGGAATAGCATTGGAGAGGGAAAGTTTAGTTAAACAACTAGACCTTTTAAGGTATAAGGAAGCAAAACCTAGTAGTCGCACATCAGCTAAACACGCCGTTTGTTTTTTTCATAGGGATATGAATAGGAAATTAAGGGACAATCAAGACGAAGAGGCACTTAGACGGGTGAGAACTAGCTACATAACTGTTACATCTCTGTGAAATATCGGTTTAATAATCTCTTTTTTTTTTAAATTTAATTTCTGTGGAAAATGGGATTATAAATATTTTTTTTTCTTCTTTTTAAAAGATTCTTAAAAAATTGATTAATTCTTAGACATTTAGCGATATTTATATACATATTCACTAATATATTGCAAATATTTTGATCTTTCGAATTAAGCCTATTTTCGTAACATGTACTGTATATGTATATAGTAGTATACTGTACAGTAAAAAAAAATAATTTTTTTTAAAAAGAACCTGGTTTCCAACCGTCATCTAAAATTTTTTTTGGGTTTCTTCTATTTATAGAGTTAACCCTTTCTCCTCCTTCCTTCCATTCCCCTGATCTTATATATATATAACATTTCCGTACCATTTAATTCTTAAAATAAAAAAAACCCTAATTAATTTTTTACCAGTAATTAATATCGCTTTAAGCTTTGTATCTATCTGCCTATCTTTTAAAAACGAAGAGAACAACAAATTTTTTTGTATAATCTGCATAATTTTTCATTTCAGGATGCTAATTAATTTTATGATTGGTGGAGGGAATATGATGAGTTTTTCATCGGTTTCTTTTATTGTTTTCTTCCTTCTAATTGATTAATATTGTCTGAGGCAAGCTTCAATGATTGTCATCTTCAAAATCTAAAAGCAAATAGAAATAACAATTTAATAATTATAATAATTAGAAACAAAACAAAAAAAAGCAAAAAAATAAAACTAATATAGATTTTAATATGAAAAGAACTAAAAAAAAAACTATATTTTTTTTTTGTTTTTTGCTTTAATTGTTTATTGTTTTTCACATTTAATAATTTATTTTTTGCACGAAAATGTTTATATCCTTGTGAATGATCGCATAATTGTTTTAATTCCCGTATTTTTCCCAATTTATTTTCTAATTTCTGACAGTATAACCTTGGAAATCGTATGGTATAATCCATCATCTTTATGCGTTTAGCATGCTCTTTTTGAAAAATTATTAATTTTTCACTATTTATAACTTTGTATTTCTTTTTAACTGTATAGTTCTTATTTATTTCCCCGTTTTTAAAAAAATTATTTATGTTTTTGTTGTCTTATCAAAAATTTCATTTTAAAGAGCAAATAACCAATGAGATAACACAAAATTTTAATCACCTTTTCTTTTGTTTATCTTTTAACTTTTGGAATGAAAGATGAGAAGGAAACGTTTTTTGTTTTCTTTTTTATTTAGAAGTAAAAACCAACTTTTTTGAATATTTAAAAAAGACTTCCCTTTTTTATAGGACACTTTGCAGCAAGAAATGATAGAGGTATATAATAAAAGAACAGCAAACAATCAAAATATTATATATAATATATAGTCTCCCTTATTTAATGGTTATGTTTGTTTTTCCTATATAATTAATTACTTTCTTAAAAAAACAACAACGACTACAAACAATTAATGAACAATTTTTCCCTCCTTTTCTTAGAATACTAATTTGGTATTACGTATATTGTTTGTAAATAGTAGATAAAAAGTTTGTAAAAAGTTTAGTGTATTTATAGTAAATTAACCTTCTAAATTAACAAAAATTTATGATTTTTACTGAATGAATTGGGATTGATGATTGATTATTTTTTATTGTGTTAGTTATACAGGCTTGTTTAGTTATATTTAGTAGATAGATTGTGAGATTACGAAATTAATAATACAGGCAGGCGGTGAGAGACTAATTTACCAAAGAAGTGAAGGAATGGAAATGGATCCCGATGTAGCTAGACAAAACGGTTCGTCTCCTTATCAAAACTTGAGCGGAAATGAGGAGGAGCCTACTGATTCTCAGTCGTCGGCTGCCACCAATAGAAAAGCCTTCCGGCAAAAGAGACAAGGCTCGGTTCTATCCAATTACTTTGAAGCACCCAGCCTGTAAATATGAAAAAATGTATACATTATGCAAATTAGATGAGTTTATATTTAACTTCAAATCTAGGCATTCCAAACTTGGAAGTTGTTTCGAGTCGGACGAGGAAGTTGAATGCGACGAACTACCCTACGATCATTCATTGTCGTAAGTTATTAATAATTTTCTAAATGATAACTGTTTAAATAGTCTATAAATTCTAATGATTTGTTAAATATTTATCAAATTTCAGTCAAATTTCCGAAGCATCTTCTGGCGGTCGAAACTTAGTCAGGTACGTTTCTATCTCTCTTTCTTCCAATCTCTCTTATTTCCCAATGCTTTTTCTTATTATTAAAGAACTCTTTTGATTTCTTAAGAACTGAAAGAGGCATACAAACTTTATGATAAACTAATGAAGATAAATTTGTATATAAAATGAAAACACGTATTTCCCTATTATTTCTTCAGAGTTTTTCTGTTCTCCTTTTCGTTATTAGCTCGTAAAGTTTCTTTTTGTCCCTCACTCTCAAACCGTCAATATCTTTTAGGTTGTTATGGCTGATCTTCTTCACCATCTCTCTTCTTTTTGTTTTTTTCAATAACTTTTATGAATACCTTGTTTTATATTTTATAAATTGTATACTTTAACAGTTCGGCTCCGATATCTGAAAGAGGTCAACCAATAGGAGCTTACTCTACAGTTGAAAATCAAGAGAGATTACAATCTGTAATTATGCAAAAAAATATTACTGTTACTTATTATTGTATAATATACTGTAATTTTAGGGTGAATCAATGGCTGCTGTATCAAATATTAACGAACCGGAAAGAGTATTTAAAGTTGTATTCGTGGGTGATTCTGGCGTTGGTAAAAGTAGCTTTATACATCGTTATTGTCAAGGCGTTTTCAAAGACTCATTTAGCGCAACCATAGGTAATTCTTATTGTTTTAATTAGTAAAATCATGCTAGTGCATATTCATTTATACACATTAACAATTACTTAATACACAGTAATTAAACTAAACTATAAAATTTCGTACAGGTGTAGACTTTAGAGTCAAACAACTCTATGTGGATGGGCATCCTGTCGTTTTACAACTATGGGATACCGCTGGACAGGAAAGATATCGTTCCATAACAAAACAATATTTTAGGAAGGCGGATGGAGTTCTCGTTATGTTCGATATTATGAACGAATCCAGTTTTTTGAATATAAGAAACTGGATGGAGAGTGTAAAAGATGGGGCGGATGAAGCTGCAGTTATTGTTCTAGTCGGAAATAAGTTGGATTTAGTTGAAAGTGAAACAACTAAAGTAGTCCAGTATAAGGAAGGTTCTCGTGTTGCCGAAGTAAGAAAATCTGATATAATATACAAATATTAAATATCTCTATTCCTTTGTGTTTTTGTAGGAATATGATGCTCTATTTTACGAAACGAGCGCAAAGTCAGGGGAGAGCATAAACGATACATTTGTTGGAATGGCAAGGTTTAACCTCATTATTCAGCATATACATTTTAAATACGTTTGAATTTCATTTAATTCTCTTTGAAGACTGCTATTGGAGAGAGAAGATAAACAAATAGAAAAGGCTTTAGATCTCAGTGGAAGCATGCAGAAAAATAAGGGATGCTGTGGAGCTACTAAATAAACTACTCTCTCACTTTTTCTCTTCCTCATAGTATTACAACTAATGCTATTGCAATTGTCGCTACTGCTCTTCTATCTCTTCGTCTCCTCCCCCTCCTCCTCCTCCTGCGTATACTACCACTACTCTACAGCTAATACTATTGTTACTGCTACTATTATTACAGCTACTTCTACTGCTGCATTTAGAATCCTCGCCAAGCTTCTTTCTTTATCATGTTTTGAAAAAGAAACACACAAAGAAGCGAAAAGAAAGAACCAAAGTATAGAAAAGTGTCACGGTAATGTTTTTTTTGTAATCCGAAGCATGTTGTTGAATCTCCTTAATTACAATCGTTAATTACAACTTACAAATTAGGTTGAGGTGTCAATGTTACCTTTTAAATCGAAATCATATCCCAATAACTGTTTTATTTTTCTGCTAACCATACTTAACTTTACAAACTCTCTCTTTCTATAACGTAGATGGATACATTCCTTTATTTCCCTCCATATGCATTCCCCCTCCCTATTTAATATATAGTATGATAGCTGGGATTAATAGCAAAGCAAAAGAAAAAGAATAATAAAATATTTCTTTTCATGTCCTTTCTGATTGTAATATATTGTTTACAAAGACATAATAACAGATAATAAACATGTATCGTATACTTAAAAAGCAGAAATTTTAATATAAATCATCATCGAAAAATAATGTACAAGTGTCTATTAACAACGATTATTAAATTCTCTCCTTCAGCCATTTAATAATCGTGTATTTCCCTTAGAAAGTTTGTGAATCAACAGTTATAAAATTGAATCGACTACCCGTCTATTATTTATGTTTTTTAAAGAATCAATCAACTCAATATAGGTTCAAGTCGTTCCCTTGTATCTCCAGTAATATCTGTTTTTAAAAAAAGAAAAGAATTCTCTTGAAAGCTTTCAATAACGATAATAACAAAAAAATGAGTTATATTTATTCAATTAAAGGAATGTATTTAATACTTTTATTTATACTAAATATGTTCTTTCTATAAACTTTCAATTAGATTACAACAAAAGGAATTGCAAGTAGTGTAAAGGAAAAAAAAAGGAAAAGATTTTATTCACAATTTTTCTAATACTATTTATTCATATTAATTATCGTTTATTTCTTTGCCCTTTTCCTTTTCTCTTTCCTGGAATTTAAAATTGACTAGAATTGATTCGTTTTTATTTTCGTATATCGAAAAAAATAATAATTGTCTTAGGCTTAATTTCTTTTGATTGCACGCTCTTTTTCGTTTGTTTAAATCATCTTATTTTCTTTTAACATCTGCTCTCTTCCATCTCTTTTTTTTTTTTTTTGCTGTTTTGATCATTTTTCAGACAATTTATCATTCTCATCAATATTATCACTATCAGCGACTGAAAAGTTGTACCAAGGCAATGTCTTTTCTTAACAAAAAAAAAACAAACAAACAAACAAACAAAAAAAACTCTCTAATTTCCGCCGTTTTGCTCCTAAAAGCCATCACACTTTTTGCTAAGAGGGCAGTGTACCATAGTCGAAGGTTAGTAGGGAGCACTGCTTCGTTTCGAGTACATCTACAACAAAACAACAGATATCAATAACAGTGATTATGAAATCTAAAAGAATGGAAAAGGAAAAAAAAAACAATATTAAAAAAAAAAAATAAAGGAAAGTTTGATTTTGTATCGTTTCTCTTTGTTATGAAGAAGAGGGAAAAGTGTGAATAATTTTATAATATCCTATATATACCCGAACGTTGATATATTGAATAGTGCAACAATTGAAGGAGGGGCAAAAATAGATATAGCTATTAAGATGAAGAAAAGATGGATGAAAAATATTAAGATAAAACTGAAACGACATCGAAACGAAGCAGAATAGCAATATATAAAGTAAATATATATATATATATATATTTATAAGTGTCGTTTATTTATATATTTATTAAATTTTCACTTACCCGCCACGATTCTATGCCAAGGAAGTGTTATAAATGTCAGATAGCAATGCAGCGCTAAACTATTCGCTCTGCGACGCTCTTTAAACCAGCCCCAAGCCTGTCCGAAAGACGCTCCCCAAAATCCCTTTTCGGTTTCCAACTCATCTCGTATCTCGTTTGCCTCGACTTCAGTTATTTTAACGACGCTATCTGTTTCCGATCGTGATTTTCTCATCTTTGAGAACATACTCCAAGATTGTTGAGACGCCGGATCGCTCATACGCCTTTCGCTAAACGAATCAAAATCCTCGTAAGGAAATTGTTCAGTTGTTGGCGTTTGTTCCGGAGTTTCCGGTCCACAGCCTTTAACTTTTGTAACAGCCATCTCAGCACAACCCTTTCCACTAGGTCCACGCATTTTCATAAACTCTACCCTTTTATGTTTTTTAAATAGCTTTTGCCAACGGTCAGTAGTCCTAGCATCATAGACTTTCTTTAAGGCTTCGTATCGAATACTACCTAAGAATAGAACGCTTTCAAAGTTACTTTTCCTATCTCGGGCTACCAACTCAACACAGACCAATTCGCTATCCCGAATGATTACGTCTGAGAAAGCCTGGGAGGGAAGATAAAAACACATAAAAATGAATAATTTATCTAAAAGACCATGATATACGACTTACCTCCTCAAAATTATCCACAGTAAAAAAGATATTAGGATATGTTAATTGTTCTGAAGTACCTTTAGAATCCATATTTCTTTTGCTAGGAGATGCATAGACCTTTTGGGTGCATTTTTTTAAAATTTGTATCTCATTTTTGCTAGTTCTTGTACAAACAGCGCATGTGACAGTATACTCAAACTGTAACATTAAGAATATATATGTATAATAGATTAAACTTTTCAGAATAAACTTACATGCTGCATAATTAAATTCAAATAGACAGTTTCTTCCCAGTCTATATTTGTTGCTTCAATATTTGGCAAGTTCTTTGAACTTCTCCTAAACACGTCCACTTCAGTCTATTTATATATATATATGTTGATATGGTTTTAAAGGTTATATATTTTTATTCTAAAATGTGTATTTATTTTTAATTTTGATATTAAGTATCTTTACCTGATATACATTTATCTTATTCTGACTAGGTGTTTTGCGGACGTAAAAAAGCATGTCATCTTTGCTATCATCTTCTTTTACATCTTGAAAATGTGACAAGAACAATTGTGTCCAAAATTGTGGCCTTGGTACCAAAACACAGTCGATCTCTACAAAAGCGGCGTAATCATCATATGATTAAGATATCAATGTTTACATACACACCTTCAATTTCTAGATCTTCTCTTATCTTTTGGTTGGCGATCCTCTCCAGAATAATCTGGAGAGAGCTACTATGTTTCATCTCCCATTCTCTCTCAGGAGTTAGCCTATCACAATTCATTGTGAGAGGACCATCTTCATCCTCGTCGTCGTTCTCCGCCATTTTATAAATATTACGTCACGTGATTACTTTCATTTTTAAGTCAGATTCATTCGTCAATCTAATTAGCAAAATTTCCAAATTTGGTAATATTTTCGCAGAATTTTTCCAACTAGACTGCTGATAATTATATAATATTTCATTTAAAGCGTCATTGTAAAGAAGATGAATGAAAATGGCGATGTCTGGAACTTTGCAAACGATATAAGTATTATATGACTGGTTCGTGGTCCGATCAAAATAATCTAAAGATAAAATTGAAGTAATCCACCAAAATTCACTTGCAAACTACGAAACTTCTGACGAGCACTGGTGTGTGAACTGAATTTGGAAGTCATAGCAGACGATCATTTCCGCTCGATAAAACACATCTCGGGCATTCGAAAACCGTATTAAATCGGTTTTAGGAAATTTATCCGTACACAATGGCTAAGTGTACGGAACTATCTAAGGACAATATTGAGGAAGCTCTAATTGGGCTTGATACCGTCCTGACTGATTGCGATGGTAGATTACATAATTATCAAAAAAATTGAGTCTTCACGCTTTATGCGTTTTTTCTTAGGCGTTCTTTGGAATGGTCCAGACGTTATTCCTGGCGCCGTCGAAGCCATAAGAAAGTTGCGCAAAAGAGTAAGTAAAGTCAAGCATAATCTCTAACAATTTATACAATTATTTATCAATTATATTACCCATTGTCCTTGAACAATAAAATCAAGAGTTATGAAACGTTGAAAATGATATAATGTATTATATTATTTTGCCCAATTATTTAATAATCCTTTTATTGCAGAATAAAAAGGTTTACTTTGTAACGAATAATAGTACTAGAACCCGAGATGAATATGCTGAAAAATTGACGAAGCTTGGATTCGAAGCCGGAAGGGAGGATATAATCTGTTCGGCATACGTTACCGCTCAGTATATAAGACATCAACTTGGTATTCGGGGAAAGATTTTCGTTGTTGGTAGCTATGGTTTACAGAAAGAATTGAATAATGCAGGATTTGATACCTCTCCAATTGGAGTAAGCAATCTTCAACCATTTTTATTATTTATTAAACCCTTTTACATTTTTTTAACAGCCTGATCCATTACAAGATTCGTCTTGCGACTGGACAGATATGCCTTTGGATCCAGATGTAAGTAATCAAACATTTTTCTCTAAATGAAGATATCTTTGTCAGTATATGATAATAAAAAAAAACACAGATAACGGCGGTCGTTGTTGGCTTCGATCCTCATTTCAGCTATGCTAAGATGGTGCGAACTTGCGGTCATTTATCTAAAACACAAATACCCCTTATTGCTACGAACGACGATCCGGCTTTACCTGCTAAAAATGATCGCATTGTTCCAGGTATTTTGAAATTTAAACAACCTTCTACGTTTTATAATTTTCTACAATACTCTTGTGTATTTTTCTATTATATAAAGGGACTGGAGCCATACTGCATGCAATAGAAGTCGGAAGTGGTCGTAAAGCATTTGTTTGCGGAAAACCCTATGAACCCATATTGAAAGTTATTATTGAGAGGAAAAACGTAGACCCGTCTAAAGCACTTGTTATTGGCGATCGTTTGGAAACTGATATCGCTATGGCTAATTTGAGCAACATGAACTCTCTGCTTGTACTATCTGGTTGTGCCGCTTTAGATGATGTATACCAACTGCAAAGCAGCGTTGATGCAAAAGATAAAGGCCTTTTGCCGAGCTTCTACATCAAGTCATTGTCTAGCCTTAATGCTCTCCTCCCCTAATCAAATGGGATTTCGTCCTACTCATTCGTTTTTACAGGAAGTTTGAAAAGGCTAATAAAAAACTAGTTATTCCCTAAAATTTTTTCGGGTAACTTTAACAAAAATTATATCGACAAAGATTATAATGAAATGAAAAAAGTTTTTGAAAAACGTTGATGTATAATATGATAGTAGTTCCCTCCCAATTTTATGCCTAAACAACTCGGCGAACTTCGAAAAATCTTTTCAGGTAGTAAACTTGACCAAGAGTCATACAAACTAGCACCAAAGCCTCAAAGAAGGACCAGAGAACAACCCTTGAATTGGTGTTATCATTAACTAAAGAATAGTTTAGTAAATTAGATAAGGCACTTTAACTGAATTATGATAACCTACTAGCTCTATGAATACGTTCTCGTACTTCCATATACTCTTGCTCGTGCTTAACTCCGGTCAAAGCAGTGGAAAGTTCATTTACCATCTCTTCTAATTTATTATGGTGGGCTGAAAAGAGCAGAGAATAAAAAAAGGTAATCGATTTCTATGAGGTAGCTTACCATCTGCTTCCATCCCATCCTTGTCTGACTTAGGCTTTTCTCCAAGATCCATTGTAAACATAACGATTTTCGGAGTCATTGTAGACATTTTATTACTGAAACAGTATTTATACATGCCGTCCATATGTGCTGCAAACGTGTACTTTCCATTGGATTCTCGATCACCAGAGTAGATACTTTTTCCGTCGGGTCCAAGAATCTAAAATAAAAATACACTTTAAAATATAACAGTCAAATAGCCAATTTTATGTTGATTTTATGAAGAGTTCTTATGTAAAAGCAGTTATTACAATAAGTTTGATTTAATCTTTGAAAGGAAGAAGATTATTGACAACTTAAAAAGAGCTACATTAGCTATTTGTCGCTCTCAGTAGTCGTTCATTCATTTAAATGAATTATTCACCCCAAGTATTTAAGTTACAAATGGGATTAAAGTAAAAGAAGGATCTTGGCAACTACAATAGGAGTCTATGTTCGTTATGATAGATAAATATTCAAACAATGTATGCATACATATCTCAAGTTAAATACTTGCACTGGTATTATGACTTAGACCTAGCTATAAATTAGATTAAAAGTAAATATTACTTTTCTTCCTATTGATTACCCAGATCTTGCCCTTCAAGAAGTATATGTAATTTCAATGGGGTATTTGTTAATCCTCCAACTAGTCTCAAAACAAATAAATATAGAATTATTACTACATCACAAGGCAATATCTTGTAATAATCTCCAGAACGAAAGGCAGCCTTACAATGTAAACTGAAAGTTTGTTTTCCATATTTTAGGATCACATTGGTTCATGTAAATATAAATAGGAGCCTCATCGTTTCGATTAAAATGTTAAGTAAATTAATATGATCGTTCCATTAATGTTTAACGAGAGTTGTATTAAATTTAAAAATATACTACATGGTAAAAAAAGCGTAACCTTAAGGTATAACAGATGGGAAGTGCTGAGAAAACTAACCAGCTATATGTTACGATAAAAAAGTATGATCTCTCTTATATTACTATTGAAAAGATTATGGCCTCGTTTATTTATCATTTTTAAAACCTGCTTTCGTTTCTTACCTTGACATCAATATCAAGGAATCCTCCTTCTGCTACTTCAAACATTAAGCTCATCTTTGTGCCGGTTGTCACCTTATCAAAAAAGCACTCTTCGGCATGGGCATCGACACTAATAAAATAGGCATTAGCCGATGCTAGGGATAAAACCAATAGGAATAGTGTTATCATCTTCGCGAAATGTTTATTCAATATACTAATACACGTTAAATCTATGAAACTAGCCACGTACTATCGCCCGAAAAAGGAATATCTACATACCGCTTGAAATCGATCAAAACTACCAGAACAACCGAAAAACACAATAAAATTTTTGAAAATCGGATATTAAAAACAGATAAAGAGTAAATATGTTCCCGCTTATTAAATTAATATATAAGAAATAGCCTAATTACTTTATTTTATAACATTAAAGTAGAGATTAAGAGTTCGATTTAGAGGATTTAGATTATTATTGCTCTAATAAAAGGAGTAACACTGGTTAAAATAATTTTTAAAGTGTAATTCAAACAAGAGTCCTTTATAGTTAATTTATAAAATATGTAAAGACTATAATAATTTCGAAAATGTGCATTCGGTCAATTGCATGCGGGTTTTAGTATTCCGATCGACAACGAAGGTAGAGTGCATGCGCAGCGATCGAAAAGTTGTCCTAGCTCAGTAGGCTATCTCTATATTCCAACGGAAGTATTAAAGCTGAGCTTCCGTCGCAGAAGTAGTCGAACATAGACTCAAAACCTTGTGTTTTCTTTTTGAAGAGAATGCAGTTTAAAGATTGCTAATTTTAAGCAGATAAATTAGATAATTTTCGCACTCCATTTTAGAAGTGCAAGTATAATAGCAGACTTTGTCCTCAGTGAAATATGGCTTCATATGATGCTAATTTTTCGGCGGCAGGATCTAAATTGAATCGTACATTGTTGAATTCTCAACAATTAAGTGAAGCTTTTATGAATGTTTTTCTGGAAAAGCTTTCATCAAGGAGTGCCTCTAAACCGTATGCATATTAATAAAATGCAATTGCATATGTCTAAATTGCTCAATAATTTTTCTCATTTTTGTTCAGGAAACAAAACGACTCCCGGCAAGGAAACGTTCAGGCTCAGGTAATTATTATATTGCATTTTCAATCTCCTTATTAAAAACCTTGAAATTTTTAAATTAGAACCAAAAGAAGACCCCGAAAGAGTCTGATATACCGGGCGTTGTAGAAAACTACCTAGTCGTAAATAGTGCTTCTTCATCGTTTTGTGTCTATGCTTTTGTAAGTAATAGCATAAATTTGTGCATCAGAGAGATAAATAATTATTTATTGCATTTCAGATAAGATATTCAGTTTTGGGTTGTAAACTCCAAAGCAATACCTCAATACTCTCTAATACCCATCAATGCAATGATGGAAGAATTTCAATAAATCAAAGTAGTAGCATCAGAGAAACTACATCTCCTAAACTACCTATGGTAATCATAGTCATATAAATATACATTAGGTTATCAGTAAATTACTTATTTCAGATTATCGAGCTTGGTCTTAGAGAAATACTCATTATAATTACTGAATTGCGTTCAACAAATCCTGCATTATGTAAAAGAACACTCGAAGCATTGTTTAACATTTTGTCTAATCGTACACCTGAAAGTATGAGATCTGAACCTTTCTCAATAATGGGTAAATTACTCATGTTTTATTTTGTGCTCTAATTTTTTTTATACAATTTTTCGTTACACAGAAAATTTGTTTGAAGTTCTACTCGATTTAACTTCTAATAGTGACAAATCAAATGATGATTCTAATAGTTTATCAGCTTTAGCTTCTTCGTGCCTGTTCGCTCTTGTGCTATGTTGGGGAGAAACTGGTTATATTTTATCTGCAATCAGTTCTATCCTTATGTCGACTTCACCTGAGAAAAAAATGAAACTTCCAGAAGTAGCTGTGATAATGAGAAATTCTGTTCTGGCTTACCTTACACAGAAGCACCAGCTCCCTGATTGGTTTAGATACGGGGTCCCAAAGAGTTGTATGGTCTATAAGAAAATAATATATCGCTTGACATCAGCAGAACATTGCGCTGTATCATCCGACGGAGTCTTCCTTTATATTTTCTCACCGAATTTTGGGGCCTATAAAATTGGAACAGGGTGTTCCGGTACCATTGAAGGTTGGATCTATGCATCTAATACAATATATATTTCCGAAAAAATGATGGGTTGGATAGGAGCTTTTGAAAAGTTTGTGCTATTACAACCTAACAGAAATAAGCGAAGAATAAAAGTATTATGTAAAAATACCTTAACAGTACTCTCGAAAGTTGATATGTCTTTGGTGACTAACGAAGGACTCTTTTTCTCTGACTCATTTTGCGTCGGTCAAATATCTTCACTAAAAAATGGGGATTTTATTGTTAGAAAATATATAATTAAAGCTACTGGAGAAGATTCTGTTGTCTTAGTTCCAGATGAAACGAAAGAGCTAAAATTAAAATTAACAATTCAGGGTCTACACGTATGCGGAAACTTTTGTGAAGAAGGAGACTCCGAAGGAGTGATTAGACCTGTTGCAAATGTAGCTAGTCACGGCTCTATAAAAAATGATATTTTAGACGTTCAATGTGGTAAAGATTTTCTGTTGGCTTTGACATCTGCTGGAAATGTATATTTTATTGGAAATCCAAATTCTGTAGGAGCTAAAGCACACTCTGGCGCAATTGCTACGACATGGACACTTTTGCCTCTGCCTAAGGAAGCAACTGGTTTGAAAAGCCTATCAGTTGGAAATGACGGGAATTATGCATTGATCTCTTGTCAGAATGGTACTGTGGTATATATCGGAATTGCAAAGCGAGGAGAGGATGGAGACAATTCTTATAGATATTACCGAAGAGGATGTTTTACATATAAAAATCTCAAACCAAGAATCATAAAGGGTTTATTGGAAGGAGAATGTATAGTTTCTGTGCAAGCTAACAATGGTATTAGTGCTTTCATAACAGACGAAGGAAAATTGATATTACTTGGTAGAGAAGCTTCGGATCATACAAGTCGTTTTGGGACGGTGTCGATATTCAAAGACAAAAATATATCTCAGGTAGCTTTGGGAAAAGCACATACTATTGTTTTAAGTTCAGACGGATCCGTTTATTCTTTTGGTTACAATCATAAAGGTCAGTGTGGTCGTAAGATAAACCGACAAAACATAAAAAGTGAATCAGGATGTTCTGTAATAAAAAAACAAGAGAGAGTTTCCCTTGGTCCCAATGAAGTAAGAATATGTGATGATGGTAAGTGCTTTTCTTATATTTTCTCTGATTAACAGCTTATAAATTGCTCAGGTGAACACAATTTTGTGACTGGCGATTGTATGATATGCACGCTGTGTGGAAATTGCACTGAATATGGGATGTTTTGTGTACTAACTGGTAACTCTAAACATGTTCCTGGATCGTAAGTAGAAAATTAAAAGGTTTTTAGGCCTTTTTATACTTAATTCTGATAAAAATTAGAAAATGTGGTTGCGGAACGGGTGATGCTGGTTGTGCAGACTGTGGTCTATGTAGAATATGTGTAAATGATGTACTACGGACAGAGGAGGAAGGTGAAGTATTTGTCGGTTAGTAGCATTTTGGACGTTTTAAAATACTATTCTGACATATTTTATCTCTTAGAAAATCGATCTCGTTCACACCGTAAAGCTGGACCTTATCATAGATCAAAAGATATTAATGATCGTGATCGCCGAGGATTTCAAAAAGGTTTGTATTTAGGCTTATTAGCTCAAAAAATTACCTATAATTTTCTTTTGAATAATCAGCATCAGAAAACCGATTACTTTCTGCTCCTTTTGGTGCTTCGAATATTGAAATGGAATATACTAAAACCATTATAGTCCATCCAGACATCATATCTATAGATACGAAAGTCAAGCAGGTAGCCTGTGGGCTTTATCACTCAGGGTTGTTATTAGAGACGAAAGAAGTAATGACTTTCGGAGGAAATTCAATGGGGCAATTAGGTTTGGGTGACTTAATAAATAGAGACACCCCTACAAAAGCAAGGTAAGGAAATAGAACTTCAATTTTAAATCTTTTATAATCTCATTCTCACACTTTAGATTACAAAGTGAGATATCGTATCTTTCTACCGGAAATAATCATACCGCTCTCTTGAGTGTCAATGGATGCATCTATACTGCTGGGAGTAACTCTGTTAATATTCTTACTTTAAGTATTTCATTCTATATAATAAAAATCTATACTTTTTAGAAAGGTCAGCTTGGACGAAAGTTGAACTCAGATAAAAAATATTCAACTGAATTTCAAAAAATTCCAGGAATAGGTATTGGGATTCTATAGATTAGTAATTTTTTTCTAAACAAAATCTAACTAATTCTTAGGGGATAATAATAATACAAAAGCAACAAGAATTAAAGCAAGCTCCGATGCAACTTTTCTTCAAATAGAAGAGTCTCTTATTAATTGCGAAGTTTTAATGCACTGTGAAGTATTTGCTACCAATACATCAATTGGTAAGATCTTAACAATTTTCATTACATTTCTATAAAATTTCTAATACATTTATATTTTTTAAGGTATAATACCTCCTATATATGAAGACCAATGTATGATGATGGTAAAAAAGAGCAGCGGAAGATGCCGAATTTTCCGTGGTGAACACCAATTAAATTTAGCGAATAGCACTATTTGTGGTGATCCTGTATACGACGTATTGTATACGTGAGTCGGAATATCCTATAATCGGAATGTTCTAATAGATAAATTATTTTTTTTCAGATATAATTGGAAGAATAAAATTCTTTGCCAATTAAATAGTTTACTATCGGATGACATTTGTAACGAAACAAATTATAGTCTCTTAAATTCTCTAACATGTCCTGAAAGATTGCTCAGCTTTAAGAGTGAATCAACAGTTAATGAACATAATGTTGCTTTACTCATTCTTGCATGTATTGATATTACAAGCAGAAGGAGTGATAGTCCTTCGATAAATGACTCTCCAATAGAATTTCATGATGGAGTTAAAAATGTAACCCGATATTCTAAAGAGGATTATAATGTTGTCGACAGGTTGGTAGCCATTTTTAGACAAAATGATTGGGGGCTAATGACTATTTTCAATTAGATTTGATCATCATGGTGTTGGCTGGGGATACTCAAATAATGCTGTAGAAGCCATTCGTTTTATGGCAGATCGAGATATATTACTTGGTGGCTTTGGATTATTTGGTGGAAGAGGAGAATATTTGGCAAGAATAAAGGTTACTCAATTCTGTTTATGAAGTAGGTCGTGTTTATTTTATGTCAATTAATTCTTATAGCTAATTGAACTTGGTATGGATGGTGGAGAAAATGAAATAAATGGGGAAATCCTTGCCACTGGAAATTTCTTATATGAATGTTCTCCACGGTACACTAAAATTTAGTTAAAATTGGTCCAAAAATCATCTTTTTTTGTAACTTCAGATCAAAATTCCCTGCCTTATTCGAGGAGCCTGTTTTATGTACCGCAGGGTGCTGGTATGTTGCCGTTGCCTCCATTTCGGGACCAAGTAGTGATTGTGGTTCTTGTGGATATTCATCTGTAAAGATAAACGAACAAGTTCCGTAAGTTGTCTTATGTTAATATTTAATATAAAGAATGTTAAAAAAATTTTTTATTTTTAATAAACAGAATCAATTTCAAGTTTAAGAACTCCAAAAAATCAAACAATGGTACAGACGTTAATTCTGGGCAAATACCACAAATATTTTACAAGTTGTACTCAAACTCGAACTCTTGTAATGTCGTTAAAGTTTCGTCTTTTGACAGACTTGTAACACCAGAAATTTATGGAAATAATCAAGCTTCAACAATTGCAAGTGGAGACCTCGTTTCCATTGTATCATCCAACATAGCAACTCTTACTTCTGATGTATGTAGTTAAATTAGAACAATTATTTTATTAATTTATGAAAACTTTTGCAGCTCTGCATTGAATCTCTCTTAAAGCTATTGCAGTGGAGTTGGGCAGCATTTTGTTGTAAAGCCCCTGAAATTGCAACTATAAGTGTATGTCAAAAGTAGTAAGATAACTTGAAAATGTTTATAAAAATTTATTGTAAAAAAATAGGGAATTGGCTATTTAGAAGGAGAAGCAGAACTGCGAAAATTAGTCTTCATTGCATCTTCATCTATTAGATTATTATCAAAATATGTTCAAAAGAACTCAAACAAAACATCCGCTCTATCGGATGCTGGTCGCATTTTGCGACGCATTTTGACAGAGAGTACAGCAAGAGTCAAGTAAGTCAATTACACAGAGTTATTAACAGTAAAATATTTACATAAAAGTTAGAAAAAAATAGTAGTGTGGTTTGATTATTAACACAGATGGTTGCCTTTTGGAGTAGATGGTTCATTAGGTCCTCTAAAATTACTAACATCATTACTTGATCACTGTCATGATGCTTGGGTGCAATGTTTTTCTTCTTTCTTTCCGACCCCTCAAAGAATGTGGCATTGCTTGTGTGAACTGCTAGGGTCATTTGATTCGGTATACTGCCTTATTCTTTCTTACTTATGTTACCTATATTTGGACCAAAGTTTATAATTCTCATCTATTTCTGATCACAGAGACAGGGTGAAAGTGGTTTGGGTAACTCTATTCTGCTTTCTGCTGTTTTCAAAGCCCTATGTGAAGGACCTGTACGATTAACCAGTATATTCCCTTTCTATGGAGGATGTGATACTCCTGATATTCAACAGTCGTTATGGCAGAGTGATTCCAGTACTAGTCAGCAAGAAGCTCTAAATCTCTCAGATTATGGTCAACATGCTCGGAGCCCACCAGATCTCATGATATCATCTTATTGCTATAGTTTTAAAGAAGTTTTAGACAGGATTTTATCAATAGCTTCATATCCAGTTGTTTGCGTAAGTCACAAATCATTCAGTATGTGAATATGTAAAAATAAATACCTATTTACAGTTACTAAAACAAGAATCGTGCACATTACCCGATTCTTTAATAGTCAATGCTTGCTCTCTACTACAATGTTTGATGTCTGATTTTGTTATTTCTGCAAATGCTTTACAGGTAAGAAATCAAAATTATTTTTACATTCCTTTATTAATATTTTTCAAACGTTCTAAAGGATGAAGAAACCGGTGTTAATCCAAAGACTCATCCAGTTCTCATCTCACCTAGTCGATTTACCAGAACAAGTATTACTTCATATTGGTCAACAGGTAATGGCAATGCCGAGGCAATCTGCTTTGCCGTAGATAGATCAGGAATCTGCATAGCTGGTGCCTGCGTATACGGAGGTATAAATTACACTCTAAAAGAACTATTATAAATCGAATATCATTTTAAGGGGGGTCCTCTAATAATGGTGGTTCGCAACAATTTGAGTATGAATTGGAACTTCTTGAAGACGTTGATCCTGGTGCAGGAGATAAATGGCAGCTCATAGCCTACAGCACAGGATCTTTTACAAATGACGATTGTATAAATGATATTTTTCAAATACGATTTGATAAAATCGTTCTTATCAAAGTAAAATTTTTATATTATCTTTTTCTTATTTTTATTAATTCACTATTTTTTTTTTAGGAGAATTTTAAATATGCCCTAAGATTTCGCAATAGAGGTCCTCGAACAGTTCACGGTGACCAAGGTGTTACCCAAGTTCGCTGTCCAGATAATACAATTTTCTCATTTTCGGCCTGTCCTTTATCCAGCAATGGAACAAATCATATCCGAGGACAAATTCCTCAAATCCTTTATTGTATTTCATCAAATGAATCTGATTCTAGAATGCAAAGCTCAAAGCTCATAGCTGAACATAGTGCAAAACGAGATGTAATGAACATTTGCCTTGCAGTTATTACTTTAGCAAAATCATTGCTGAGTAAGGCACAAATCTTAACTGGTATAAAATCGTATTTTTAAATATATATGAAATTATCATTTTCTTTTACAGATATCAATCATTTCAAAAAATTGGCGTCCTTACATTTTTTCAACTCTCTTATGCCAGTTATATTAGCTCATATTGGACCAATAGCTATGAATGATATTCATAATGCAGTTTTTTTACTTAATGCTATGAAATGCTTTCTACCAGTTGTAGTGGATTTGAACAAAAGACGAACGTCTCTGGTAAATGGTAATTTACAAGAATCACCCAACAAGAATCGTGTTGCTGGACCTACTGATACTTCAAATCCATATAAATGTTCAACTATAGTTGAAAGTAGCCATCCTTACAAACCAGCAAGCATTAATCACTACACAGTAAAGTTTGAAAGCTCTATTAAATGGATGAGTGTTGAATTTGATGAAGAATGTTCAACTGCTCAGCCTGAGGATATATTACGAATATTTATCCCACCAAAAAAAGACAATTCTCAACCAGTTGAAGTAGGTCAATTCTCCAGTGAAAATGGCTTTCCTCGTGTTGCTTTATTATTTCCTGGAAACGAACTTTGGTTTTGTTTAAATTCCGTCTCAGAGAAAGCTAAATCTGATCAATCTGATTATTATGGTTTTAAATGTGTTGTTATGGGGTATGATTGCTGTAAAGAAAATGGATTAGCCCAATTGGAAAACGAATGCTGCTACCTCAGTTCTCTATGTGCATCATCGTTATTATCTAGGCAGTTAGTTCTCCCTCCATCTACAATTGGTGAGCATGATACAGATATGAAGAATATAGAAGAACAGGGAAGCATGACTTTCACTGAGCAATGGAAACTACTTAGAGGGGGGCTATCTTTACCTCGACTTCCAACAGCTCAACAGGCAATAGAGGGTATATTACCAGCGAGTCAACCATCAAATGAAAATGATTTTCTTCAAGATTTTGTCTCTTGTACTGCCGGAACCTCAGGTGGTCGTTTGGCTGATTGGCTTCAATCAGAAAGAAGAATAGATCCATCGAAATGCTCTATTATTGTGGTTGGCTCTAACCTTAGGTATAATGTACCCGCCACACTAAAAGTTATAACAAACGACCAATATGGTCAAAGAGTACTCAAATATGAGGTAAAAGTAGACATTGAAGTACTACCAGTTGGAAATAGCGTTAAATCTCGTCCAATTGGTCTCTCCGAGCCTGAATTGCACATTCAAAGGCCTCATTACGTTCCTTTCAAACCTATTTTCTGCATAACCTCCAGAAATGTCGTATACCATTCAATATCTATGATGAAAGAATATGATGATTATTCTTTCGAAGAACTTCGGTACCTTTTACCAGAAGATACAACGAACAGTGGAGATACTCTGCGTGTGAAGAAAGTAATTGATGGACTGTATACTTGTCAATGGATTCCTCCAACTCCAGGATGTTACGAGCTGAAGTTGATGATTGATAATAAATCAAATGGAGAAGTACTACGAGTGACTGTTGAAGACTCACCGGGTAATCATATTGTATTTGTTAATCCACCTAAGCAAATAAGAAAACCATGCATAAGAGGGCGAATATTTACAGAAAAGTGTTCAGCTGGTTTGAGGTGAGCTTTCTATATCATAAAAATAATTTGTAAGTTTAACATAAAACTTTCTCTAAGGATTCGATCTCAGCCATCTTTACAAGCTGAACAAATTGGAATAGTAAAACCAGCAGGTGTTATTTACTACTTTAATGAAGTAAGCATTTAGTTTAATGAAGTAAAAATATGAAATGTTATATATAAATATATTTACATATATTAGTTAATATTTATATTTCTTTCATCTGTTTAGATTTGCAATAATGATGGAGTTTGGGTTAGGTTAACTGCTAAATCAATAAACGAATGGTGTCCTGACACGGTAGGACTTAGACGAGATCTCTTACCCGAAGCCTGGGTTCTCCAATATCATGCTCATCTTGAAAGAACATTCCTTTTACCGATCAAATCTGTAGAAAATGATCATCCATCACAAAGCAAAGAAAATATTAGAATAATGAGAGTCGATAGGAAATGTCTATTGAAAGTTGAGCCTAGTCGTGGTGCTCAAAGTGTTGGGGTTTTATATCCCAATGAAACAGTTATAATTATCACTCAGAAGGATCTTCCCGATGGAGAAGTTTGGCTTAAAGTTAAATTTGAAAAAAAATTAAATAACAGACCTTCAAGTTCTTGGCTATTACTAAAAGATAATCAAAAAATATATGCTTCTGATATATCTGGGGGAGAGAAAAGAATTGGTGAAACAAATCAAGAAACCGACTCCTTGCCATTGATTCCTTTTGATATAGCATCGCCCAGTTGTAAAAATCCAACAGAAACAACTATTTCAAGGCAAAATGAACCTATAGCAAAAGGCCTGAAAGATCTGATAAATGCTGTTGGAGAAAGTCGAGCCAATGGCAACGGTAAAACGCCCCCGAGAACGCCTCCACCGACTCCCAAAAAAACTCAAGCCAAAAAACGATCTCCCATAGACGATGTATCTCGCAATCGATCCACTAGTCACTCCCCCACGTCATCTCCTTTGTATGTACTACGAAAAAAGTCGTCTAATACAACTGATGGATCTTCAAAAATTGAAAAGACTAATTTTTGTAATGCAAGTGATATTTTACTTCCATCTTTGGCTGAATGTGCTCGAACTGTTTTCGCTGCAATTCTTCTTCATGAGGGAATAGTTCACGATGCTATGACATGCGCTACTTACTTGAAATTTCATACAGACTTGACGAAAACTGATATTCTTAAACTAAGCAACTTGACAGATCCAGATCATGAAACTGAATACCCAGCAACTTTAAGATATACAGTCGGATTGTGGTCAAAAGTATCTGGTCATATTTATAATGTGGTTAAGAACCATCCAGAAAAAGTAATAATACCATGTATTCCTCAATCAAAAGCAGAGACTAGTACCAATGAAAAAGAAACAGTTTGTGAACTATGCCTTCAAGTGGTTGAAAGACCCCCTTCCTCTCACATGAGGCAAGAACATCCAGGATGCGGAAAACCATGTGGTGGCTTTGGCTTTAATAGCTCTGGTGTTTATTGTAATGGTTGGTCTGGATCATGTGGTGAAGGTGGTTCAGGAGGTAGTACTTGGTACTTAATGTGCTATCAGTGCTTTGCAAAATATTTGCGAGATAGAACCGAAAAAATGGACGGTGAAGAAAAGCGTGTCGCAGTAAAACCTATTCCATGCATTTTAGAACAGAAAACTGATTTATCCTTTCAAGAAGTTATTCGCCGCAATGCAAACTTTTTATTGCAACTTAGTCCCTCATTTTCAGCAGCTACAGACGTTATGGATATGACAGAGGCTTTTATTACTTCAAATTTTTCATACGTTGATGCTTCGGCTACTAAATGGCAGGACAAAGGACAAAAATTAGTAAAAGGTTTAAGTCGATCACAATTTGGACCAACCAGCGGATCCTTGAATGAGATGGAGCCACAAGGGTTTAGGTCTTTAAGATCACCTGCTCAAGAAAAAGCTATAGACTCGTCAAATGACCCTTCTATTCTTCATAGAAGTATTTCAGAAGCTACGTCTAATCAAGAAGCTATCAACAAGTCTGGTCGTAAAAGAGCTCAAAGTACTGGAGTTGCGTATTCTTCCAAAGATAAAATTATGATACATCAGCCTTCTCCTGCTCTTGTAAAGCTTTTCATGAATTGTCAGGATAACATTGATCATGATCCTGTTGTAATATTTGTGAAGAGTAAGCAAAACGTAGATTTATTAGAAATGGCCTGCAAGCAAGCTATTAGAAAGGCTGCTTGTAAAGTTTTTGCTCTTCAGGCCTTCGATTGGCTTTTAAAAATTGCAACACAGTCTTCGTGCATACATGACGTTCTTTGGTCTTTTATCGCCGCGTTATCACCTATTGGTGAAAATGGAAGCAAACTAACTCCCCCTCCTCCAGGTTCGTTTGCTGGGAAAAATCCTGTTCGAGACATCGAAATAGCTGGCTTGGCCAGTGGTTGCGTATCAAGATTACTACAACGTTTTCTGCAGGATGTTGCTGATCTCATTACTCATCTATCACCGTCTTCATCAATTCAGATGATGGCTATTAGATGTTTTTCAATCGATTTCTATCAGCAGGATCATGCATTCCTCCACAAGTGTCGTATTTTCAACAGAATTGATGAAATTTTGTCCAAGTCTGAAAGTTTAGGGGATCTACAGAATTGGAGACATCACGATGCTCATCATAACTCTTACGTATCTAACTTTATTGAACTGAAGATTGAAAGTATAACCGTCTCAAGTAGACCAGCGATGTTATCCAGTCTTACAGATAATAGCACAGAAACTTTTTGGGAAAGCGGTGAAGAGGACAAGAACAAAGCTGTAAAGACAATTATTGTATTTTCCGAATCAAAAATTAATAGAGCTCTCATATACGTTGATAATGTTAAGGATAACTGTAACAGATTGGCTCAGGCAACTTTCTATGGCAATTTCTCTCAATCAAATATTGAAAAAATGCTTTCAACTGAAGTGGATAACAAATTTAGTGGTTGGATAGCTGCAAATATATTACCCCCTTGCACGTCCGTTAAGATTGATCTAAAAAGTGTTGATGCAACAGTAAGAATTAGACAAGTGAAAATTTTAACGGAGCAAGTTATGACCGATATCACGTCCTCTAGTATGATAAGTCTGCAGCAAAACTTGTGTGAGAATGAAACACTGAAGATATTTAGACAGCTGACATCTCAGGTTCTTGGTCAATTATTTAAAGAAAAGCATTCTGGAGACGACTCTATTGATTTAAGAGATCATATGCTGGGTATCCTTTTCTCCCGACCCAAATTGAGCCAGATGCAACAGGAAATTTGTGCTCACATTATGAGATCAATACGCAAAGAAACTGAAAAATTGAACTGCGATACGTACTGCAACGAACTAATCTCAATGCTGTTGGCTTTAAGCAGTTCCATGGTTGGCAGAGCTTATCTATCCCAACAACACAACTTGATTCACGATCTTCTTTTATTATTTCATGGATTTTCTGGAAGGGTTCAGAAACAAATATTAAAGCTCTTAAAGCGCGTCTTCTATCTTCTGACTCCTAAAGCTTTTGCTGAAGTTATAAAAATCAGAGAGTTGCCTCCTGATGATTTTACCAGCTTGTTAGCTTCAGAAAATCTTCTTTCTCAAGCGCCTAAACTACTAGACTGTCTGCTTTCGATCGTGGCAAAGTCTTTAAAAGTCCAATATCGAGTTAAAGGACAAGGACAAAGGATGGCGGCTAAATTTGTGTCTTTCCAGGAATGTGTCGAAATATCTGATCATGAATGGTGGTTGAAAGGACACTCTGATCCGTCATTAAGTAAAGAAACGATTATATTCATTGAGAATCTCGCAAAAGGTGCCATAACTGAAGAATGGGCGAGAATAACAAATGCTTGTTTAGCGCAGTCAACCTTAGCTCTAATGACCGCAACTGAAACTGATAGGAACCATGAAGACTATATGAAATCATCGACATTTTGGTTGGCACTTGCTGCTTTATCAATTTTACAACAAGAACATGCAGCTAAATTGACATCGTCGGCGAATAGAAAAACGGCTTGCGATAATCATGACGACGGAGAAACAAGAGCCATTTTAGAATGCAATACCTGCGGCTACTTGTGTGCCGATTGCGACAGATTCTTACACATGAGTAGAAAGTCTCGATCTCATTTGCGAAATGTTTTCAAAGAAGAAAAGGAATCAATTCGAGTTGATTTACACGAAGGCTGTAGACGAATAAAACTATTCTGGCTAATGGCAACCGCAGATTCTTCCACAGGCAATGTTATATTGGAATTTCGACAACATAATTTGTCAACATCGGGCGTTTGTAGGTTTTGCTCGAGCCCCGCAGCTATGTCATCGGCAGTTGGAAATGTATGTGACGATCAGGATTGCAAGAGACATGCAGAAACAGCATGTACGAAACAGCTAATTTGTGGTCATATGTGTCAAGGTGTAGCGGAAGAACTTGACTGTCCGCCGTGTCTCAGCGGTTGTGGTGGCTCAAAACTCAAGCAAGATGGCGATGACATGTGCATGATTTGCTTTAGTGAGCCATTGTCGGCAGCTCCAGTTTTACATTTAGAATGTGGTCATGTATTTCACTTTCATTGCTGTGAGGAGGTCTTAAGAAAGCGTTGGATCGGACCAAGAGTAACTTTTGGATTCATTCTCTGTCCAATTTGTAAACGACGAATCAACCATCCGAAATTGCTACCATTGACAAAACCAATAATTGAACTTTACCAAGATGTTGAACGTAAAGCGCTGATGCGATTAGATTATGAAGGTTTCGATAAAAAGGAAATGAATGATACTAAAGATGTAGCCATATTTGCTATGAACAGATACGCTTATTACGTATGTTCTAAGTGTGAAAAGGCTTATTTTGGAGGTGAAGCTCGATGTGATGAAGCATTACATCTTAACGACGATTTTAACCCTGAAGAACTAGTCTGTGGAGCCTGCTCTGACGTAGCGATGGCTCAAATGTGTCCTCGTCATGGCTCTGATTATTTAGAATATAAATGTAGATATTGTTGTAGCGTTGCAGTATTCTTCTGCTTTGGGACAACCCACTTTTGCAATATGTGCCACGAAGATTTTCAAAGATTAACAGGTATATCGAAAGAGTTGTTAGCCAAATGTCCTGCTGGTCCGAAATCTATTCAATTGGATGGAACCGATTGTCCGCTTAAAGTAGAACATCCCCCTACTGGTCAAGAATATGCCCTAGGCTGTGGTATTTGCAGAAATGCTCATACATTTTAAGGGATCAAAAACGTTTAAAAAATTGTAATATATCGGTTCTTAAAGAAAAATAAATTCTATACGAACTTAAACAGTTTATTATTATAATCACTCACTCACTTATAAATTACCCATAAATTACTCTATAAATGTTAGAGAAAAGCTCTATATGTATACATTTATGAACAAACAAATTTATAATTAACAAGTTAAAAAGAAATATAAAGACCAAGAGCAGTTCTACCCATTCCTTTATCTGTTAAACTATCTTCAGTCGTCAGGTAATGGAATATCTGGTATAATAACCCCATCCGCCAATTCACTACCCGATGAAAGATTTCTGAAAATAAACGTACATGAATAACATTTCTATATTTGCGAAAAGTTCAATTTACATACCCATCATTTACATAACCTCTTCCTGCTTTATCTTTTCCGTATCGCCTATCTCTTTCGACATCAGATTCATCATTATCATTAGAATTTGAGGATCGACATCGCCGTCTATGGGAAGTTTTGTTATAACTTTTAGAACGGCTTCTTGATCCACTGCTTGAACTACTACTGGATCTGCCTCTGGATCTCTTCCATGATCTTCGTCGAGACCGGCTGTTTGATCTGGAGGAGGGTCTTCGTCTAGATATACTTCTCGATCGACTCCGTTTTCTTTCAGATGATCTGGAATTGTAATTTTTATTGTTTCTCGATAAATTTGGTGATCTTGATTTGCGCCTGCTTTGATATCGATCTTTTGAACGGTCTATCGATCTACTTTTGTCAGTTGATCTTCTTGAAATTCTTCCTCTCTGTCTTCCGCTGTCCAATGAATGACTCCTTGATCTCCTTGAGGTAAACGGTGATCGTCTTCGCTCAAACTCTCTGGAGCGATTTCTTTCTCGTGACCTACCATATCGATAACGGCGATCATTACCACGATTTTTACTTCTAGATCTCGATCTACTTTCTGATCTTGAAGCTTTACGTCTATCATCACGATCCTGTCTCTCCCTGGAGGAATTTTTATTCGACATTCTAGAAGTGTAACGTCTTTCAGCATTTTCGGATGGAACTCCAGTAGATATTTTCTTTGCTTGCTGGCTGTCAAGGCTTCGTGATCTGCTCCTCTCCCTTTTCTTCTTGGGGGATTCGGACCTGTTTTTATCCGATCGAACGGTTTTCTCCGGTTGCGGTTTACAGTCATCAGAGTGATGTTTTGGGGATTGAGATCTATCTCTGTCAGAGAATAATCTTCTCGAGGGAGATGCTTCATGTTTTTTTGAAGTTGATCCTCTACTTTCTGAGCGACTACTCCGAGAATGGGACGACGATGAATTATCTCTAAACCTATCCATCTTATCACTATATCGTCCAGATTGTCTTTCCGATACCTTTCGATCAGGCGATCTATCATTTTCTGATTGCCTCCGGCGATCTCGCCAACGGTTCGGAGATCTTGATCGCCTAGAACCATTTCTGCTACGATCATTTCGAGGAGCAGGTTGACGCCTCGGCTCGGTTTTCCATCTGAGATCATCGCTCGGTCTAGACTCATTTCTGCTTGGGCTATGTGTATTATATTTTCGAATCTCTCTTTTCCAATATGGTGGAGTTTGACTTCTAGATCTGGATGATCTTCTATAGCGTAATACTCCGTGGCCTTTAACAACTGTCCCATCACGATTGCATCTTCGCGGGCGTAGAACAGTATCTTTATTCAATTTTTTTTCAGACGTTTCATTTTTATCATCTCTATCTCTTAGGAAATTCGTCGATCCCCCATCAGGTATTTCTTCAGGTCGAACAGTAGAAAAATGCTGATTATCCTCGTCGTCTTTCTCCGACTCTTCGGATTCATCACTTTCATCTTTATCCTTCTTCTTTTTCTTTTTCTTCTTCTTCTTTTTCTCTTTCTTTTCCTTTTTCTTCTTCTTCTTCTCTTTTTCTTTTTCCTTGCATTTATCTTTCTTTTTTTTTTTCTCTATTTAATTCAAAAGTCAACAGCGGAAAATGTTAGAAAATAATATTAAAAACAAACAAATGCACTAATTAAAGTTTAAAATATTTACATACTTTCTTTTATTTCCCCACAGTCCGCTACAGTAACGTTAACCAAAGGTTTATCTTTACTATCTGTTTCCACGCCCTCAATTAGTTTAACAACTTTTTCACCTTCGATAACTCGTCCAAAGACAACGTGTTTTCTAATAAGATCAATTAACTAAGGTTAATGATTAAATTAGCATTTACTAAAAATGACCTACCCATTCAAGTGTGGAGTTGGCACAGTGGTTCTATGAAAGAGTAAAAGGAGAAAAAAAGATGAGTTTATTGAGATTCAAACAATACCAGAATTTATTAAATATTACATGAAAAATTGAGATCCATTCGTATCTTTTCCTTTATTCGCCATACAAAGTAAATAAGGTTGGTCTAACCTCTCCGAAAGATCTTCATCTGAAAATAATATTAAAATACAGACTTTTCAGATAATAAGATAATGCTGTTAGAACAACCTTCGAAAGTTCCACCGTATATTGATTCACCACCAGTTCCATTCATATTTCCGAAATCTCCACCCTGGATCATAAAATCTTTTATAACGCGGTGAAAAATGCATCCTTTGTAATGTAATGGTTTTTGAAATCTTCGACTAAATCCAGAGTCCCCTACAAATGAAAAATATTATTCTAATGTTACATTCTTCAGAAGGGATATCTGATTACCATTACAAAGCGCCATAAAATTTTCTACTGTCTTAGGGCATCTCTTGGCATCCAGTTCAATTACTATGCGACCAACTGTTATTGAAATTCGATTAATATACAGTATAATAGAAAGGTTTAGTTATTTACGTTTATCATTGCCAGCAGTTATATCCAAAAAAGCTTTTGGCTTTTCAATCATCTTGATAAAATTTAATAAAATTATATTTTATTAAAATTTGGGTATATTTGTTTTACGTTAACTTTAAACAAATTGCCCTTCAATTTTCTATTATTCTCCAAATATAAAACTTATATTAGAAGATTAACTATCAACATCGTAGAAGTAAACTACAAAATTTTGAAGCGGTGCCACAAGCAGAGCGAAAATATGCGCAGGAATAAGTGTCTATATCCGGTTTTTAACTTCCGCCAAGCTGACTCGCACAGAATAGTTTTCAAAAAAAATAATTAAATAAATGGGTACTAATTATAAAAATAAAATTTATAAAAATATAAAAAATATAATAACTATAAATATAATAAATTTTTTAATTTATACTAAATAAGAAAGACTAAAAATGTTTGTGTCTACATATTACTACATTTGTTGCCTAGTAATCCCTCCACTAAATAAGTAAAAGTAAATTTAATTGAAAATCTAAAGTTATAATCTATAAGAGACTTTTGATTTACTGGATACTTTTCTTTTCTCCTAAATGTCTACTGTATCAAGAGTGTCTATAACTTACTGATAGTCTTTTGTATATTATTTTCAAAATAATAACAATCGTGCAGTATCAAGCAAACAACTATAATTAAATTAATAATATCTGCAGTTTTATTATTAATATATTAATATAAAAATGATCTTGTTGAGTTTTGATTAGATTAAGAAATTTTTTTCCAATATTTTCATTTACTATCCGCTGAGAAATTAACTTTTTTTTGCTTTTCCTCAGTTATAGTATCACCCTGATTTCTTTCATTTTCCTCTTTTGCCGCTCTCTCCTGTCTAGAATCACAAACCAATTGTAGACAAGTAGCTAAATCAGTCGGTTCGAGCTCATTTTTATCTGTTTTTAATGAAGGAAATATTGAATAATGTATCATAAATACATCAACATTTATTATTACTAAAATGAATGAAACACGGAGAATTAAATGGTTTATTAAGAAAAAAAATCATGTTCTTTTCTTTTCTAAATGTAATTTTATATTTTTAGTTTTTTGTTCCTGTCCATTTATTAATAACCTTTAAGGCTTCTTCTTCAGTAGTCAATCTTTCAAGGACTTCGGTCGAAAGATTTACTTCCTCTTGTCCTATTACCTTTACATAAACCTTTGCTAAGGGAACTAATTTAGATTCAATAAGAGTAATATTTGCATTCTTTAAAATTTTTTTTGGTGGAGTAGTGTAAAGCTGAATTTCAAATTTCCCAGCAATGCATTTAGTTATGAAATTATAAACTGAATCTAAGCTCTCGGAAGGTTTAAAACAAGCTTGTAGAATTAAGCGATTAGAAAAGACAAATCGAATTATTGCTCTTTCATATATAGAAAATCTAGAATTCATCACTTCTTGTCTAAACTTTTGAGTTAGCAGTGGCTGGTTATAAGCATTTTCCACTGATGCCCGTAAAGCTTCCATCATTTTTCTAACGTCATTGACAGTAACTTCGAAAAATTCGTCCGATTCTTCCAGTGGTTTAAAATCCGGAGCTTCAGCGGAATTGTATAACTTGGTTTCTCTATCTAATAATTCGTCCACTACGCTACTCTCCTTATTATCAAGTTTAGCTACTGTAGGCTCACGTGCAACCGTAGTAGCATCCTCATCCATTTTAGGCTTTTTTTGCACTGGATCTGAAGTTATTTCTGATTCTGATGACTGTCTACTAGTATCCACTAATACTTGGGAATTTTCTGCAGTTAAGTAACGGATAATTGCCCTGCCTCCAAATAGGCCTAAATTTCGAAGTTGGGTCTTCTTAAGGGTCTCTTTACCAGCTATTCTCTCGGTTATATAGAGACAAACGTGATCTGAATCTTGAGTTTGTGCGAATACTCGTCTTACATCGTCCGTTGTTTTAGCTAAGCTTTCCTCTAGAATGTCCCATAAAGTCTTCTCAGGCCCGTGCTCTTGAATAGTTCGACTACCATCTTGAAATTGTATTGCTACCATAACTGGTTCTTCCTTTCTTTCTCCATCTGATTCAACTAGTTCCAACTTTGAGCGGTTGGGCAATCCGGAATATCGAAATGATAATGTCAGATCAAGTTTCTTCTTTCCGTGCTTCAGTATATATTGACTGGGAGGTACAAATTTTTGCTTTAAACAAACTTCTTCCAGAACTTGAAGCATTGAGCTTTTTGCAGTTACTTTTACTCTTTGCCAACGCCCATTCGGGCAGACGATTTCAACAAATGTTGACATTACTGATAAGATACTTTTTGGGAAATATTTGTAGATATGTTCCTTCAGAGTTAGTTACAGATACAAAAAGAAACTCAATGTTTTCCGTTGACAACCTCTTTAGCAAAATATGGACACTTACATAGCGGATTGGTATTCGATAGAGAAAACTACCGGAAACGCGACTGAATGTTTTGTGATTTTTTTGCGCGAAAATGTCATATGTTTTAAATACTAATAACTTGCCTATAACAGCCCAAGCTTCTACACCATCAATAATAGGATTCATCCAAGTTGATCTTCTCTTTCCAGCAAAGCCAGTGCTTGGTGGCGGGTATAGCTCAAAAAGTATTTCCACTATTTCATGCTTTTTGAACAGTGTTGTTGGCGTTAGATTTTTACCTATATTGAAAAAAAATTGATATTAGATATTTTTGTTTGACTAATTAACAAACAGTTATCATATCAATATTTACCTCGATATATAAAATCCAAGGCCTCTCTAACCTCAGGCAGCGATGGATATAAGTGACACTCTTTTAAAAAGTCCATTAATGAGCCTAACTCAATTTCTCCATTGAATTGGAGTTTATCAAAAGTTTGTTCATACTCTGTATAAAACAGAAATATATAGAAATCATTAGGATAAAAGGCAGCTAATTAAAAAAATTATCAACTTCTTTTAGCATCCATGAAACGATCAACCTCGGATAGATTGAAAGGGGTTTTGGGCCTTTCAATACCATGACGCACTTGAATTCGACGGACTAGAGCTTTATACTGAGAAGTGAATTTTGACCAATCACTTGCATGACTTTGGCATTTTCTTCTTAATTTTTCCATATTACGTCTTAAAAGGAAACCTCTAACGGTACTTTGAATTTTTGTAGCTCTTTTATTGTATTCTTTAACATCTAAATGTTTTGGTGGATTGAAAGCGCTGCAGGCAAATATCCAAGTTAAATTGCATATAATTCAAGACAACTGAATTTAAATAAATCTTACTCGTATACTTCAACATGTGGCCCAATCCTAGAAAGTTTATCCTTCTTTGATTGATTTTCATTTAAAAGCGCTTTTTTAGTATTTTCTACTTTAAATTGCCGTAACTTTTTCTTCTCTTCAAGCCATTGTTGATACTCTCCCTCCCAATCGGATTGATCATGATCCGAGTTTCGATTGTTTATACCTTTTAATCGCTGTTTATGTGCATAATATTCTCTGTACGGAAATGTAATTATTACAATTCTTATTGTAAACTATACAAAGAGTAGATACTAACTTTTCAGAATTAACTTGCGCCAATCTAGCATCCTCTCGTTTCATTCTAAATTCTCTTCTTAAATATAAATACCTTGATCTTGTAACATAACCACGGAAGATTCGTTGTATATCAACAGCTGCTTTGTGTCTTCTCGTTTGTTCATTAGCCAAACGCTCCTCGTTGACGTTATTAACTATTAAATAGTGAGCGATTGGCCGGCCAGAACATTTTTTCGAGCTCACTATTGATGATTTTGATTTTATAGTTGATGAAGATAATGGGCGTTCCCCTCTTGAAGATGCCGAGTTCATTCTATTGACGGAATGTTGCCTTTCGGTTAGCTGCAAGCTTTCTGCCCTTGCAATTAGTTGTTTTTCGTCCATATCAAATTTTGCTGTTGGTACTTTTATTGAATTATAAACATCCTGTTGAGTGCTCCAATTTTCAGATGAATTATGAATTTTAAGGTAAGATCCTGAATGACTCCTGTAGAGCTGTCCCTTAGATTTTGGAGTTCTATAAACTACATCAGAAGTTGTTGGCCTTGGCATGAAGCGCATCACATGAATACCTGGTGGAATTTCCCCAGGCTGTACAATCTTTCTTTGATCAGGCTTGGGGGAGGAATACTGTTTGGGTGTTGATCGTCTAAGCGTAGAACCCATTCGAACCTTCTTGTTGAGATTTGATTTTTTATTACCGGAACCAACAATTTCCAACCTCTCCTGTCTTGGTAACGGAAGTTTATCGGAAGGATTCATAGGTTGTCTCATTTTTCCTGGTTTCTTCAAACATCCTCCTCTCGTAACCTGATAATTATTCAAATCGGGATAAGGGCTTTTCGACTCAATTTTAGGAGAGGGATTTGGAAGGGGATTATGATCAAATTTTACGTGTTCACTGCCCAATTCCAAAGTAATTTCTTCTTTTAACTTTTCCGTCTCTTCCATAATTTCATTCGCTTCCTCCTCTTTCCACTCAGCCGTCTTTTGTTATGTAAATATTTTGTAAAGAATGTAGTAAAAGAATATGGTAAATTCTGTGTACCTCATAATTGTCATGCCATTGTTGATCATTCGTTACTACAAAGTGATCTGTGGAATTCGGTACATTCATAACCGAATCGTGTCCTCTGTGAGAACAGTGATAATCACAACAGATAGAATGAATGAGAAGATAAATGCTAAAGAAAAAAACAAGAATAAATGGGGTACAAACCTCTCCTCTTGAGTGTTAATTGTTCTGGCACTTGGCAACCTGTCACCAACTGACAAAAAATGATAGATTAAGAAAGGATATACTAGATAAGTTAATACAAAAGTAAGAAAAATCTATTATACCCAACATAGACTTTGGGGCGCAAAATGATACGAATTCCGTATGTTGAGGAGGTTGATTATCAATTTTTTTCATTTCCTATTTTTTACAAATTTATTTACTATTCGATTTTTCTATTGTCAATAAATAATTAATTTCGATATTTTTCTTACATGATATCCAAAATCAGAGTACTTTATCCTTTTCCTTCTCTTTTTGGACTTTTTTCCTAAACGTTGACTTGTTAGTAAAGTTTTAGAGATATTATCTTCAATAATAGTTGTTGTATGACTAGCGGCTTGACTCATCCTTTTATTCTTGCGGCTTGGCTGTGGATTATTTAAAATTAATAAAAAATTTTCATATCTCCTTATCTTTTTCGTAATAATGAATGTGGACTATTTTAACGAGTAAAAAACATCATTATAAGCAGAAGAAAATATATGTATGAGAAGAGAAAAAATTTCTTTACCAGACTTTCTAATTCAAAGTTCAAGGCCTTCCGTCTTTCGGTAATATCCTTATTTAGCGAAGTTTGAAAGTATTAGTAAGTTTGTAAGAAAGATAGGAAGATGCTTTTTCATTAGAAAAACTCACATCATCTCTCGTCCAACGCTCCCGTGGTGTAGTGGGAGGCACTCTAGGTCGAATACTTCCTGTTGTACTACCCTGGCTCCTAAGAGATTTTCGTTCTTCGTCCAATTTTCTTACATAAGTATGATTTTCGAAACCTCTCTGAGAGCCTGATTTTATTGTAAATTTTCCAGATGAGGTATCCGGTGTTATTATTCCTCTCCAATCAACATAAATATCACCATCATTGCCGGAGATAGCTCCCGTACGATTGAAACTATCGATGTTGGATTCTCTGTAAATTTGATAAAGTAGTTTTTTTTTTAGATACCAGAGTTTAATTTTGAAAATGTTTGCACTTTATGGAATAAAATAGGAAATTTTGTAAAATTAAAAAATATTTAAAAAAACAAAGTAATAATGGAAAAAAAAACAAAGTAAAATACAAAAAATAATATCATAATTAACTCGAAAATGCAATCGAAATAATAAAAAAATAAATGAAGATGGAGAATTTTTTCAAGGTATTTCTCAAATTTATTTTTGCACTCTCAATAACTTACGATCTTTCAAACGCGACCATTTTTTTTATCTTCTTTTTCATCCTACACTCATAATTTATACTTAATTAAACCGAATTCCAAAATAAACATAGCATAAAAGATTTTAATTTGTCACCTACCTATCTGGTTCTGGTGTACAATGAGGTGGAATAGGATCCGATGAACTCATAGGACGACTACAAGAATTACTACTCTCTGATTTTGTCTCGTCTTTAATTGGAATTTTCTCCAAAAGCGGCATATGGGAGTTTTCTCCCGCCATATCCTCTCCAACAGAATCAACAAGATTAACAACAGTTTTCAATTTAATACAATTTGAAGAATTATCTTTCTTTTCTATCTCACTACAAAAGTACACATTTCCATTATGATTATCATAATAAATAAAGGAGTCATTTTTATAATTAACCTTTTATTCACTGATTTATTAGCCGATAATAATCGATTTCGATCGTTTTTTCTTTGTGGAAAATAATTTTCAGTTTGAATTAAAAATTCAGTCAAAGGTTTCGATACTAATTCTCTTCCGGCTGGTTGGATATCATCTATATTCAATAATTGATTTAATAATAAATTAAAGAATTGAATAATTGATTAAATACTTTTAGTTGGTTGTACAGAAGCAAAATAGTTAATAACATCGCTAGTATACTCTTCATTCCTTATAAAACCGTCTGTATTTGGCTTTTGTAATTCGTCTACAGATTGTTAATTGATTATATGTTGTTTTTATGGATTTAATATCAATTGTCAATACCTAAAATTTGCATATTTATATCCATATCTTTAACAACTCTTTCTAGTTTATTCATTTGAGCGGATTTTCTTTCACTTGCGCTAAGAGGTCTTCCACTGGCGTCCGAAGCTGTGAAGTGTAACGGATATTTATTGACGAATAATGAATTAACTTAAAAGCTAAAAATATTTTAAATAACGGAGAAAAAAAATACAAAAATAATATTCATTTCTTCCGTTTTAATCTATTGTGATAAAACAGATATTTATGAAAAAAGTCTAGCGGAAAGAGAAGAGATAAAGATTGAAGAAGATTTATTAGAGAAACGCTAAAATACAACTTTTTCAAACATTTCTTACCGTCTAAGCCGGAGAATGTTACTCTTTTTACTTTTATAAAACAATTCAAAGTTATTAGATGAAAATAAAAAGGGGGAAAATCGGTTATATAAAATTAATTTATTTTGACAAACAATGTAAACTTTTTTTTTTGTTAGTAAAAACTTTATTGTTGTTAACATTACAAGTAAAAATAAAGTAAAACGTACCTTTTGTTTTTGAGATTTGTTTATGTGTTTCGTTTCTCATTGCGTCCATCTCTGATATTTGACGAGCAAGCGGGTTGACTAGATGGGAAAGCGGTAATATTGGCCTCTTTACCAATTCAACTTCTTGTCTATCATCTATCCTCTCGGAATTAATAGAAGATCTTTTATATTCCGCAGTGCTCGGCCTCGATTCTTGTTTTATGAAAGATGAATTTTCTGAATTTGTCTATAAAATAAAGTAAACAATTATAGCGAATAAAACTATAAAATAGATAACAAACCGCAATTGTTGAAGCGGATTGAGGTCTACTAAGCCGTAAATCTTCCAGAAGAGCTTCGGGAGATGTTTTAAAGAGAAAAGAAGTTTTAGATTTTGAGTCATTCTCAGTCGTGACCTTATCTCTACCAAAACGCTAAAAAATCAAATACAAAGAGAGTGAAAAAAAAACTTATTAGGTTCTCCAATCTTCTATTTGGCAGATAAATATTACCGGTTTGGCGTAAAGAACGTGCCTATTCCCCAAATACCAGCCATATATTTTTCTAAAGTTTGATATTTGCAGTTTGTGCTCTAATCTGTTTCCGAGTAAAGAAAAATCATTAATATTAATAATCTAGGGTGCTAAAGACTATAGATCCATTTAAAGATTTCATAGCAGAGTTATTTAAACCTATTAAAAGATTAGTAATAAAGACGAAAGCTTTCGACAAAAGGGAGAATATCTATTGATTGTATTGTTTAGTTGTGTTGTTATTTGTTTGAATCTTGAAAGATTAGAGATTAGCAAAGTATTTCTTAAGGAAGATTACTTACCCTAGAGTCTCCAGCATCATTCTGATGAGCATATAATAGAAGTTACTATCATGATGTAGTTGATCACTTTGTAGGAAAAGTTATATAAATTAGTTTTAACAACTTTCTACAGCATAATTTATTTACATTGAATCCTTTGGTGTGCCTGTCAAGTGCGCAAGTTCTATTTCTCTAAAATGCTGGTTTATTTCTGCATGCAATTCTTTAAATTCTTTAATTTTCATTAGCTAAACGTGTTTAAATTATGAATATACAATGCTAGTGTAAAAGAAGAAAAAGACTACTTTGCACGGTTCCAATCTCTTCAATCCCCGGCTGATTGTATTTATTCTATCCAAAACAGATGGTGGAGCGGGCATTTTAGTTGACAAAAAAATATATTAATTTTCATATATTGATTGTCAAAACTCTTTTAATGTGTTATTCAAAAAAACAGCTCTTCAAAGTAAAAACACTCCACACTGCTCTATTCGGTTTGCCCGCCATTTTGATTTGTTGTTATGGAAATAGCAGTTGTCATACTTCCGGATAAAATTGTATTCTCTTCGATAAAAGTTTATTTAGTCTCTAGTATTTGACAATGTACAACCCTAAAATTTTCCAGACTAATGTACGATGATTTAGAAGGAAACTTCCGGTTAATTCCCGCCCTTAGAACAGTGATAACATTGATAAAGTTATCTCTTCCTTTTAAACATTTTCATTCATCAAATATAATTGTTCAAACCCTATCTAAACTAATTTTGTATGCCCTATTGCATAGATAATAGTCTTATCTTCAACTTTCTTTTGACATAAAATAAATACAAGTGAGAATTAGCTACCGAAAATTCTTTATTTATTTATGATTATCTAAAGAATAAATAGTGTATTGTTGAGAAAGGACGAATAAAAGAATATAAAGGTAATTTTTATTCATTTATTTATAATTTATTAATTTATAGATGAAAAAAATGAGCAATTGGAAAGAGTCTTGGTAGAAGTTTTTAATTAGTAGTTGTAGAATATTCAACACAACAATTAGAAAAAGAAGCTTTCAAGTAGATAACGCTAAGTCAACATACTGAAATTAAAAGAAACTTAACAAAAGTGTAACAAAATAAATTAATTTTAGCTTACCTCCTGTAAAGGCATTGTTGGTTCGTCATTTTCGTTTTTGTTCGCTTCAAAACATTCTATAATGGAACATATTATTAGAAATTGGTAATTTTCTTTTTTCGACAACTAATAATGTAATAAACCCTAAAACGTAGAAATAAAATAGAAAATAAATCTCACCGAATGCTATTTGAAGCTTGATCAAACAGTGAGCATAGCTGGAGAAATAAATACGCCCTTTTTCGTCCGCAAATTTCTTAACAATATCCTCATATACCCGATTACTTAGGCAATAACCTATATAAATATTTCATTGTATATATGTATATATATAGTAAATAACTGTATTTAAAAACTTACCACTTGATTGCAACGCTTCCCTTAATTCGTAATTATCAAAATAGTCGCTCTTATCAATATCGAATTTATCAAAGTTTGTCTAAATTTTTCAAACAACAATTATTAACGAATAATACCTTTTATTCATTATATTTATAGACTTTATTACCTTCCAATTGTCTAAAAGTACCCATAATTCTTGGAATTCGTTGATATTTAACGTCCAATTGCTGTCCGTCTGGTTTAAAGTGTTAAAGGTTAATCTTTAACTAAATTGTTTAACGTTTTAACTTACGTCTTTCAAAGCGATTAAGGATTTACAAATCTCAGTATCAAAATCTGGCATTTTCTTGTCTAATTAACAAAATATTTAAAGATAATTTACAATAATTACAGATAAGATAACGACGTACGTTTAACAAAAGTTTTGTTGAGTAGTTTCTTAAGTTCAAAAGCGTCAATTTGGTCATCGTCTTGAGCATATTTCTTGAATTCGGCTTCGGCCTGGCGCCTAACGGCTGCTGTTAGTGGTCCAGATACATCTGGAGAAGAAAATGACGTTGTTGGCATATCGGATGGTCTGAAAGGGAATAAAATTTTATTTAAAAAAAAACGACTAATTAAATACGAACTTCACACTTGACGGTTTTTCAGAAAAGACTCTTAAAAGGAATTTCCTTTCTTGATTAGGTTCGAATGTTGACGGAATAACAATATATTCTCCTGGTTCTAATAAATGCCTTTGACAAACATCTCTTAAATTTATATAGGACGACGTAACAACAGGCCTATTGTTTGAAAAAAAATCCTTTTTCAACGTTCCACAATAATCCGGTGCCTAGATAAAAGGTAATTTGTTATAATACGAATAAATAATCAATATTTATAAAATACTACCTTGAATATTTCATATCCTATAGTTATATTACCTCCAGTCTCGTTTGACTGTTTTGAATTACATATTTGAGTTAACGAAACGATAATTGTTCCTAATTCGTCGTCATCGTCAGCATCCTCCACTTGAATTCGAAATTGGGGATTTATATGATAAGTTTCTAATAATGAAAAAGCATTAAATGACTTTTATTAAGAATTATATGAAAATTATCTAAAGTTTACTTTTAAAATTCCTACATCCTCCGGCCGAAACTCCTTTCTTCCAGGCAGAATGTATAGAAACTGAGTTCCATTTCATTTTTTCATTAGTATCCATTATATCACCAATATTCCAGTGACAGATTTCTAATCGTTCAAAGTTAGAAATGAAATCCTTGTAAGACATCCAAAATTCCCCATCGGCTTCAAAGGTAAGACCCAATTCCTGCCTTTGACGGGGTTCAATGGAGTTCCATTGACGTGATTGATCGCTCCATTCACCTTTCCATTCGAACTCATTGCCCCATGGATTTCGAATTCTAACCAAGTTAAGATTACCATCTGAACTTTCAAGCTAAACGAGTTTACAGTTATACGAAAACGGCTAATAAATTGGCTTAGAGGATAAACATACCTGTTTAACATCAGTAATCGAATAGGCATGTCCCTTTAACAAACCGTTTTCCAATTTTTCCTCAACAACATCAGGATTTGCCTTTTTTGATTAAAATAGATATATTAGATATATTTTATTAGTCATAAATAATGTTAACAAACATCTATTGAACAGCCGAGTAAAGATCCGTGTTCAATTGATTTGAACATTATGTAGAACAAGTCATCTGGTATTTTAGACTTGAGATTGAATCTTTCAACGACTCCTCCTGTAAGATCGGTCATTGCATCGCTACTCTGACCTCCAGTTAACGATTCGTAACAGCCGTATATCCTGTTAAAAAATAACATAATCATTCGTATAAGGGCTTTACATGGATGAAAGATTTTACTTGGCAAAAGCCTTTTCTACGAGAGCTGACCAAAATTCATCTTCGGATGATGAATGCATGTAAATCAATCTATTCTGATAAACAGGTAATTTATCATCAACGCAAATTTCTACCCATTTACCATATTGCCAAACATTAAAACGGAATATTCCTGAATAGTTGGAATGGAAATTTTGATTGGGAGGAACAACTCTATCGAAAAGACTCCTCTGATTCGCCACACTTGAAAGCGCTGCCAGAAGCCAACAATCTCCGAGAGAGCCTTGCTTCACATCGAATCTTGATACTCCTTCAGAGATAAAGCGTGGATCTCTACATAATTCTCTTGGTCTTTTCCACTCCAAGTGTCTACCGGAACCTGAATGATATAGTGAATCTGCTGTAGGAGGAAAACTTGCGTCTCTCCACAATTCATTGTTTTTATGGCAATCATTCTTCAAAACTTTAAAATTTTGCTCACTTTCATTTGATCTTTTCTTTGATTGTTTCTTCTTATCATTCTTCCTTTTTTTACGCCTTTTTCTATCATCTTCGGCGTCTTCTTCCGAATCGCTTAAACCAAATAGCTTTCTAAGGAAAGATGGTAATTGTTGTTCATGACATTCTTCTTTCTGTATTGGGTCATTCATTGCTATTGAACGTTTAACTTCAGGTACTTTTTCGAATCTAACGCTTCTTTCATCGTTTTTGGAAGACAGTAATCTGTTAGAAGTTGGTTTTTTAGGTGTTGCTGACTTTAAATTAAGTTCTTGGATAATTCGTTCAGCATTTTCTACTCCCCAGAAGTTAATCTGTGTTCCTGATTTATTGACAAATTTCATTGTAGGCTTACTATCTTCTAACACTTGTTTAGAATGATCAGTTCTCGTTTCAAGCTCATCCTCATTTTTTTTTGGATCAAAACGGCTCAATCTATTAGATAAGGATGGTTTTTGAAGAGGTAGATTGTCGGACTTTTTAGGTTCCAAGAGAGGTGAATCTGGCTTTCTATAAGTTCGGGGAGTTTTCAAGAGTACGTCTGTGGACAATGATGGGCGGGGAGACTGACTTCTGTAAGATGTATTACTATATCTTGACCTTATGTCATCCAAATCGGTTAAAAACTCTGAAGATTCTTCAACATCTTCAAACTTTTCATCGTATCTCTTTTCATTTTCCTTTGGTCCTTCCCAAACAACTGGAGGCTCGTAGTGACTATCGTACCTTTGACTGAAACGAGAATCATGAGACAGACGAGCTGGTAAATCTTGATATTCATCCTTTCTAGATAAAAAATAGTTATCTTCATCGCTACCGAAGTCGACCATCGTTGGAGTGAAAGTGCTACTTCGCATTGACGGCATTTGATATTTTGGTCTGGAACTTTGTGCAAAATAATAATCTAACTCCGAATCGAAAGAGTCGACATCGTCATTATCCGTGTGAGAAATTTCAGAAGAATATAGATTACTCGATTCTTCAATATCATCTAACTCTTCATCGTCCATCCTTTGAACTACAAAAGTCTTCATACTAATTTTACTTACTTCGCTGGAGATTCTTTAAAAAAATACAAATAAATGGAAATATTATAAATTGAAGTCTTTCAAATTATTAATTTTCTTACTTATGTAAAGCAACAGCTTTAATTGTTCGCTCCCCTGGTTTTAACGTGAATCTACCTTTATATTGGAATGTTACTCCCCTTCCGGGAGTTGTTGATAACGGGTCGGGAATTGATTCGTCGGTCGTAAAAAACATTCGACATTGCGGAGTGTCTGTAAAAATAATTCATAAAGTGTAAATTATATAGAAGAGAAAGGAATATAATTAAAACCTATTACCAGTTGAAATATCTATATATGTTGCATTTGTTATGCAAGTTGGATCTCCTATCGCATCAGGAGTCAATGCAACAATCCTAGGTGCAGACGGTCTTCTGCCAATACCTGGCATCTTGAGGATTCAACAAAATAATACAATCCTTTCTTAGTATGATAAAATCTGTTTACAGAGTTGCTAAGGAATGCGATGGCACTACCAGTTTTCTAAAGAAAAAAATTCTTCCCATATGATTTTAAAGGTTTTCTTTTTCCACCCAAAATAAAACTTTAATAAAATGGAAAATTGTATTTTATTAAATGAATATATTAATATATTTGTAATAGACTTCATGATATACTTATTTTAATAATTCCTCTTTGAATAGTATAACTAATAAGCATTGTTTTACTCATTTAAATTGTTAGCTAATAAAGATATAACATTATTAGAAATTTTTATAACAAAAGCATGTATGGAATTTTTCACTAATTGTATTTAGCACAAGTTTTCTATTAATAGTTTTTTTGAAAGCATTAAAAATTGATTGGTCACTTTCGAAAGCAAAGTAATAAGAATTACAATAGGTGGCGCTGGTTGAAATATAAAATATTTTGTAATTCAGATGTCACTATATCATATTTAAAGTTCTCAAATTATTTTTAAAAAAATTTTCGTATATTAAATAAATTACTAAATATTGCTGATTGTATAAATTTCGTGAAAATCCACTCTAATTTTTTTTTATTTTTCAAAACAAGAATGATGGGATACAAAATGGCCGTTACGAAAAGTGAACCAAACTGCTAAACTATATTTGAAGGAAGTTTTTGTCAGTTTCTAGCGATATTATCGTTAGATTTCTGATAGAAAATCTAACGGAATTAGTTTGCAATCTATAATATAGCTAAATCACCAAAGTATATGGCAGAACCTTAAATCATGGCAAATGCCGATTACAGAGTCAATGCTCTATGCCCAATTGACCCGCGCATGGATCCACGACGTTATAATGAAGCATACAGAGGTAAGAAAAACGTAAAAGATGGAAAATATGACATAAATGTTGAATTTTGCCTCAGGTCGTGAAGGTGCAAACGTGCAGCGCCCTAAGAAAGAAGACTTTATATCTTTTAAGCTAATAAAAGACCCTTTTATTCATAAATGCGAAGCTAAAGTTTATCGCTACGACGGGAAACCTATAGAAGTATGTTATACTCTTACAAATTTTAAACTTGGAAAAAGCAACTAACCTTTTAATTCAATTACAGAACCAACCACATGTCGAAGTAAAAGATCCAAGGAAACGTCTAGATTACCTAGATAGGAAATTGGCCTTCGCTCAACTTGATGTACTTCTCCCCGTACCAATGCTAAAAGTATTTTGACCAAAACTAAATATCTGAAAAATATTAATCAACGTAAACTTTTTAAATAGGAGGATGACTGCTATGTAGGCCCTTTGCTCAGGAGAGAAGTTACTATCGTCAATCTGAATAATAACATTGACTTAAAATTCCTGAACAATATGGCCCGAGATTATAAGATTTTGAATTCAAAAATATACTTTCATCCTAATACAGGAAAACATCTTGGAATTGCCAAGGTAAGCGAAAGTAAATAAATGAGAATAGTTTGTTTACATTTAAGTTAAAATATTACAGATTGCATTCTCATTACTTTGTGAAGCTCAGGATTTTGTAGAAAAATTTGATGGAAAACCCCAAATGGGTCTAAAAATCCACGTATTTTTTGACCCTAAAGGTATAAATGTCAGTCATCTATTATTTAAATTCTAACCTCGATTATTTTTCTTTCTTTAGGGAAAACTAGACAAAATTTAATTGTGGAAAAAATTAACGAAGTACATCAACCAGCAACAGCTGCCCCTGTTAAAGAAGCAAAGACCTCCCCTCTTAATACTTCCCGCGATCATTCTCTCGAGAGAAAAACATCCCAAACAAAGGATGTACAACAGCAATCAACTCGAGATCCAAGATCTTCTAGGTCTAGCACTGATACTCTTCAAGAGGATAACTTTTCCTATCGGGACTCATACAGATACTACGAACGTGATAGGCGAGATACCAGACGATATAACTATGATAACAGAAGAAGAGAGAAGTACAATAGAGGCGACAATTACTATCGAGATGATTCAGCTAGCCACAAAAGAAATTATCATAGAAACGACTCTATTAAAGAGCAAATTGAACAGCCACCACCCCCGGCTGAAAATGCAGTTGAGCCCGATAAAGATATTGAAATGGATCAAGCCGAACCATACACAGGTTATAATGGTCAAGAAGGCATAGAAGACGGAGAGCTTGAAGACGACGAAAGGACAGCCAGTCTTGATACCAGAATAAATATGCTTTTGGGTGTTGATCACGAAGAACCTGAAAATGGTGAAGCTTGTCACTTAAATATTGATCAACCCGCCGTTGAAGAGGAAGTGCTAACTACCTTTGAAGAATCTCAAACCAACGACCAACAACTTGAATTGCCAGAAAGCTGTGATAAGACAAATGATAATGATGATAGAATGAGCCTGTCGAGCATTTCAAACGGAGACGAAAAGATTGAATTGAATGACGCGTGCTTAGACGGGGTAATGCCATTTTTTTCATTTTCTCTTGAAATAATTTTCTAAACAATAATCATTCTATATAGGAGAATAGAAGTGTTTCTCTTTGGGAACACGAGAGGCAGAAGCAAATTATGAAGAATGCTCTAGAAGGTACAACTAATCATCTTCGAGACGTGCTGTATACCGATGTCTTTCGAAAATCAATACAAGTATTCGGATTTGATGTTTTTGAAGAATGGTTTGAAAAGTCTAAAAAAGCAGCGAAAGTAAGATTAAAATTGCGTGTCTTTTCCTCTCTCTCATTTTCTATCAAATATTCCAAATAGAAACCAGATATAGAAAACGATCAGAAAACTGTTGAATCGACAAATAAAACAGAGAGCGATACTGAAAAACATGATACGGAAAAGCCAATAACAACACCTCAAATTCTTACCAGTGAAAATCTTTTTGAAAATATCGGTAGTGGAGGTTTCCTCGGTTTACGAGCTGGTATGCCAAAAATGAGATCATTTAAAGTTCCAGTAAGTAAATCAAATTTTCGTTGAAACTTAAAATTAAATATATTGCTTTTACCAGAAAAAACCAAGAGCTCCGTCTCCAACTGTAACACAGCCAAACTCGAGAAAGTCACCATCAGGTACAGTTGTTTTTTTATTACACTGAATTTAAATTAACTAAATGATTAATTTTTTTCAGAGAACTCAGAAGATGATGACGTGAGTGATGAAGATTTTGTGACCAATAATCAAAAGAAACCACCAAAACGACGGGAGAAAATACGGTATAGTTCTTCTTCCCTGTCGGAGGAGAGTGAATCCTCGTCTAGTATCAGTAGTGACGAAGGACCAAATGGCACACCTATTGCTTCCGATTTCGATGCAAAGTCCACCGGCTCCGAAGTTGATTTAGACGCAGAAATTGATATCAACAAAATACGGTAGGTACAAAAAGAGGAAACAATTCTTTCACGTTTGTTCGTGATTTGATCAGTGGTCAACTTAAAAGGAAAGGTTCGGTCGATGCGAAGGAAGAAGAGGGATGGCAATCACCTGTTTTTAGTTCATCTCGACAGGAAAAACTATCATCTAATCGAGGGAGGGGAAGAGGAAGAAAGACTAACCGACGGTAATATTGCTCAATTTTCGTTACGATAAGCCAACAATATAGTCTTATTTCCAGAGATTCCTCTCGAATCGACGAACCAATACCTGAATTTAACTTAAAGAAGGAACCACAAACACCTGAATTTGATATTCCTGACAATAAATCATTTTCTGAAAGGGACGCCGTCCTTACCTTACTCCAAATAAGTAAGAGTGGTGGTGGGACAATAAAGCAGGATGATAATTTCAATTCCACTGCTCAATCCGTTACTGCAGAACATAACTATTTTAATTCAACACCTCCACAAAAAAAACATACAGGAATATTGCCAACTTTCACTGATATCGTTGAGAAGGAACCTGTAGATAAAAAACTCGAAGAAATAAACGACTTCTTGGCGGCTGTTCTTCACGATCATTGTTATGTTTTACAAAGCACAGTAAGTCAATATATACTCCACTCTTATTAGTCACTGTTAATCTTTTTTTAATTACACCAGCCAGCAAAATCACCTGGAAAGACACAATTGCAGTCTCCGCCCCCTACATCTAAGTCAAAGAAGATATTGTCATCTATTTCTGCTCAAGTTCCTGCCAAGAAGCAGAAAAGAATGCCCAAATCAAAGCCAAAAGCGGTTAGGTCAATTAACTTTAGCAGGAGGAATGAAAGTGAAGAACAAAAAGTGCTCAGTAACATATATGCTGACGGTATGGACAGCGAAGATATAAAACTATTAAAAATAGCTTACGACCAAATGGTTGTATCTGGTGATCACAAAGAGGTTCTTGAAGGAACTCATTGGGCTGAAACTCCAGCAACAATTGATCCACAATTTAATAAATCTAGAAAGCGTGGTGCTAAGATTGGACTTAGTGCCAGAACACAACCAGTCAGTATTTTTAAAGAAGCGCGTAAGAAGAAACAGGCTGATATAACTCAGCAATTGTCTTTCAGAGGTTTACGTAGCGTAAGTACTCTCTATTTTCCGAAATAAACAAAACAGTCTATATTGTACTTTTTATACAGGTCTCTGATAATCGATTAAACACCATAGAACGCGATAGCCGAGCCAATCCTGTTCAATCTAGAGAAGCTCGTCTTGAGAATCGAAGGCATCTAAATGCGATCGGAGAGTATGATTTCGATTCGGATTTGTTCAAATTTAATCAGCTTAAGGTGATGCATTTTTTTTGCATTTATAATACTGTTAAAAATACTCATTGGAAACAATGATTACAGACGAGAAGGAAACGCTTAAGATTCGATAAATCAAGTATTCATTGCTGGGGTCTATTTGCCGATGAACCCATTCAAGCTGAAGAAATGATTATTGAATATATTGGAGAGGCAATTAGATCGTCCATTGCCGACTTCCGTGAAAAGAAATATGCTCGCGAAGGTATAGGATCAAGCTACTTATTTCGTTTGGATTCTGAAATGGTTGTAGATGCGACGAAGAAAGGAAACTTTGCGAGATTTATCAACCATTCGTGTAATCCGAATTGTTATGCTAAAGTAGTAACAGTTGAGAGCTCAAAAAAAATAGTCATTTATTCCAAGAGAAATATCGATATTGGAGAAGAGATCACTTACGACTATAAATTTCCCTACGATGATGACAAAATTAAATGCCATTGTGGATCCGCGCAATGCCGTGGTTTTCTAAATTAGATCTTGAACTTGGGAGCGAAATACTCTGCATAAAATTTGTTCAAATATAAATTTGTTGCTTTTAGCAGTCTCCTTAATTTAAAATTCCGTTTTTTCTTTTGTATTACTTGTAATTATTGTATGGCAAACGGTTGCCATGCAAAAAATTTGTACATTTGTATGAAAATACAATGTTATTTGAAACCTTTATTTGGATTGTCTACATGAAAATGCAGATTTCGTCCCAACAGCAGCTTCTATTTAACAATATTTTAAAAAGTACACAATATATAAAAGGAATGATAAACGCTTAGGTCTTTGATTCGATCGAGAGCTACAAAATTTTAACGAAAAATAACCAAAATATTTCGATACATTCCAAAATATTTAGATAAATATTAATAAATTTTCCATAAATAATCTTCAGTGAAATTACCAAATATTTAATTCATTATAACCTACATCTACTTGTTTTGAATAGTGTTACTCAACCATTCCATTGATTCGTCTAAACCTTCTCCTTTTATTGCAGAAGTCTTGAATATCTGGTACTTTCTGTTTTTAATTGCTGTCAAGCCAAGAGCTTGGGAGACCTCCGAAACCCTTTGAAAAATTTTTTTTTTTAAATTTAAACTATCAAATCTTCAAATAATTTAAACTTACGACATTGCTCCTTCAATATCTTGTTTATTCGCCAGAACTACTAAGATAGCATTCTTTAACTCGTCTTCCTGTAATAAATAAATACATTGTGCTATTGGATTTTTTTCCTACTCAATTGAATCAATTAAATTACTTCAAGCATGGATATTAATTCTTGTTTCGATATTCCAATACGATCTCTGTCCATACTATCGACAACATAAATGATGGCATCAGTATTGGAATAGTAGCATCTCCAATAAGGTCTAAAAATACAACGCATCGTCAATCTTTGTTTATTTGCAACCAGGAAACTTTTTATTTACCTAATACTTGTTTGTCCACCAAGATCCCATACTTGGAATTTAAGGTTTTTGAACGTAACCGTTTCTACATTGAAACCGATTGCTGTAAAAAAAAGTAAAGCCATTTTAGTGAGTAGAGGAGGGGGTAGTCAAAAATGGAAAAAAAAATTACTGGGTATTGTTGTTACAACTTCACCAACTTGCAATCGGTAAAGGATTGTGGTTTTGCCTGCACCATCTAAACCTAATATCAAGATTCTTCTTTCTTTCGTTCCGAAGAGACCGGAAAAAATTCGAGAAAAGAAACCGCCTGCATCAAAACAAATGATTAATACAATTATACCGACACGTGGAGGAACCGAGCGAAACTTGGAGCATTATTAAAAACATGAATTTAATTAAGATTTTGTAATCATATTCAAGAAGAATGATGATATTTATGTTTCGGATACTTACCCATGATTTTTGTACTCTTTCCAGAAGATTAATTATTTCAATAAATCGGACAAGTACGAGTTGTTCTTTTAGTTTTTTTTTGGATGGGTATAGCTAACTACTGAGAGGTAGGCTAAATTTTCATGAGTCACGTGAGGGTACATCTAACTTTACCAAGTTATTATTCCGGAAGTGAATTTAGAGAGTTGAAAACAAAACTTTCAAAAATATAAACAGCAAAATAACCATTAAAGATCAATAATATAGATCTTTCTATTAAATTATTAGTATAAGAATCCAATTTTATATTATAACTACTCAGTAATCTCCAAAAAAATCTTTGATCTTGTATTTAACGTCAATAATTAAGGAATTATAGTTAAAATAGTCATTAAAAATTAGTTGAACTCCCAAAAGTCCATAATTCGGTCGTCCAAAGTAGAATTTAGTTTAGGTAATAGTTAAATTAACATTTTTACGCGCATTTACATGCACAAAATCATAGAATAGAGGGGACACTATCGCCAATTTTACTAAAAAAAACTGGGTCAAAACTGAGAAACTGTAACAACAATAAATTATACTTTTCTATGAATTAAATATTTATCTCGTATATGAATTATCATACTTATCAAATGTACATCTTCCCTTAAAATATAATAACGTTATTAGATCAAATTAAATACTAAAGAGTTGTTTTATTAACATTAAACCTCTTGTATTTATAATAGAAGGTAGAGGATTCATAATATTTGAAGGAATTATAATTCACGTTATGAAATATGATTAATTAACTTAAAAATCTGTTCCTATTTTTCAACGGAGATTAATTCCGAAGAACTTTCCCTAATCTCAATGATCTAACAGTTGGAATTTGGTCCAGCTGTGAACAGATTTGATTTCTTTAATGAAAAATGTATTAATTCTTTATTATATTTTCATAATTATTTGGATTATTATATTTTTAATTAATTTTTGCGTTACATTAAGCCTATTTGTTATTCTATTTTTGGCAACTGCTAAGCACTCCCTCGATTTTTTAGGTCGGGCAAACAACTTTTTGGGCTCTCTGCTGGCGCTTTTTTGAGTAGAATAACAAGATTTTTTCAATAGATTATTAGTGCATCAATTGAGTTTTAACACCTAATTAGCTCTCAGTCGAAAATGTATAAAAAGGACGCTTGACTATAGACGTTCACAAAGCGTTCTCAACTACAGCAGTCGATTTCAACCCAGCTTCTCAAGTTTTTTGAAGAAAAGTAGAAAATTCAGTATGTATATTTTTTTTCTATTTCAAAATAGAAATTTCTTATTTTTAAAAAGATTATCTATTAAGAGGTTAATCTAATATCTATAATAATTTATAGGCAATATGCCGAGCTTCAATAGTGACTCATCAAATTCGGAAAAATCATTTGAAGAAATACCATTAACTCCGCTAGGAACCAACTCCGGAGAAGGTGAGTTGAAAATTTTTCAATATAAACGTATTTAATAATTTATTATTTAAATAGATACCGATACTGACCGACAAAGTGTCGTAAGTAAGTAACGACTATCTAATTTATTAGGCTCTCTTTTATGTTTAATATTATTTTACAAGATGAGGAAAACGTAAGGAGCGCTTTCCCTAATATAGCCAAATCAGGTACCGAACGAAAGAGTACGTATATCTAATTATTGTTAAATTGATATTCATAATTATGATTTTTAAAAAGAGTACGATTGGATTGAATTAACCACCATGAAAATCCTATCGCCCAATAACAGTATGTACTTGTATAAAGAATCGTAAATTTCACTACTCATCATTGTCTTGTTGTTGAGTCTTGTATAATTGACGAACAATATTATTACTCTCTCTTTTTTTCAGACGAAGACATTCCCACTGAAGAGATGGAACAGCTATCAATGGTTGAAAATCATTTTTCGAACGATGACCAAAATAGCTCAGGTATGTTAGATACCAGTCATTTTCATAATAATTTAAAATATCTCAATTGATTTAAGGTGGTACGGAACCAAGTAGACATAATGTATCCAATACATTAGAAAGTATTAATGACAACGAGAGTACCTCTCATTCAAGTAAGAAAAAAAATATTAAAAAGGTAATTGTCTATTTCAAATCTCGTTTTGTCATTTACAACAGTAAACGGAGCAATGGGAAACACACCATTGGCTGGAATGGTTGAAGGTGGCGCGAGCCTAACCGCGGGTTTGGGAAACGTATCGTTGGAAAGTATTTTTGCTGCGGCGGAACTTGAAAATAATAAAAAAGGTATGATTTAAAAACAATACAATTAATGGGTTAATATTCTCAATTCCTATTTGCTACAGTAAATTTCGAGTTAAAGTTAAACAGAAGAAATAATACTAAAAGAGAATTTAAAAGTAAAAGTAAACACTCTGGTAAATATATAAAATAATTGAGTAAACTTTTAAAACTCAATTGGCTTTTTTAGACGCTGCACCATGTCCAGGCATGCAAACACTCTCCTTAGATAATACTCCGGGACAAGGTAAAAAAAATTATTGAGTAATAGTAACTTTTAATCAATATTTAATTTTCAAGGTGACGCTAATTCATCCATGAGCAGTGCCGCAAATTCAGGTAAGAACGGTAAAATTTCAATTGTACCTTTTTAATCTGTAATTCGTCGTAGGCCGGAGTTCGGTTTCATGGGATGATACTGATGTTTCATCAAACCGAGTAGACGAAAGACAAACGACATTTAGCTTCGATACAAGTGACGACGAACGGATGACTCTGCCTAATAAAAACTATTTGTTTTCACCGGCGCCATCAACGACATTAAAACGTAACCCAGTTTTCATTGGTGCTCAAGAAAATGTGTCTCCATTAACCGAGAGTATTGTATGTCAACGTAATAGAGTAAAATCAAACGTGAATGAAAATGATATGAACCAAAATGGCGAAAGTGTGAACAGTGATACTGAAAACACAAATCAGGAAAATAAAAATGTTAATGAAAATACGGAAAATACTTCCGTGTCCATTGAGCAAAATTCTGACGGAAATAACGACCATACTCGTGATGATAATAGTAATGGAGCATCCGACAATTCGACTGGATTTACCTTTGCTATAGCAACAGTAAGATTTCGCCATAAAAATGCACAAAATAAGAATCGTTCAAGGAAAGTTTTAAAATTATGTAAAGATCACATTAAAAACGAGCAAAAACCAGATGAATCTTGCGCAAAGAGGTTCAAACGATCTACTTGCTCAGTCGATAATGATGACCAAAATACAAATATAGATTCGAACGATAACATGGAGTATACCCATGCTATGGCTGCTATTGATACCCAACCAAATAGGTTTAAGCACAATTCAAACCAAAATGGTGAAGATGAATCAACAAACGACTTAAAAACTAGTATGGAATATACCCATGCTATGGCTGCTATCGATAACCATCCAAATAGGATCAAGCGAAATTTGAACAAGCCCGACAAACATGAACCAAAGGCTTTTTCAAGAAAGGACTTAAATTCCAATATGGAGTATACCCATGCTATGGCTGCTATCGATACTACGCATCCAAACAACGTCCAACAAAATTCTAACCGAACTTCATACAAACAAAAATCAAGAGCAAATACCGAATACACTCACGTTGTGATAGCAAATGATACTTTGCAATATTG